TTTTCTGCACAGGTGACTGGGCTGCTCCACGAGTTTCGAAATCCATGCCAAGAGAGTAATTTGCCAACCACACCACATTTTCCTCCTCAAGTCTAAACAACGTCTTGAAATCTGACTCACGAGGTGTACGTCTTGGTTTGTAGTATTTTCTTGTACTTAAATGCAGCACATTAGCCATAACTAACACAATACTGCGACTAATCAACCAAAGATCACTTAAACAAGCACTTAAAAATAGATTTTATCAAACGAAAATGCACATATTTTAAGATGCAGGCTGTAAGATGCCGGGACAACTAATGATAAAATGAGAAAAGTTGCTGTAACCTAGATTCCTTTTTTTAGAAGCAAATCCTTTAGTTTCCAAGCAAATGCTTCTTTTTATAAATAAGAAAACATTAACACCTTTTACTTTACAGAAGCAAGACCTTTGCCTTCACTTCTTTTTATGCATATACTTTGAAGGAATTGCTTCATTTTTTGAAAGCAAAAGGTAAAACTTTTTTTTATAAATATGGACTTTTGAAGGAATTGCTTTATTTTTTGAAAGCTAAAGGTAAAACTTTTTTTATAAATATGGACTATTGTATGACAGGCTAGATAAGCTAATTGTCAAATAAAAAAGTTACGGCAGCATTCCCAAAAAATCCGAATATCAGCCTAAACTTCTCCGTTGGCGTGCGTTACTCGTTCCAAGAGAGTGATCCGTGACGAGCAATGATGTCGGCGGCGAGATAGAGCGTGCACCCCAAGCCGACGCCGAGATCAGCTTCCTGTTTTTTTGTTTTCCAACGATGTTAGTTCGCACTTCGCGCACGGCAGCTCACATTCCCTAACATGATTCATAATCAACGACGATGGTGTTGTATCAGGTTACGAGGCTGTCTCAAGTGAAAATGGAATTTGACAAAATTGAGATTACCAGAAGCTTTTTTAGTCCAGAAAATAAGGCTTTCAAGAATAATTAAAAACAGTTGGTCATTGAATATTCAGTCATTTGTTTGTTAATATTCTAGTGGCTATAATGAATATCAGAAAGGAGAAAGGGTGGTGAAAACAATTTTTTTGCAAATATCTCTTGAACAGCTTTCTTTTCTGGAAAAATATCTACGTAGATAAACTATGCCATCATAAAAATATCAACTTCGGTGCTTCTATCGTTCACCTTCCCGGATTGCCTCTCCAGCAAAACAGATTCATTTAAGACCAAAAATATCATTAGTTGAAACATAGAGCTTATGCAGTATGAATTTGGTGTTGAGATATCATCCAGTATTCTCGTGGTACCAAAACTGAGATACAGTTTAACATGTTCATCGACAAGGGGCAGGTCCCAGGAAAAATGTTTAGAGGGCTTGAACATTCAACCAGGAACAAACATTGTGATGACACCAAATTTAGGAATAGAAATGAAAGATCAAACATAAGGTTATGCTTGTAGCTAAAAGTAAGATGCACATAGTTTAGACATGCTCTTTGGCTCAGTAAGGTGTATGATTTCACAGAACTTATAATTTGCTGACATCTAATCTAGCTAAGATAAAACATCATGCTCGGCAATTTTCTGCAATCACGTGTTTGACTGTATACAATAACTCAATAAATCAATTATTTATAATAAATTATTTATAGCAGTGCATCACAATTGAAAACGATAAGGTGACCTTTAAAGATTCCATCATTGCATTTTTGATAACACCGATCACGTTACACGTATGGGAAATTCATACATCGCAATCATCACCATCAAAACCTGCTATTTTTGACTGACTATAAATAGGTATCACTCTGTTTTTGAGCTAACTAACGAGACTCTTGGAAAGTATTACTTTTTATAGTCCTTACAAAAGTTATTGTGCATGAGCCTTATCGCAAGGCACGAGTGATTGAGCCGTATTCATAAAACAAAGGATATCCTTGTACTTGCAAATTTTGAAGGAAATCCTCCAGATGGTATTTATAATAATTTGAAGTAAATGCTTTTGCTTTTTGAGTATAAGCATATCCTTCAAAGCAGTGACATAAGTAAAAGGATATTCATTCAACTTCGTAACGAAAGGTGGTCAAACGATGATGGTGGAAATTGTGGATGTTAGGGATGATTAAACGTACAAACCTCGTTTACCTTCAGTCGGTCGTGCCAAAAAATTATATCGGTTCGACGAAGCAAATGTACGATGGCTTGCGGACAGATTTTTAGTTGAGAATGAGAAAACTCGAGGAGGAGCACTTTCATGTATTCATAAAATGAAGATATGTCTACGCTATCTCGGTGACCCTGGATATCAACAAGGTATTGGTCAGGAACTTGGTGTTAGTCACGCAACGGTATCTTTGACTGTGGATAAATTTGTGAACAGCAGAGTTGCACAGTAGATTGAATGGATCAAGTTACAGCTAATATCTCGAGAGAAAACGCCTATTCAATCCTACGGGAGTTTTAATCATAAGACCAAAAGACTGTCTAATCTTTTTCAAGCTACAACGTCAAGCGCCTGTCTCGATCTATGAACCTCTTGGCTTAACTATAGTCAATTTCGTTTCACGTTTTCATGTTACTTGCCCAATAGCTAGAGAGTATGAAACTGACATCTAGTAGTAGAAAGAACTATTGGTACCTATTTTTACCAGATCACATGGCTTTTCATTCTCTAGCATACTGCTATATTCATTCACGAGTGGATCAAGTCCTTTGAAGCACTGTGCCGTCAAGCCTTGTAGGGGCCCAAGGCGCACAGCTGGAGGGGCTCAAGGTCAGAGAATCAAACAATTTTTTTGGAAAGTTTCGTGTGATTTGTGCTTATTTAGGGGTACACTATCAAGTAGGGACCTGGGGACATGCCCCTTATGCCATAGGGTGAAGATACAAGAAGAATACAAGATGTTTCCTAATTTCATGTCAATATTTAAGGGGGGTGATTTTTGTGTCCATTTTAAAAAGAAAACTCCATATGAATGTATGTCTTAACTTTTGAGATACAACGTGGTACCGCTTCCAAAAACGAATCATTTGCCGCGCAATGAGTTTTCTCAAAATAAACAAAAAACTTAAATCTGTTTAGTTTTCCCGTAAATAAATAAAATATATTTCTCTTCATGGTGATATTCTCATATGAACGATATTGTTACGATCATGCAGAGAAACGGTTTTTATTTTTAAGCAAAATCGTGTACCTATTGTATTAAAAAAATCAATGGATCAAATTTTCTCAGAAATGATTAGGGATATCAAGAGTAAAAAATTAAAATTAATGAAAAATCTGGTACATTAGAAAATGCCTCATAGTACATGTATGTATGCCAAATTTCATTGTTCTATCTAAAGTGGTATTTTAAATAATACAGTGATTTACTTTTGAAAACTTAATCTCAAAATTTAAGTCATTTAAGGCATACGTTCATGTACCCATTTAAACATCAAAATAAAATAAAGCTTTGCAAATTTCTCGAATATTGAGCAAAGTGGTTTTTATGAAATTAAATATATAGAAATAAATAGTTATTTAATCACTGCGAATTATTCAATGATGCTACTTCTCTCATTCATCGTGCATTTTTAATAGAATACAACTATTCAGGTATCATCATCATACCACCAGTTGTGTTGCGATTATGATACGAATCGCCGGTCAGCCTTGAATCTTTTCTACTTTTTTTATAATAAAATCGCATGCAAATTTTAAAAAGCATCTAATCATCATCCAGAATTATCGCACTTCCGTTAGCGCGGTATTCGCCAACCCACGCCGATTTTACAATTTGCCATGGTAAGTTGAAAATCGCATTGTAAAATAGTAACGATCTGCCAATATTTTACGAGAGGTTTTCTAGAAAATCTGGAACTAACTAGCCATACGATAACGTAGACCTGCGAAACTTAACTTTTCTTTTCTCCTGGTTTCCAATGTATACGTTATTTTTTAAAACTCCTGTGTATTAAACTAAAATACATTTTTGTTTCTTTTCTAGCACAGCGAGATTTATTTTTATTCGAAATAATAGGCACCTTAAAACTTTATAACTATTTCATTGAAAAAAGAAAAAGTACTTAATACAAAATTAAGTTATTATCCAACTGTTGTTGGAAAAAATAATGCAAAAAGATCAACTAAATGAAAAATCTTTATCATATCTCTTTCTTCATCCTTCAAAATTCCTGTTCCTGTTCAATATGCTATCATGTTTGTGTCTCACCTTCCTTCGTACCTGCTCTCCTTAACCTTGGTTACTTCCGGCACCAAGATTCTTAAGAAAAAAGTCACTATGAGAATGCAGAAAATGTAACTTTCACTCATATTGCGATACATTTTATGAAAATTGCTGTTAGCGACTTGCATTAGCTTGTCCAAAAAAAGAACCTTCTTTGATCTTTGCATCTAAGTGTCGATTTGGGTAGTTTTTGGCTCAAATTGTTTTTGGGTAAAACACTCACATAAATAATTTTTCATATCCCTCATATTTTAACAACTTTGCGACATGTAATGGTGTAGCTTTTGTTTTTGTCGAAAACGAAAAGGTTCCAAGAGATAAAAAAGTTGCTTATTAATCGGACAAAACATATTTTTCTTTAAAGTTTTAGTGGCGTATATTTTTATTGTCAATATTATTCCTCAAACTACCCCCCGAGATGCCACTGCTTTTCATAATTATTTTCTAGTTCATATTAACCTAGCTGCTTACTGCAATGCGCAACAGTGACAAAATTCTACAAAATCGGCACAATATTTGAGATGTTAACAGAAAATCAAAATTCTTATAACTAGGGCACATGTTTATAAAAACTGTTCTACTTAAATGTGGTTCAGGAATGTGCACTTGTAATTACGGAATATCATCAAGTAATACCCTGTATTTTTTGGTTATCAGAGTTGGCCAGGATATTTTCAGTTTTTTTTTTTTGGTTGCTGATTTCGGTTGAGTACTCCATGTATTTACACCACTTATCTATTTAAGATTCACACTTATAAATAAAAAAATATATTTTTCCATATAGCTATCACTTAAATCTTTAAAATAATAGAACAAAAAATAATCATAGTACGAAGTATTTCGGAAATTACCAAAACCGGGACATGGGCAGATATTATTTGGTTAACTGCATTCCAAGTTTTGACTATGATATAGATAATAGTAGCCACAGCCATAGCTATTCTGACGGAGCTTGATGGAAATCAGTCGTGAGCATGTTACTTCTTGTCTTGTGTATACTTAGAGCAGCAAATTTTTTGTAGATATACTATTAGTACAGAGATGTACACAGAAACAGAGATATCTTTTTTCTCGATTTCGAAATTGTGACTCAGGACCTTGATCTCTGAATGGGCATCTTTGACTGACTTGATCTGTTTTACATATTCGTAGCTAAATTTGTCTCAGAGAGCCTAACTTGTGCCGAAAATAAATATTTATGTACCTACTGATGACAGTGTTTCGTGAGAAGTGCAGAGTCAGCCTACTTGACACCATTTGTTGTACTGAAATGGTCGAATGGCTTGCCTTATTTTCACATAAACACAAATTAAAATTTTCTCTCCCTTCGGGTTCGTACTTAATGGAAATAGTACAACTTCATGTGCCTAGCCACACTTGAACAATAAATTTACGCTTTTGTTAAATCATTGATAAAAAACGAAGAGGTAAGTACTGTTAAAGCACTTAATTCATTCTTCTTTGCTAATTTTATGATCTATTTTATACGGTACCACAATCAATATACGTATGAATAAATCTCACGTGACCCAGTTGTCGTGGGAAGCCGGAAGTAACAAACGAAAATCAAATTACCAATTTGTTTCAGCAGATTCACAGTTGGCCGATCCTAGATGACTGTCCACTGTCCCTTGATTTACATCCTGCCAATGGCAAGCAATAGATTTGACATCGTTAACATTATAGAACAGAGAAATTACGGTAATGTGATTTTTCGAAGTAGCCCAAAATTACAGTAAAAAATTACGCCCAATTGCACATCATACAAATGCGTTTTGCTATGTGAATGGTTGATTAAGCATTAAAGAAACAATCTATGAGTTTTTGAAAATTTTAAGTCCACGAAAGTATGGTTCAAAAAGATTCTCAACATGAAACAGAAAGGTTGCGTAACAGCAGAATTTTCAAAAAATGTCCAAGGCCATGCTTTGAAAAAGGGGGCCTAATAAAACTGCGAAGATGCTGCAGAGTGTTGTCATTTATAATATTACTTATGACAATATGTGTGTGTGCGGCAAAAATACAGTACAAACGAAGAATTCTTTGAAATATGATGCATATTCAAAATAAGACACATACTAACTAAAAACAGGACAGATATAAAATGTTATGTAAAAGATTAACAGTGGATTAAAAAATTCGGTGAAGCTATAAAAAGTATTGCCGATTAAAATTTGCTTTAAACGTTTTTTAAAGCTTGGAATATTGCGGATTTTCATTGAGGCATTTTATGATAGATTCTACTGCATAAATAGAGAGTACTGAAACTGAAATGTGATACATGTATTAAGCAATTACTTCGGGGTTTGTATTAGCGGATAGCAGAAATCAAGGTGAACTCATCTATGTTTTGTTGAACCATCGAGTATTAAGAAGGATGGAAAATTTAATTTAACTGAACTACTATTTTTTTTTTCATTTAAACTGTTTTAACCGTTTGTTTCCAGGATCGGAAGTATGTCCAGATAGTAGGCGGACAACTGAGATACCGGACCAAGATGAAAAGCTACCCATACATACCCAGCATGGTGCAAGCTATTACTGTACTTACGGTTTTGAAGATGATGACGAAAGGTAATGAAACTGCGTCAGCTATAGATATTTCTTCGCAAATAAGTAGACATATCACAGAGTTCTTACAATTGTTTTAGCTGACAATAATGGAAGCGTAACCGCGGGCTATCATACAGCACCTTTTAATCAAAGATGTCATCTTTAACGTTTTTTAAATTACGTATTACCAAGTATTAAAATTCTTGAGTGATCTCCTCAGGTTATCGTATTTACTAAATATTGAGCAAGTATCACAGATGAGATTCTCATTCTACGATTATTTTATCTTTCAACGTTTACTGAAGAATCAGTTCGTCTCAGTAAATTTGTGAAAAAGGAGAAAATCGGTCATCGTTATGTGGTACAATACTTTTATTTCAAACACCTCAGCCCAACCAATATAAAAGCTGAACTGGATTGTACTCTGGATGAGTCTGCTCCTTCGTGTACAACAGTAAAATATTGGGTAGCAGATTTTAAACGAGGCCGTATGTGCTGCCAAGACGAGCATCGCAGTGGTCGACCAAATGAGGTGACGGCTCCAGAAATGGTGAAAAAAATTCACAAAGCGGTACTGAATGATCGTCGACTGAAAGTGCGCGAGCTAGCAGACATAGTAGGCATTTCAAAAAGTGTGGCTCATCGCATTTCATCTGAAAATTTGGACATGAGAAAGCTGTCTGCAAGATGGGTGCCGCGATTGCTCACAATCGAGCTAAAACAATTCGTGAAGATGTTTCAATTGAGTGTTTAGCGAAGTTTCTCAGCAACAAAGCAGAATTTTTGCATCGTTTCATAACCATGGATGAAATATGGGTCCATCACTTCACACCCGCGACAAAAGAACAATCAAAACAATGGACTCAAAAGGGACAACCGGCTCCAAAAAAGGCGAAGACCGTTTCATCTGCAGGCAAGGTTATAGCGTGGGTTAGTTTGGGATGCGCGTGGGATAATTTTCATTGACTATCTTGAAAAAGATAAAACTATCAACGGCGAGTATTATGCGAACTTATTGCAACGTTTGAGCGATGAAATCAAGCAAAAACGGACGCATTTAGTTAAGAAAAAAGTGTTGTTTCATCAAGACGATGCACCAGCTCACAAATCCGTTATTGCAATGGCGATTTGAATGTTTTCGACTGTCCCAAAATCAGTTTCTTTGAGATGATTTTTCAACTTCGGAAAGAGGAAAAAATCACAAGGACTCAAGTCTGGTGCATGAGGAGGCTGAGGAGGCAAATGAATGTTTTTACGGGCCAAAAACTCGTTTACCCAGATCATTCTGACTGTCAACCGACGATCTGAAAGCAAAATCAACTTCTGAAAATCTGATAGTCCACCGCTGCTTCAAATTGATGTCACTCATTTTTATAACACAACAGAAAAAAAAACTGTTTCACAAAAAAAATTTCTACAATCAAGTGACTCGAGCGAATTCAAACTTGTACTGAAGGCGGTTCACATGTTCCCCTGTCTCCCCTCCAAGCCCGGCGCCTCTACTGTTGCCAGATCGAACGCTACCTTGCCAGTCTCATCACTTAATTCGCAGACCATTTGGGGAAGAACTATACAAAAATCGCCTGTTACTGTAACTTATGCCCCATGTTTAAGAGTATATGATAGAGGTACTGTACTTTTGGTCATATAAAAAATGCACCCATATTGCGTAACTTAAAAGTGACATATTTTTTATGACGTCATGTACGATTTTCCGAAAAAATGTTGGAACTATCTGTCTCTCACTTCATGTTCACTTGTAGTAGTTTTGTGTTTTGCCTAAGCTTCATGACACTTGAGCTATATGGTTTGTCTTTGATGTGATGTAACATGATGTAAGCTGTACTTTGGCTCACACACACACGGTCGATATGCTATTCCTCCATAGGTGGCGCTCGTAGCACTCAGCACGGAATGGGCTAGCGACTACCCAGTACCCGATAATTTACGTAAAACCCCTCCTGATCATCAGCCATTGTAAGTCTCAGTTATCGAACTTAATAACGCTTTCTTTGCAGCCCAGACTTCATGCGGCTCGGGAGCGACAAACGGCAAACTCCTGTACGAACGTTTGCCCAACATCCAGTTGCAAGGCTTCGACGACGACGTCGTACGGGATTCAGCGCCCCCTTTCGCTGTGCTCGAGAAGTGCATGGACTTGTGCACACGCGACAGGTCCTCCAATAACATTGTGCGAGCGTGTTCTTCATTTGACTTTCAACCTGGGAGTAGGATTGCCTCTTATTCTGGAGCTGGGGAGTATGAGGAGAGCACTTGTTACCTTACAGCTGAACAGTCGCAACCAGAGGGCATCGGGAATTTGATACTTATGCCGAATAGTGTGCATTTCACGGAAGTTTGCATTACCTGTAAGTACTGATTATATTTTTCTGTCTCTATGCCCAACATCAAAGTATTAAGAATACTCCTCCAGACCGGGTGTTGAAAAAAAAGTGACATGCTACGTTAAGGACATCAGCTATCTCATGCAGTGAAGAAAGCACCATGTCGAATTGCAATTTTTCTCTTTCATGCGAGTGTTCCGTCACAGATTATGTACTTATTGAGCTTTTATCTTCGTTTCAATTCATGCAGTAACGAATGGATTCAAAAATTATTTCCAGACTCATGGAAATTAACGACTACAATGACCTTCGCCCCATAAGTATTTTACCAGTTCTATCAAAACTAATGGAGATTATATTGGACCAATAAATAAGAGATTATTTAACTGAGAACAATTTGTTACCAGACCATCAATCGAGATTTAGGAAAGGATTCAGCTGCGAAACTGCACTGTTGAATATAACTGACGACATATTCAAAGCAACAGATTCAGGAAAAACCACCGCTCTCGTGCTTTTGGACTACTCCAAGGCATTTGATAAACTAAATCACGAAATGCTGTTTGTTATTTTACACTATATAGGGTTTTTCGAATCTGCTAGCACGCTTATGTGCCACTATTTAACTAAAAGAACACAATATGTAGAAATGTCTCCGAAGTTGTCAGGTACATTTGTATGTTGACGATACTCGGCTTTATTTGTCTTTCAATCCTAACGAGAAACGTGATGCATTGGCCATTATTAATCGAGATATTGAAAGACTAGTTGTATTTTCGGAAAATCATGGTCTACAGATTAATGCAAGCCAATCACAACTCATGTTATTTGGCAGATTGAAAGACAATATTGAGCTCACTTTTCATGTCAAAGTGAATCTATACCTCGTTCTGCCACTGTGAGAAATTTGGGAGTAGAATTTGACTCATATCTAAGATTTAAGCCTCATATTAAAAAATGTATCCAGAAAGCTTATGCTTCTCTAAAAGTTCGATATGTCCTCCGTGTTAAACTTAAAATTTTGCTTTGTGAGGTACTAGTACTCAGCCATTTTAATTTTTGTAACAGCGTTTATGGGTTTTGTTAGACAAGATTGACATGGATAGAATTGAACGTGTACAGAAGTTCTTCCCACGATTTATTTATGGTATACGTAAGTTTGATGCAAAGTGGTTGAATATGCGATGCCAATGTGAGCGGCATGCATGTAATCTTTTTCACAAAATTATGTTTTATAAGCAACCACCATATTTATTCAATAGAATAACTTTTCGCACCGATGTTCAGAACTTAAATTTGCGGTTTCGGGGCTACATATCACCTCCTCCTCATCAAACTTCTCGTTTTTGTAGATCTTTCTCATACAACATTTACCGGCTTTACAATCAAATTCCTAATGACTTTAAAATTCTGCATCCAAACCAGTTTAAAATCAAATATAAAAAAATTATTTTTGAAAAACACTTCAGCGCACATTAATGTATACGTAAATGACGCACAAGCGACCAAACTAATGAAACAGAATTTTTTTGTACTATAACTCTATTATTCTATCTATTAATCGAGGCTTTCTAAGGTAGATCTTTCTTTTTATATATGTATGTATGTGTATATATACGTATATACAGGGTGACTTTGAAGTTGAGTCATTAATTTTCAGATAATGATTGTAGAAGGAAGATAAACCAAAATATGTGTGTAAAAATAAAAAAAAAAATGTTACCTTGTTTTATAAAGTATCCTCCCGACAAGTATTTCAGTGCGGACCTGTATTTGATCGTCGGTTCAGCATTTTCGTAAACATGTGCCATTTTTTATTTCGTTTGAGCCACCCAACAAACACCACTATTCACTCACGCTGTACCAACTGACACATTGACTGAATACAACTGAATAAAATTGTAGTAAAAACATTGTGATAAGCGTTTCAAATGCTTTCGCTTTTTTGTTTCCGATGCGATGAACCGATAAGGCGGATTATATCCGTTGTTGCCAAACACGAGCACATAATATTATTATTGAGACAGGGAGGTACTCAAACTTCTAAAGGGCTATAACTTTGTTACTTTAATTTTACGAGAAAAATGTTAAAGGAAAAAAACATTTCTTTTGATCAGATCTACTCACTGTTGCAATAAATGACTCAACTTCGAAGTCATGTGTGTGTATATGTACATATATACAGGGTATCCGCAAAGTTGGGGTTTTCCTTTTCAGAAACAACTACCCTTGAAATAACAAAGGTAATGTGTAGTGAAACGAGGGCGACCAAGTAAAAAAAAAATAAAGGAAAAAGTACTCACTCTCCAGTTGACGAGAAGGGCTAAGTACGTCTCTCCCAAAATCATACCGCTCCAACAGAAAATGAAATCAGCTGATGCGCTACCGAGCAGACGCAGAAACCACATTGATTGTCTTACACTTAATGGCACATCTTCTAACAAGGAAGGCAAAATGTGGCGTAAAAAGTCTAGGTATTGCATCCCGTCCAATCGATTTGGGAGAATAAATGGTCCAATGAGCATACCGTTCACCATGCCAGCCCAAACATTCACCGAAAATGTTTGTTGATAATGGGCCCGACGGACAGCGCGCGGATTTTCTACTGACCAAACATGAGTGTTGCGAACGTTATTCACCACATTACGCGTGAACGTAGATTCGTCTGTCACCAATATGCACTTCAAAAAGTCCGGATTATTGTCATGTTGATGCAACAACCACTCACAAAACCGCACTCTTGCTGGAAAATCGTCAGGTTGAAGGGCTTGTACACGTTGGACGTGTAACGGATACAGCCCCTCTTCACGCAGCGTTTGCCACACTTTTTTGCAGTTTTTGATACTTGCACTTCTCTAGCCACGTCTCTAGTGCTTGTTATTTTTTGAAACGCAATCGATTATACGGGTTCGTTTACCTCTACACGCGTGACCGTAACCGTCGGTTGAAGGTTGCATACTGACCTGACACACTGACCCCGACCCACTTCTGTCGTCGGGTTGAGCTAGTGTCCTAGTACCACTCGGGGATGTCGCGGGTCGCGGCTACAGGACGGTATTCAGATATTTTTGATGTTGCAGAGCCCTTTATTCGGTCCCTTAAGACATTGGTGTATATGGTACTAAGAAAAATTGCTTATGTTTATAAAATCTACACGTCGTGTAAAGGAAAACCCCAACTTTGCGGACACCCTGTATATATATGAATGTGTAATAGGTAAAGGGCTGAACTTGTATCATTTTTAAACGCCTTCAGCCCTTTTTTGTAATATCTCATTTAAATGTATTTTGCTACTATTTTCACCTAACCGAATGTTGCAAATAAACATTATTATTATTATTATTATTATTATTATTATTATTATTATTATTATTATTATTATTATTATTATTATTTTCCAGCAAACAGGCCAGAACGAGAATGTCCCAACAGACGATACGTGTTCGAACGACATCCTCGGAAAAAACTGAAACTCCCCACGCCTGATATCAAAGAAGTGAACGCCGACAATAGGACCGAATGCGAAGACAAATGCTTGAACGAGTTCAGCTTCGTGTGCAGATCGGCCACCTTTGATGCGAAGATGAGGATGTGCACTTTGAGCAGGTTCACGAGGAGGACGCATCCGGAGCTGCTGGTGGATGACAGAGATTCGGATTATTTGGAGAACACTTGTTTAAATGGTAACTTGAAAATATGCATATCACGGTATAATTATTAAGCTGGTAGAGAGATATTCGGAGCTACAATGTACTGTTACCGATGCAGGGGTTGTGTGGGGATGTTTAGTGTACGTGACCTTTCTGGAATGAATTTAGGTTACCCGGTTCTGCAAGAAATTAAAGATTTAGATTCGAAAAGTAATTACGTTTAACTAAAAACCCAGAGGGGGTCGGTGTAAATACCAGAAAGAAGCTTGACTTGTTTCAATCACAACATTGCACAGACGGAACGAGGCTAATGAATTTCGAAAAACCTTTCTGAATGATTTAGATTAGAAAATATATTCATGAAATTGCTTGCAAGCTTTTAATACATGTTTTACAGTCAGCGACAGCAAGTGAAAAGTTGATCAGTCGCCATTTTTTGCAACTGACGGGGTTTGGTTGTTTAAGATTTATTTAGCATTAATGCTACAATGTCCATACGTAATACACAGTATATCACAAAATATATTATGTCTTCAAGACTACATATTTTTATACAAAATTTCACTACTATGAATTCTGAGATATTTTTTCAATTTCCCTTTGAACATTTTCAAACTGACACACGTCTTGATATCATTACTTAATTTATCAAGTTCGTACAATCCCTTTTGAAATACATACTGACTTGCTCGTTATTTTGCTACTCCAGTTTTGTAAATGAAAGTCTATACTTCCTATAGTGGAAGTGATTTGATAGAGGATGATTTTTTAACTTGAATATGAAAATGAAAACCAAGTCGGCTATGAAATTTTTGATATTTAACCATTATAGTTATTTCAGCATAAAATTTATTCTAGTATATTTTTATTTAAAAACGTTCCCTAGATGATCCCGTTTTTTGCATCTAACGGCGCTCCACTAATAAATTTCCTGTCCGTGCTCCATTTCACATTAGAAATGCAGCTTTAGGTATGTGTATTCGCCAAAACGTCAGGTTAGTTGACTCACATTCACTGTCTATACTTATTTTCTGATTTTCAGCTGATCGAAGATGTGACGGCCTAGCAGTGTTCATCAAAGAAGAAAACAAAAGACTCGGAGGTCCTTTCGAAGCGGAAATGTTCACCAACTTGACGTTAGAAGACTGCCAAGCGATGTGCGTCAGAGCTGAGAAATACTTTTGCAGATCTATCGAATACGATGAAATGACAAAGCAATGTACGCTTTCGGAAGAAGACTCGATCTCGCAGAAGGACGATCTTGGAACAGCTAGCAGCCCTTCGCATAATTTTTACGATTTTGCGTGTTTAGACAGTCGTATGTACCCCTTGATCAGTAGATAGCTATATCTGATGTTGATGATGTTCATTTCTAGAATGCATATACGAGGGCGATCCGATAAGTATTCGGCATCATCGCCCGATGGCGCCACTATCGCAAAAGAAATTTACTATCGTCGATGGGTTCTGTCAAAATTTCAGCAGAATCGGAGTCGTGGTTTTGTTTTGACCGTGTTTGGAAGTGGGCGTATCGTCGGATTTTAGAAGAATGGAAAAAGAGCTACATCGATCGGTGATTCAATTCTTGTTTTTGGGAGATCGCACAGCGAAATCAAAGAACGATTGGATGCCGTGTACGGTGACTCTTCTCCTTTGATGGCGATCGTAAAAAATGGTGGTCGCACGTCCGTTTTTGATTAGCCATGCCCAGGTGGCCTGAAAAAGGCTACCACGGAGGATAAGGTGACCGCCGATTGAAGGTGCGCGAGATAGCTTTTTTTATACTCCAACCACCACGAAGGCCTAAGGGCTTAACCCACATGGGGTACCGTGGGACTATAGGGGGATACAGGGGAAAGAGGGAACGCCACATGGACTCTGGCGAGGGAACACGTATGCATGCAACATGGACACATTCTGGCCCCGCCTACGAGATCCGCCGGGTGGTACCTCCGCGTTCGACAGTCAGAGACCGTCTACCACCTACGGACAATCACAAGATCCATAGCCAAGAGAAAAAATTCTCCTGGGACGGGATTCGAACCCGCACAGCACACGGCGTCTGATCAGGAGACCGAAGAGTCTACTATTGCGGCCACCGCTGCTGCTGCATGAAATATTGACCATAAGAAAGCTGGCTGCGCGATGGGTGCCGCGTTTATTTACTCCAGCGCAGCCGAGAGACTACTTCAGGGCAGTGCTTGACGCTGCTTAGGCGCAAGTTTCTGCGTCGTTTCGTGACCTTCGACAAAACATGGATCCACTGGTACACACCAGGGACCAAGGAACAGTCGAGATAGCGGATTTGACTCGGCGAACGTGCTCCGAAGAAGACGAAGATTGTCCTATTGGCCGCAAAGGTGATGGCCACCGTTTTCTGGGATTCAACAGGTTTGATTTAAATCGACTACCTGGAGACAGGCAAAACGGTCACAGGGCTACTATACCGAATTATTGGGCCGAATCGCAGAAAAAACGGCCCCATTTGACGAAGAAAAAAGTGCTCTCCCACCATGACAACCTGCCTCCAGTGTAGACACGGTCAAGTTGGTCTAATCAAGCTATGAAATGCTGCTTCATCCACCGTATTCTCCAGATTTGACCACGTGCGACTTTTTTTCGTTTACAAACTGGAAAAAGCCACTCGCCGGGCACACATTTGAGTCGAATGAGGAGGTTAACGTCGTGACGGAGGCCGACTTTGCAGTCCTCCAGAAATCGTATTTTTCGGACGGGTTCGTTTTTCTTTTGTAGGTATTGTAAGTATTTATCGGACCGCCTTCGTAGGGCATAAAAAATAATGTGCTAAACTCCTATAAGAGACATCTTACGGGTCTCACCTGCACCTGCAGAATGGACGTCACTGTAATTTGGTTTTTCGTAGCTTTTGGGGCGTAGAGCACAGTATTGCAAGGAATTTTGAAAACATAGCCACCAATCGAGGCTTCTCATGATGTAGCTCGTGTGAGATAATTAACTCATTTAGATCGCCAGAGATGGACTAGCACTAATAGAATGCTACTAATATGTTTGCACTCTACAAAGCAAAAACCTGTGGCAAGGCTCATCATTCATTCTTCTTTGATTTAAACAGTCTTAAGACAGCACAGAGTGCCGTCAATTATTAGTATCACTCACCTTGCGAAAGCGAAAACAAGAAACCCCCCCTATTACCCATTTCAATAATGACTACCATAACGTTTACACCCTGCATATATATGTAGACAGGGTGTCCCAGAAGTCGACGTCAAGCCGAAACCGGGTGATAGGCAAAGTCATAACAGCTATCAGAAAAATATTTAAAAAAATTTTATGTATGTGTTTTGAGAATTATAGGTCTTTGAAAAAAATATAGAAATTTCACACCCTATGGCAGTCTGTCAACTCCTGTTACTACAAAGATTAACTTTTTTTGGATTTCATTTTTACAATGTAATGATGAATAATGCATCTTCAATCTGGTGTCTCAACCTTACTGCCAGCTTTTCTCGTTCAGGAAAAATTGCCACTTATTTCCCAACCAAGTATTCCAAAGTAAAACTTTGCTCAACTTTAATTGGCTGTACTGGAAAAAAATGTACTACGAGAGTTTGGCAAGTAACCTTAAAAGTTGGCGCATTTAATAACGATTCCAAAATGGTATAACACTTAGAAGATTACTCGTTAACTTATGCACAATTTTTATTTGAAAAAAAACTGATTAAAATTTTTCGAAATTTCCTAATTAAACAGCGATTATGAAAACGCACAAGGACCCTTAAGGATAACTGTTTGCACAACAGTGGGCGTCAAAATGCTGCTGATGATGATTTACCTTTACAGCAAATGCTCAAACTGTTTTCCTTCAGCCGCTCGATATCTTCTTAAAAAAGATCGGGTTATTAAACGAGCGAATCCACGGTTATTAACAAACTCAGCTGCTTCCAATAGTCTTTGCCGTAGCTCATTTTGAATCGGCTTGAAATACACTTTTTCTTTTACAGTTCCCCAGTAAAAAAAATCTAACGGATTCAAATCTGGTGACCGGGCTGGCCACGGTATTGTACCAGACCGCCCTATCCATCTGCCTGGAAAGTTTTGATCGAGATACTCTCTCACTGAGAGTGCATAGTGCGCTGGGCAGCCATCATGCTGAAACCACATGTCGCTGTAAATAATCAGTGGCACGTCCTCCAATAAATTTTCTAAATGATTTTGCAAAAAACCTAAATAAACCTCAGCAGTCAAAGTCTCTGGGAACTCAAACGGACCGATTATTTTACCATTTAAAATTCCTGTCCAATGGTTTATCTTGAAGCGATATTGAGATTTATCTTCTCTAATCAAATGTGGGTTTGCTACGAGCCACTCGTGTAAGTTATGCAGGTTCATGTACCCATCTTTCTTAAATGTGGTCTCATCTGACCATAAAATTTTTTCAAAGAAGCGTGGATCTTCCCTGTGTCTTTCTAACCTTGTGCGACAAAAAGCAACTCGGGGCTCATAATCCCGGGGCAGAAGAGCTTGAACACGCTGTACGTGGTATTGTAAAAATAAAATCCAAAAAAAGTTAATATTTGTAGTAACAGGAGTTGACAGACTGCCGTAAGGTATGAAATTTCTATATCTTTTTCAAAGACCTATAATTTTCAAAAAACATACATAAAATTTTTTTAAATATTTTTCTGATAGCTGTTATGACTGCCTATCACCCGGTCTCGGCTTGACGTCGACTTCTGGGACACCCTGTACCTATATATATATATATATTGTGCTGTCTTATTTAAATCTTCTCTGCCTACTGATTACATTTCCCTTCAGCCCGAGGTCAAGAATACCCGGACAACTCAGTAACCTCCCACCTGTTCAGCGGCAAAAAGCCTGACACAGCGTTCCAGAGGTACCGAAATAGTCGTTTGGGAGGCGAACATCACTCAGAAATATCAGGGAGGTCGCTGAGCGAATGCTTGGACGAGTGCTTGAGACAACCCAGCTTTCAATGTCGATCTGCTGAGTATAGCGAGAGGTACAGGACCTGCAGATTGACGAGGTACAATCAGAAGGACGGCATGAGGATCATATATGATGCTGATTATGATTATTATGAGAATCTGATGCGTAAGTACTGAGTTAATGACATGTTGACAACTTAGATGGATATCATGAAGATGTAGAAACTTTATTATGTAGCTAATTCCCGTGTGTATAGGTCCATCTATACATTTTTTTTTGTTTTTTTTTTAATTAACCTTGTTCTCGACAAAGTTCTGCAGAACGTATGAAAACCCCAGGGTATGTCTTGTAGCACTGAGATTTCAAGGCATACGTTTCCAATATTTGCTATTGCAAACGCAAAAGAAGAACGGTATACGAGGTTTGTTCGAAAAGTATCGCGAATTTCATGTTTTTTCAAGAATAATTTATTTATTCATGAATATCTATTTTGACCCCTGCAAAGTAATCCCCATCAGACATTTTTGTTCTTCCACAAATCAGGGCGTTTCTGGCGGATTGCTTATCGCAAATTGCGCATTACTTGAAGGTAATATTCCTTATTGACCGTTCTGCCTTGCGGCGAGAACTCATCAAAGTTTTTGTCTGTTGTTGACGTGCTCGAGCGAGCGGAACGCTTTTCGTCGCTCACATATTCTCGGCCCTCTGAGAACATTTTGTACCACCGAGGAACGTTGCTTTTATCCAAAGTAGCTTCGCTGTATGCAACAGTCAACATTTGAAAAATGTCCGCGCACTTCAAGTTGTTTTTTACACAAAATTTAATACAAATTGTTTGATCCATATTTTGGCATAGACAAAAAAAATAGCCGTCACAAACTGACTGAACATTCAAAATGGCCGATATTGTCAACATTAGTGAGGGTCATGAGTACCAACATAACGCCACAAAAAGATCGAAAATCGAACATATGTAGCCCGCGAAAATTCAAAACTTGCGATACTTTTCGAACAAACCTCGCAGGTTGCGCCGTGAGTCAAGTCTAGGGAGCCTGACTGAATAAACACAGCTGGATATAGTTCTTATTAGGCAGTAAAATAAGGAGAAAACAAATACATGAAGACTTGAAGTACATAATGTGCTAAGTGCCAAAATTATTATTTTGAGATAAAGAAACTTTTTGTTCTACAATCAATGTATTAAAAAAACTCTCTGAAAATTAAACATAGGTTTATTCAAGCATAAGTATTTTTCTGTTTACTTGATAATTTCGGGAGCTTTTTGTAAAAAATATAAGAAAAAATTATAACGGTTTCAAAATCGTAGAATGTGCTAAGTACCATTACAAAAATATAAATACAGTGCAACCCGCTTATAATGGACATGGCAGGACTGTGACAAATAGTCTATTATAGGCGGATGACCATCTTAAAAGAAACACTTTTTTTTAATAAAAAAAGCAGCAGAAATAACATACTAAAAGCTTAACATGTGTTTGTTTAACATATATAAAGATACATAGAAAAAAGTTATACGTAATTTTGAAATTTGCATTTTTTCAGAATCTGATACACATATTACAGGCATACGTTCTGTGTAGTTATGTGTAGAAACCGTAAATATTTGGTAGAAAAGCTAGAAATTTTCATTTGAACAGATTGTTTTGTGTATAATTATTTAGAACAGCAGGTTCAATTTTATTTAATTTGGTAAGGGTGGCTGTACTGTCTTCTTCTTACTGAAAATAACGTTGCAACTTTTTCACGCAGTCTAATGCCTCCTCAGTTGCCACTGGAAGCTCTTCTTCATCGTTGTTTTCTAGTTCGTCTTCCTGTTCGTTATCAACGGATCCTTCATTAACCAAATTGGAGTCTGACAATTCCTGTGTTGCTATTAAATTATTGTCAACATGTACATACTCTTTATTCAGAAAGCTATTAATTTTCAGTAAATCACTTAATGGAATTTCATTTCCTGGATTAAAATCGTTGACTATTTCAGTTATGTTTTTGACTAAACCAGCATGGCGAACACAATAGTAAGCGAATTTATATGGGGTTGTCCAAAATGGACGTAGGAAAGTAAACGCATATTAAAACAAGAAAGATTGAAATTCAAATCAAGTTGGGTACTTTATTTTGAAGGTTTATTTATACCATTTATGTATGAAAAATAATATCGCTCAAATGTTCACCACGACTGGATTTACAGACGTCCACGCGATGGCCGAAATTTTCAATGACATTTTGCAACATGGTCGGTTCTATGGCATTTATCTCGGCAATGATGTTATTTTTGAGTTCTTGGAGGGTGGTTGGTTTGTTGACGTAGACTTTGCTTTTCAAATATCCCCATAAAAAGAAGTCCAAGGGAGTCAAATCGCACGATCTTGGTGGCCATGACACATTTCCTCTGCGCGAAATCACGCGATCACCGAAGAAGGACTGGAATCGATGGATATTGACGTTGGTTGTGTGGCATGTTGCACCGTCTTGTTGGAAATAAACATCGTCCATATCCATTCCTTCAAGTTGCGGCAAAAAATAGTCCTCTATCGTCACGTGATATCGCTCAGAATTGACGGTAACGGCGTCCCCAGCCGCATTTTCGAAAAAGTAAGGTCCGATGATGCCTTTTGACCACAATGCACACCACACAGTCACTTTTTGAGGCTGCATCGGCTGCTCTTGATACTCACGGGGATTTTCGTTCGCCCAGATGCGGCAGTTTTGCTTGTTTACCGTCCCATTCAAAGTGAAATGCGCTTCGTCGCTGAACATGATTTTTGATGAAAAACTGGCATCAATTTGGCGGTGTTCAAGGAGCCAATCTGAGAACGTTCTTGCGTCAATTGGATCTTCTAGCCGTGTACATTCAAATCCTTGTGGAGAATGCGGAGCAAACTGGTTCTCGAAATGCCCAATTCTTGGGATCGACGCGTTGTTGATTGTTTCGGATCGTCTCTCACACTCTCCTTCACAACAGCAATATTTTCCGGTGTGCGAACGCTCCTTGGCCGGCCAGAGCCTGGCAGATTTGCCACAGAACCTGTTGCCTCGAATTTACGCACCTGACGACCGATGGTTGTTTCGTTTGGGCGGTTGTTGCGAAACGTGTTTTTTATTTTTGCACCATTTTTGTAGTGCTCTTGAATAACTTTAATGCGGTCTTCAATCGAATACGACTCCATAGCGATCAATGGTAAACATTCAACTAACAAAATTACATGTCGGTGACAGAAAACAAAGATGGCGTCTATGTCAAATTGACGTTTACTTTCCTGCGACCCTATTGGACAACCCTTAGAACCTAAAATGGTGACAGCTTTGGTAATGTTGACATCTTCTTGAAGCTCCATAATTTTCATCAACATATGTTTCCGATACATTTGTTTAAGACTCCAAATAACACCCTGGTCCATTGGTTGCAGAACTGATGTCACATTGGGTGGAAAAAATTCAAGGTTGATGTTAGTAAGTGAAATATTTGGATGAGCGGGGCAGTTATTGACCAAGAGCAAAATTTTCCGATTTTTCTTAACAAGTTCAGCGTCCCACTTTTTTTTAAATATCCTTCAAAAATTGAAGAAGTCATCTAAGCTTTATTATTTCCAACATAATCGACGGGAATTGTTTTACATTTTTGAAACATCTGGGATTCTTAAATTTCCCTGAAATAAAAAAAGGTCATAATTTCTTCACAGCACTGCCATTTAATTTCAAAAAAATTAGAACATGAATTTCTATTCATTCACTTACCTATTATCAATAGTTTCCGTTTTTCAGCACAAATCATAACAGTTATTCGCTCTTTTTATAGTTTCCCTCCATTGCAAATTTCATCTTTTAATTTATTTATTTAATTAAAATATCTTGGTTTTATCTGCATTGAATATGTTATCATCTGAATAATCACTGGATATTACGGACCAAACTTGAGAAATCCAGTCATTGGTAACGTTCTTGTCAACTGAAGCTGACTCACCACACATTTTTCCAAAAACAATGTTATGTCTTTTCTTAGACTTGTCTAGCCAACCGGCACTAGATTTGAAGTAATCTCCAATCAATTTCCCAAATTCTTCAGCCTGGTCCACTTATTGGAAAATTATTAGCACGCTTTTGTTGAAACCATTTAAACAGCATATCATCGACTTGGGGATGCAGCGATAGCCGCATTTTTTCTTTGGACTATTAGATTTCCAGTCATTTTTAATTTGGTTGGGATGAACCCTGCTCAACCTCACTAAATATTGTGAACTTTTCGTGTAAAGTGAATGCACGTTTCGCACTTTTCGACAAGTTTATAACTCTAACAAATACAGTGTAACACTGGTTCCCAATTTCGAATCTGTTTCGGGGAAGTACCAAAATAGATCGCATATAGTGGATTAAAATAATCCGCTACAAGCGAGGTTCTATTCTAAGCGAGTCTATAATATCCGAGAATTTTACATGCAATTATTTATAGGACTTTAAATTGTGTCCATTAAATACGGGTTTCCATTATAAGCAAGTTCATTATAAGTGGATTCCACTGTATTATGTGTTAAGTGCCATTACAAAAATATAAATATTATGGTGAATAATAACGAAAAAAAAAACAAAAAAAATAGCTTCTAATGACTATTAGCATTCAATAGATCTTCATAAAATTATCTATTTTCTTCCTTCAAATGGGGAATCATTGCTGGCAAATCTTGTTTTTTTCAAAGTTCTCGTATGCTAACGAATCCTGGATTCTCTCGGTTAATATTGATCCAATGAGCTTTAAAAATTTGGAGCTTGGATGTATTGATTGCACTTTCAGAAGCAACTTTAAAATCGAAAAAGTCCTCGCGGTTTTGTAACAAGAAATGGTGTTTTTTCACTGCTGCTATCATCGCAAGAGGGTGAGAAAAAGGGCTACGACGACAAACTCACTAATGGAGGCCGATTTCTATTAAACTATCCACCACCCGGAAAATCCGCAGCCGTGCGTGTGAAACTTATTCATAAAATCGGGTAATGGGCCGCTGAATTCCTACACGAGAGCACCGGAAATAGAACCAAGTCACTTTCATCTCTCGTATTAACGAGATGGAGAGTATAGTACGGTTTTCTACCACCAAATTATGAGACAGAGAAGTGGTTTGTTATAAAAATGAAATTCGATATTTTTAAAAACTGAAAATTATTATTCTAAATAAGAAAAACGTTGTAAAAATTTACTTAATCAAGGATAGTTAATAGTTAATCTTTAATCGACCACAAAAACAAATTGTAACAACGTGATAAACAATAACAAGCACTAAGTCTGAAAACAGCGTGGAAACTGCCGCCTGTAGCGCAGAAAACTATTAATAAAATATAAAAATATTTATTTTTTAGTGCTTTATTTATGTTGTTGGTTATGGCATCTAGAACATTTTAGAAGTATAAAATCAAAAACCGATGTATTGGCACTTAGAACGTTATTTACTTTAAGTCTCCACATACGGATCGCAGTAGTGCCAGTCCTGCATGTAAAACTTTTCTAATCTAATATACCCCAAGTTCTCTCATGGCTCTAATTCAGTTCAACCTCAACCAGCACGAAATGATCTTCATTTTCTTTGAAAGATTTTGAAAATATCACATATTTACAGTTGGTGGTGAAGGAGATGGTGCACCAGGAGCTAGACCTGGAGAACAAGGGTACCCCGGAGGTAGACCAGGAGGTCGGTACCCGCCTGTAGTAGGTCCTGATCGGTATCCACCAGGAAGTGGCGGCATTGCAGGGGACAGATACCCTCCTCCTAGGTATCCCACCAGATACCCGGACGATAGGTACCCTCCAGTACGACGACCTAGGCCTCCACCACCGTCGTACTACAACCGGTATCCAGATTATGATGATAAGTACAACGATGGATATGGACGAAGGCCACCCAGTGGTGCTTCTAGGTATCCGGGGAGATATCCGGAAGATAGGTACCAACTATTTCAAGCCCACTAAAACTATGTACATCTGACAACTTCCATTAGAATTTTAGCATTTCATATAGCCTAACGTACATTTTCCAGGTTATCATTTCAACCTTTTCTGTATCAAACAAATATTTCATTTTCGATGAAAAGCTGTTCTAACTAGTATGATGTCGAACAGGTACCCAGATCGCAGAGACCCGTCCTACCCTCCATCAGGAGGAGGGGATCGGTACTACCCCTCTGGAGGTGGAAGGTACGGCAGCAGATACGGGAACAGGTACGACGATTACTATGACAGGAATGGGGGAAGACATGGGATGTACGATGATAGATATCCAGGTGATCGGTACGGGAATAGGTACGACGATGAACAATTTGGAAGCAGGTACGGAGGATACAATGGAAGATATGGAAGCAGGTTTGGAGATAGGTGAATAAAAAATTTAATCTATTCAATACGATCAGCTGAACGTGAATCGCTGTTAAATTTGGATGTCAAACACTGTATCCGCATGATGAGGTTAAAATACTTGGAGTAGTAATCAATTTCAAGCTCAAATTCACCAGTCATGACAAAAACTTTTTAAAGAAAACCAAAATGGAGACTGAGATCACTATATGCTGATAAAGCCATTTAAAAAAAAATGTGTTCATCTTTGGCTATGCCAATTTTCAGTTACTGTGATATTTTATATTACCCGAGTCTGTTAATACTAGAAATCGGATTCAAATTGTGCAAAATAATTGTGCTAGGCGCCTGGAAGTCTTATAGAATTAAGCTGGTTGAAAACAAAAAATATTGTCAAACATTATCTTGTATTCATTCATAAATTAAAACTTATGGTCAGGACCATGTGCTTAAGAGGGTATAATATTCATTTTAGACATATTAGATTTCCAAATACGATAACTATACCTATTCACTTTTCAGCTTTATTTCAAGCCTTCTTTCATGTACAGTGCTGCAGTTTTATACAATGATTTGAGTCCTGAATTTATAAACATGTCCTTAAATTGCTGCTTAGATCCCTAGTTTAGATATGTTTCTCTTGTCTTGTTGTCGATTTTTTTCTTTGTATATAGAGGGTGTCCGCAAAGTTGGGGTTTTCCTTTACACGACGTGTAGATCTTGAAAACATAAGCATTTTTTCTTAGTACCATATACACCAATGTCTTGAGGGAACCGAGATAAAGGGCTCTGCAACATCAAAAATATCTGAATACCGTCCTGTAGCCGCGACATCACCGACTGGTACAAGGCCACTGGCTCAACCCGACGACAGAACTGGGTCGGGGTCAGTGTGTCAGGTCAGTATGCAACCTTCAACCGACGGTTACGGTCTCGCGTGTTGAGGTAATCGCGTAGACGAGAATCCCTCAACAAGCACTAGAGACGTGGCTAGAGAAGTGCAAGTATCAAAAACTAAAGTGTGGCAAACTCTGCGTGAAGAGGGGCTGTATCCGTTTGACGTCCAACGTGTACAAGCCCTTCAACCTGATTTTCCAGCAAGAGTGCGGTTTTGTGAGTGGTTGTTGCATCAACATGACAATAATCCGGACTTTTTGAAGTGCATATTGGTAACGGACGAATCTACGTTCACGCGTAATGGGGTGAATAACTTTCGCAACACTCATGTTTGGTCAGTAGAAAATCCGCACGCTGTCCGTCGGGCACATTTTCAACAAACAATTTCGGTGAATGTTTGGGCTGGCATGGTGAACGGTATGCTAATTGGACCATTTATTCTCCCAAATCGATTGGACGGGATGCAATACCTAGACTTTGTACGCAACATTTTGCCTTCCTTGTTAGAAGATGTGCCATTAAGTGTAAGACAATCAATGTGGTTTCTGCGTCTGCTCGGTAGCGCATCAGCTGATTTCATTTTCTGTTGGAGCGGTATGATTTCGGGCAGAGACGTACTTAGCCCTTCTCGTCAACTGGAGAGTGAGTACTTTTTCCTTTATTTTTTTTACTTGGTCGCCCTCGTTTCACTACACATTAACTTTGTTATTTCAAGGGTAGTTGTTTCTGAAAAGGAAAACCCCAACTTTGCGGACACCCTGTAAACGTTCCATTAGCAACAAATAGCTTAACAGGTATAACAATAGATACAGTTCACCCAGGATATAATCTGTGTTGATGAAAAGAATGCGGAAAAAAATTCGGGTTGTTATTTGGTTGTTGCCAGGTCTAATCTTCCGAATTGCTGTTTATGTTGTTAGTTTCCGTTTTAAATTATAAATGAACTGTAGATTTGGCAAACCCTAACGGGCAACATTTTGAACACTTGAAATAACGCTTGATTTTAAAAAATCAAGCGTCAAAATAAAGGACTTTGAAAGACCTTTCAAACGAACTATTACTCAATACCCCTTGTCATTTGAAATTTTTAAGGGGATGACCCTGGGGGGCAGAGGATGAAAGGGGCTGGAGTAGTTTTTTGTTAAAAAGTTGTGCCCCTGGACAAATCTTTTGACGTATCTCGGCGTTTTTTGAATAGTAAACCTTTGTACAACATTTATTTTTGTTGTTTTTGACATCTGCTACGTAACAACTTTTGGTTTTTTGCATGGGCGGTTAGGTTTAAGAGTAGCGTGTTGCCACCATTTGAAAATCTTTTTTTTTTCTGCATGGAACTTTACATTTTAAATATAGACGATTATTATTAAGTATTTTGAACATTGAATGTCTTTTGAAACCTTTTTGACTCATAGATACGGTGGTACCCGTTACAACGATCGCTATAATAACCGCTTCGACTATTACGGCGATGAACGAAACGGAGGCAACAGATGGTTCTTCCGTCCGGACCGTCGACCTGCGGGCCGACCAGTGGACCGACCTCCCGTGGACCGACCTCCGTTGGATCGACCTCCTTACGACCGACCGCCGCCCTACGACCGACCTCATGCGCCCAACAGGAGGCCCATATCGCCGGGACCCGATGGGCCAATCTACGATGCGCCTGTGGGACCTGTCGGTGTGCATAGGCCGGCTTTGACGAGGTAAGTTGATCCTGGATCATTACTTTAACATTTTCCTGCAGGTTGGACTTTCAGATACCAACTTGACGTTTCTTGGGAGACAGTTTGTCAAAGTTGTGTTATACGGTTGTTATCGTTACTACTACCATTTTTTTTTTTATAAAAGTCAAAAGTTTATTTTTTCCATTTTTGAGTGTTTTGAAATGGAATTTAGCAATGATGAGTACGCTGGTATTATTGATTTGGTTTTGTGGTCAGATGAATCGCTTTTTACGAGGAGTGGAATTTTTAATTCTCATAATAAACATATTTGGTCGTTAGAAAATTCCCGTTCTGAAAGAATCCACTCGTTTCAACACACATTTTCTGGAAATGTCTGGTGCGGCATTTTCAATGGTCAACTGTTAATGCACGTATTGCCACAGCGTTTAAATGCAAACTCATACCTAGCTTCTCTAGAGAATTACATAGAAAATGTGTTAGACGATGTACGAATGTGGTGTCAGCATGACAGTGCCCCACCGCATGTTCGTCGTGACATAGCCGCATGGTTAAATAATTATTTTAGACAACAACGGGTTAGCAGAAACATTGGCCTGCAAGGTCTGATGATTCAAACTCCCGGGATTTCTTTTTGTGGGGCGGTCTTAACCAACTAGTGCATGCTGAACAAATTAATACTGTTGATCAGTTACAACAAAGAATAGATAATGCGTTTTAACAAATTTTGCGAAAATACGTTTTTCTTTATGAAAAAGATGCCGCACCTGTATCCGTCAGAATGGTGGTCTTTTTGAACATGTATTGAAATAAAGCACTGATTATCTAATTTGTTTTTTCATTTTTACGAAAATAATGCACTCTAGAAAAAAAACACAATAGTACTATTTTTATTTGGAAAAATAGTACCACTGATTTTAAGTAAATACTTTTGAATGTGGACAATACTTACGTAAATCCACATACCAAATTTTAGTTCATTCCAGGTGACGGTTTTGTTGATATTAAAAAAAATTATTTGTAAACTTCAACACCCTGTATCTTTTTAATGATACCTGTACACCACTATACACTATATATGTTGACTGTTCAAAGCTTTCTTATTGAGGAAACAAAGTTCAATGTACCTCAATTCGTTATGCAAGTGAAGTGAGACATTCCAAACAGAGCAGATGCTGCCAAATCAGTGGATGACTGGATCACTTCAGAGTTCAAAAAGCTGAGATGACCTTGATCAGAACATAACCTAAACATAACCCATCAATGATTATTTTTAACTATACTGTGAGGCATTGTGAATTAATTTTTTTATCCACTGCTAAGGTCTGTCATCTAGTTTGAATTAGGTGGATCTCGCACAGCAACAAAATAGATTTAACCTAAATCTTTTGTCGATTTTAAGAAGAAAATTTCATATGAACGTATGTCTTAAAAGTTTCAACCCTTTGAGATACAGAGTGGTAAATTTTACAAAAAATAATTATTTATTTATTAACATCTGTAAAAAATCGTTTAGATACTTGAATGACATTCGGCATTCATGTGCTATGTATCAAGAGGCATTTTTTAATATACTCAATTTTTTTTATTTCCACCATTGGCATTCGTACGGAATTTCACCTGCTAATTTAGACAGTCGTTGATGGTACGCCCCTGATTTCTCTCCTAAAAAGTTGAACAAATCAAATCTGCTCATAAATTGTTATAGATTTCAGCTTTTTTATTTTAAGGAAAGTTAGTTGCGTGAAGATTTAACCACGCTGTATCTCATGTGCTAAGAGGTTTAGGAAATACGTTCATATGAAGTTTTCTTCTTGAAATGGAGCCAAAAATAAGATCATGAAACAGTACATTTGAAATCATACAAATCTATTAAAAAACATTGACAATATTTTTAGAGCACGCGTTTCCCAAAATAATAGGGCTCTGGAATACCCTCCCACTTTCATTTCTTTTGTATTATTCTAAAAAAAAGGTCGCTGCAAAGCACTAATAGTACATACTATCTTCTGGATTAAACTACGAGTAGTCAATATACTTTGAGATAGCAGCCAAATACCATATTAATAGCTTACGGAAAATATATTCATATGCATGCTTCTCAGATGTGGAGAAGAAGCAGATAACTTCAGACAAGTGGGCTTTCGTCAGAGAATGCGAAAGGAGTTCATCAAGCATTCTCTATACACACCAACGTTAAGAGACTGTGAACGAGAGTGTGTGGAAGCGAGAGATTTCATCTGCAGGTCCTTCAATTACAAGTAAGCTTTAAAGGTCATATATGCAAGAATAGTTCTCAGAACTGCCTTTTTCTGACAAGGTTAAAAGGTACGCTTGTCCGCTAGTCTGCAGTGCTTGTTTAAGATAAAATTTCGATTGATCAGGTAGGAGATTTAGCTACATGGGGGCGCAAAATTCTCAATTAATGTGAAAAGAGATATTTTATCCTTTCGTCAGGGCGCACAAAGCTCTGAAGCCGGTCCTGGCTATGGAAACTATTGCACTAAAATTTATAGAGAACAGCGTAATTGTGCAGCACTATAAGAATTGAAAGATTTTCAATACAAGCGGCTTTGTATTTTCCCAGGTAAGGTGTTTTGGAAAAGGTCGCCAAATTTGAACAAGGAGTTCAAAGGTAACCTTGGATTCGACATTGAACCACACCTTCGACGTCATGTCAAGGTCAAATTTTGTTTTTGAATGCAAAGCCTCTTTTTTGAACAAGGAGTTCAACGGTAACCTTGGATTCGACATTGAACCACATGTCAAGGTCAACTTTTGTTTTTGAATGCAAAGCCTCCTTTTCATCGCAGGCAATCGACAGAGTGGAAAATTCTACGTCTATCGAAATCTGAAATCACGATCACCTTTAAAGTCCAAGAGAACGTCAAATGAGTAAGACTAGGGAAATTCCGAGAAGTGTAGCAATATTTTTGAAGAAAAAACTATTCGACTTTAGAAGCATTTAACAAGGAATCTAATGGTGACCTTGGATACAGCCTTAGTCCTCACTTTCAAAGTAATTTCAAGGTCAACTCTTTTTTAATTGGGTATCACCCTCTTTGACACCGTAAGTGGACAATTTTACGTGCTACCATGACCTTAAATGCGAGGCTCGAGGTTAGCTCCAACGTCAATATTGAAATCCTTATTGAAAGTAATTGAGATGAGAGTTTGGCCATGGCTTATTGTCAACAATCCTGCTAAATTTCAAGGAATTTTTCCTAGCCTGCAACTTTTGACATTCATTTGACCTTTAGAGGTGAACTTGGTCTTAGATTTTAATACACTTTCTATCGACCACCATTAGGCCCGGATCTCGACCTTTTACAAAAATACCTTATCAGAAAAAAAACAGCTGTTTCGTACACCCAATATGTAAAGGTTTATGTTGTGATATTTCCTATTATCGCAGGGATACGCCACCAGGAGGTTACGATGCAGATAGGGACAACTGCGAACTGAGTGATCGCGATTCCAGAGACTTCGACATAAGCAACCTTCAGTACTTCGATAACACGGGGAATTACGATTTCTATGAGCGATCAAATAGTAGAGATGGGCTAGAAGATGAATGCTTAGACGGTAAATGTATATTATGTTACTAGAGCTTGTATTGCACATTGATCTTTTACAATAAACCAATTTAATTTATTTCTATTTGTATTATTGTTGCACATTAGTTAGTGACCTTGGGAACGAAGCACACTATTTTGTGAACATTTCACTCGTACGAGCTTCCTTATTTCCTTCTTCTTCTTCTTCTTCAAGTGTCTCCGATATTGTCAAATCTTTCAAAAAATTTACCTATTGATACCTGCAATACGCCCTTTCCTTTGCATATGATAAGTTGTAATATATGTTTGATATGTTACTGCTAAAGTGGCAAGAGAAAATATGCAAAACGAATCAATAGATGCATGAAGGCTACAACACTTTGGAAAGTAAATCCTGAGGGTGTTTGCCCTAGATGCAGGGAGACAAAAAGAAAATAACATATGAAAATAAACAAGAAAAGCGAATTTTCTTTTTAAAACCTCCTCATTCAAAAGCCGAGCATCAATTATAAAAAGTAATGAAATAAAAAATCAGAGGAATAGTACCAAAAAACTATACTTCTCCAATTCAAAAGCTCACATTAGTACACCTTGCGCACCTATGACCATGTCACAAACTGCACAGACATACTGAAAACAAACATAGACATAGAGAGACATCCGAAAACCGGACTGTAAAGGGAATATACACATGGCGCTACCACCAAAATTTCAAGTTTAAGATACATGGTATGTATATTACATGTCAACGCCTCATTCACCATAATTTGAATTACATACATAGTATGTTAGCGCATTCACCATTTTTTAGGAGCGATAGCCGCATCTCTTGCATTTAATTCAATACTTCATTTTGACTGTAGGATTTGACTGATCCATCCTAATAATCGCCGAACATTTATCATGAAATTGCATAGAATTGCATACATCCGTGCGGTTTTTGCAGATATGTAGACAACCAGTGTAGCAGTAGAACATGACGCTTATAAAATCCCTGTTGCCGATACGACAATAAGAATTTCATACTTTTCGCGCCAATACCACGTATAACAAAATAAAATTAACAAAGTAATTCAATTTCCGTTAGCAATTTAAAAGCCATTAACATAACATTCTAGAAATTGTTAGCTTTACATAATGTACAAAATGATTGTTGGACATGCAAAAAATCGCACCCATGCTTTTGCAAATCGTTAAACACATTACATTACTTTTACTTCCCACGCTGCAGACGTCGAAATTTCCACATTTTTTCACGACATTGATTTTTACTGATTTAATCAGATCTACCTGTTCGGTCGGTAGTTTTATTTACATCAGCACTTGTTCGCAACGGCATATCATCAAAGACCACCCGTCATTATGATAATACACGAACGTGGCTCTATTCCTCTATATAGTAAAATGATTTTAAGGATGGTTAGATGTCATTATTTTGAAGTAACACTTCTGATTCAATCTCCCTCACCGTAACAAGTCTGGTTACCCCAGAACTGCATCCTTATTAAGGACATAGACAAATAGCCTAGAATGCAACACTATTACGACTTGGTAACCCTCCTTTCATCCCCATAGTGAGCCCGGTCTGCAACGAAGACACCCCGCTATACGTACCAAAGTGGCTTCATTCTTTAACCATACCTAATTATTTTGTATCTTCAAGTGTTCCGCTATAACACTAACTTAATCCTTTCTATCCCAGTGAAACAAATATGCAACGCAGTCAGCATGGGGCTCGCTCTTATGGACCCGCACCTGTCCTCCGCTGCTTCTTCCACTGACATAGAATAGTACCCCCATATAATACAACCTAGAATGCTACAGTATTACGGCATGTTAACCTCATCCTCGTTTTCTCACCATAGTGAGCCAATTTTGCATCGAAGACACTGTGGAGTTTGCCTTTGGAAACCCGGAATCATTCTAGATTTTATTCAGATCCAAAACTGTTTACTCGTATTATACATTCTTGATAGACATTGTTTATATTTTATTTCATACACACTAAATTGTGACAGGTGTCGACTTCGTGTGGTAAATATGTGCGAAAGTGATAGGGTGTATATGTGATGTGTGTTTATATTCTATTACTCTTAGTTATCATCCACTGAGTATCCCTATAATAGCAAAGTCGTCTTGGTTTGAGTTTGCTTTACTTCATATTCTCGTGGTAATCCACAAAATACTGTGATCTTTGATCCTTATGTACTGGGTTTGCTCAAAATCAATATCTGCGATGGATAAACTTATATTTATAACTCTGATCTGGTAAGGATCTTCGTCCAGCATTTCCCAAAAACCTTTGCCTGGTAGGGAACGAGGAAACTGCCCTGCTCTTATGTAAGCTCCTTTCAATAGGATTTCCAATTCGTTTAACCGTGTTTTACTGATTCTTGATAGCAGAGGAATAGTTCCGTAATCCAGGATTGGTATTATGCAAGCAGTAATGATTTTAAGTTCGGTGGAATTATTCTACATACGGCTTTTACGACGACGGTGCCCCAATATAATTCACTCTAATACTTTGACGGCCTTTTAACATGATCCTCTTTTTTCACCGTCAACGAAGTGAGCCCAGTCTGCAATCAAGACACCATGGAGTACCGGCTTCATTGGTAGTAGTACAGAACATTAGCTTTCCCATTATTCCCACGTTTTGCAATCGGAGATTTTCCTTCACTCTGGTTGAGCCTACTACTATCAAAACTGTTATGAATGGCCTTGAGTCAAATGCAAAGGGTATTGACGGTATATCTCTTTTTATGATTAAGCTATCTCTCCCTATTGTACCAGCTTACTTGACCCATATTATCAATCTGTGTCTCGAGAAGGGCTACTTTCCTAAATCTTGGAGACGAGCAATAGTAAAGCCAATACCTAAGGTCAGGAAGCCCACCGATTTCTCGGATCTTAGGCCCATCAGTCTTTTGAGTGTTTTGTCAAAGAGCTTGGAGAAAATCATTTATTTGCAAATCTTAGATTTTTTAGAGTCAAGTGACATACTCCCAGTACATCAGTCTGGGTTTAGAAAATCATACAGTACTACAACTGCTCTTCTTAATTTAGTGGACAACATCATCAGGGCCCTTGATAAAAAAATGTGTGTCGCCTTAGTTTCACTGGATTTCTTCAAGGCGTTTGATAGAATTGATCACGCACTGATGTGTGCTAAGCTAAAATTTTATGGTTTTGATAAAATAGCACTGCAGTTTTTTAAATCATACCTAACCCACCGTTCTCAGCGCGTCTCACTTTCTGGAGTTTTGTCAAATGAGCACTTTATCACTTCGGGTGTGCCTCAGGGCTCAATTTTAGGACCCTTGTTATTTTTAATTTATGTAACCGATATTTCTAAGTTCATTCAAAATTCACAGCTACAGTCTTATGCGGATGACACTCAACTGCTTTACTTCTTTTATCCTGAGAACCTTCAGACTGCTACTATGGAAATTAACGAGAACATTGACTCTATCTCTCTAATCTAGTTTATCATCCTTGTTTGGATGTTGCAAGTCGTAATAGAATATCTGTAGTACAAAATAAGCGCGTACGATTCATATTTATTTTAAGAAAATTTGATCATGTTTCGGATCGTTATCCTTTAATAGGTTGGTTAAAGATGACAGATTTAGTTAAATACAACTATCTAACCTGTATACATAAGTTACTTGTCTCTGGAACTCCAATTTATTTACGTGAAAAACTAATTTTTAGGTGTAATGTTCATCAACGACATATCGGTAACACAATCGCTTTAACAATGCCACTTCATAGTTCATCTGTTTTTAAAAGGTCCTTCTCATATAATGCATGCATGTTGTACAATAGTTTAGATTACAGAACAAAAAGCCTGCCGCTGTATAGTTTTAAAAAACACTTAAAAGCTCTTCTGCTCAATGGTGCTTCTTAAAGGTGTTTTCTCCAGCATTATATTTTTAAGCTAATTTTTATTTAGGTTATGATCAGTTACATGGGCATTTTCCTCCTTTTATTTTCTTTACAGCTGTACTTTTTTACCATCCATTATTCTTATGCAGTAAATGGTTAAGTGTAAGAATAGCTGCCATAGCTAAACTACGCCATTAAGCTGCTCACTAATCTAATTATAGATAATAATATATGCATTATCTGTAATTTGTTTTTTCTAATAAAAGACGGTTTATTATTATTATTATTATATTATTATAGAACATTTTAATCTTTCTGTCCCCAGTGAGCCAAGTCTGCAACGAAGACGGGATGGAGTTCACTCTGGTCACCCCAGATCCATTCTACGGGCGGATATACACGTACGGTTTCTACGACCGCTGCTTCTTCCGAGGCAATGGCGGTACCGTGAACGTCCTCCGCATCAGCGGTGCCGGCGGATACCCGGAATGTGGTACGCAAAGGTACGGCGATACCATGACCAACATCGCGGTGGTGCAGTTCGCTGATAATGTGCAGACTGGCAGAGACAAGCGATTCAATTTGACCTGTTTGTTCAGAGGACCTGGAGAGGCTGTTGTTACATCTGGATTCATAGGAGCTGGGTAAGTACACATCAAGGTCAGATAACTTGGATGTTACCAGGGGGTCAGTCGGCCTATAGCTCTGCTTTCTGTTATAAGCAAGGTGATGGAGAGGTGCATAAATCGCGAGCTTCTGGACTACCTCGAAAGTCACAGCTTGATTAGCGACAGGCAGTATGGTTTACGGCACCAACGATCCACAGGGGACCTCCTAGCTTACGTCACGCAATTGGGGAGTAAACTCATCCAGACTTATGATGATGCTCATGTCGTTGCTCTTAACGTCACTAATGCGTTCGATCAGCTGTGGCACGCTGGCCTCTTAAGCAAACTTCCATCATATGGCCTCCCAGAAAAGCTTTGCAGATGGGTGGCTGACTTTATCTCTGGCCGCCAGATATCCGTCGTAATTGACGGGTTCTCCTCTTCATCCCACAACTTCAACGCGGGTGTTCCCCAGGGATCGGTCTTCGCTGCGACACTGTTTCTCTTACATATCAACGACCTCCTTTCCTGCACGATCAACCCAATCCACAGCTTCGCTGATGACAGCACTCTACATGCAGGAATTCAGAGTGATAAGCCGATCTCTGCCGCTGAGCTGAAAAAAAGAAGACTAGCGACTACTGTACTTTGACGAACAAAAAGCGTCCTAGCGCTCATCCGGATTCGATGGATGGGCGAGTTCTGCCAAAGAGCCATTCATTTCGGCTGGTCGGAGTCCAGATCACCGAGGACCTGATCTGGCACGAACACATCTCGTCAATAGCTGCAGCTGCTGGGAAAAAGCTAGGCTATTTGTTTAGGGCTAAGAAGTAATTTTCTGCGCATGTCCTTCTCACTCTACAGACAGTCTCGGGACTCTTTCGCACCGGCGGGCCGTCGGCGATCTAGCTCTTTTCTGCCGCTACACCAACGGGCTTTGCTCCTCAGAGCTCTCTGCCATGATGCCGCCGCGCGATGTGCCTGCCAGACAGACCCGCTTGACTTTGGCGTCCCATCCTAACCGTGTCGAACTTCAGACATCCAGAACTGGCTGATAGGACCGCTCCTTTGTGCCGAGGGTGTCGGGATTGTGGAACAATATACGAGAGGAAGCATTTCCCAGTTCTACTAACCTTAGGCAGTTCAAAAATCGTATTAACTACATTTCTTTGGGATCATCATAGCTGCCGCGGTGTACCGGCATTTAGGCTTCTGCCTGCGCGGCTGCTTCGATATAAAAACTAAGTTCAGAGGAGAATAACCGAAAGAAGGTGGTCGTGGTTCAGTTACCTTTCGGGGAAATGTATTCTTGAATACTGATAGAATAGTCGGTCGGGGAAATATTTTCCCCCCGTCCACATAAAAAAATATATGTATCAGGGCGACATCGGTGAGGGGACCCTGAACCAGTGATGCCAGCTTGAGCGGTTTTCTCCCAAATTTTGGGAAAAAGTTCAAAAAGGGGATTTTATAGGGATAATTTTTTAGGGTATTTTAGAAAGTAAAAAAATAATCTTTTAACTCAGAATTTTCCTGCCTAATCTGATTTCACGAACAAGATATGCCTCCGTTGTTTACAGCTGATTAATTTATAACTTTAGAATAGTTGTATAAGTATATGAATGATACTTAAAACATCGAGAAAAAATGCCGAAAATTCATAAAAGCGTTAATTATATACTAAGTGACATATAAATCCGAACACCCAGTTTAAATGGTTTAAATTTATTTTAATAAAATTTTGTATAAGTACTTAATGAAGCATAATAAGTAAATGATAAAAATTTCAAAATGTTTGCACTGCTTTAAAGCCCTTTGACCTTTAATAATGTGTGGATGCACCCTGATGTGCTACGCATTCTCCAACGCGCCTAGGCATGCTTCTGATCAGGTGGTCAATGTCCTCCTGTGGTATCTCATTCTAGGCAACCACCAACTCCTCTCGAAGTGCTTCTAGAGTATGAGGAGGACGTTGCAAATTGAGCAATCTCCTACCCATCTTATCCCACACGTGCTCAATTGGGGACAAGTCGGGAGATCCTGGTGGCCATGGTAACAATGTGACATAATTATGTTGAAAGAAGTCTATTGTGACTCTTGCAACATGTGGTCGGGCATTATCTTGTTGGAAAGTTGGATCTGCCAGGGTGTCAAGATAGGGTAAAAGATGGGGTTCTAGAACTTCGTGGATATAACGCTGCGCGTTCATGTAACCTCTGATGAAGATTAAAGGTGACCTGGAACCATAAGCTATAGCACCCCAAACCATAACTCCAACAGTGTGATGAACATGTCTTTCAACAAAAAACTGTGGATTCCTCGTTTCACCACGTCGCCTTCTAACCCTGGCACGACCATCGTGCATGCCTAAACAAAATCGAGACTCGTCTAAAGACAATACTGTTCCATTCTTGATCCCAGAGTGACCGTTGTCTGTACCACTCAAGGCGATTACGTCGGTGTTCTCGAGTGTGGCCGGTATGAAAACAAGCCAAAACTTCTCATTCGTCGGTAAACACTTCGCATGCCAATAGGTCTTCCGTGTTTTGCAAACCATTCATTTGCAATGGACCTGGTAGTGGAGAAACGGTCCCTTAAGGCCAATAATCTTAGGCGGCGATCTTCACGGTCTGTTGTTCTTCGGCGGCGTCCAGTGCCCCTTGCTCTTTGCGTACGGCCTTCTCGAAGCCATGCCTGACAGCACCTAACCATAGTGTCTACACTTCTTTGCACTCTAACTGCAATTGCCCGAAAAGAAAGTCCAGCTTCCCGAAGTCCCTCTATACGGCCCCTATCAAACTCACTAAGTTGACGAAATCGTACAGGTCTCCGTACTCTAGGCATCGTAACCGATCGTAAAGGATGTCAAGAACCAAAATCCGCCAACGTTGATTCTTTACTGCGGCTGAAATATTCATTTTTAGTTAGTGAATTAAAAAAAAGCAGTATAAAAACCGGAATGTCCAACTGATAAGGCTGAAAATTTTTTCACTTGTTATTTACAGTAAGATAAATACATTCACCAACTTTTATTAAAATAAAACCATTTAAACTGGGTGTTCGGATTTATATGTCACTTAGTATACTTAAAAGTACACAAAAAAGTGGACAGAGAAGGCAAGTTGAACAGTTAGCAATATTTATCATTGTTTAAGGAAATTATAAAGAAATTTTTTATTGTTTATTTGATTAAGCAACAAAATATGTTTTGAAACTTTTCTACTTCCTGACCAATATCACGAGGAATAATGATTTTATTATTGTAAACTATTCCAGTTCCGGAAGTCCGATCCCGATCGAGTACCTTCCAGCCGAGAACACCCTCAGTTCGAAGGTACGACTGCTGATCCTGTACCAAGGAAGACCAACAACCACTATTGCAGTCGGGGATCCTTTGACGTTCAGATTGGAAGCCCAAGATGGCTACAATTACGCCACTGATATTTTCGCTACCAATGTCGTAGCCAGGGACCCTTACTCGGGAAGATCGGTGCAACTCATCGACAAATATGGGTAAGTCTCAAGGAAGAATCGAAAAGAAAAAACCAGAAGAAACGAGTTGAAACGGCGAAAAAATAGCATAGGGGCAACAGCCAGGCTCACGCAGAAAATACACTTGCTTAACAATTAAAAAACAAAGGTTTACAATAACAATACTCATAAAACGCATTGGGATTTTATCAATGGACGTTTGTAAAATATTTAGAAACTTTGACAGCATTAAAAATTTGGTTTTTTATATTGTTTTTCGGGGCCGAATATTGCGTATTATGCACTTTTTCAAATATTACATCTCTTATACCTTAACGATTAATTTTAGAGCATGGTTCTTAAGAACTTATTTTGTTTAGAAAAACCTGAAAAAAACTTTGCCATGAACGAAAAAAGTACTACTGGCAATTTTTTTAAAAATGTTAAAATAGTTTTCCACACAATTTTTGTTCAAAATTACGCACAAAAAGTAATCGCAATATTTTTGCGAGCGGATGCGGATATGCTTCTTGGACTAGATGTTTTCTTTGTATTTGTGTACATAGGGTAGTTATTTGAATTTCACATGATACGAGTTGAAATCATTGTATGGTGTAACTGAAGTCACTTGAAATAGCATAAAAACCTTTGGTCGGCGCGTCCTTTGTAATTTCATGACGTATCATAGGCGTGCGGCATTTATTTAGAACGATAATAATAATGTTTTTATATCACAATAAATGGATTTTACTATCTTCTTATTTTTTTGATTTGGGATAAAAAATACTTATATTGGGAGTTTAATTTATGTTGACTGAAAGTTAAGAAATGGAGTCGCTGTCGCTAGAGTCATCTTGTAGAGGAATTACAACGAGATTTACAGGAGGCAAAACACAATATTCATTTTCTTTTTCAAAAATATGCCTAGAACACTGCTTCCATAGGTCTGTGGCAGCAATATGAGATACTGCATCTCTTATTGTGGCCAATAGCGATTCACTTAAATGAGGGGTCTGATTATGTTTTCTTACTTTTTTTTTTAAAGCAGCCCAGACCAACTCAATCGGGTTAAAAATGCAGTAATAGGGAGGTAGACGTAATACTTCATGGCCATTTTGCTGAAGCAGATTGTCAACAACATACTCTTTTTCAAATTTTTCTCTTTTAATAAGATCCAATAATATGGCTTTGGTTGATTTTTGTGGTATTTCCATTCCCTTATCCTTCATAAAATCAATAATGTCTTGTTTTTTTGTGCCTGTATTCGGAATTTTGTTTTTCTGTCGGGAATGGTATGACGCATTGTCTATAATAATCACTGAATTTGGGGAAATGTTTGGTATTAACTGCTGCTCTATCCACTTTTCAAATAAGTCGGAGGTCATGTCCTCATGATAGTCGGCACATGATTCTTTGATACTTTTGGCAGATAACAGCAAGGCATTAGGTATAAATCCATTTTCACTGCCAGCATGGAGAATAATGATTCGTTTTCCACGGTTGCATGGTGCATTTAAAATGCACTTGTTGCTGTCGTCAACCCAGCCGTACTGCACAACATCATGGGTATCATACTACGTTTCATCCAGGTAAATCAGATTTCTTTTCTGCTCTCTATAGATTTTAACTTGCAAAAATTCTTGGCGCAATTCAACGATTCGAGACGACTCCATAATCACCATTCTTTTATCTAATTTTTTGTATTGAAAACCACACAGCTTTACAATACAGTGCAGTGAGTCTAAGCATTTGTAATTACAAAAATCTTCAGGGTAATCTTTTAATTTATCCCGTATCATTTCCAACGTGGGCACCAAATTTTCTTTATAAAATCCGTATATTATACGACGAATATCTTCCTGAAAACCCACGTCTATTCTTTTTAATTTTTGCCCTATGCGCTTTCTGTGGAAGGAATGGTTGACTACATCTCCCCTTTTTATAACCCGATAAATGGTAGACCGACTGATTTTTGTCAGGATACAAATTCTGTTTAAAATTTGATTTTGCGAGGAATCTGGATTTTCGTTTTTCAGACAATCATACATATTTAGGATTACTCTTTGGGTCTGTTCCTCTAAATCTTTATGAAAGAATTCTGCCTGCACAGGTTCATCAACCATCTCCTCGTGGCTTGGAGCATTTTCCCAAGGTCTCCAAAGAGCCATATTTAGGACACACAAGAACAATCAACACAACAATTAAATCAACAAGTAAACTGAGTATTCAAAAGTCAAAAACACACAAACTAATAAAATCTATGAAAAAACACGGACAGACTAAAGAAAACACGTTTATTGACCGCTACACAGCACTGGCTAAACTGTTTCAATTTTCAGTAGCCACCTGCACTTGTTCCGAGCTCTGAAATACACGCTTTCTCATTGGCTATGTCCACGCATAGGCGTGCTTTATTCCACGTGGACCGGTGAAACTGCCTTCTCTTATACGGGGGATATTTGCTGCGAAATTTGGCGATTTTTCGAGCAACAGAGCGTGTTAAATATAGATATATAAAACGCACCCGGTATTTCACAGTGTTTCAAGTGACTTCAGATAAAGTATACACTTACTTCTATTAGTATGCAAAAAGTGTCAGTGTTATTGAAATTTAGTAACTTTATATGGCGAAAGATCAATTTGATAGAATTATTAAATTATTCCAGATGTCCTGTAGATCCATTTGTATTTCCTGAATTGGACAAGGGTCGCAACGGAGACACACTAGAAGCTCGATTCAATGCCTTCAAAATACCCGAATCCAACTTCCTCGTATTTGAAGCGACCGTGAGAACCTGCAAGGACGGATGTCAACCAGCATACTGTCCCTCAGGTAAAAAGATGGTCTTCATCACATAGAGAAAAAATTAAGTGTCGTTTAAAGACACTCTTAGCCCCAGAGAATGCACCATATCCCTATTTCACAAGTATCCGTCACGGTAGAATGACAGCTAGTTATCTAATAATGCTTCAAAATTCCCCATATTGGCACAGGACACATAGTTCTGACGGATCCGTCAACGCCAAGTAGACAGAGCCGTATTTTGTTTTTTTGTACGCCACAGATTCATTTTGTACTTGCTAACAGCTCTTTTATTTAGAAAAGTTCATTTGCCTACAAAACACAAAACGCCACAAACAAGTTTTACTAGATTTATACCCGATTCATTATTCCCAACGTTGCAGACTAACACAAAAATGTCACTTGCTGATCAGGTGTAATCACCTCAGTGGCCGTCAAAGCGTGACGAATGCTCGTGAATTAGGGTATATGTGCTAGGTCTCCTAGATTATAGAGTTCATCTACTCATCCATATTTATGTAGTATGTTAGTTATTCCCAACTTCGTCACCACTATCTTCAAAACAACTTAAATTTAGCCATTTCTTTGAAGCTATTAAAGAACTTCAATCACTTAGAAGAAACTATGATACTTATCCTACAAGTTCAAAAGCCCAAAAAGCCCTTGAAATTATAAATTCCATTAATTTTTCTTTTTGAATTACCTTAAGGCACTGGGAGGTCGGAACCCTCGTTCGGAAGAAGACGCAGAGATGTGAACGCTACCTTAGCTGCAGAGGCGAACGATACAAGCGTTGAAGAAGAAGATACTTTGAACGAGATTGACAAGAACGAAACCACAGACTCGACCACCAAAGTGAGCTTCCCAAAGACCACACCGAAAAGCACAACTGCTTTAGGCAGCAAGAAGACTACACCTAAAGCAAGGGAAAAGAAATTACAAGATGAAGATGAAGAGGTAATCGACAAACCAAAGCTTAAGTGACGCTACACTTGCCATCTTCATATTAAAAATTTTGTGTTTGGTTGGTAGCGATGAATTCCATCGTTGTTTGAAAATGTTCATATCTCTCGAAAGAAACCATCAACGTTTTAAGAAGAGTTTAATGATATTGTATTTGCTTGAAATTATCATAAAATTATTATCTTTTTGAGTGGGCAAAGCTCAGAAGAAGTATAAAAGACTACGGACTCCACTTTTCATCAAAAGATTAACCTGCACCCGTATTACGTACCTTAAAAATTTCACCCATGTGCACTTGTAGTAGCTTTACGTGTTGCCTAATTCTCATGACACTTGAGCTATAAGTGCTAAGTGACATATAAATCCGAACACCAGTTTAAATGGTTTTATTTTAATAAAAGTTGGTGAATGTATTTATCTTACTGTAAATAACAAGTGAAAAAATTTTCAGCTGGACATTTCGGTTTTTATACTGCTTTCTTTTAATTCACTAACGCTCTAAAAATGAATATTTCACCCGCAGTAAAGAATCAACTTCGGCGGATTTTGGTTCTTGACATCCTTTACGATCGGTTACGATGCCTAGAGTACGGAGACCTGTACGATTTCGTCAACTTAGTGAGTTTGATAGGGACCGTATAGTGGGACTTCGGGAAGCTGGACTTTCTTTTCGGGCAATTGCAGTTAGAGTGCAAAGAAGTGTAGACACTGTGGTTAGGTGTTGTCAGGCATGGTTTCGAGAAGGCCGTACGCAAACAGCAAGGGGCACTGGACGCCGCCGTAGAACAACGTGAAGATCGCCGCCTAAGATTATTGGCCTTAAGGGACCGTTTCTCCACTACCAGGTCCATTGCAAATGAATGGTTTGCAGAACACGGAAGACCTATTGGCATGCGAAGTGTTTACCGATGAATGAGAAGTTTTGGCTTGTTTTCATACCGGCCACACTGGGTCCTCCCTTTAACTCGAGAACACCGACGTAATCGCCTTGAGTGGTGCAGACAACGGTCACTCTGGGATCAGGAATGGAACAGTGTTGTCTTTAGTGACGAGTCTCGATTTTGTTTAGCCATGCACGATGGTCGTGCCAGGATTAGAAGGCGACGTGGTGAAAGGAGGAATCCACAGTTTTTTGTTGAAAGACATGTTCATCACACTGTTGGAGTTATGGTTTGGGGTGCTATAGCTTATGGTTCCAGGTCACCTTTAATCTTCACCAGAGGTAACATGAAGCGCAGCGTTATATCCACGAAGTTCTAGAACCCCATCTTTTACCCTATCTTGACACCCTGGCAGATCCAACTTTCAAACAAGATAATGCCCGACCACATGTTGCAAGAGTCACAATAGACTTCTTTCAACATAATCATGTCACATTGTTACCATGGCCACCAAGATCTCCCGACTTATCCCCAATTGAGCACGTGTGGGATATGATGGGTAGGAGATTGCTCAATTTGCAACGTCCTCCTCAGACTCTAGAAGCACTTCGAGAGGAGTTGGTGGTTGCCTGGAATGAGATACCACAGGAAGACATTGACCACCTGATCAGAAGCGTTGGAGAATGCGTAGCACATCAGGGTGCATCCACACATTATTAAAGGTCAAAGGGCTTTAAAGCAGTGCAATCATTTTGAAATTTTTATCATTTACTTATTATGCTTCATTAAGTACTTATACAAAATTTTATTAAAATAAAACCATTTAAACTGGGTGTTCGGATTTATATGTCACTTAGTATATATATATTTCGGATCTGATGTGATGTAACATCTGCTTCAGAGATGGGACTAGTTGGGGCCATTCATAGCTTCTACGGAATGACAATCATTGTGCCGTTCCTTCATAGGTGGCGCTCATGACGAGTAGGTGCGGAATGGGCTAGCAACTACTTAGTACACAAGATAACATTATACCGATTTTTAATGTCATAACATCGATTTTTTACGTAATACCCCTGCATTTTTTTTTCGTTCATTTAATAATGTTCAATTAACCGATTTTGCAGGACGAAGAAGAAGAAGAATTCGTTCGAGAAATGATCGAAGTCTTCGACTCTCGCGAAGAATTGCAGCAAGAGGCCAGACGTGCAGAATACCTCCCGGAAACAGTATGCATGAGCCCGGGTGCATATCACGGCATGGTGAGCGCTATCATGATCCTGATAGCAGTGCTGATAACGTGCGCCTTGCTAGCTGGGTTGGCGTATAGAAGGTATTGGTTGGTGATGAGGAAGAACCTGATCACGGACAGGTCCAGTTCAAATATGTCGTCTTCATACCCGAATACTAGAAGCAGCGGTGGGTCCATCTTCAGTAATAGTTTGCACAGGTAAGGCAATGCTTATATATGGTAAAAAATTGAATCCAAATTTGCACAAATATACAGGGTGGTGCATTTGGAATTTTTGAGAAAAACTACAATTAGCGTTTTTGACCACCCTGGATGAGCAAAAATGAAAATTCGAAAAAGTAACAAATAAGATAAAAGCTGAGGTGTGTAAGTTTTTTTTATACAAAATTCAGCACTCCAAATTTCAAAATGGCGGATAGAGAGGTTGCCGAAGTGGACGATTTTTCTGGACAAAACACCTTATACCTCAGTAGCTAATTACCAAAACCCCATAGTATGTTATATCAATCTTCTTATTTTGAATTGGTTTATCCAAATATGCAATAAAATTCGAGGCATTCCATTTGAAAAATCACAGCTTTAATATGTAGGTCAAAATTGGGACACCTTGTATAATTGAAAATATTTTAGAAATGTGCCCTCAAATGCCATGTATAACATGCTATAAATAGATTTTCTCAAAATGTATTTGTTTATGAGTAATATTCCGTCCACACATGGATGGGCCACCCTGTATAGTATGGTCAAAGTGTACATAAAACTCAGATTTACTGTCACAATTACCTCATACTCTTTTTTGGGATCTCTTTGATGTGTCCATTATTCCTTCGATTTTTTTAAGGGGAACGTAAACGGAACTTGACGGTTAGGATTAACGCATCACGTTTTGCAATTATTTCGCTTGATTGTTCGACGTCTGTTGTTTTGCTTCATCAGAAGATCAATTAGCAAATCATTGGGTGGTTTGCTTTCTCCATTCGTCTGTTTCTAGGACTACCAGACCTATACCGTACTGATGAGTTGCTAGTGAGCACGAAACAGCGATGTCTGCAGTGGATCACGGTTACAGAGACGGAAAGCAAACATGACCGTGACAATGATGTTTTTCACATTTCGCTATGCATTTTTAATACAGTCACTATGGGTCGCTTTTTACATACTTTAGTATAAAGGTTACAACCAACTGAACTTATACAGGGTTTGTCCGGAAAGTAATAGGACGTGTTTCTGTGAGTGGTGCAAGCCGAAAATGCAGCGTTCGTTAGAGCAGAGGTACGCGATTAAATTCTGTGTGAAACTCGGTAAATCCGCGACAGAGACGTTTGATATGATCAAGCAGGCTTACCCAGGTGTTGCTTTAGCAAGAAGTGGTGTGTTTCGGTGGCACCAGGCCTTTTGGAGTGCCGGGAAGACTTCAGACAGTCGACTAAGTATTCGTTTAATTGCCCAGATGTTAAATTTACCAATATCTGTGGTTCATGACATTGTGACACAGCATGTGAACATGCAAAAGGTGTGCGCGAATCTTCCGAGTGGCACACGATGGCGTCTCCTCGCCCAAGCAAATCCAAAGTGAAAACGATGCTCAGCGCTGCATCCACGCAGAAGGAGCCTATTTTGAAACTTGTAACGATTGACTCAATAATTTTATTTTAATCGACTCAGTCCTATTACTTTCCGGACAAACCCTGTATGACTGTCCAAAACTATCAATCACTGATTGATAATTTTTTGGACTTACGATTTTCTCAAAATCTTTTTCAGGCAATTCGGCGGGTTTGGTCGACCAACATTTCCTAAACCGATCTCCCCGGACCCAGAAGTGCCCATTTCGGCTCCGGGCGGGCCGTTCGAAGACCCGAGCGAGCCCATCTACACCGATCCGTCTTTGTTCGAACGATCACGGAGTCTGCGCAGTATAGCAGTCACTTCAAAAAGGAGACGATCGCCGTTCGAACAATAGGCCAATTTTTACATCAGAAATTGATCTTAATCTCGGTCTAGAAGCTCAGATCATGCATACGTTCCTCGGAATTTGAAATAAAAAGTTTTCATCAAGGCTTTTTCTCCTTTTGACAGCCTGAAGCATTCCGCAAAGCACAACGCGCACCAACGGAAAGGTCATGTTTAGTTTGATTTGTGTGACTCTTATAAATTTTCAAGTCATTTCTTGAAACCAATGAAGTAAATATGACCTTTTTTCTATAGTGTGTTGGGGTTTGGCAAAGGATACTTTTTATATCGCAAAATCCGAGTAACTATAGCATCATTTGAGACTAATTTTTCGATAAATGTTTGCATTCGATTCAATATCCGTGTCAAGTTAGCACCCTTGGTTTGAAGTTGATTACTGTTATGTTGTTAAAGGATCCTAGAACCCTCGATAGTTTTCGAGGTCTCCTTGGGTGTAGCAAAAGTTTTACAGTAAGATGATGGCTTTTTTGAGGGGACATAATTTTGTCAAAATTGCGGTTTTTCATGATTGCTCACTCGTATCGATAGTCCAGATTTAGCAAGTATCACATATTTTTGTTTAAAAGCTTCTGTATCGAAAGTGATTGAAAAAAGTAGTATTGTATGAAATTCGCTCTCAATAGCTCTGGTAATAATATTTATCCACATCGATCATAAATTGCAAATGTATTGAAATGCCACACAAGGTTAACCTTGTGTGTGGGTATAATTCTAACACATGTAACATATAACAATAGTTGCAATAAATTGACTGCAAGGGACTAGAAAAAATCTAGATACCTAATATAAATGTAGTACATTAGATGCGGAAAATATATTAATATGTTAAAAGTTTTCATAAATTACATCATGCTTATATCAGTATTCATTAACCATTAACCACTCACATACAATTATGTGGTGGTAGGTTGTGATATAATTCTGGACCTAAGTACATAAACGATTTCAGCATTATTCCAGTGTTGCGATAATTATTTGTTTATTTTTATTTCAGTATCATGATAGTTGATAATGATTTTGCAATGAAACAGTATTGATTAAGTAATGAAGACACAACATATACATAAGTAATGGAAATATCTGGTCAAAAAGTTATGTAAGGTATCTTAATAAATCTCGTCCGCAGAGTGATTTAAAAAGCCCATTTTGATTGCAGAACTCACTATACCAAAGTGAGAAGTCGGAAACTCTATAAAAAGATTGTAGGCTGCCATGAATTAGGATGCTAACTTCATCCCTACCCTCTTTCAGTTTTTGTACTGAACTAGATTATAGATAATTTTAAGATTTTATTAATAGATAGACTTTAGAGGTAGGTTAAAAAAATCTGTCATCAACCTGCAATATTGAACACTGCCTTATCTTGTCCGCTCATTCATGATCTAAATGTGACAAGTTTATTGATCACATATAAAATATAGAATTCTTCCTCACTGTAGCTATTAACATATTCATCAAAGATTGATTTAGAAAGAATGCTGCTTTTTTCAAATTATCCATGAATAAATATGATTTCGAAACTTGCAAACGGTATTTTACAAAAAATTAGGTGTAATATTTTACTTTTCATTTCTATAGTGATACTAATAAGTACGTTCAATTAAATGAACGTGAGTTCTTTATTAGGTTAAGTCCAGGAATGCTTGAAATACTGTTTTTAAAAATCCCATAAATTTCGAAATTTTACGAATGTGTCAGTTTCTATTTAATCCGCATACTTTAAAATTTGTTAAGAATTTTGAAAACGGAATGTATTTGATGTATGTGTTGTGATTTTTAAAAGTGCACACAATTACCAAGCTTTTTTCTATATTTGTACTTTGTATATAAATCTTATGCAATAAAGTTTAAAAACATAAAATGCGTTTTAATGTCATCGTGTTTAAATCTAACCAGCTTGAATATTCAGGCATCTGACCACATTACTGGGGCTACCTTTGCATATAGAAACATAGTAGGCCGCGCGGATCGAACATCAGTACTGAATCTTAACCTCACTCTTTAGTAAACTTAAATTCAAAGTTTCACAACAATACGTGCAGTGTTCTCACTACAGTGAATTTCTAAGTGTCACAAAGTCATTAGAAAAATGGAATTCAACCGAGAACATTTTCGCGCCATAATTTATTACAACTTTCAGACACAATTATCGCAACAAGAATGCCTTGCTGAGTTACTGTCTGTTTTCGGCAACGAAGCGCCACATCAGTCGACAATTTCCCGTTGGTTTGGAGAATTCTAACGTGGAAGGGTGAGTCTTAGCGACGATTCCAGGGTGGGTGCAGCAAAGACGGAAGCCACCCAGGAAAACGTCGATGCTGTGCGCAAACTCATCATTGAAGATAGACATGTGACATATCGCGAGATTGAGGCATCCTTGGAGATCTCAAAGACCTCAATTCAAACAATTTTACATGAAGAATTAGGAGTAAGAAAATTAGTTTCTCGTTGGATACCCCACCTGTTGACTGAAGATCAGAAAGCAGCCAGGGTTGATTGGTGTCAAAAAATGCTTGACCGTTTCAATTCCGGCAACTCAAAAAATGTGTACAGCATTAGTTAGTGGTGATGAATCATGGATTTACTGTTATGAACCAGAGAATAAACGACAGTCGGCTGTTTGGGTGTTCCAAGGTGAAGAAAAGCCAACAAAAGTCATCCGTTCTCGAAGTATTTCGGAAAAGATGGTCGCGACATTTGTGTCAAAAGCGGGTCATATTGCAACAAGAACTGTTACTGCGGATTGGTATACCACCATCTGTTTGCCAAAAGTCATCACCGAGCTTCGAAAAATCAACCCCGAAAGAAGAATCATCCTCCACCAAGACAATGCAAGCTCGCACACTGACAAAGGCAGTATTTAACGGAAGAAAACGTGGAATTATTGGACCATCCTCCATATAGTCCCGATCTAAGTCCTAACGATTTCTTTACTTTCCCGAAAATTAAAAACAGACTGCGTGATCAAAGGTTCCAGTCACCAGAAGAAGCAGTTTTGGATCTGCCAGCAAACGAGTGGAATAAGTGCTTCGAAAATTGGTTCGAGCGCATGTAGATGTGTATTAATCTTCGTGGAGAATACTTCGAAAAACAATAAAGTCGTTTAAAACTACCTACCGTGTTGTTTTATTTCCATATGCAAAACTTAAAAGACATCCCTCGTAGAAGCACAATACACATATACTCACATAGTATGGTACCGTTTATCTTTGAGGGTCGATGAGTGTACAAACACTATAAAATTTCTAGAACGAATATAAGAATTTTAATTATGACCAAATTTTAAGCCCGGTATTGAAACGCATGAATATTTGTTATAAAAGTATCAACTACCTATTGGTATCAGTATTTGATAATTTCTTAACGTAGACACAACAGTCAAGTACAGCCCTGTCTGTAAACCTCATTGCCTTAATATGGTATACGTTGACGTTCTATTCACCGATAGATGGCCCCTAAACAGAAGATAAAAACAAACTCTAACCTCAAAATGGTGATCAAAAACTAAAACTTTATCAAAAAAATAATTGATATCGAATTGAAGATGTAAAGCATTTTCCCTTTATCTTACAAATCAAGTGATTGCTATTAAAAAACAATTTTTGTATCGTGGATCGTGGAATATTCTGCTGAATTCCTATATTCTCGGGAAAAATGTCCGATAAACAGAAAATGTAAGTAAATTAATTTACATTACCTTTTAGCCCGGAAAACTTTATTTTCACACTATTTCACGCACTTTAACACGCTACGGTTAGTTTATAACTGTTCAAATTAAAAAATACGGCTACTCACTAACGGAAAAGGAAAACAACTGAGGCACGCGCTGTTGCAATGACATAAAAACACACTTTACGATAACCGCCTAATTTCATTTGAATGTAAGATTTGCCTTAAGATAAATTAAATTAGTGTAATTGAATTGGATATGAATGTAGTTTTATTTGCACAAAATTGTGTTGCTACCTATTCATTGGTCACAATTATAAAAAAGCGGTAACACAAAGCTTGTTTTTGAATTTGTTACATACTTGAAAGCACACTTAGGTATATGCATAGTAGGTACAGGCCATTTAGATGCCTGGAATAGTGTAAATATTCTTTGAATAGTACAAATAGTTTCTTTTCCTATTATAACCTTTGAGACAGGAATTTGCTGGAAGCTTATGCAATAATTAATGGGCATTATTGCAGATATACATTACACTAACATGTGTTTTTTTGGTAACCTTACAAGGTTGGAGTTTGTTATCCTTTAAAAAAGTGGACACAAACTGTTTGATAAGCAGACCAAAACACAAGAACTGAAATTAATAGTCAATACCCTAAAGCTATGTTCACATTAGTGCGCTTTTTTCTCTTTTGCCTTCAAAATCAATATGACCTTGGATTGACCTCATGGGCTCACACAAGGGGAGATCAGGGAGCCGGGTATGCAGATTCCAAATCCCAGTTAATCTAACATTAACATCCATGGGGAGTCCCAGAAGTCACATTCATTACCTCAAATTCGGCACCACGCCACGATTTTTCGCATCATAAAATCACAAGAATTTTAATTGAGGGTATTGCTAAACTTTATAGATTGCTGTGTGGTGATGTTGAAGGAAAATTTGATGCTCTGTTCAAGAGAGTGGAAAATATAATAAAAAAATCGGGTCAGTTTGACATGATGCTATGTGTGGGAAACTTTTTTGGAGTCAATAACAGAGAGTTTATACCATACAGAATTGGTGACAAAAAAGGTGAGCATTCACTATTGAAGATAAAGTATAAATTAAAACATAATACCGAAAACAATATAAAATAGACACATAGTATATTTAACTTGACATATTTTATATGTTGAAGATCAAGTTGAACAATGCCGCACTTAGCAATACTTCTCCTTTTTTGTACTTATGCTTGAACCAAACCCCATTTATTATTATTATATATGTTTACAATTTTAGTACCAGTTCCGACATACATTTTGGGACCAAATACACAGGAGCATGTAGATCAATATCCTAAAGATGAGAGTGAGTTTGAAATCTGCCATAATGTTTATTACTTAGGTAAGAAACTGTTAGGTATTTTGGGGCTCTTAATAAATTAAAAGCATTGAAAATTAGTAGATATATTATTTGGTTTGCGCAGGTAAGAGAGGACTATACACAGATAGCAAAGGTGTTAAAATTGCATACATAAGTGGAGTTTGTAGCGAAAAAGAATCAAAACCGTGGACATACACAGAAAAAGAAGTCAGTGAGCTGTGTGATGTTTGTGTGAAGGGTAATCCATCATTTAGGGGTGTTGACATACTATTGACGTCACAGTGGCCATCGAATATTGTATCTGAAGGATCTCAGGTATATGAACGTTACAATTATACAATTATAAATGCATTGAGTTAAAAAAAATTGGTTTGTTTGGTAAATATAATACAAACAACAGAGGCACCAGTACAGATCCCTGGAGTACTCCTTATAATGGCAAAGTAGCTAGACAATCTGTTGACAATACTCCCCACTTAAATATTTAAATTGCTCGTTGTGGAAAAAAGTATCAAACAAAAATTGCATGGTTTAGACAAACTGATTGTAACCTTGACAATGACCTTGACTACCTCCTTTAAAGCCATTTCAGGGTCAAGTCAATATTTTCAAATCGAGCCCCCCTTTTTTCACATCGGAATTCAAAAGAGGAGGCAACTTTACGTCCGAAATCGCCTTGAGCATGACCTTGACCATTGTCTTAACGGTCATTTCAAAATCAAATCAAGACATGGAAAACAATTTGATCTAGCAAATATGTTTGACAGCACAGTTGTGAGGTTAATGGGGATCACCCATAGGTGACCTTGATCATGAGCTTCAAGGTCAAATCAATATTTCTAAAGGAAACCTCTCATTTTTATAATAGAAATGGAAAAAGCAAGAAATTTTGCAACCAAATGTAAAAAAAATAGAGTATTCCATTGGAAATATTGACTAGACTTTGAATGTTATAATCAAGGTGATCCCGACAAAACTTACGACTGCGCTGTCGAACATTTTTCTATAGTAAATTGTTTTCGATGTATCGATTTGACCTTGACATGGCCTTGAAGGGTGTGGTCAAGATGATGTTTGGACGTAAAATTTGCTTTTTATAATTCTGATGTGAAAAAAGGGAGGTTCTAATTGAAAATATTGTCACGACTGTGTTGTGGGTTCAAGTTTGCTCTGGATTGAGCAGACTCGGGGGTGTGGAGACTCAAATGATAACATAAAAAAATAAAATTTCAAAATGTATTAATAAATCGCCGTGCCTTTACAGATTATCCATTATTTGCCGACGTGCACATTTCTCAGCGTATGCGGTTTAGGGTATTTATCGAACTATATGGCGCCTATGTGATGCGTATAACGGGCTAGAGGGACTCGTGGCAATATAAACTTGACCTCTAAACCTTACACACTGTTTTGCTTGAAACTTTTTTCTAGTTGCAGTTTTTGAAATATTTAGGAAGGGAGATTAAAATGGGACCTCTTCTGTAAATATAATAAAAATATTATATTCTGTTACTGACAGGCTTCACTGTCCATCAACAGACCGAGTGATATGGCCAGCTATCTGTGCATGAAACTGAAGCCACGCTATGTTCTTAGCGGCCTTGAAGGTGTGTACTATGAAAGGCCGCCATTTCGATGTCCCAATCTGGGTGATCATGACACGACGATCGAACTAGCAACAAGGTTCATAAGCTTGGCAAGGGTTGGAAACCCAAATAAGGATAAGTGGATATACGCTCTCAGCCTAACTCCTCTGGATAAGATGAAGTTCAATGAGCTTTTGCAGAAAACCACGGATGAGACACCTTGTCCTTTCAGTATTCAGTATTTAGAATGCAGAAGTGAGTATACATACATTGTAATTTCAGCACCGAGTATTTCACCAAGGGTTCATTTTAAAAACCATAGTTACATGAAATTTTACTTTATGCCTTACAAATATTGTCACGGTTTTCTGAAACAGTTGTCAGCATAAGCTTATTTTTCAGCCAGTGGTTCTAGGCAACTCAAAGAACGAGAATATCATTATTTGTTATTTTCCAGTATATAGATTTTATGATATATCCGTCTCATGAACATATAATTTCGATGCGTTTTAAGCAGCTTAGTGTTGTTCTACAAATTGTACGATGTTTTGGAGTACCTACCTGGGTCATCGGCTAAGTTGGACTCATCGTAATTCCAAATATTTGTCGGTGGAGTCCCCCTTAATTCCTCTTCTAAGTGGTCAAAGTATTTATTAACAACGGCAGATGAAACGCCGGCCCGAACGGATTTTATATTTGCAACAAACCTTTGTGTCACTGCTGGATGTCTTTTTAAAAATATTCTTACCCATTCACTACCAGGAAGATTACTTGTAAATCTGCTTATAACTACACCCTTTCGATCTAGATAGCACTTCACAAGTTTTCTTAAATCTAGGGAATCTAGAGGAAAACCATATGACGATGTTAATAATAGATTTGCTTTTTTTCTTCCTCCACTGACAACACGGTCTGGCCACCCGCAGGTCTATTGTGCACTCCCTTCAGCTTATTCTGCAATGTCGCTCGAGGTATTTTGAATCTCGTAGAACATTGTCTTTGTGATATTACACCCGATCTAATCAGTCGAAGTGCCTCTTCTAGTTGTGCTGTGGTATAATTGCTGTAATCCCTGCTTCCTATGACTCTTTTGTAGCGACCCATTTTCCTAAAGGTTGTATAGTTTTGCATGAAAGTCATAGATGTCGCCTCATTGTCAAGCTGCGCATAAAGTTTTTTTACGTAAAAGAATCAGGTTTTTTATGAATTCTTCTATTTAATTTTTTTCAAATACTTAAAATCAAATTATAACGTATACTTTTTTCGAGTCCACTATAATCTATAGAATCATTAAAAAAAGCTATTCCCCGCATAAGTATTATTATAACGTAATCGCGCGTAAATAAAACAAATATTGAAAAATGGCCATAGCCACCGAAGTTTACGGTATAGTTCTAAATGAGTAACAGTCAGGTTGCAGAACACTGATTTTGTGAGAAACCAAACCAAATATTTGACGATTATTGTCAAGCATTGTGAAGTCATATGACTTTTTATTTCTTTTTAGTTTTCAATAAGAAAAGAAAATCAAGTGGACCTAGTCAGTACTTCTATGATATGGATGCTCCTATGGAAGACAAAAGAGGCAAGAAGAAAACGAAAAAACCAAAAGTGGAATTTGATCAAAGTAAATGTTGGTTTTGTCTCGCTAGTCCATCAGTGGAGAAGCATCTTATCATATCTGTTGGGAATCACTCCTACTTAGCATTAGCAAAAGGTGAGTCATGTTATTTTATGTATGTTTGTTTCTATCTTTTGATACTTTGGCATTCAACATATTTTCTTCACAGGTGGGATGGTAGAAGAACATTTCCTCGTCTGTCCTATAGAACATCATCAGAGTAGTATTGCTCAACCTGATGAAGTCCTGAATGAGATAAATCAATTCAAAGAAGCCCTTCGAAAATTTTATAAAAAGAAGGGAAATGTCCCAATATTTTTTGAGAGAAATTATAAAACGTCTCATATGCAACTGCAGGCGGTGCCCATACCAACTAATGCAAACAGAGAATTGAAAGAAATATTTTTTGTAAGTGGAATGACCAATGTTTTGATAACTTGTAGCGTGCATTGGATATTAAAAATTCTACTAGTTTTGATTTTATTGTTTTCAGGATGAATCAGAAGGCCAGGGCTTTAAACTAGAAACTCTTGACCCTTCAAACAGGTTGGATCAAGTGATTCCGCCAAAAGTGCCATTTTTTGCTGTAGAGCTACCTGACAGTACAATTTTGTACACAAAAATCCAAGGGTCCACGAACTTTCCTTTGAATTTTGCCAGAGAAGTATTGGCTTGTGGACCAGTTTTGAACATGCCAGATCGGAGTGACTGGAGAGAATGTGTCCTCAAAAAAGAGGACGAAGAATTGCTTGTACAGAGACTGAGGACAGAATTTGAACCCTATGATTTTACTGTTGAATAAACTTATGTCACTCTAATTTATAAGTGTATTCATTCACGCGTTAAGTAAATTTTTTGAGTTTGGGGTCATTAGTGTGGAAAACTCCCGCACTAAGGCCTATATCGTCAGTCGTCCCTACAATTGTACGGCGCCTTTATGGCTTCCTTGATTGTCATAGTTTTCTACTTCTCCGTGTCAGCGCTCTATTTTGAGGTTATGTCACAAATATCTATTTGCATCAAATTGTGCTTGCTTTTGAGTTATATCATGTTTTATCAGCCTGAAATTTCCTACAATTTAAAAAGGAAACATATCTTCACAATAGGAGAGCGCTGACACGGGACAAGTGTAATCTAGAAATTTTTGAAGGAGAGAAAGGAATATGACAATCAAGGAGGCCATAAACGCGCCCTACAATTGTAGGAACGGCTGACGATACGGGCCTAAGGGGGGCAGAACCCTCTCCGGATGGACCTTAGAATTTGCATACGTACGATGATTTTGTGTACAATTTTATGGATATTTAAGATTTGGCCGTACCTGGAAAAAATGCGCCGCCCACTCTTCAAACTTTTAGGGGCTGTTACACTTTCACATTAAGTTATTTCTTGCCGATGATCGTCGCCCCTGAGAAAAATTTCTGCGACGCCCATGTCGGCACTACTATTATATGATATTGTAGATAGTCGCATACAGACCGAGATGCCAAGGCTAGGGATGTTCCGATCCACGTAAAATATCGATACCAAGTATCGATTCGTATCGTTTATTGGAGTATCGATCCATTAAAATGTCGGAATAAAAATATCAATCCCATGATTTTCGATACGGAGCATACACTATACACGGCCGAAAGTCGAAGTTGCCTTTTACAACCCTCTAAATAACGTCACTTTTTTCAACTGCATGACTATTGTCAAATAAGTTCACAAAAAAATAGGTAAAAAAATAAATACTAAGAAATTCTTTACAAAACCATTATTTATTTATTATTAACATAAAATATATAAACATAGGGTATCAAAAACAATACTACAAATAACTCGAAGTTCGAAATCTTAAACATACCATTCTTCAGCACTCGGCGAATGTAAGAATAATTTGACATTCGATCGCCAGATAATCTGTTTCGGGTTTGGCAGAGTATATTTCCGGCTTCAGAAAAGAGTCTCTGAGGGAACTGATGTGCCAACAACAGAGAGATATTTATTAGACATTCTTTAAATAGCTCTGAGGAAGAACTTGAGCTATTCCAGTACAAAAAGGGATCCGAGTTTAGGGGCATAGTAGGTCTATTGAAATACAGTTTTAGCTCAATACATATCTGATTTGGTATCATCATATTTATCTGTATCATTTTGGGCTAGTTTTTCATGGTAGACCCAAACACTGTCAGATTTTTCAAGAATATTAATTTGATTTTGCCCTGCCTTTGCTGTATTTATTTCTTTCTTGCGTAACTGAAATGATTGATTCGTTTAAAACGAGGGCTTAGGATATTTGAGACAGCTAAAAGTTTAATCTGCTTGAAACGTTTTAAAAGGTCCTCGAGTGTTAGTGTTTTAAGAGCTAAAGCCTCTGTTGTTGATGGAGTACATTTTTCAATTTTTTTCAAGAGGCAATTTACAATGGGTATAACTTTACTGCAGGTTAAATGTTTCTCCCCACATATCTCTCTAGAAAATGCCTCTACTGGGGCTAAAATATTTAAAACCTCTTTTACTGTTTCCAATTCTAAAGCACTTAACATTTCTGGAGTCTTGGAATTTCTTAATAAAATAGCAGCCACATATTCATGGAGTTAACAAATCGCTCTAACATAAAATATTTTGAATTCCATCTGGTTGGCACTGATTGAATTAGACTAAGGGCGTTTTGATGCTGTTGCGCTTTTCTTAACAGATCTGATGCTGCAACACTTTAAGGATTTTTTCGGGAGTCCACGGTGTAGCACAGTGCACTACCGGGAACCGATACTCAAATTTTCGCGAAGAACGGGAAAAGGGAAGACGGATGTGACGTCCTCCGAATGTCAAAAAATCACGTGGTGAGGGTACCCGCCTAACGTCTGTGGTTCCCGCTCCGGTTCACTACGGGATCTCGCGAAAAAATCTCTTTAGAAATATGTAACAGACATATGACACTAATGAGAGCGGTAAATTTAAACTGAATTGCCACAGGAAACAGGAACTCGTCGAAATTCGAAGAAGAAACTGATTTGCCAGACCATGGAAAATAGATAATTTTGACACAAATGGTGAAAAAGGGATTTTTTTGTCTTTCAGTTTTTATTTGAGAGCAGTTTTTCTTTTGAATTGCTCATTTTGGCAAATCGTAATGGCCCATTTCGACTATGCATGAAAGTCCATCGTCAACTCTGTATGGATTGATCTCTGACATTTGTGTGATTTCTGTCACTCAAGGTCAACCAGAACATTTGATCCAAAAAAAATTGCCTAAAGAAAAAAGTAAATTGAAGTTAGTCGCTACTTTCTGACACAGTTCGGATCGAAAGATAACGATACCCGCGAAATGTATCGATACACCCAAGTATCGTATATAAAAATATCGGGTATCGGAGACAAAAGTATCGATACTTCTAAATATCGGATCGTATCGAACATCCCTAGCCAAGGCATATTTGGTTACAGATTTGGAGGTGCTCCTTGCTCGAATTGGTTTGTACGGCGCGAGCCAAAGGTTTCCAAGGTCGGCGGTGGCCTTCGATTGCATTCGCTCCTTGATCGGTACATCAAAGGGAGGTGCGATTTGGTCTGGAACAGGATTTGTTGCGCTTCTAGCATTTAGTCGTTTGTCTGCATTCAATGAGAGGACCGAACTTAACCCGACGCGGTCCAACTCGAAACTAAATTTAGATGCAGACGAGCGCATTCCAATAACTTCAACAACAAACGCCAACGTCATATGTGCTTGCATTCGTTTGCTCGGCCATAGATTTTCTGTCTATAGGCGCCTTTAGACTTGACACATTATTACTACATAGTATCTAAAGAAACATAACAGATTAGAGTACTATGTAGATTAGACTTGTTCGAATAGTGGCCATAACTTCATCTTATAAACGGAATTAATTAATAAATGGACAGTGTCTGAATATTACTTCTCACATTTTTGGCGGAAGACGATTAAAAAATCGACACGTGTTTTTCAATACCGTTGATATCATGTAGAATATGTTAATGACAATGCATTCTTTTTTATGAGTATTATCTTTCAATTGCAGTCCGAGTTTTTATGGTTTTGTGATCACTTGTAAGCTACTCTATTATATTCGTTGAAATGTACCGAAGTTAAGCTACTTTACAACACATTTTTTTTACAAGACTTCTATGCGTATACAGTAGGCAACCAGTATTACGCAGCGCAGACTGACAGCATGTTCATCTAACAGTGTGTCTTTGTTATGTTGGTGTGCCTGAATTTAATAGAAGTTGTCAAAAAGGTTATTTTCATTTCATTGAACAAAATTGCAGTTTTTCACCCCAAAACTACAATTTATCATCAATCATTTATGTAAAACAGCATGTTTTCACTGCAAAATCAAAATCAGGTATGTAGTCTCAAAATTTACAATATTACACAATATATCCACGTCTATTGCATTATCAACCTTTTGCAGGCATTCGCAACGTTATCGCAATTTTCTGCTAAGGTATCCACCAGACATAATGTGTATTTGGGAAAAAAGTCCTCCCAGAAATCCAAACAGGCAGCTAATGTGCTTTGCTTAGACAGCTTCCTGGAAGCAGTAAAGAACTGTGATTTCTCGTTTGCAAAACACCTCAATACCAAAACTCTCTTCCAAAATCAATTCCTGAGGAACTTCAACGTGTCTTACGTCTCGAATGATACGTTTTTCGAAAACAAGCATGGATTCTCTGAGAGTGACCTGAAGTCCACTGTTCCAACTTTAGTAGTAAGAAACAATAAAAATCTGCACATACCTCAAAACTTCTACCAGCAAGTAGTTTCCGGATTGTTAACTGACAACAGATGTACAATCAATATCCATCTGAGGGGCTTTAAGACTGATAGGAGCATTAAAGCTGAAATTCAAAGGAATCCGACTCTAGTTAGCCGAATAAAAAATGCATTGGGAGTATCAAGCAACCCTCCACCTATTGAAAACAAGTATACAGCCCCTGCTACAGCCAATACTGAGAAGTTGAAGCAAATGCTGATTGCAGATGATACTTTGAATGAGAGCGAGAAACAGAGAATGAAAATAGCATTTGCTGAAGGATATTTGTTAGGTAACAATGCTGGGTCTAAAACTGGAAGAACAACAAGGTACTTCAAGGTGTTCACGCAAGTTCTGACAGTGTTTGTTTTTCTTGCCATTGTTGTTAGTTTGATGGCCAGTACCAGTGGGTCTGTTTTTAGGTAAGTTGCTATCTTTTTTCTCATAAGATCAGTCCATATTGTTGTATTTTGATGTAAGTAAACTATCATAGCTGCATGTGTATGGTGATGATCAATTTTGTGTCACAGTATTAGATAATTAGTTAAAAGTGTAGCTTTTACCTGCATACAGTTTCTAGGACTATTAGTAGAAAGTTAGGGGCACATTACTAAAAAGTTCCTCAGCTATCCTAGATAGGAAGTAGCAAAACACTACTTATTGATGTCCAGACAACAACTGTGGTTTGCCATAAGCAATGTAACTTCACCACCTATTTCAACCTTTTGGGGTAGCTGACAATCCATCCTTGAGTGACTCCTAGGAATGATGTACTATTGTCTTTTTTACAAGTATGCATTATGGTAGATTAACAGCTGATTATTATAGTAGTATTTCAAAATTCCCTACATTGACAAATGACACAGAGACAGAGCCATATTATATGCTACAGATTTATTTTGGACTTGCTAACAACTCTTTTATTTGAAAAAGTTTGTATGCAAATTGCTACAAGCAAGTTTTATTAGATTTACACCCGATTCATTATTGCCAATGTTACAAATACAAAAATGTCACTTGCTGATCAGCTGTTTACCTCAGTAGATGTAAAACAGTCATGGTTACTAATGAAATAGGGTCTAGGAGCCCAGTGAGGCCAAAGTGTTGCCTTTTCTCCTTTATAGAATACAGAAGGGATACATTAAAAAAGTTAATATTTGGTAATCCGTTTTTTCAAGATAAGATTATTATGAATATTATATATCCTATGGATTGTTAGGCCAAGAACTAATGAGATCACCAACAAAAATTTTCCATAAAAAGGAACAAAAAGAAATTAGGAAAGCTGTGTAAAATAAGCATTTCAGCTTGTTTTAATTCAAGGTTATTAAAAACAAGAACAAAAAACACAAATCAAAGTAGGGCATTTTAAAAAACTGTTGACTCTATGTAGGATCTTTGATTTTGATCAAAATTGATTGTGAACTCAAAAAAAGACAATAGCAAGAATCTGTTTCTGTGTGTATCATCATTGAATTAAAGAAATAACTATTTGCTCATGCCTTTAAGATCATTGTTTCAGTGTGGCTGAAAAACCTACAATGCAGAAAAATGAGACATCTCAAATTAATATTTGATAATTATTATTATTAGGTTCCTAAATCATCAGAGAATTGAGAAACAAATTCTCAGAATTTTGAAATTCGAGTTTTTTTAGATTTGATATTTGTTCCTATTTTGTATTGTTTATCTGCTGATATGATCATACAGCATCAAAATGTAAAATTTGAATGGTGGTTACTGAGATGATATTGATAAGTATGCAGCCAGGCAAATAGACCTTCTATAAGAAATAATAAGTAAAAAAAACTATTATAAATATGTTTGCCAAAGACCTTATTGAGGCATGCTATGTTTCTGCCAAAAATGGTTGAGTACCTTATTTGAGATGTTCCCTTTGTAGACTAACTTGTGGAGTCAAGTGTCACCGCCCTAGTTTATATTAAAATAAGTAATCTAAGTGAAGGTTTTCCAGAATTCAGCTGGGAAACCAGGTAGAGGTAGACCCGGAGGACATACATGTCACATTTGAAGATGTCAAAGGAGTTGATGAGGCCAAACAGGAGCTGAAGGATGTGGTTGAGTTCCTGAAGAGCCCTGATAAATTTTCAAACCTTGGAGGCAAACTACCCAAGGGAGTGTTGCTAGTTGGACCTCCAGGAACAGGTAAAACTTTGCTGGCCAGAGCTGTTGCTGGAGAAGCTGGAGTTCCATTCTTTCACGCAGCTGGCCCAGAATTTGATGAAGTACTTGTGGGACAAGGCGCCAGGAGAGTGAGAGATTTATTCAGTAAGTAATGCAGCAATCTACATTGAAAAATTTCTTAAACACATTGTGCAACTGTCTCTTTGATTAATTACCTAATTCTGGAATTCTTGTTCTTCATGTTAAGGACATATTCTGTATAAGTGATTAACATACCCCAGAGCCATGCCTGCTCGAAAATAATCTCTTTTTTCATTTGTAGAAGCGGCAAAGAAACGAGCTCCATGCGTAATTTTCATCGACGAAATTGACTCTGTAGGTTCAAAAAGAACCAACAGTGTTTTGCATCCCTATGCCAATCAGACTATCAACCAGTTGTTGAGTGAAATGGATGGTTTCCATCAGAATGAAGGAGTAATAGTTCTAGGAGCTACTAACAGAAGAGATGACTTGGACACGGCTCTATTGCGACCTGGCAGATTTGACGTCGAGGTAAATTAAATTCAGTATTGGCAACATATTGGTAAATTCTATGAGACACAACATGCAGGTGATCATGGAAAAATCCAATCTCAATATTTTTTCCAATGATGATATTGAAAATGCATAAGCTTTCATTATTTTTACTTCTAAGCTAGCGCTTTCACAACACGTCAACGCCGCCGTTCGTATAACAGGATACAGGAAGAAATGCTTCGTCTCGCTTTCAGCCTTTGTATGACATATCACGTAGGAGCAAAGGCTCTTATGTTATTTCAACATTTCTTTTCCACAGGTAACCGTCCCTACCCCAGACTTCACCGGCAGAAAAGAGATTCTCACCCTATACCTGAGCAAAATCCTGGCAAAGGACATAGATCTGGACCAGCTCGCCAGAGGTACCACAGGTTTCACAGGCGCTGATCTGGAGAACATGGTGAACCAAGCCGCATTGAGGGCAGCCATAGATGGCGCTGATTCCGTATCCATGAAGTACCTGGAGTCCGCCAGGGACAAGGTGCTGATGGGGCCAGAGAGGAAGTCGCGCATTCCAGACGAAGAGGCTAATCTTATCACGGCTTATCACGAGGGCGGACATGCTATTGTTGCTTATTATACGAAAGAGAGCCATCCTTTGCATAAGGTGAGTGATACATTTATTATTTGACAGAGTGTGCTACTCTTGTCATTGCAGCTAATACATTGTTTCAGTATCTCTTTTGACAGATTTGGAACCATTGTTGGATTTGGAATCTACATAACCAATGTATCCAGGAAACGAATTTACACGGCCGTATCGTCAGTCGTTCCTACAATTGTAGGACGCCTTTATGGCCTCATTGATTTTCATAGTATTTTCTCTCCTTCTGAAAGGCTGGGGTATTTCTAGATCTCTACCGGCTATCTTTTCTTTATTTGAATTGTAGGTAATTTCAGGCTACATTTAGATACGGAAGCTTCCGATCACTTTACAGATATGATGTTTTTATAATTCATATATGAAATCGATAAGAATTACAGAACTCTGCTTAAAAATAAAATAACAATGAAAATTCGTACATTTAGATGACTTTGGGTGTTGAATGCGAATATGAACATAAAAAATATCGAAATGTCGCCTTACTTATGTGATTATGTTCGTACTTTGTAGGTTACCATAATTCCTAGAGGTCCCAGCTTAGGCCACACTGCATATCTACCCGAAAAGGAACCTTATCACGTGACAAAGGCCCAGTTGCTTGCCATGATGGACACCATGATGGGCGGTAGAGCTGCAGAGGAGTTGATTTTTGGTCCAGAAAAAATCACATCAGGTTTGTTGGTTATTGTTGGTCATTTTCGCAATGAAAATCTACATACCATCTACATCTTTCTGACAGTTGCAAGGTTCGCCTAATTATATCTTTTTCAATAGGTGCAAGCTCTGATTTGAAGCAGGCAACTTCAATAGCCACTCATATGGTAAAAGATTGGGGGATGTCAGAGAAATTGGGGCTTAGGACAATGGCGGATAATCCTAAAAGCTTTCACGGTGAAACTCTGGGCCCATCTACCAGCGAAATGGTAAGGAAATTCTATGAATGTAGTTCGATAAACTGGCAAGTAGAAACATCTGTATCCACAAATGGATTAATTTTAAAATACACTAGGCCCATAACCTCGATTTTATATAACGTATTTCTAGGTTGATACTGAAATAAAGAGAATACTCACAGAGAGCTATGAGAGGGCAAGACAAATTCTGAAGCTCCATGCAAAGGAGCACAAAGCATTAGCCGAAGCTTTAATGAAATATGAAACGTTGGATGCGGAAGACATCAAGGCCATTATGGCAGACAAACTGTCAGAGAAGAGAAAACATTGAAGGCGGAAAATTTGACTGTTCGTTATATATACTGATTTTAACGTTTTAATAAGCACCGAAGGACTAGTATTAGACACAATTTTTTTTGTAGAACAATGTTTGTAAATACCTGCCTTGCGCTACTATGGGCCTTTTGCGACTTAAATATATATTTTTTCGTTCTCCTTGATTTTTATTTCTTCTGACACCTATTAAAATGCTGCTCTTGATACTGTTTCTGCCTCCTTGCAGATAGAACGATTACGTAAACGTAATACATACGATTTTCAAAAAAAGGAGAATCAGTCCTAAATCTGTAGTTTTCTCGTCGTTTCTGTTATCCTCTTGCAAGATTTTAATGCTGCGCTCCTGATATGAAGTTAACCGAAAATGCAATATTACATACAGTTAACTCTCGGCTTTTCTGTTCTCCTGATAAAAAATGTTAAAATTGGAGGGTAACTTGTACACCGACCAGATTAACTTGTCTAAATCGTCTGTAGGTCAAATTTGCTATTACAGCTACGGGAAGAACATGAAAATGATCCCGGTATAAAGTTGACAAAAATGCAGTCACCCTCTCGGCGCTTCTGTTATCCTGATACAAAATTTTAATACTGCATGGTGCCTCGTACACCAATCAAATTTATCTTGCGAAATCGTCAAAATCTGTAGGTACAATTGTAGGTCACCGTGAGATAAGTAAAAGACAATATGCTCCTGGTGTCAGAATAAAATCCACGGAGTTACTTTTCGTCCTTTCCGTTATTCTGATGGAGAATTTTAGTGCTTGAAGTCCTTTATACTAGCCAACTGAAACTAAAAAAACATCCAAGTCCTTCAATCAACCAGATGACATCGACAACTCCGGCACGGGTATCACGTATCTTTAAAAGTGACATTATGCCGATTTTTTTTGACATTATCCTGTTTTTTTTACATTATGTAGGTTTTTCTACAAGATATTAACTTAGCACTTAGTTGTACGTGTTGCCTAAACATCATCAGGCTTGTTATCAATCTTTGGCTCTGATGTGATGTAAAATCGCTTCTGAGATAGCATTACTGGAGGTCTAAGCTGTATGTGTTGATGATAATTACACTGGGTTCTTGTCTCAAATACATTTAATTGAGATTCAAAGCTAGAAATTAGTTGCGCATCCACTTTTTGTTATCCATTCTGGAAATTATATTCACTGTACACTGTCGAATTACAAGCCATATACATGCTAGCAGTAATTACACACAACGCGGGCGCGGTGATGATTTCCCGTAATTCTCCTGTTTTTCGTAATTTATAACTTTGAACATAACCTCTCTTCAGAAAGCCCAACATAAAAATAACCTGTCGGGCACAGCCAATTGATATACTTCATTGGCAGCATATTCAGTAATGATTTTCTCACACAGCAAATATCACTGATTTTATACACATGCAGACCAATACACATAATCATCCAGATGAGATCTTGCTATTCAATCAACTTTTTTCTCAAAGATCAAAACTACAGACAAGGACCATTTGGCCTCACAAAACAATGCAACCAATAATGCGTTTAGTTTAGTTGAGTGATTCCTCCTTAGATGGACGTTCACAACGATCCTAGTGAGCAAACGTGGAATGACTGCTTGCGCCCTAAAAACTACCTAGTTCGCAAGATGACATCTTATAGGTTTTTTGACGTTTAATAGGTTTTTTACATAATACCCATGGCGTTCTAGAAGTTTGCCTGAAAAACTTACGAACTTAATTTTACCAGACTATATCCTTTACTCCTATTTGTTCTGTGCCAAATAAACTTTTGACATTAATTTCATCAGACTATATCCTTTATACCAGCCGACAATATCCACTGCTCTCAGTCGAGGTGTTTGCCTAATAAATTTTCGACGTTATGGCGATATCCACGATTCATCACCACTAACGATGCTGTACACATTTTTTGAGTTTTTTGACACCAATTAACCCTGGCTGCTTTCTGCTCTTCAGTCAACAGGTGGGGTATCCAACGAGAAACTAATTTTCTTACTCATAATTCTTCATGTAAAATGCTTTGAATTGAGGTCGTTGAGATCTTCAAGGACGCCTCAATCTCGCGATATGTCACATGTCTATCTTCAATGATGAGTTTGCGCACAGCATCGACGTTTTCCTGGGTGACTGCCGTTTTTGGTGCACCCACCCTGGATCGTCGCTAAGACTCACCCGTCCACGTTTGAATTCTCCATGCCAACGGGAAATTGTCGACTGATGTGGCGCTTCGTTGCGGAAAACAGACAGTAACTCAGCAAGGCATTCTCGTTGCGATAATTGTCTCTGAAAGTTGTAATAAATTATGGCGCGAAAATGTTCTCGGTTGAGTTCAATTTTTCTAATGATTTGGTGACACTTAAAAATTCACTGTAGTGTTGTGAAACTTTGAATTTAAGTTTACTAAAGAGCGAGGTTAAAGATTCAGTTCTGACGTTCGATCCGCGCGGCCTACTATGTTTCTATATGCAAAAGTTAAAAGACATCCCTCGTATACGCGGATTAAATGATATAGTCTGGTGAAATTAACTTCGCAAGTCTATTTGGCACACCTCGAACAGGAGCGTTACGAAAGTCATCGATATCGTTGGATGGTTTAAAGGATATAGTTCGGTGAAAGTTAATTCGCAAGTTTTTAAACACCGACGAGAGTAGTCGATCTTATCAGATGCATTAAAGGTATTGGTAAAGTGGTGCTGCGCTTTTATACTGAATAGCAGTGGCCGTGGAATAACTTTGATTTACAAACCAACAAATCTGACAGTCAAGTGAAAACTGCTGTCATACTGACAAGCACTACACCGCTTTACGTTGACTGACCGCGCTCATTGCCTATGGTGGCAATGAGCGGGAAATTCAATTTCCTTAGTTTTGCCTCTTGATCACATTTACTACAGTAATTCGAGTAGGGAAAATGGATTTTTAGGCAATAAAAAATCAAAGCTTTTCATACAATTTATTGGCAAATTATGAGTAAATATGATAACCAATCTCTAAATGTCAAGCTCACTGAAACGCGAACCCAATCAGGACGAACTTATGTCCCACTACACATTGGTCCAATATGCGCCAACAACGTAGAGGCAAGAGCTATTCACCGGAAAAGTCAATCAACTTGACAGGGGTGAACAAACTAAAAACGTGATAGATCACTATTTTTATATATTTTAATACAAAACATCTTGGCTGCTTCGCTTTGCGTGGCTCTAGTTGCATATGGGTCACTGAAACCAGCGTTAGTTTCGCTTCCAACAGTGGGCGTCCACCTTTAGTCTCCACATGTTACCGGGGCACATGTTGACCGAATGTGTAGAGTAGACATTATATACTCATTTCGCACCATTCCTATTGCACAATAAATTGCTAATTTCAGCACTGATATAAAATTTTATTGAGAAATTAAAATTACATAGGTTAAATAATGACGCACCAATTGAATATTAAACGAATAGATATCACAATTAATTATAGTATATACATAACAATTAAATACAATATGTTTGGTGATGAAAGTAGGTAACAGTGCAACCGCGTTAGAAAGGAAAGTGTCGGATGTAATCCTACAAAAAGTGCATATTTTGATATAAAAATAAACATTTTATGAATCAGCTGAAACTATTACATGCACATAGATTGTCAACGCAGCATACGTTAAGCAAAGGTATATTTCAAAAGTAATCTAGGGTAGAACAGCATACAAATTTGCTGCCCCTATAATTATCTAGGAGAGACAGAAGACGAAAAGGTTAGGCATTACGGATTAATTTCCGGTTAATTTTAATAATAAAGAACGCGTTTTGAGAGTTAGCGTGAGGTTAGCAATAAAATTACAGTTATCCCGCGATTGAAAACCGTGGAAGTGGTAGTTGACAATTTCGAAAATACGAAAAGTCTCAACTTTAACAGCTTGCCAATCCGTTATAAAGCACTCATAAGGAACTTCAAGATGTGGTGCAACTTGTCGCCTCATTTCGTTTAAAATGTCCGAAGATGGCACCCAAACGCCATCTTGAAATGTTCAACTTTTAGATTGAAATCAATCATCAGCCCAATTTTCAGCTTGATAACAAAATAGGAAGGGGGATCTTATTTGAAATGCTTTGTATACTCGTCCTTCTCACACCAATACATTAGTATGCTTTAGATGGAACACACAAAAATGCACTTTTTGTCAGACTACGTGTATTGTATAGATATTTCCAGCGTAAATATGACTGATTTGGTTTTGAATTCAATTAATCTAATACAAAATATTTCTCAATCATACGACTGATCTGCCTATACATATTTGTTTTGTCCCAAAAAACCAGCATTACTACTATTTACACGTAACAAATAATATTAGTAACATTTTACGGAACGGAAATAATATATTATTTACGATAAATATACGAACGAAGCGTTGAGGAATATGCACTTTACATCGCTTTTACTTTGACGATTAGCGAAATACCGCCATGGAAACAGCTTTGAACAAAACGTCACTAATTTATAAAGAAGGGTGCAGAAAACAAACATCACATCGTGTCAATTGCCATTTTCTCACAGCGTATTGACCGACATCTCAATTAAAAAATTCCTATTCAGCATGGCAAAATGAATTGATGCCAAGTATTGAGATACCGTTCCATGGATTCTTTTAAATACCATGTACCCCGTAACTAACCTTGACAAACAAAGCATCACCGCCATGAATGCCTGTATGCACCATTTTTCGCCAAAACTCGGCTCAGTAATTAGTCGCAGCTTATTGCAAGCTATGCACCACAAAAGCTAAAGCTAGGCTTAAGGCCGTATCGTCAGTCGTCCCTACAATAAATTATACGACGCCTTTGAGGCTTCCTTGGTTTTCATAGTTTTTGCTGTCCTTCATAATAATAATAATAATAACAGGGCTTTATTTACATAGTACAAAGTAGCACAGGTATAAAGACGAATTGTCAGCGTAGCTGTTTTTCAATTTAACCTAGGTAAAAAACATCAAGATTAAACGTTTGCACAAGTACACACCATAATCTACTAAAAAAACAATACAAAAAAAATATATAAATGATATTAATCTAATGATGTTTCATAAATTTGAATGAGAACTGTTTCACGAAAAAAGAAGTAAATAAGTATTACAAAGCATGATAAACCATGTCATAAACCTAATTCATAGCCAGGGACTAAAAAACTACGACATCAACTAAAAGTTCAGCAAGTATGACAATCAAGATATTATCATTGCTCTGTCTAGATTACTTAAGAGGACAAAACAAGAATGGAAATATAGAAACGCCCGGATTTGTGGAAGAACAAAAATTGGCTTTTGCACCATGGTAACGCCCCTGCTCATGCATCGTTACTTGTGCGCGAATTTTTGGCCAAAAACAACACTCCAATAATGCCTCACCTACGTATTCCCCAGACCTGTGACTTTTTCTTGTCCCCGAAACTGAAGAAACAAGATCACAAAAAATGATTTTTCAAAATGCTTCGAGGATTGGAAAAAACGTTATCACAAGTGCATAATGTCTGATGGGGATTATTTTGAAGGGGACAAAATAGATATTCATGAATAAATAAGTAATTCTTGAAAAAACATGAAATTCGCAATACTTTTTCAACAAACCTCGTATAACAGGGGTGTACACCATGTGTATACAGGATCTTTATTAAAAGGCAAGAAAACACAACCAAAATGAGGGTCTGAAGAGCAACTGCGTCCTGGTATATGCAGTTTCTAAAATGCACTAATGTGAGATATGTTGAAAATGTTTCTTCCTGATGAAAGTCTATTTCATTTAGATAACATTCTACACAAGTCCGTTTAGAATATTACAATAATACATGCTACAAATAAGTAAAACTTGATGTGTACGCTTCACTCCGAAAAAGCTGACTTTTACACTAACCTCACAAAGCGTGGTTCAGTGCTGTAAGTGCATATAAAAATAGAAACTCGAGCCCGCTTAAAATTAAAGCCCGGCTTATCAATAATATGGAGCATACAAGCAGTCTTTCTTGTCAGGCTGACAAGTCAAGCATTTTGACTTGACAAAAATCCGTACTGGAACGACAAAATCTACCACCGACCGTCATATCTTTAGGAAGAGACGACTGAAGAAGTTAATGTCCTTACGAAACAAATAAAAACTGTCCCATAAAAAAGCGTTACAAGATTGAACTGCAGCAATGAATGCTTGAATATGAGCTACAATTCCGCACTAAAACCAGTGTTTCACTGGAGTAGATAGGTTGTTATGGGATGTGGGACTATCATGAAATTACTGATTTACTTTAACGCCTTTCAATAATTTTTTTCATTCTCCTTCCAAAAACCTAAATTTAAAATTAAGATATAAATCATACGCCTTAAAAATCGAAAAAGTAGAAACATACATCAGTCCTACCATTCCGACTTGTGTTCTTCATATAAAAATTAAATGATATACTTTTTCGAAAATCATATTTTAATCATACTAAACCTATTATTAAAAACTAAAAACTTTAAAGAAGAAATATTCATCATTTTAAAACCACTGTCAGTTAATAGCTGATGCAGTGTATCCTTATTTAAATATTAAATGACTTTTCGCAGTATTTTTTTATTTTTAATCAACCTATTAATATTCATATATATATATATATATATATATATATATATATCTGGACCTCAGAGCCAGACAGTATTAAGTCCACAATTTGGGTAAATTAAGGTTATTGTGTATTCTCCTATACTTTTTCCCGCTCTTTCTGATTCCGATGCGTATTAAGTCCTATCTCGATCAGTTATCAAGGAAATCGTTTTTGAATAGTGCTAAGTCCATCACTTATACGGACTACAACGTATCATTGGCTTTTGATACCATCTGGTTCTATACAAAACCTCATTCTCTGAGGTGTTAAGTCCAAATGTGAGGTTATGTTAAAGGACATGATACTTATTTCATAAGCTGTTTATATTATGTCCATACAGTGAGAGGTAGCATATTTAATATAAAATTAGCTAGAAGCATCAGTAGATTATCAAATTTTGGATTCTTATCATTGCCATTATGACATCTAGAGGCAAAAAACTTGTGGAAATGATACAGTCACGGAAACCTGACGAATGGGCCCCTGAAGAAGATGACATAACCTCATTATCGAATGTATATGACGGTAAGTATATTTCTGAAATCAATCAGTTATTGCCTTTAGATGAACCTGTTCATACAGGGTGGGGCAAAAGTCACGAAGGGATTTGAAAAATTAATAACTTTTTTAAATTTATTTTTTCATTTTTTTTTTCAGGACCGTGTAAAATAAATCCTGGAGATTAATTATGGAGCGTTACAACCTCAATCAACGAACCAAACTTATAGAATTTTATTTTGAATATCACCATTCAATAATTCAAACTCAACGAGCATATCGTCGTCATTTCAATTTGCGGAATTCGCCCTCTGAATCAATGATTCGACGCTTAGTTGCACGATTTCAGCAACAAGGCACAGTTATGGATCTCCCACGAAGCGGAAGGCCACGTTCCGCAAGAAATGAAGGGAACATTCAACGCGTTCAGGAGAGTGTTCAGGAGAATCCGGAAACCTCAACCCGAAGACGTTCTGCTGAGCTGCAGATGTCTCAAAGGTCTTTACGCAGAATATTAAGAGGAAATTTACATCTGTTTCCATATAAAGTGCAGCTAGTGCAAGAACTAAAACCAGCAGATTTTCAAGAACGACTAACTTATGCAGTTCGCTTGCAAAGAATGGCTCGAGAAGATAATGAATTTATTCATTCTCTGATCATGAGCGATGAAGCCCATTTTCATTTGAATGGCTTCGTAAATAAGCAGAACTGCAGAATATGGGGTACCGAGAACCCAAGGGTGGTTCATCAAAGGCAATTACATCCGCTTAAATGTACAGTATGGTGCGCAGTTACGTCTCAACGAATTATTGGACCATTCTTCTTCGAAGACCACGATGGGAATGCTGTATCTGTAGATGGCGACCGATATCGTGATATGATTCAAAATTTCTTAAGACCAGCTCTTGCTGACAATCAAACGATGACTTTCCAACAAGATGGAGCCACTGCGCATACTGCTCGAGCCACTATGCACCTTCTAAGGCAGATTTTTGGCGAACGTTTAATTTCGAGAAATTCAGGATTCAATTGGCCCGCCCGCTCGCCGGACTTAACAGCCCCTGATTATTTCCTTTGGGGATATCTGAAAAGAAAAGTGTATATTAATAAACCCACAACCCTGCAGCAACTAAAAGATAATATTCGAGCAGAAGTAAGTGCTTTGGGGCCAGATATTCTGACTCGGGTAATGGAAAATGCTCTTGCAAGAGCTGCACTTTGCGAGGCTGAAAATGGCGGTCATTTGCGTGATGTAATCTTTCACACTTAAATTGTAAACAAACTCCAAACATTGCATTTTAGTTTTGTGTTAGGGAAAAAAATTAAAATTAAAATTTAAAAAAGTTATTAATTTTTCAAATCCCTTCGCGACTTTTGCCCCACCCTGTAGTTGTAAGTAAAATTAGCTATCGAAAACAGAACTGGTTCTCAAAGAATCTGCTAACAATAATACTGGCTATGCACGATTTCAAGTTTAATAAAAATGAAGAAATAGCTTCTACTTGGCGTCTTCTATTGTAACGAATGTAATGTTTGCATTCATCTTTTCAGGGCAGTTGCAATGTGATGAGGAGACCGAGATTCTTATGGAATTAGAGGCAGTACCAGAATCTTTGGACGGTGGCATACCAAGTGATGTAAAAGTGATTGCAGTAGCAGTAGATAACAATGATGAACCGATGCTATTCGCTGAAAACGTAGGAGATGAAATTATTCCAGTTGTTGACAAAGAATACGAAAAAAATGATACTTTGGAAAGTTGTAGTAGTGATAGTAAGCACCCTATTGCCAATACTGTCCTAACAGAGTATCATTCAGACTTGAATTACCAAACCGAAACATGTAGTAGTTCCAATGAATCTGTATCTTCTGCAGCTACTATTGAAAAAAAAGGAAGAAAACGTTCCAGAAACTGTAAAAAATGGAAGAACAACATCAGAAAAACAAAGAAAGCAGCAGGCGAGGAATATGTGTCAGCAAAACAGAAAGTAATTCCCGCAAAAAGTATGAAACTACCCTGTGGTGTTGATTGTAAGAAGAAGTGCACTCTAAATATCTCATCTGATGATCGAGCTTCAATTTATTCCCAGTTTTGGAGCAGTGAGCTACTTGTGGACCAGAAAGGCAATTTATTGCTGGTTGCATAGAAGAAGTTCCAGTGCAACGTGTTCGTACTAGAACTGGGTCACGTGCTGGTAAACGCAAATATTCATTGAGATATTTTTTCACGGTGAACGGCAAAAAGATTAGTGTCTGTCGTACTTTCTTTATCAACACTCTAAGCATCTCTCAAACATCAATCCGCTTTGCATTAACAAAAAGACTGAGCAGCGGCGTTGTGATACCTGACCAAAGGGGCAAACACGAACCACCAAACAAAATTGGTCCTGAAGTGAGGAACATCATAAGAGAACACATTCAGAAGTTCCCATGTGTAGACTCTCATTACTCACGGAATAAAAGCCAGAGGCGCTACTTGGGAAGTCATCTCAGTATCTCCAAAATGTATCAATGCTTTTATGAAGAATGTATAGAAAAGAAATTGAGTCAAGCAGAAATCCCGAAACAGTGGTTATACGCAGATATATTTAACACCGAGTTCAATCTGTCATTCAAAGAACCGGACAATGACACCTGCGATACATGCGATGAATTTCTTATCAAGTTGAAAGATGCTGGATCAGTGGAAGAGCGAAATGAATTACAAAAGAAGTATGAAGCTCATCTTCTGGATGCTGATAACCGTTACACGTATAAACGAAAAGACAAAGAGGGAGCTAGAGCTCAACCAGGTATAAAAATGATAACTGTTGATTTACAAAAATGTCTTGCTACACCTTTGCTAAAAAATTGTCAAAGTTTCTACTCCCTCAAATTATGGACGTTTAATTACACTATTTATGATGCAACAGACAAATCTGCAGATTGCTTTGTTTGGGATGAGTCAGTGGCCGGTCGTGGAGGTAATGAGATGGCTTCATGCATGATGAGATATATCTTAGATCTTCCTAATTCGATTGAAAGGATTATAATTTGGAGCGACAATTGTCCTTCTCAAAATAGAAACCAGCAGATGATCATGTGTTATTCTTACCTACTTATGATGAAGCCTTCTTTGAAATGCATTGAGCATAAGTTTCTTTTGCGCGGACATACCCATATGGAGGCAGATACAGTACATGCAAGAATTGAAAAACAAATCAAGTCACTACCTCAGTTCCAAATATGTACACCGTGGGATTGGCAGCAGCTAATCAGGTTGTGTGGTCCTAATATAGCCGTAAAAGAAATGGAAACAGATAACTTCAAAAATTTCAATGATCTACAAGGATGTATTTTTCAGTCAAAGAAAAAAACAGTGACAAACCAAACATTTTTTGTATCAAAAGTGGTGCACATGAAATTTTTGGCGGAAACACCTGGAGTAATGCATTTCAAAACAAAATTCTGTCAAGAAAATTTCGAACAGATCGACTACCATAGAGTTAATCGCAGATCAACACGACAATTGAATAATCCCAGTACATCCAGTTTGCCCACGCTGCTGCCCATAAGAAATGATCCAAAACCAATTTCCACAAAAAAATACACTGATTTGCAAAAACTATTGAAATGGGTGCCGCAGCGCTTCCATGGTTATTATAAAAATCTTCGCCATGAGGCAGTTCATGAAGATGACTAGATGGTTGAATATTTGCATAGAGTGCATTATTATAATTAAATTTTACTATTAAAGTTAGTATTAATGAGTCTATGTAATGAGAACCCAAATAAACGTTATTTTTTTCTATTTTCAATTATTTCTTTATTGCTGTACAGGACTTTGTCATCAAATGTACAACATTGACTGAGAGCCACACTGTATTAAGTCGCTGATTCAGGTATTTAGTCACAAGATATTATGTCCATTCTCAGAACCATACAATATTTTGTCCACAAGTTGTGTTTCAATCAAAATTTTTAAATAAAAGGGTGTATTTTCACAACTGCTTGTGATACCTTTCAACCAACATTGACTGGAGCCAGCAAAATACATTTTAGCATCATACCTGGGACATCGTCCATAGCGTATTCTACAATCTAAATTCTTCAGATTGCTATACTGGAAAATTTATAAAGTGTGACTTAATACTGTTTAGTTCTGACGTCCAGATATATATGTATATATATATATATATATTTAAAATTAGGTTAAAAACATCATTTTTGATAATTATTTCAATTTCAGTCTTTATTCAAACCACTATCTGACAAATATAGCAAAACTATATTAAGGACATCGTGTCAAAATTACTTTGTTTGCTGCAATATCAGTCAGTGAAGTGAAGCGAAAATGTGACACTTTTTCCAAATTTGTGACATGTTGATCAAAGCTTCTCACACGATTTCTATTGATTGATATCAGTATAACGTTAATACTTAGCTAATTGTGGATTCAGTAGCATAAGCCACTCCTTGCTGTTGAAGCACATATAGCCTTTTTTCTACTGCATCTTTATCTGCAAATAAAATTTAAATAAGCATCGAGTAATGCAGCTTATGGATCGAAGCAAATTTAAATGGACATTAGCAGTTAAACTGAGGAAACCCGAACAGCAGGCGCCCCATCCCGTGCTATGCGCGCAAGGACCCACAAAATAAATCACGAGGATCAAATGTCGTGGAGTATTACTAAAGCTGCATTTTGTATTGATGAGAGTTCATTATAAATATTTTAGGTTTATGAAATTACTTGAATACTTACACTTATTGAGAAGCAATTTATCGTGTTGATTTCGCACTTGCTGCGAAAGACTGTGGAGAAGTATCTGAGCAGTCTGGTATCGTTGGAAACACAACTCCGGATTGCCGAATAGTTCATCCAATGCTGCTGACTGACACTGAAAAATGATTAAATATGCAGGTAAGTCACTTACTATGGAACGATAGAATCACTATCTTTCAAGATGTTTTACTGGCAAACAGTCAAAGGTAAGCTTTTTTTTATAATGAATCGCATATCAACCAAACACTGAAACGCTATATCAATCTTCTTTTCTTGGGAGGATCTATCCATTCAAAATAATGTCAAACTATGTGATTTTTTTTCTTATTAATTATATTATTTTCTTATTTAATGGTACATTCAGATAGACGCCTCTAAGAGAAGAAGCTATAGCGTTTTTATGAGTATTGTTCGTTGAGTTACAAGGAATTCAACGTAGAAAATGCTCAACTTTGGCGGCATCAAGTTATCACATTTTCAAATACATGAAACTTACCATGTTGATAGCATGATCGTATATGATCTTATCAGCGGTAATGTTGGTGTTGGCGATTTTTTCCATAAGTCCGTTTGTGTTGATTTCTTTGCAAATCGCGAGAGTTTCTTTGAATTTCGAATTCATCGTCGTAACAACTGTAATAAAAATAATTTTTATGGACATATACAATAAGCCCTGTAAATGGTGACATGCATGAGTGCATCTTCTAGGGACGCTTCCTTACAATATTAATTTGGTTGCATGACGTTAGAGATAAATATGAGTGATCTCAAAAGTAAGTGTAGATCAGTTCTATACATGCAACATGTATCCGAGGTGTGAGAAATAAGTTCCGGGGATTTGTCAATACAAAATACAAGCAAATAAGTTAAATAAACCTTCACAATAAACAATGATTACAATATTGCTCCTAGGATTGGAATCACCGTTGGTAATCAAAAGTGAACTTATTCAGTACTACAGTTTGACCTCTTTTAAGCTGCAACGACGAATTTCCTTGAGGTTAGATTTCATTTTTAGATATAAAAATCGCAGAAGGCAATATCGTGTATGTGCAGCATTTTCACGACGCCACTAAAAAGTTACTTTGGAAAAAACATTATCTCAACGTACTAATGACTAACGATACAGTGCCGCTAGTTCCCGAGTTATCATTAAATTCCCGCCACATATCCTACGTGTTCCCATTATTTCTCTATGTCCCCTATAGAATCACGGTACCGCTTGCAAGCTTTGTCGTGCGACGTTCAAGGTGACTGAAATAAGAAAAACCAAAGCAGAAACACAAATACGAACCGTTCTTAACATTTGTACTGGGCCTCAATTGCCCTGACTGCAATTGCGTCGTTGCCAGATTCAGCCCCGAGCTGAGCAACTGCATCGCTCTGAGCATCAGTACCAGTCGTTCTGCCACGCGACGTTCCTTATCAGTTGGCCCGGTGCGCACCAGGCTGCTTCTGTTCGCGTTGTCTTGCTGTTGCTAGAATAGAATAAAACTTTATTATATCGCCTATATTTTACAGCTAAGAAAAAAAGGCGAATAAAACGTACAATATAACACAGCAGGTATAGGTATTTCTGGTCCGATCTGTCCACAAAACATCTGATGTTTAAATATTGCAAACAAGCTCTAATTTCGTGAAGAAATCCACTAAGAATTCATGGATTTATTTGACGTCAAATTCCTGTTTTACTTAAGTCATGAAGAATCCCGTGGGTATAAGCAGTACATAGCAGAAATCATATAATGTCATGCATGCGATAACCATATTTTCAAAAATGCTGCCACTGTTTTGTGTAATACCTGTTGTTGCTGCACCTGATTGCCCTGCTGTTGGCCTTCCCTGGCCCTGTTGGCCTGTAGCTGCGCATCCCTGGCTGCGACCTTGGCCAAAGCGGCGGTCAGCGGGGCGATTCGATCATTGGCCAGTTCAAGAATGCAGTCTGTCAGAGCTAGGACGAAGTTCAGCTTCGCCAGGGTCTCGTTGTGTTCACGCTAAGAGAAAATATACTTAATAAGGTACAGAACATAAATTTAAAAATCGATTGCTAGGAACCTTAGCGTTCCTTCTTGCCATTGTCTCACTTTGATAGCCTTTGTTGCCTTAGTGAAACTACTAAAATGTATTCTAACCTCATTTCCTCCTCGTTAAATCAAACGTGAACACTTGATCGCCGCCACTGTTCGCTTGTCGCTGCCACGCACAGGCATTCATGGTCCGCTGACTAATAGGAGCTCGCAAATTTAAACTTCGCACGCTGCTGTTTTGACGTAAGTGGGATATGAATACACTTTGTACTGCTTTCATATCTCTATCTCCGTTAAACATAAACATGCAATATTCCTGTGAGTGAGGACCTTTGATCATGTAATAGGCCACTTGACTCATATCTAATTCCATATAATAAATGAGTATTTCTTACAGTATTTGGGTTAGGAAAACTAAATATATCGATTTCTATTTTTAAAAGCGCAAAATGTATATACAAGTTGAATTTAAGAAATATATTGTTTATTTGCAACGGTGTAAACGCTATCGGCCATGATGTGACGTCATAGAAATTGTAAACAAAGAAAGGTCTGTGACAAACGTCGTCTTTTTTTAGTATTTCTAAAAAAACTTCTAATAAACGTAAAAAGTTACCGTTTTCTCGTTTTATCGAAAACAAAATGGAATCATGGATGTTGGGATTTGTAAAAGCAAAAAGCACATTTGCCGAAATTTTGTACTTCAATGGTTAGTATTTTTTGCCTTCAAGCCAGATTGCTGCTTTGCTGAGCTGAGGAACGTCAAGACTTTGATGTAAATACAGTGCATCTGATACAGGGTGGCGATATATGTAATGACTGGTTCGTATCTTGAATATTTGTCAAATGAAATAAAATACGTCCATTTTTTACATCTTAATATTGAAACTTAGAAATTACGTATGAAAAATAATATCAGACAAATGTCCGCATCTAGAAGCCGGGCAAACCTGAGCACTCTTGACTAAATTTTCCATAACATTTTGGTAGGTTTCGGGAGGAATATTTCCAATCGCTTCCGTAATATGTTTCTTCAGCTGCTCTACAGTATTTGGTTTGTTGGCATATCAGTGGCGGCTCGTGAGGTAGTGCCACGGTGCCATGGCACTACCTTGTCTTCTTCAAAAAGAATATTTTTTTCAATCTTCAATGTTTTACTTTATTTTTTGCTTTTTCATTTTTTTTTTGGTATAAATTATATGAAGTGACAACACTGACAACGTGACAACACCGCAAGCACCCGAACCACGCGACGAGATATAAAGCATGCCTTGACCTTGACGTCATCAACTTGTGCCAATGTCGGGCCGGCCCAAATAAAAAGAGAGAAATTTTACCAGCATCGCATACGAGCGACAGAGATAACGCTACAATACACATTTTTATATGAGGTGAATAGCGAAAGACAAGTATAATTTGTGCCAGGCACATCATCAGTCGTAATTCGTTATCAAATGATATCGGCGGTGTTTTTGTTCGGTCGGTCGTTTCGTTATGATTACGTCTAGTGCTGATTTCGGTCTTTTTTTACCTGAAAAGTGAGAAATAACGTTTTTGTTTTAGTACGTCTAGTGTTAATGAACTGCTCTGTTTTGTGATCATATTTTTTACTGTTTTATTAAAACTAGTGAAAATGAATAAAATCGGGATATTAAAAAACTCATTTAGTGGTTTTTCGCTGGATCAAAAACTGCAAATTAAAGAATTAGGACGGCCAATACCCGATTTAAAAATTGAGAAACAAAGTGGTAGCGGACAAAAATCGCGCTGTCGCAAATTTAATAAAAATGTGTACGATAAAAACAGCTGGATATGTGGTTGTGAAGAAACGAATAAACTATTTTGTTTTGTATGTGTTCTATTTGGAGGTGACGAGACTTGGTCAAAAAAAGGTACAGATGATCTTATACATATATGGGATAAAATGAAGACCCACGAAAAATCTAAAGTCCATATGAATAATGTTTTTAGCTTTTCTATTCTTGGTAAATTAAATATAAGGACTCAACTCAATTCGGCTTATCGCAATGATCTAATTAAACATAATAATCAAGTGGATAAGAATCGATATGTATTGAATAAAATTATTAATTGTATAAGGTTTTGTGGAGCATTTGAGTTAGCCTTAAGGGGTCACGATGAAAAGGAAAATTCGGAAAACAGAGACATATTTAAGGAGCTGGTGAATTTTAGCGCCGAATTAGACAACGAATTGAAAGTCCATATTCAAAGTGCCAAACTTTTCAAGGGTACCTCAAAAACAACTCAAAACGAGCTTCTTGAGTGCATGCTAGATGTTTATCATGAAGAAGTTAAGAAGGAGATTGCAAATTCTCCTTTTGTTGCAGTAATTGCCGATGAAACGACTGACGTAGCCTGTGAATTTCAGTTAGTTATTATTTTCAGATATTTGTGTAAAGGACAACCAGTTGAGAGATTTTGGAGATTTTACGTCCCCGACGGACACGATGCCAAATCAATCGCTGCATGCGTTTTAAATGTTGTAAATCCATTAATAGATCAAAATCCAAACAAATTAATAGCTCAAAGCTATGATGGTGCGTCTGTTATGAGTGGTGAATTGAATGGCGTTCAAAAGATTATTAAGGAAACTTATCCACTTGCAAATTATGTTCATTGCTATGCACACCAGTTAAATCTAATTATGACAAGCGCATGCTCTGTCAATAAGCAGGCTAGAATATTTTTCCATAATTTATCTGGATTGTGCTCTTTTTTTTCGACGTCTCCTCAAAGAACAAAAATTTTGGATGAAATAGTTAATCGCAGATTGCCAAGATCTTCCCAAACACGTTGGAATTTTCAGTCACGAGGTGTTCATACGTTTATGAAAATAGGAAAGACCTGATTGAAGTTATGGACAATATAGAAAGTACTTCACGCGATTCTTCGTCGATTAATCAAGCCAGTGGGTACAAATTAAAGCTGCAAGATACAAATTTTGTATTTTGGCTAAGTATATTCCATAAAATAATGCCACATGTTGAAATTGTCTTTAACCAATTACAAAAAGTATGCACCGATTCTGTTAAGGTCAAAAATGATTTAGAGAATTTTGAAGCAGCAATTCAAACTATACGAGAACAAATGGATAGCATTATTGACGAGATTGAACGAGTGCAGAGAGAAACTGATGAACCGGCAAGAAAAAAAAGGCAAGTTGAAGAAGGCAGCAAAAAACGGGAAGCGTTAGAAATATGCGATGCAGTATTATCGCAAATAAGAACAAGATTTAACTTTTCTGGGCATTTAGTTGCTTCTAATTTATTTGTGTCTGAAAAGTTTTCTGTTTATAAACATCAGTTTCCTGAAGCACATTTAAATGACACATGCACACAATTTTCATTTTTAGACAAAAACAGGCTTAAAACTGAGTTACAAGTATTATATCAGAGAGAAGAATTGAGTACTACTTCTGGAGCTGTTCCACTATCCATTTTATTGAACGAGGAAGGATTAAATTGTACGTTTCAAGAAACTCTTAAGCTCTTAAGTATTTTAATCACTATACCGATGTCAACATCTGAAGCAGAACGCTCTTTTTCAATGCTGAAACGGATTAAAACTTTCCTCAGAAACACAATGAAGGAAGAAAGGCTTAGTGCTTTAGGAATGCTGTCTGCAGAAAAACATTTTGTTAGTGGCATTGAAAATTTTAATAATAAGGTAATCGAAAACTTTGCTACCAAAAAAGAAAGAAGAATGGACTTCATGTATAGAAAACTTTGAAGTTATAGGTACTTCTCCACACTTGTTTTATAATTTGGTGCGCGTGTGTAAATAGTTTTATTTTTGATTTTTTTTTGGACATATAGATTTATTGAACCTCAAGAACTTTGACCACTAACTATCAGGGGTAAGTTATAAGTTATTCTTTACAATTTTGAATCGATTCAAAATTATGGCTTCCATTCTGGCACTACCTCACTGAATTGGCACGAGCCGCCACTGTGGCATATACCCTATTTTTCAAAAATCCCCTTAAAACGTTAAATCCGGTGACCTTGGTGGTTAGTTGACATCACCAAATCGAGAAATTAACCGTCCCGGAAATATTGTTCGCCGAAGATCAATTGTTTCCCTAGCTGGGTGACAAGTTGCTCCGTCCTGCTGGACCAATATGTTTTGCAGGTTAAATGTTGGATTTGAGGAGTCAGAAAGTTTTGCACCATATCACGGTAGCGCTCGCCAGTGACAGTAAGAGAATTACCTACAGCGTCTTCAAAGAATGACACCTCCATACCAAACACCGCACCAAACTGTGACTCGACGAGGATGTAGTGATCGACACGAGGGTTATCTAATTCCCAGATTCGTTGATATAGAAGTGGGCTGCATCGCTCATTATCAGTTGTCGGTAAAAATCGTTATTGGCAAGTCTTTAACTTCATATGTTTGTTCAAATTTCCGCACCAGCTGACGAATTGTGTTGACACTGGGTACATTATTTCAACCGAAATCTTGGCGCAGCTTCCGAATCGTTGCAATAATCGACTCATTATTTAAGTAAAACGTTTTAACAATATGGACGCGTTGTGGAATCGTGTAGCGCCATGATGAATTGAAATGCGTGTATCAAAAATGGTGCGGAATTTAAAGTCAGTTATATATTGGCCACCCTGTATATTGATAAAAAATACAATGGATGAAATGAAGGGAAAATTATCGTATTACAATATTCTCGCATCAATGGACGTTCAAGAAGTCAGTTGATAAACACATCGCTGAGGGGCAATACTCGTAGCTATATAACATCTTGTAAACATAACTGAATTGCAGTGATGTATCTTCGGCATTAACATACCATTAATATATTACAGATATTTACACATTGATAAAATGGTGAAAAGTCGCAACATTGAAACAACTTACCTCTAACAGAGTCTCTTCTGGTAACTCAGGCGCGATAAAAGTGACAGGTCTCTGCTGCGACTCTGAGAATTCGCCTCCCGTCAGATCCCCAGCCTCGGATAGTGAAGCACTTCCGCTGAGGATCACGTCGTTGTCGAAGAACACGTTACTGTAAAAATAATTTTGTTTCAACTACAAAATAATAATGCACAGCAAAAGTTGTTTGACCGCCCAGCCACTATTCGCTTTCTATTTGTGTAGGAAAAATGTATTCGAAAAAACAATATTTCCGCAAACATTTTCCCTCACTTTGAGTGATTTGACGGTTTCCCCTGGTAGACCAAGCACTTTATGGAATTGAGTTTTCAAAATGCGAGGTCCTCACCTTATGAACAAATATCAAGTGGGAATATGTCAAAGGATCTTACTTAGCCTAGTCTCTGGTGATCATCGAGTATCCCTGGCAACTATAAACTTCTCTAACTTCTCCCTGATTTTCTAGAGACACCTTGTATAATACCTACCCGTAATTACCCTCTGATATCTCTGGCAAAGTCATAGCCCGCGTACAGAACGGGACCACAGGCGAACGCCCCAGGCTGTTGTTATTATCACCCATCAGATTGGGGGTGCTAAGCATCGGTACTCGTGCCAAAGGACCAGTCAGAATAGGCGGAGAAGTGCCTGTGAACAAAACCATATCTACATGTTCAACCCTCGCCGATTGTCAAACCGTTACCTTTGATAAAATTTTAATATACGGTGTAGAACAATGCGAAATATGATTAATTTCCATCCAACAAATTATGGACAGCACTCTCCACCTGATAGAGGATAATTTGGTTCAGCTCGATATTGACATATCCACCTCTACTGTCAGGCTTTAAAAAGTGCATTTTAAATTGCGGTTTTATATACATACGAGGAATGTCTTTTAAGTTTTGCATATAGAAACATAGTAGGCCGCGCGGATCGAACATCAGTACTGAATCTTAACCTCACCCTTTAGTAAACTTAAATTCAAAGTTTCACAACGATACGTGCAGTGTTCTCACTACAGTGAATTTTTAAGTGTCACCAAGTCATTAGAAAAATGGAACTCAACCGAGAACATTTTCGCGCCATAATTCATTACAACTTTCAGAGACAATTATCGAAACACGAATGACTTGCTGAGTTACTGTCTGTTTTCGGCAACGAAGCGCCACATCAGTCGACAATTTCTCGTTGGTATGGAGAATTCAAACGTGGACGGGTGAGTCTTAGCGACGATCCCAGGGTGGGTGCACCAAAAACGGCAGTTACCCAGGAAAACGTCGATGCTGTGCGCAAACTCATCATTGAAGATAGACATGTGACATATCGCGAGATTGAGGCGTCTTTGAAGATCTCAGACCTCAATTAAAAAAATTTTTCATGAAGAATTAGGAGTAAGAAAATTAGTTTCTCGTTGGAACCCCACCTGTTGACTGAAGAGCAGAAAGCAGCCAGGGTTAATTGGTGTCAAAAAACGCTTGAGCGTTTCAATTCCGGAAACTCAAAAAATGTGTACAACATTGTTAGTGGTGATGAATCGTGGATTTACTGTTATGAACCAGAAAAGAAACGACAGTCGACTGTTTGGGTGTTCCAAGGTGAAGAAAAGCCAACAAAAGTCATTCTCGAAGTGTTTCGAAAAAGATGGTCGCGACATTTGTGTCAAAAGCGGGTCATATTGCAACAATTCCTCTTAATGAGCTAAGAACTGTTACAGCGGATTGGTATACCACCATTTGTTTGCCAAAAAATCATCAGCGAGCTTCGAAAAATCAACCCCGAAAGAAGAATCATCCTCCACCAAGACAATGCAAGCTCGCATACAGCCCAAAAAACAAGGCAGTATTTAACGGAAGAAAACGTAGAATTATTGGACCATCCTCCATATAGTGCCGATCTGTCCTAACGATTTCTTTACTTTCCCGAAAATTTAAAACAGACTGCGTGGTCAAAGGTTCCAGTCACCAGAAGAAGCAGTTGACGCATTCAAAAATGCCGTTTTGGACCTGCCAGCAAACGGTTCTAATAAGTGCTTCGAAAATTGGTTCGAGCGCATGTGTATTAATCTTCGTGGAGAATACTTCGAAAAACAATAAAGTCATTTAAAACTACCTACCGTGTTGTTTTATTTCCATATGCAAAACTTGACATCCCTCGTAATATTGTTTTTGTGAGCTTGTACGTTTTAAATGTTATTCTCGTATTTCTGTACTCGTATAATTTTATTTTGTAAAAATGGGGTAACGCGGATATTTTGTGAATAAATAAATAAAACACGCCTCGAATAGAAAAAATCCGTTACTAACGTGAGAAACCTCCCAGAACAAAACTATTTTTGACACAATCTTTTTTATAAAAATAATTCATCATTCTACATTTCGATTTAAAACCATGTAACATATGTGAGGAAATGTAAAAGATATTTTCACCGGTAGTGAAGCCAAAAAGATGTATCTGGAGACAAACATTATTTTCAAAATAAACAAATTTCTTCTTTGAATTCTCAGACGCTCTGATATTTTTGATGGCTATATTTTGCTTTCAATCTCTGTATTTCTCGGGGTTTTCTAACTTAATGAAACTTATCGCCAACTTATTACAAGTGTAAAGCTTTTTTTTCTCATACCTGATCTTCTCAATGGTGAATTCATCGGAATACTCTTAGCTGCCGAAACAGGTGATACAGTCCATATGTTCGGAGGAGGTGGAGTCTCGCATAAGCTACCTGAAGTAGATCGTCTCCTATTGCCTGGGGGAGTTCCGATCACAAATTGCACCTAGAAAAAAGAACAACATTATAGCTGACTCTAGCTTACAACATCATTTTTTAAGCAAACTTATGTATTATAGTATCCAAAAAATGATCCATGATGAAATGAGATACGATAACATCTATGAAAATTTGTCGCACATATAGCGTATATCTGGCTACAGCGCTATCTATCAGAGAGAAGATTTCTAATTAGAGAGAAAAACAGCTGTGATAATTTCTCATAGATATCGCTAGGGTATCTCATTTCAACTCTGAAAAATTCTTGACGAGGAAAATATATTATTAGGATGGCTATCTCAGGTAGAAAATGTTAATCAATGATTATACTAAATTAAACTCACCGACGGTGGTGACATAGAACTAATATCTATGTCAGACGTCTGCCTTTCAGGCCTCTTCTTCATGGTTATGGGTTGAGATCTAGGAACGCTACTGCTAACCTAAAGCACAATTATTTTGGTAATTTCTGCCACCATGGAGCCTATATACCTGGAGAACTGAGGCAATGCTGTTCGTGCTGCAAGACGACCAAAACACTCGATGACTGGAGTACCAGTGGTGCTTTGACAGGGTTGCCATGTTGCGCTGTTTTACCCCAAGTTTGAGAGACTTTTACTTGGGAAATTTTTGGGGATACATTGTTCTGGTGGATATCACACGTTTCGCGGATAGAAAGCATCCCCCGCTCTTTGAACCAAACCATTAATTAACTGTGATTTGTTTTTTTTTTGAAATTCTGTCTGATCCATCTGGCAATGTTGTGCTTCAACAGATCCGCCATATGAACACTTTCCTCAGTCTAAGATCCGGCCACTTGAATCTGCAGGTATCTGTTTCTTCATAGGACTTGAGTTTTAGGTATGATAAATAATAGTAGGACAGATTTGCCTGTCAAAGGCAGATTCAAGCCGACGTATCTCGAAATATATCCTCAGATACCCTGGGCGTGCAAAATAGCTGGTACTCGCTTCGATCACTGTGACCTCAGCCAAGTTTTGGGGTGTTTTTTTTCTCACGTCGCCAGTTCTTGTGGTATACAGGCTCCATGTCTGCCACCTACAAATTGCTATAAAATTTTTGAAGCATCAATAGATCTTTCCAGCGATTTTCGCGATAACGGATCAAAATCATACAAAATAAGTAACCTAATCGAGTAATTGTACCTACCATAGGAAGAGCTTAACTTTCCTAACTAAGTAAAATTGCACTGCATAAACAGATCTCTAACACAACTGCTTTTCGCTTTTAGATGAAGTGGACGTTGCTATCATTTACTTTCTAGAAATTCTCCATCAGATTATTTAGCAAAAACTGTCAACATTGACACTATCTGTATTTCTAGACATTTCTATACAGGGTGTAAACGTTATTGTAGTCATTATTGAAATGGGTAATAGGGGAGTCAAAACATGTCAAAAAGTGCATATGACCCATGATCCAAAAGTCGATAGATTTCTGCCTAAATGGCTTTATAGTTTACAACTATAAGTGCTTCATATCGACCACAATCTTACGATTTTTTATAATCTAATATAAAACGTTTTTAAATTGGGTAATTAACAAATAAATGGCATTAAGTTTTTTTAAGTTAAGCCAAAATTTGTAGTCAGTAAGTAAGTTTCATTAAATTAAATATGTAAGACACACATTACAACAGCGCGTCGGTCATTCATCACCCTTGTCGAACCGGCAATCGATCGCAAACGGTAACAGTGGTTAGTTATTGTTCGCGTACGTCGTCGTGTTTATTTACAATGTTCTCGAATCAAGAGTTCGCCGATATGTTGTTAGTTTACGTTGAAGCTCGGCCGAATTCAAATCTTGCAGCTCAAATTTATCGCGACACTACACTACACTAAAATTCGCACTCGTGAAAGACAGGTTACTGTAGAGCAGGAGGAACAAATTTTAAATATCGTGGAAAAATGCAGATATCAGCACTCGGGAATTATGCCGCCGCCTAGGACTATCGCACACCATAGTCCATAGAATTCTACGGGAAAATTTGCTTTATCGCTACCATGTACAACGAGTGCAGGCCTTGTTACCAGAAGACTATCCTCGCAGACTAACATTCTGTCAGTGGTTTTTGCACAAAAACATTGAAAATCCGGATTTTTTAAAAACATTCTAGCGACGGGATATTAAATTTCCATAATACTCACACGTGGGCTCAAGAAAATCCTCATACCACGTGTGAAAGTCGTAATGAAGCTTGTGTGGAAAGTGAAGGACGTCATTTTGAACACCGTCTTTAAATCCAAAAAAGTGCAGAGTGGGTTTTAAAAAGAAAAAAAATGTATGTATCAAAATTGGGTTCCCTATTTATAAGTGGATTTTTTTAATAGGTTCAATAAACTTACACACACCAGGTGAACCGCTGAGACAGCTAGTGGTAAGTCCGTTTTTTTTAATTGTTTGCATTTTCCGAGTACATTATCAAATACTGAAATAATACCCAAGAGCCAAAAATAACAAACTCCACCTTTATTTACACTGCGTTCTGTCGTAATTTGCGTCTGGCATTGCGGCGTTGTCGGATTTTGTTTTACTTTTAAGTCGCTTGTCTCTAAAAAAATGCCGTTTCGACCCCAATATTATATGAAACTTTATACTACTTTTAACCCCCTCTATCAGCCATTTAAATAATGACTATAATAAAGTTTACACCCTGTATTTTAAGTGAAAGATCGACAAAAGCTATATTCAAATCGCACGCCCACGTCAATTGGGTTGTCAGACTGACACTGATAATCATGATTGCAGAATTTTCATACTCAACGAGATCTTCGAATTCACTGGACAAAACTAAAAGATGCAGACAAGATCCATATGTGTGAGGAAGATGGAAGCATGAAACTGATACCGGTAGCTTTACTGTGACCCGCCAGAATCGATGGAGAAAATTATAATTACTTAAAGAATATTTTATAATTACCGTCGTTGGAGATGATGGTTCATCTTTCTTCTTTGTTTGATTATAAATCTTCTTGAAAGCTTCTCTTTGCGTAGGCACCGGGATAGGTTCTGATATGGGCAGAAAACTGGGTCTGGTAGGACTAGCCACAGGGCCGTAAGGTAGCGGCGTTGATTTGACAGGCAGCTTAAATCTAAAGAGGGTATAAGTTGGATTGACACTATTTGACAGATTTTGTAGACGAGATCCTACGATACTACAGGAACTATGATGCACAGTCAGCCCTTGAATTGGAATAGTTACTTATCTGATATAATCTCACATGGTAAGATATGGTGGGTGTACATCCCGTAGTGTAACTTCTGCAAGGTTCCCATTTAGGTCCGTTGTTACTTAGCATATTTATTAATGATCCGGTGAGTTTAGTACGCAGTGAAATTCATTTATTTGCGGACGATACGCGACATACTGATACGTCCTTTGTCCCCTTTCATCAAACAAATTATTTATGGTTTCAATGCACCTAGTTTAGATGTATTTGGAACTCCTGTTAATACGTTTAAACGAGTTGTAAGAACGTTACAATCACGAGTGTTTTGTATTTGAAAACGAGGGTTTTACTCGTTGATTAAATAAACAAATATACTAAGTGACATATAAATCCGAACACCCAGTTTAAATGGTTTTATTTTAATAAAAGTTTGTGAATGTATTTTTCTTACTGTAACAAGTGAAAAAATTTTCAGCCTTATCAGTTGGGCATTCCGGTTTTTATACTGCTTTTTTTTTAATTCACTAACTCTAAAAATGAATATTTCAGCCGCAGTAAAGAATCAACGTTGGCGGATTTTGGTTCTTGACATCCTTTACGATCGGTTACGATGCCTAGAGTACGGAGACCTGTACGATTTCGTCAATTTAGTGAGTTTGATAGGGGCCGTATAGTGGGACTTCGGGAAGCTGGACTTTCTTTTCGGGCAATTGCAGTTACAGTGCAAAGAGGTGTAGACACTGTGGTTAGGAGTTGTCAGGCATGGCTTCGAGAAGGCCGTACGCAAAGAGCAAGGGGCACTGGACGCCGCAGTAGAACAACAGACCGTGAAGATCGCCGCCTAAGATTATTGGCCTTAAGGGACCATTTCTCCACTACCAGGTCCATTGCAAATGAATGGTTTGCAGAACACGGAAGACCTATTGGCATGCGAAGTGATTACCGACGAATGAGAAGTTTTGGCTTGTTTTCATACCACACTGGGTCCTCCCTTTAACTCGAGAACACCGACGTAATCGATATTGAGTGGTGCAGACAACGGTCACTCTGGGATCAGGAATGGAACAGTATTGTCTTTAGTGACGAGTCTCGATTTTGTTTAGGCATGCACGATGGTCGTGCCAGGGTTAGAAGGCGACGTGGTGAAAGGAGGAATCCACAGTTTTTTGTTGAAAGACATGTTCATCACACTGTTGGAGTTATGGTTTGGGGTGCTATAGCTTATGGTTCCAGGTCACCTTTAATCTTCATCAGAGGTAACATGAACGTTATATCCACGAAGTTTTAGAACCCCATCTTTTACCCTAACTTGACACCCTGGCAGATCCAACTTTCCAACAAGATAATGCCCGACCACATGTTGCAAGAGTCACAATAGACATAATGATGTCACATTGTTACCATGGCCACCAAGATCTCCCGACTTATCCCCAATTGAGCACGTGTGGGATATGATGGGTAGGAGATTGCTCAATTTGCAACGTCCTCCTCAGACTCTAGAAGCACTTCGAGAGGAGTTGGTGGTTGCCTGGAATGAGATACCACAGGAGGACATTGACCACCTGATCAGAAGCATGCCTAGGCGCGTTGGAGAATGCGTAGCACATCAGGGTGCATCCACACATTATTAAAGGTCAAAGGGCTTTAAAGGAGTGCAATCATTTTGAAATTTTTATCTTGTACTTATTATGCTTCATTAAGTACTTATACCAAATTTTATTAAAATAAAACCATTTAAACTGGGTGTTCGGATTTATATGTCACTTTAGTATAAATGAAAATGAAGATTGATACTCGTACAGCGGCGAATCTCCGATTTTTATTTTACGCACTCCGACACGCGAAATGATGCCGCGTGGCTGACGCTGAATACTCAGTTGCGTAATACAAAAGTGAGCTGCTATAACGGACGTCTGGAGTTGCGCTCGTGTATTAGATATTATTTCTACAACTTACCCCGTCTTGTCTTTTTCTAAACTGCTCTCAGCGGAATTGTCGGAGTGCATCGGGATATTCTGTGGAACTATAACATAATCATCTTCAGGACTTGAACTGAGCGCGGTTCTTGCAGATCTCGGCGATTCTACAAGCGATAGATGAGATAGTTATGAGCAAAGCAGTATATTACAAATGGAGGAAAATGTGTTATATATGGTCCAAGAAACAATATGAAGGCGAGATTTCCTAGCTGTCGAATACGGCGGTAGGGTAAAGTCGTATCAGAGTGCGACACAACCTGCTATTCAACATTATTGTCTGTACTTCAGTTTACAGGGTGCTGTGTATTTTGACTGTTTAAGAATATCTGCAACGTCCGAAAACAAAGAGATGATCAAAGTCATCACAATACTGACAGAGACGTGCGACAACAAAAAGCCCTAGCCGAACTTGGAAGCATTAATAGGCAAGTAGAAAATTCCGCTTTAATATTCGACTATTGCTACAATGGCAGCATTAATTGTCTAAATTGTCAAGCTACTAACGTTAAATGTTGTCAGTGAAAATGAGAAAGCCCCCAAGTAATGAACGAAGATAAATGTTGACGCTGAATGACCGGAAAGCTGCATTTTTTTTATACTCCAACTACCACGAAGGCCTAAGGCCTAAGCGCCCATTGGGTACCGTGGGGCTATAGGGGGATACATGGGTAAGGGGGAACGCCACACGGACTCTGGCGAGGGAACACGTGTGCATGCAACATGCCCACATTCTGGCTCCGCCTACGAGATCCGCCGGGTGGTACCTCCGCGTTCGACAGTCAGAGACCATCTACCACCTACGGACAATCACAACATCCATAGCCAAGAGGAAAATTTCTCCTGGGACGGGACTCAAACCCGCACAGCGCACGGCGACTGATCAGGAGACCGAAGAGTCTACTACTGCGGCCACCGCTGCTGCATCAAGGTTAGTAGTATACTTCAGTTAAGTCACCATAGTTATAGGCATTTGTGTATAGATTTTATTTCTGCGGTGTAGTCTAAATTTTATTTGTGGGCATTTTAAACTAGCGGCAAAGGTTTGTGGAACCATTCGAAAACGCGGACAACCTATTGTACGAAAAGACGTCGCTGCGTCGCGTTTCAGTGAATGGAGTTCGTACACCATTGGACACCTCTGCTGTATATCAGTCTGGATGACTTTCAAAATTACGTTAGATCAATAAGATTTGGCTCTGTAAGGTTGTTATGAGACCAGAATAGGCTTACGCTTGTGCAGCTTGGCGTTTTATTGAAAAAACGTACATGCCAAATTTGCAGGTTATGCAAAGCACGACATTGCGCACTATTAGTGACGTTCCATGGTACGTCTATAACGAAACTCTTTACAGAGACATTGACAGAGATTCAGCAACAGGCGAAGCGGTGCTATAGTCAAGCGGAATCGCGCAGCAACCTTCTGTTGCGCGTGTCAGTGTACTACACAGTCGAGCAAGTTCGCAAGCACAAAAGTTTGCGGCGCGCACTGTAATGAAAAATAGACTATCTTGGCAAAACGAAAAACAATTTTTTGACCATATCAAAATTTGTCAAGTGATTTTAACAATGACTTCTTCTTTCTCTTTGTCCTCTCCATTCCTTCTCTCCTTTTCTGACATGACAGACTTAAAAACCGAATCTATAACACAAGAGCTAAGGTCCTATGGACCGCTCTGACAAACCAACGATGACTTGTGACTGAACAGATTTGTAAAATTTTGTTTTCGACTTTCCAGCGACTACGAGGGTGGTCCCAGAAGTACCCGGCCTGACCTAGAGATGGCGATAGTTGTTTGAAAAATATCATTATATTAGAAAGTATGCAACCTATAAAGCATATGTGTCAAGTTTGAAGACGCCACGTTGTTTAGTATTTGTTTGGCAGCCATCAATACTGAACGTTTTTAGTGAATTTGTGAAAATGGAGAAAATTGGAAATCGTTATGTGGTACAATACTTTTATTTCAAAGGCCTCAGCCCAACCAATATAAAAGCTGAACTGGATTCTACTCTGCGTGAGTCTGCTCCTTCGTTTTCATCAGTAAAATATTGGGTAGCAGAGATTAAACGAGGCCGTATGAGCTGCCAAGACGAGCATCGCAGTGGTTGACCGAATGAGGTGACGACTCCAGAAACGGTGAAGAAAATTCACAATACCTGTGCTGGATGATCGTCGACTGAAAGTGCGCGAGCTAGCAGACATAAGAGGCATTTCAAAAAGTGCGGTTCATCGCATATTATCTGAAAATTTGGACAGCTGTGTGCAAGACAGGTGCCGCACTTGTTCACAATCGAGCAAAAACAGAGTCGTGAAGATGTTTCAATTGAGTGTTTAGCGAAGTTTCACAGCAAAAAAGCAGAATTTTTGCGTCGTTTCATAACCATGGATGGAACATGGTTCCATCACTTCACTCCCGAGACAAAAGAACAATCAAAACAATGGACTCAAAAGGGGCAACCGGCTCCAAAGAAGGCGAAGACCGTTTCATCTGCAGGCAAGGTTATGGCGTCGGTTTTTTGGGATGCGCGTAGGATAATTTTCATTGACTATCGTGAAAAAGGTAAAACTATCAATGGCGAGTATTATGCGAACTTATTGCAACGTTTGAGCGATGAAATCAAGCAAAAACAGCCGCATTTAGTTAAGAAGAAAGTGTTGTTTCATCAAGACAATGCACCAGCTCACAAATCCGTTATTGCAATGGCCAAAATTAACGAATAAAAGTTTGAGTTGCTACCTCATGCACCCTATTCACCAGATTTAGCCCCCTCGGATTATTTTCTGTATCCAAACTTGAAAAAATGGCTCAGTTGTCTAAGATTTTCCAACGATGACTAAGTGATGTTGGCAGTTAACGGCTATTTTGAAGAGCAAGACAGTTCTTATTATAAAATGGGTATCGAACTTATTGAACATTGCTGGGAAAAGTGTAAAGAGTTCAAAGGAGATTATGTTGAAAAATAAATACATTTTTTACAAAATTTTTGTGGTTTCTTCGTTGGGTCGGGGAATTCTGGGACCACCCTCGTATATCGATTTTAGTCCATTTTTTTATCAGCCTTATAATCAAATCTTTTCAAACAAGGTTGTCGAATACCAGCATTCTGCATTTGGTAGCCAGCATGTGACATCAAGCGCTTTCATAGTGTCCACTAGAGTGATCCACTTTGGACCACTGCGCTAAAGCATCGCCCAAATTGCACCAAACCCCGTATACCAACCCATAAACCAAAATGAAGTGCACATTAAATGAGACGAAACCAACAGATGATTCCCTAAAAGTAATGTAAGCCATCAGTTAATGCAGTGTTGTGTTATTAGGTGAACTGCAGCACTTACAAGGAAGTAATTGGTCACACGATTTTCAAAAATAAGTTAGTGTGACAGTTTCCTTGTAAGGGCTGCTAGCGTGTACAGTGTAAGAAAATTACCTGGTTGTGAGTTGGATGGAGACGCCATTTTCATAGGCGTAACGACCCGAGGTGATGAGGCAACCTTAGTCAAGCTCGGTGGTGAACCATACAGTATGTCTGAAACAAATCATCAATGCAGACAATGATTCCTCGTAGGGATGATCTAACGCAAGTCAGTTTAGTTGACTTCCAAAATAGCAACGACTGAATTCCCTGCTTCACAATTCGACTTTCAAATACTACATTTACACACTAGCAATTCCAAATTTGTCGAATCGTATGAAGAAAATTATTTATCATAACTCACCAGTTTGTAAAGGGCTCTGCGATACTGGAGGATCAGGTCTCTTCAAGAATTTGTGATTGAAGAATGTGTCGAAATTCATACGTTCGGGAGCATTTCGTCTCAATAGACCCGTCAGAAGATCAGTCAATTCGGGACTAGTTCCAACTGGTATCCTGGAAAATAGAAAAAAAATGAAGGCGCTGGTCTCAGGGTATCGAGGTTAAGAAATTTCAAACTGACAATTCTCTTTTGATAACAGACCAAATCGTGCAATCCAACGCGTAAGGCTTTAAACACTTATTAGCTAGATGACAACTGTTTTTTAAAAAATAATAACTCAACTTGAATACTCTGCGAACTCCACCTCAAAAATGTGGAAAACACAAAGAACTGTAAAGCAATATATCGCAGAAAATGCGTTAATTTGTTAAAATTCATAAATGTACATTTTACTCACTTAGGGGATAAATTCGCATTTATCTCATAGTATTGTTTTAACGCTTGCGGAGTACTAGCTTGGAAAGGCGCTTTCCCTGTCAGGCACTGAAAAACTATCGTTCCTAAACTCCACAGATCAGCTTTCGCATCGTACTGAAGAGACATTATGACTTCGGGAGCCTACAAACAAAACAAAAAGATGAGTACGTTACACGTATGTTTTTTACCGTGGAATTCTTTCGATCAAAAAATGTATTCTTCGAATAATGACAAACAAAAAAAAATATTTATGTAACTGTTTCTATTGGACAAAATGTACAATCCATACAACTAGTTCCTTCCGTAAATCCGCATGGGTATCATGTAAAAAACCTATAAAACGTCAAAAAACCTATAAGATGTCATCTCACTAGTATCGTTGTGAACGTCCATCTAAGGAGGAATCACTCAACTAAATTAAACGCATTATTGGTTGCATATGTTTTGTGAGGCCAAATGGTCCTTTTCTGTAGTTTTGATCTCTAAGAAGAAAGTTGGTTGAATAGCAAGACTGCATCTGCATGTATATGAAATCAGTGATATTTGCTGTGTGAGAAAATCATTATTGAATATGCTGCCAATGAAGTATATCTATTGGCTGTGCCCGACGGGTTATTTTCATGTTGTGCTTTCTGAAGAGAGGTTGTGTTCAAAGTTATAAATTACGAAAAACTGAGGAGAATTACGGGAAATCATCACTGCGCCCGCGTTTTGTGTAATTACTGTTAGCATGTACTGATACGTGATACCCGTTCCGATTAGTAAGATTATTGGGAGGCCGCAAAACATCCACTTCCTTGCTGCCTCGTGATATTTTAAGATTTTTTGATGACCATATTCAAAACCAGAGTCCCAAATTGCCTAAAGACGCAGAGTTTCGTTAACTTGTATCCACGGAGGATAAAAACTGGAATTTGGCATTGAGGCAATGAAAATTTTCATGATTGAATCTCGACTAAGGCCATTTTTCTAATCAGATTCGCATTCAGAGACTTTAAAAGATACATTTGGAAATCTTCCAAAAATCTTTGCATATCTGCGATTTTGAGATTGTGACCACAAGCCGCTTCCCAGGTAAATCCTTCATGGATTAAGAATCTGTTATCAATTTTTCGCTAAGATCATCGGGACTCTGGAATTATGTTAAGATTTTGTCAAAAAGCTTACCATATACATCGGGCTACCGCACAGTGTGGCCGCCATTACCCCGTCGTGCAGGAATCTGGCGAACCCAAAATCGGCTAAAAGAAAAAAGTACAATTTAGATTCAGGAAGTCTCAAATATTATTTTTTTCAAATTACCAATTTTTAACTTGATCTCAGATGGCTGAGGATGCACCTTCATTCCACTATGCGAAAGCAATATATTTTGTGGTTTCAGGTCCCTATGTACTATGCCTTTGGCATACAGAGCTTTCATAGCACCAGCTGAAAACATGAGATTATTAAAATCACGTTTAAAAAAATTCTATCAGCGTTTTGAATGCCTATGAAGCCCTCGACCGGTTTACAAAGTTAAAAATTAAAATATTGGTGGACACTGATCGATCTTTTCGCTGGTTTGAAAATTTGAGATTCAATAACAAACCATAAAGAATATCGAAGGAAAATGATATGGCAGGAATACTAGTTTGAATAAAAAATTTACATGAAAATTCTTACCTAATTGTATCAAAAATAACCTAATGGTATCTTCACTCAGTGTCCCCTTAGCTGAAAAATACAAGATTAATAAGATCTTATTCATCATTATTCAAATAATCTGACTTACCATGCAAATAATCAGCTAAGTCACCCCCATTACAGTACTGAAAAAAAGAAGACATATTTCAAAAAATAGCGTCAAGTAGGTAGACTCTGCAATTCCTATGCAATGCCATCACTTTATAAAGGGTTACATTCAGCATAAGTTAGTTCCTCTTAGGAAAATGTTTGCTACGAACATGTATAAAATGGAATTAAATGGATCACGTCAATCAAACAATCTCATACAATTTGCTATTGAAAATATTACAGCATCACATATGGAGTAATGAACAGTGTAGTCTGTGAAGCAACAATCCAGACATCTAAATGCTCATGCCATTAAGTCTTCAGTAGAACTCCGAAACCTAAAACGGGTGGCTTTCTGGCAAAGCTCCACCACCTATCAAAAGCAGATATATGCTTGAAGTATTCTTGTTCGAATCAAGAGAAACTAGTGTGAGTTATATTTTGAAATCTACAATGGAAGAGTTTCAGAAAAGCCACGTGACAGTTATGCATCAATGAATACGTAAAGTTCTATGCAGAATCATATTTTTCCTAAATCATCAAAAGCATGATTCATAAAAGATTTTAACAACCATGATTGACATATCGATGAATCACGAATGGCGTAAAGAGGGTAAAGACATCTGGTTAATCAGATTTTCAAACTGCTTAACGTTATTAGAACGATTACTTAACGTATTCTCCTAGATGATCAACCTAATGCTATATTTCCAAGTCCATAAAATGAAATACGTTATCGTTATCTAAGAGAACTGGTAACAGCTGTTTCTCTATTTGCAATATGCAGGGTGTTTTCAAAGTGGAGTCGTTTATTATAACTGCTTGTAGGACTCGCCAGAAGGAGTTGATCACCAATTCAAAAGTTGAATAATAAAAAAAATAGTAAAAGAATGAAATTAAAAAAAAAAGAATCTTGGCGTTTTTTGTTTACTACCGTTTATCTAAATTTGGCAAACTTTTTGTGTTATTGTATTTTCTTCAGTAGCAGTCATTGGAATTTCTCACATTTTAGACGAGAAGTTCATTAACATCTAAATAATGAGTTTCCGAATAGATGGATAGGGATAACCATGTAAACTAACTCTCTCATTATGCAACTTGTATATAGGTGATTTTAGGTATACCAACTTCTTTTGACGAGTTCTATGAGCTGTTAAAATAAATGAGTCAACCCATGTATACTCTGAAAAGGTAAGTGTCTCATAGATAACGCTGATTTGAAACCCGACAAGCCGAAATGATTGGTACCCGGCAAATTTCGGCAATCCATTAAAATACATACGTTTGGGTAGGCCCAAAATTTGTCTTAAATTGTGTAATTATTGGAGTATTGTGTTGATATATTTTTTATCTAGAATTGAAGTGTTTGAGGAAATACAGTGATTGATGAGTATCAATCGGATATGAACGAATAAAATATCATGAAATTTATCAAGAATCATATTTTTTTCATAAATCAAACAGCATCGTCTATTCGTAGAATTATGACTCAAAAATCGTTCCCACCAAAAATGATTGACTGAATTCAACTAACAGACATTACGTATGAGTAGGACACACAAATGGAAAACACACCGGTGGTATCTTATCTTATCAGAAAGGTGTGTTAATACGATATTTGAGGAGCACACATCATTCACAGCGAACTTTTCTAGCAGACGCGTGCTGATGCGTTTATAAGTGCAAATTCAAAAGGTGTGGATAGAATCAGAATGTTGACGAGACTCGCCGTTTGCGTTTTCCTTTGCAATTTCAGGTGAGACAAATATAGTGATATGTTTTTCTTGGTAAACGTCGCTTAAATCTAGATTTCAAGTTTTGCACTTTTCTTTTGTTACAAGGTCACCTAGGTATTGAGCTGGAGATACCAACAATTATAATTAGGGGAGACAGGAGCTCGTGGTATTTTTTAAAAGTGCTATTTGAGATTGAGGTTAGGGCTATAGTATGAACTTTTATTTTCCACGCATTGGAAGTTTTTTGAATGCTTTGCATGGCATCGACAAACTTTGAAAATCCAAATTCTCGTGTCTGTTATAATGTGCAATGAGTTTTGAAAATCATCGAAAACGAAGCAAATTTCGGAGTTCTATTTTTGAAGCATCCAATATTAAAGATCACCAGCCTGAAGGGGTTCACAATGGGGTTTTTCGGCCTGGAGGATAACTAAGATTTTATGATGAACGCATCTATGAATTTTTTTATTGAAATTTTCCAGAAGATATATATTTTGAACTTTCATTAACTTTTTTACTTTAGTTGTTCGCATTTTTGACATTTCTGTCCAAAATTCACCCTATTTCGATTATCTAACCTACTATTTTTTATGAGCGTATGGTCGCCACACTTCCTAATTCAAATCTAAGATAAAACACATTTAGACACAAAAATATATGAAAACGAAAGTGTTGTGCGACGACAGCGCATACAATAAAAATAAAAGTTGAGACAAATAAATACGCTATTATAATTTGAATTACTCAAAGCTGCACTGTACACGTGATATCAGTAAGCGATTATTAAATCACCCAAAAATATTAAATCTGAAATGGGCAAACAGGCGATTAAGTTAAGCATAAATAATCAATATTCTAATTATAGTTTTCCTACGAAGATATGATAAATAATATTGACATAAATAATTCCAATGAAATACATGTCCACCAAAAACTAAATCATTACCCAAGTCATTACCTATAATAACTCTCAGGCAGATAAGATGTGTACTATATGATTCATAACATAAAACTATACAATAGGTGCACTTAGCCTAACAAGATACTTCACACAGGAGAAGTCGTGAATGATCTCATCAAAAATAAAAACTAAGATCCATATGCGATTGCTCATAGAAAATATTTCAAATGTGACTATGCCAATATTCCATGTTTGGTCTTATCAGAGGAATTTCAAGCTTATACTGGTGTTTACGATTTTTCCGAGTCCTATCAGTTTTGAATGCAGTACGATTAATAAATAATAATTGTTTATGTATTGCTACTCCCCTTTATCAATGCTTCCCTCATATAACTTTATCTCTGCATTAGCTTCTGATTTGAAAAATCAGTCTCGTGTTACAGAAATCAATGTTGCGATTGTAAATAATGTGATAAGTAGGTATTCAGTCTAACTGAAACAGGATCGAATTTAACAACGTTGCGATCTAGAAATTACAGTAGCCATCTACTGGTAACAGTTTATTGATTGAACCAGCACTCAAGTTTTAAGTGTAAATGTACGGGGAAATCTATAATGTGTGAAATATGTCTAATAGAGGCGTATAATTACCAGATTAAGAATTTCAACCTATACAATTTTTTTTCTGAAAATGATCAGGAGCCTCTAAAATGTCAAAAACCGAAGTTTTGACGGTTTTTACTTTTTTGTTTTTATCCCTAGCTCCGTCGCCACTGACACTAGATCGATTTTCGAGAACTATAAAACTTTCCGTGCTCGACATAGTAGTAACCTTGTATGAAACTTCCAGCGGTACTTTTCAAGTTACAGACAGGCCAAGGATTTGTCATTTACCATCCAAAAAACGTAATATCTCATTTTCTAAATTTTCCGCGAATATAATACTTCCCCGCCAGGAGGGGTGCCAAGCAAAATGAGAGAGTGGCACCGGAAGTAAGAATGTCGTTAATGACTCACAAAGCCGTTTGATTCCATTTTAAAATCGCCCACTCATTGTAAAACACGTTTTTAACCAAAATAATGCGCCATATTGCGCCGGTAACAAAAACCGATGCAGGTGCATAATAAATCCCAAAAAGTGTCTCGACATCGTAAATCAAGGCAAGCTTACATATTTAAATACGGATTCTTATCAACGACCCGAGCAAACGCAACTAGAAATAATAAGATGATATTAAGCAAACACGAATGGTAAACAACTCAAAACGTGGCTAGAAGTGTACGAGAAGGAAACGCGGTTGAGCAAAGTGGAATCGAGTATCTTTGACCTAGAACGTACCCATATAATAAAGTAGGTCATTACAAAAATACCCTGATGAAGATTATATATAGTTTTAGGCATTTATTCCTCTTAAAAATGATCTAGCGTGTTCCAGCAGCCCTTCTTGCCTCCTCGCTGGCATCTGTTATGTTACTAACTTTCTGGTCTCTTTAGCACTCAGTTAACAGATGCTTAGTAGGTTCCTTATATTTTTTCATCACTAATGACGCTTGCGGTTTTTCTGTACCCGACATTTTGGATTGATTTGCATCATTGCTTGAATCTGTTTGATAATTTGCTTTTGTAATAACTCTACCACCAATGCTCAGATATTTAAGTTTCATCCAAGGATTGTAGTGATGGAGAAATAAAATCAACGTCCAAAAATAGTTAGTTACCTAACAAGTGCGGAAAGTGATACATTCGGCAGATACCTGTGACATGAGAAGTCAAAAAATCACTGATAAGCGAATTGATTAGTATACACAGAAAAATCTCATACAGTTTTTGATAGCAATTAACTTGACATATTTTTCCAGTATCGTATATGGATTTCCACAAGATATCATTGGCTTGCTGGCGGAAGACGTAAGTTTCAACGAGATTTTAGCAGTTACAAATTAATGTTTACCATGTAAAAGCATAAAATTAATCTCCAAAGCATATGATATAAGATACGAAATGATAAAGGTTACTTTCCATTATCAAATTCAAACTTGCATACAAGGTAGCTATTTGGGTAGTTTCATTGTTCTATAGTTGTATAATTATTAACACTATGAGGATTGAAAAGCACTTATAGGTTCAATTGCTTTTAGACAACAAAATGTATGTTATTATAAGATGACGAATAATATTTTTTTAGGATCTGGGTATGTACAATGGAGCCCAAGATAACTGGCAATGGGCATACGAAAATGGTCAATGGAAAAATGTGGAAAGTCAACACAGGGTACGGAAAAGGAGTGCCGATGCTAATAGTACAACTACAAGTGAAGGTATCATTGAATAACGTATTCTACCTGACGATGCTATGTTTGCGCGTCCGAAAAGTTATCTTAGATAAACTGAAAAACCCTCGCCTCCTATATGGGAATTTGTCACAGCTATATCTTTCCTCTCAGCCAGAATCAAAATTCTACTTTGAAAAGGTTACTGTCTCCTAGATGACGTAAGCAACTACTATGAGCATATACAGTAGATTTCTAAATGCATTTTTGTGTTCTGCTATTGTTTCATGGATGGCGCTAATATCTTTCAGATCCCTTTTTGGATGCCAGAATACTGATTGGCTATCTTCAGGTAGATTACATTTTAATCAATGCTTATTTCAACTAAATACATTTTTTGCTTGCAGTCCTGAAATAAATTGCACAAGTTCAACTAAGTGTTCCTAATGATAATAGATTAATACTATGATCGACAAAACCAAATTTCTGAATGAAAACTATTTTGTTTTTGACTGCAATTAGGTGATATTTGTATTATTTTAGGTACCAATTCAACAGTAGCCGTCCCCCTTGCATCAAACAACGAATCTCTGACCAACACAACTGAGCACAAGTTTGAATCAAAGGTAAGATGATTTTTTCATTTTGCTATATTAAATATTACATGTTTTATGCTTTTTTTTAAAGTGGCTGACAAGATTTTTTAATAAAACAATTTGACGAAAAAGTTTGACTTCAAAACGAAACATTTATTTTAGTGTGATGTGTTATTGTTTTCAAATAAATTTATGTTGTTTTGATGCAGAACAGATCTCTAACAAAGTTTATATCGAATATTCAATGTTGATATGAAAATTTCAGAATACCACTGAAATAGCAACGCCTACAAGTCTGAACACAACAGAAGCACCTAGTAAAAGTGATACAAACACTACAGAATCAACACAGTCAACTACATTGGCTACATCAGAACCAACCAAGCACAATGGTACCATTGCAATGGCAAATAGTACAGCATCATCAACAGCTGATACTACCAATTCAACACCAACAACAGAAAATGCAACTAAAGCAGTAGAAACAGCAAAGGAAGTTGAAACCGAACTAAAACATTCCGATAAAAATGGAACAGACGATAAAGTGGCTCTCGGCAAGGTAGGCTTTATATATTTACCAAAACTGTAGTATATTTTATGCATGCAGTTGCTTGCCAATTGGGCTCTACATTTCCTTGCTTACAGATGCGTGGATAAAATAAATACTACGAACATACATTATTTTTAAAAGATCTGCGTAATTCAGTGCAAAAAGAGACTAATGTTTAGACACAATTAGAATACAATAACACTGTTATTACAGACAGTGAGTAGATTTACTGACTTGGTAATATAAATATGACCCAGTTCCTGTATGTTTATCATGGCCTTATGAATCTTGGAATTAATTGAATTCAGCATTTTAATACTAATAATAATCGGCTTTATTTATCATGATTACATTATAAAAGAGCTACTCTTCCAGTTCTTCTTATATGGTTGACGGGATCTGTCATTCTAGTCAGACCTAAATGTTTGTGTGGAAAGCATTCTCCAATTTTATTACCAAATTGGTTCAAACTGAGGTAGGAAGTATATGACAAAATAACGTAAGAAAATGAGTCGTTTCTTCCCTAGAAACACACAGAATTGCAATAAAATTTGACAGAGAAAATCGCAAAACAGTGTAGTTTTTGTGATGTTTCTCTGTTATTACATATAGAAACTCAAACACAAGAAAACATCAAACTATACTTTCAGAGCCCAGACCAGGCTAATTCTACTATTTCTCCTGAATCATCGTCTACCACAAAAACTACCGAGACTCATCTGAAGACATTGTCAGATAGCGACAAAAAGGGCAGAAAGGCGATAGAAAAGGAAGATACGGATCAGCATCAAAGCGGTAACGCAGTGGTGACGAATGATGATAAAACTATGTCAGAAACTGATGTGGCATTGGGTAATGCTGCAGCTCATGAAAGTATCAGTAAGTATTAAAATGATGAGTATGAGAATTGGAGTTGCGTACAAAATGAAAAACTCCCTCAAAAGAAAATGCGTACAGAAGCCTGTTAAACACGGAGGACATTCAATAATTTGAGAATGATGTGGAGATGAGAGAAGTGTAATGTTAAGTCAATTCCGAAATTCAATATTAAGTTTCAGGCATACATAGCAGCCTTTAAAAATGGAATACGTGTCACTGAGTGTAGCCAGTGAGAACATTTGAGTATTTTTCAAGCATTTCATTGCGATGACACATCAGAATTTTGCCTCCAAAAAGTTAACTCTGGGTGTTTCCGTATTTTTCTGTAAACTAAAAGTGACTGAAATGCAAACGCAAAATTTCGCGTCAATGCTGTGCCGCAATAATTTATAGCGTGAACTTATAAGTCTCTACATCATATCATTAAAATGTCACCCAACTTCTGTCAAGAAGGTTATTCTTCCGAAAGGCGTGAAAAAAGTAACCTTCGTTATCCGAAGTTGATAGATTGACAAGAATGTATGATCATGTTCTATGAGGTTCCGGAATAAAAATCAAATCTACGCTTCCTCCAATGTACGAATGCAAATACTGTTTAAAAAACTAGAATCTACTTTATCGCCATTGAACAACGGATATAAGCAACCTATTTCAGTATAACTGAAAACACAATATTTTCTAAACACTATTAAAATCTCACTTGCTCTGCATCAAAACAAAAACCAGCGTGCGAATTTCAAATCCTTATGCTATAAATCCTTGATTGGTACTCAACAGTATGCGAATATGAGCACAAGGTTTGAACGATCGAAGCTCCTATTTCTTCAAGCGCGCCATGAATAAGGATAGGTATTTTATATGAAAACCGTTAATCTTCTGCAGAAACTCAAGAGTCCGCCTCACCCAAACAAGGAGCCTCGTCAACTTCCTACTCGACCGGCAACGACACCAAGATCATCATCTTCCTGGGTGTGGCGGTAGCAGTGGTGGGCGTGGCCGCGGTCGGCTACAATTACGCACGCAAACGGAGGCGAACCAATAGGAGCACGCCAAGGGCGGGGCAAAACGGTGACGTGGAAACGGGACGGGAAATGAAACCGTTGATGAGGAGCGAGGTGGAGGCGGTAATTCAGAAGGAAGCGGATGTTAAGGCGGATGACGAGAAATAGAAGTTATTTCATGAACTTTTCAGGATATATGTGCCATTATTAATGCTTGCGTTTATCTCGAATTCAGGGTTTTACATTCGTTTGCTGTTGGATAATACAGCTTCATTGGAGATGCTATCATCAAATTGTCTTACAGATTATTCCAACTGGTTCAAAGTAAAAAAAAGCACCGATATATTTTTCAATGGAGTTGAAGTTAAGGCTAAATTGGATAAGTCACTTTTAAGCATATGGGTTGTAAGATGGTTTTCTTGTGAAAATGTGGGTGTAATGTCAATTTTTTGTAACTACTTAACTGTAAAAAAATAAAAAGTCATAAATTTTCCAAGTGCCTAGAAGAATGAGATAAAATTAACCAAGATACACATAGGAATATTTGAATGTAATCTAGGATAAACTTATCTGGCTCATTTACAAAATTAGTCATGGAAGATAGAGACTTCCATGGACAATTTATAAATTTGTAGTTGATGTACAATGAGTGAAAATAAAAGTAAACAGTGGCAAAAAACAAAAATATTGAGTTCAAGTGGACTATTATCATGTGCAGGTAATCAAATGAACATATTTACTCAACAAGCCATACAATGTCTTTTTCACCAACATATAATACTTAAATGGGTTAATAATAATTAACTACTATCTATTATTATTAAGAGCTCAAGTATTGGTAAGCTAACTAAAATAGTCATTTTTTATCATGTACTATTATTTAAATGTTTCTGTCAATAAAAAATTATAACCATTCAGGCTGTTTCTGTTTTTCAGAAGAAATAATAGCTATTAGGTTGCAAAACGACAGAATTTGTTTATAAAATACTTTCAAACACGAATCTAATCTCATCGACAATGAGTGAAGCCATACAAAGGTACTTACTGGATGGTTTTTGGAATATGAATCTTGCGTTATGTTAATTTCAAGGCTGGTCAACATTCAGAGATATCTCAACTGCTCACATATATTAAACCAAAACAGTATTAGCAATGAAATGGAGTAGTTGAGGCCCGAGTAAGGATAACATGGCCGCGCAAGACAACTATTGAAATATACACTTCTAGACTATCCGTAGCGAAATTTCTACAGGCAGATGGAATCAGCATTTTGCACGTATCATATATCACTACTCTGGTTGGACATTTGGTGTCTACATATCCTCCAACAACTAAGGTAAGACATTGTAGTTTCCTAAACACGGGGCTGAGATTCCAGGTTTGAAAACGCCAAAGAATCAACGCTTGATTTTTTGCACCATATTTAGCAAACATAGTGCCAAGGGCTTAGTGTAAATACTTCAATACTGTCAATTATTGACTATCACCAATTCCTTGGACTAAAAATAGTATTATGTTCGAGGCTTTGCTAATAGTTTTGAGATTTTTCAGAAATGAATGTAAGTACATAAGAATCCTTACAAGAACGTTAAAATAGTGCACGTTTCTGTAAATTTATTTATAAAGTAATGTATTACAAGGTTTCCAAGATAAGGATCAGACTAGGTTAAATTCAGTAATCACACAATCTTACATAAAGCATTTGTTTGCAACTCCTACTTAAATAAAATGAAAATATAGAAAAAAACACGTTTGTTTATAACTAAAAATAAAATGTAACGTGATACTTTGTTGTAGTCATAGAAAAAGATGCTATTAGATACAGTGTCGTCCTTTTTTTAGATGTGCACGTCGGGCACAACATTTAAAAACATCATCATGTAGTGCCATTACTTTTTTGACATTTAATAAAATAAAGTCAGACAAAAATAAAAACGATATGGTCAAATTTTAGTTTTTCCCAAATACCTCAGTATATGACTAATCTTTCAATGTAAGCAATGTGCTCAATTTATTTAAAAAACATAGGATGTCAACCCTAACACACAAGTAGATTCCCTCGGAAGAGTTGGAAGTAGACCTAATTTCCACTTGACACCCACGTCACAACACTAAAACACCACTGAGCGACAATCGAGAATCCTATAGTGAACACCACTACTAAAAAAAGGATCTAAACCGAATATAGCTCTGCACGGAGCTGTGAACGCGTGGACATTTCGCTGCGCCGACGGTTGCCGAGAGACTGAAGCGTGCGAATGCTGTACGTCGCTGCGGCGATACGGTACAGCCGGGTAGTACAGCCACGCCCCTTTCCAGCTCCTACTCCGCGCGTCTGCTCCCGAAGCGACTCGATGATATGGTGTATTTTTTAATTCACCGGTTGAGCAACCGGTGCCACCGGTGGACCAGACATCTGTCCTTTTAATTCAACCGGTTACTGCCGTCACCATACAAAGCTGTCAACAGTGTCAACCATAAGCACCGCATCCATCAGTGGTGGAATCAACCGGTGAATTAAAGAATTCACCTTTTACGTTGACCGGTAGCAGACGCACGGAGTGGGAGCTGGAAAAGGGGGTGGCTGTACTACCCGGCCGTACCCTATCGCCGCAGCGAGGTACAGCATTCACAGTCTCTCGGCAACAGTCGGCGCAGCGGAATGTCTACGCGTTCACAGCTCCGTGCAGAGCTCGAAAGTGATAGTCTATAATTGACAGTATCCTGCTTTGGCACTATTTTTACTAAATATGGTGCAAAAAATCAGGTGCTGATTCTCTGGCGTTTTCAAACCTGGAATCTCAGCCCTGTGTTTAGGAAACTACAATGTCTTACTTTGGTGGTTAGAGGATATGTGGGCACCAAATGTACAACAACAGTAGGGATGTGATGCGTCTGCCTGTAATTCCACATGGTCGACGAATTATAAGTTGTATTCAAGTTATCAAGCTGTCCTGATACTAAAAATAGTAGGGTAAAATGAAAATCGTACTCCTCCTATTAAGATCATGTAATTTTAGATCAAATAGTTAATAAATATATATTTATATAATAAAACATTGTTTTTTTCCAATTGTTGGAAGGAGTCTCATATTCAAAAAGTATTTTATCCTATAAAACTGGACATTTAAAAAGTGTTCAGAGACATTAACATTCCGCCGTATGGACGCCAGGTGATGCAAAATGTAAATAATAGTTTTTGTTTAGTTCTTTGGCAAACATTGCTACACCTCAAATTTTATATATCTCCATTGGTATTCCTCAAAATTTTATTCAAAGCTTCTTTTTTTATAATATTCTATCAAAATAGCAGAGGTAGCAAAAACGTCCCATAAGCTGGCAACGTAGCAATGATTTCAGCAAAAATTTTGCTACGGATAGTCTTCCAGAGTCTAGTAGATTACATTTCAACAGTTGTCTTGGTTGGCCATGTTATCTTTACTCCAACCGTAGTTGAAGCTAAATAAATATCCGGGTAATGATCCATCAAACTAAAACTAATATAAGAAGCTGAGAAAACCTAAACATGCAATAATACTCAGTAATAACTAATAATGCATTCAAATACATGCGTTTACTTACCTCCATAACCAAATATACATTATTGGCTGACTCCTTACAGTCCAATAAAGCAACAACATTCTCATGATGTAGCTCAGTTAGCTCCTAAAAAAACACATTTTGTTGCATCACCTTTACATAAACTGAATACATTATTAAATAACAATATAACATACAATGCAAAGGCCAAATATTGTAGTTAATTTTAACGACTTACTATTAATAAGGAAAGAATCTAAATTAGGTTACCTTCAGAATTTTTATCTCCTTTCCTAAAAGGTTTTGCGATTTGGCAAGGCTTTTCTTTGTGATGCTTTTTATAGCAACAGTGCGTGAAGGCTTCTGGAAAGAGAAAAAACGTCAATCTACTGCTTATTTTGGACAGAACCGGAGCACTGACCTCCCTGAGGCGACCCTTGAAGACTACTGCGAAGGCCCCATGACCTATAAGGTCTTTCGTGCTATATTCATAGTCACCAACAATCTCCATGTTTCTAGCTGCGGATCACAATCTTTTTCGATAAATTCAGCACCAAATACTCAATAATCGGTCAAACCTTCGCACTCATACATCACGTTCACACTTTTTGTTCCGTTTTATGTCTACGCTACATCTTGGATAGAGCACGATGACTTTTGCTGATATTTATAAATATTCGCACTACGGAGAATTTGGACTTTACGAGTTTCGTAATTGGGTTCAAACACTACGATTTTTTACTATTCATTGAATTAATTTATCTATGCCACTTAAGTCACCAAGACCACCAAACGCACCAAAAATATTGATTTTATTTTTGGTTTCCACGATTTCTCGTCACGCGTCGTGTAGTGTAATGGTGGACTGAATTACATCATACTCCTATAGATGGCGCTGCAAAATATACTTTTTTGTTTGTTCCATCAGCTGATTATGACATGGAACACATTGAAAAACGTTGCTCTACTAGCGAGTGAGATGGTAATAGGGAGTGGCAAGAGCCAGCTGACCATCTACGCCTACGGTTATTGCCCAATCCACATCTTCCTCCCAATCAACTGTCGAGCTCTGTCAAAATGGAGTTTGTCATATGCTGTCAAAACTTTTCCATATCTTTGACATTGACGTTAACGTGCTACAGCTACAGCTGACACCCCCAAAAATGTTTTCTTTTCAGAAAAAAATAGTAACATACTGAAAAGATTATTTGGATGTGAATAGGTAAATACAGCTAATTTAAAATGTGTCCGTAGAAATATCTGTTTTATATGGATTGCGTTCTATTGTAGATTTATCAACAAAGGAGTTTTTGTTTACAACAGCAAAAATGATGCCCATAAAGGACAATAAGGATGTAGCCTGCTTTTTCTGCACAAAGCACACTACTTGGAAGGGAAAGTACGTAAATAAAAATTCTTCTTATCATTACCATTGACAGGCAACTAGGCTGGCCATTTCCCCTTGAACCATCACAAATAATACACTGTTTTTATTTAACCACTCTCTGAATCATGTTAGATGAGTTGACTGTGACTTTCATTAATAAAAATATTGCTTGAGAAGTCAAATAAAGTCCTACTGAGTATTATTAGACTGATAAATAATTCCTCCAAACCTTATAGAGAATATTAGCTTTTATGTTATTTTATTAAGAGTAGATGGTAAGAAACTATGCCTATAAAAATTTGTAAAAATCCAAATAATTTGTCTTGATTAAGCCCTTATCTTTCATATGACCAAATGTCTTGTTTATCTAAAAAATAAGTAAGGTATGATGAAACTACAGATGAATGTTTACATTGGAAAAGGTAGAGGTGCTCTAGTACCACAATCTTCTTAATTGCTCAGTGGTATATTTTTGCTACCAGCAATTGTTCTAATTAAAAATATCTTAATACAATTAAAAATACTATCCATAAATTTAAGGACTTTTCATTCTTACAAATTTCTCTAGCAGATTTGGATAAATTTGCTTATCTTTTTGCCTTAGACAGTAATAATTGGTCCAATGGAATAATATGTCTAAGATTGAGGTGGTGTTTCAGATACAAAAGAATTTTTTCTGTGGGCACAATGGGCATATCAACTTACAACCCAACGAGCTTAGAAGTAACAAACAAATGGCCTTACAGTGAGTTCATCTCTGTAACACCATTGAGGACCAGTCCCAGTGAATTCCAAATCACTATGAAAAAGGACAAGAAGGTGGACAAAATGACCTTTTCCACAGAGCACAGGATACATTTGCTAACAGAAGCACTGAAATTTAGAAATCACTTTTTGGAGAAACCCAGAGATACCTTTGTAAGTCATTTGTACTATTGAGTAAATGGCTCTGAGTAACTATGTACCATGTAGGTACATATTACATTTTTTATTTCTGTTATTATGCTACAACCACACAAGACTCATGTTGACATTGCAATGGAAATGAACTGCTGTCATAGAACTGCCAGAACATATAGTTTTTTTATTGAAATTAAGTTTTGAAAATGTCAGTACTGGCAAAGTAAATGAAAGTGAGCAGTGGTGTGATACTAACACAACCAAAAAGTAATCATTAAGCTGTTTACGATGAATGAATGAATATTATCAACATAAAATTGGAATCAAGGAGAGGCATTGTATTTATCTCGAAATATTTGATGATCAGTAACTTTGATGAGCATATTAGTTTTGATGGATGTATGTTGTGTTTATTGCAGAGATATCAAGCATATAAATACCACTGGTCAGACATAAGACTTCCTGTAATTTTGGAAGTGACATGGTACTCACTAGATCAGCTTGATCCTGCTACAAATAAAGTCTTGGCAAGTTACTATTTCAAGGACATTGAGGGTATTAGACCAGTATCTGATTTACCTGGTAAGATTGAGGTCCAGATATGATTGAAGGCAATCTTCTTTAAAGACCTATATTTTTTAAAAATTCAAAACTATTTTTTTGTTTTGATTGCATATCATCAACAGGAAATTAGGTATTTTTTTATGTTTATCAATTTTAGGTGGTTTTGTGATCATGTGTGGTGGTTTTGGCAGATTACACTTATTCCAAGCTATAAATTTTGAGGAGATTAAAATAAAAATGCATGAGTCTGCAAATGTAAATATAGGTATAAATGTGAAACTGATGGGTAATGCACTTACGTTAGAAGAATTTCAAAATCAAAGATTCGGAAAATATAGGTAAGAAATGAAGTAGAATACTTTCAAAATAAGGAAGTAAAATTCTAATTCTGTTAATTTACCTCTTTTGGAAATACTTGAAAGTTTATTTTTAAATCCTCTTTTTCAAGAATAACTTAAATTGGCTGACCTTGAATACCACAGTCCAACAGATGAAGCTCACCACTCATTATAAATCAGTCCTTATTTCTATTATTGGTACCTTTATTTCTTGTTTTGTGATAAATTTCAGTGATGATGAGTATATAACTGCAGTATCTGAGTTTTCTGTATATAAAGTAAACAAAGTAAGACACAATGACCCAGTACGGCGTACCCTATGCCTCTCAGAGCATTGTTTATTGGAGAGAGATCCTCAGACTTACAGCATTTGTACTCTTCAACCTCTCAACAACATATTTGCACTTGTGCGGGATAATTCGAACCCCCAACTCTTCTCCATAGAATACTTCAATGGTCAGACGAGAACTTACACCACAACTGATAGGTAAGTCAAAACAAAGTCAAATTTTTCCAAGATATAATGCGCCATTGTGCTTCAAATAATTCTCAATGTTTCTGTATTCATACGCTGCCATTGCCATTTTCAATCTACAGGATATAGCCTGTATAATATGGATGGCAACACTATTTTTAATTATCATAATTTATAATTCCACTATTTTTAGAATATTACAAATAAAAGACGTTAATTATTATTATTATTTTTAGGGATTCTCTGCTTGCATCTTTATTAGATAGTGTAAGAGCAGCAGGCAACAAAGACGTTCACGTAACAATGGTCCACACAGATAGGGGCCTCAGATTGGGGCCCCTACATCTACCTATTGAGGAGGAAGCTGAAAGCCTTCACCTCAGGCTTTTATCAAATCCAATGTCCAAACCGTTTGCACAATGTGTAAGGAGGTTCAATGTAAATATACCTTATAGTGGTCTTCTGTATAGTGTTACACAAGAGGTTAGTTACTTGTGTAATTTATTTATTGTTTACCTAATAATATGATGCACATTGTAATAATGACCACTTACATTTAAAATCTAGACCGCCAAAATACATATTATCTTGGTCATTTGAACATATTTAAGGCATTTTAACTTTTAGTAGACATTTGTTAACAAAAAGGGTCGATAGTCAGCTAGTTGGGAATGTGAGCTTAAACATGCATATAATTTTTTTTTGTCGCTGAAACCGAAGCCAGAGCCCATTTTGTTAGACAATGTTCGGATGTCGATATATCGAGAAGAATTAGAATTATAAACTGTACCAAAAAATTTAAAAAAATCAGTGATCTGGAGGAACACTCTTCCTGTAGTAGAGACCACAAAAGGCTAAGTGGGGAGTTACTTGACCATCGTAGGTACCTTGGGTTTTGAATATTAGTTAGCAGAAAGAAAAAAGTTTATATGTTGTGTGGCCTTTTACTGATGGTGGAATGCCTACAGGTTTTCAAAAAAGTAAAAAAACTCTCGCGCGTCAGATAGTCGTACTGTATGTGCCCCACATATTCCTAATATTGGAGGTATGATAATCAGCGTATTTGTACGGTGGGGTAGCTGTAGGGAAGGATAGAAAATTGAAAAAAAAATAGACTAAAAATTGAGCAGAATGATTCTGAGATTTTCTAGATTCAATTTTCCTTTTTCCTTATAAACATGAATTATTATATTTTATAATACCAAGACGATAACGGTAACAAGAATTTTGAAATCGCTGCGTAGATTACGAGTTCGACGTCAATTTGATGATTTGGTTAACGGATGATCCTAAGCGACTAATTTCTTATTTCAAATTCAGCACACGATCAAAATTGTATAAGTAATTAGAACTTTTTCAGGGAATATTCACTGAAAATAAAGAAAAACTGATTACGGGTGCATTGCAATCTTTAGTATCTAGAGAAGGTGATCAAAAAACAATACCATTGGTAGAGTTAGAGGCACAGTTCCAAGCGTTGAGAAGACTGTTAGCTAGTAAAGTAGGATATGCTTGTTTTACCAAATTATCTGGGTAAGTTAATTTGAAATTAGGGCTCTTTACCGTAGAGATTATTGAAATATCGGATGTTTATTTCAGTTTTAGAGAAGCAATAGGTCTAAAAGTGATAACAGCACTAAAACGAAATGATTATGCAGTTACACAGGCTGCAATTGACATGATATGTGCTCTAATGCATCCAATGCACGACGACTATGATCTCAGACAAGAACAATTGAATAAATCGTCCTTATTACAAACGAAGTCGTTTCTAGAAAGTTTGCTTAACATGTGGACGACACACATAGTATGTAAACCTCATTTTTCAACTTGGGACATCAATGAGTTGTGTTCATTAATCTGAACATTTGTTTTTGGTTTTTATCGAATATTATTTTTTTTAGGCACAAGGGACGGGGGCTCTGATAGTGTCAGCTATGTTGGATTTCTTAACATTCGCCCTCTGTGTACCTTATAGTGAGACTACCGAGGGTAAACAATTTGATATACTACTTGAAATGGTGTCAGAACGGGGCAGAATGTTGTTTCGGCTATTTCAGGTAAAAATTTATTGCCGTTTTATATATGTTTGAAATTTCGAACAATTTGGAAAATTTGATTTTGATATCATTTATATATATATAAGGTTACTACTATAACTTTGTACTTTTGAAAATCGGTGATCTGGCTGCTGCAATCTTGTGCGCCCGCAGAAATTTATCTGAGTGGGGAGGGGGCATTAATCGACAAGAAATATCGGTTTGTCAAAGTGTACCTGCTTTTTTAACGAGCTGGGGTTGCAGATTTTCTCAGAGGAAGCCAAGTCCTATAAATCCATACAATTTTATACAAAAGTATGATAAATATGAAAAATTTAATTGCATGGGCTTGTTTGACTGACTCGATCCGTTTAATTTCCTATACAAGTTCGTAGCTAATTTTTTCTCCGACTTTTGCTGAATATAAACCTTTACGAACTGATGATAACGTTGCCTGGAAGGTGCAGAGTCAGTCAACTTGACAACATTTTTTAATCCGCGCGATTGACGTGAAAAGTCCTGGCAGTGGCTCTTTTCTGTGGCAACACTGTGAAATTTGTGTACCCGGCAGTCAAGTTACAATAATTGGTATTTGATCAATTTGATCCTAATGCCGATAGAAAGGTTCGTAGTGTTATTGGTTTTTTGACGATAGAAATAAAAGGCTACTGAAACTTCTCGGGTTGTTATAGCGATTATCTTGAAGTCGTTATGTCAAGTCCACGAACTTTGCAATCGTCAGTGGGAACAGGTGGAGCCTCCATAATTTCTAGATTGGTTATATCGGCAACGTTTTATTATCCTTCCTTTGTAAATTGTAGCACCCTTCAATGGCAATAGTGAAAGGGGCAGGCCTGGTGATGCGGTCACTGATCGAAGAGGGCGAAACAGAGGTTGCAGAGAAAATGCAGAACCTGGCTTTGGCCGAGGGGGCCTTACCCCGTCATTTGCACGCTTCCCTATACTCTCATGCTGCGGATGGGAGGATGCTGGCTCACAGGCAACTGAGCAGGCATTTGGTCGGATTGTGGGTGACGGGGAATCCCACAGCGATGGCGTAAGTGTTTTTATGATTATTTAGCAGCAAGATACCAATAAAGTCGCTGACTATTGTTAAGAATTTCTTCCGAAAAAGGTCTACGCCACTATGTACTTTTGTATTCCTTTTTTCATTTCTTTTATAATACAGGGTGTTTCGGAACTATGGGATCAAACTTGTAGGTGTTATCCAGTGTAACAGTAGAAAACATTTGAGTATAGGGACCCATATCAGGCACTTGTGTGTTGTTATCTTTAGAAACGATAACAGAATTTTTTTTGTAGCAGCATTCCATATCGTCTTAGTCGTGCTATCGAATTTGTGAAGTTTGCAAGAATTTAACAAAAATTAATTGTTACATTGACATTTTTATCATTTTTCCCAGCTTGCTGAAGAGGATAATGCCTCCAGGCCTCATAGCCTTCCTGGACTCCAAAGACTCGATCCCTAAAGAGGCGTTAGAGCAAGAGATGCTCAACAATCGTGACAACCTCAAAATAGCCCAAGAGCACGCCAACAAATCGAGACGGAACCCAAACTGGGTCGCAGTAGAAAGACAATTGAAAATGGTTGAGAAGAGGGTCGAGCACTACACAAACTTGGCCATGCAGCATTGGGGCACAAGGGTGGGAATTACGTTGAAAAGGGAGGAAAAGATGAAGGAACGGCCGATTGTGTTGAGGAGGAGGAGGGAGAGGAAGAAAGCGGAGTCGAATTGGCCGTTGTTTTATTGGAATTTCAATCAGGATCATGCACGCCCTAATTTAATTTGGAATCACAAGGTGAGTTATAATCAACCCTTCAAACTGACTATGTTCCAATCAGGTAGCGTCATCTGTTAGGTGATTTCAGTGTTCCAAATATTAAACTTGTGAGTAAGACCGTACGAACAATGCTGTAATAAGTTTGCTCACTGTGTTGAACCTTAAACAATGCAATACTGTTTTGAATGATAATGGAAGGTTGTTAGATTTAATATTATCAAATGAAACTTGTTCTGTTTCTCGTGATACTAGTACCTGAAGATATCCCCCATCATCCAACTCTTGATATGTGTTTTGAAAATATTAATGTTAACCCTGACGCGTTTCCCTTATTTTGCGATATTAACATGTATAATTTCCGAAAAGCAAATTTTACAGAGCTGTATAATGCTCTCCTCATTGCAGACTTTTCTTTTTTAGATAACTTCTTAGATGTTAACTTAGCTATTGCTGAATTTTATAAATTTTTATAATCTATCTTTGATATTTACGTACCTAAATATAAATCTTTTAGTCATAAGTACCCTTCGTGGTACACCAGCGAAATTATTAGGCAAGTCATGCATAAAGCAAAGTTATACAAGAAGTACAATAAGAGTCACAATAACCATCTACATGAACAGTACAAACGTCTTAGATCTGAGGTAAAGCGTCAAATATCTGTGGCCTATAAGAATTATACACATAATGTTGAGATGTCCATCTCTCAAGATCCTGAACATTTTTGGAGTTTCATGCATACAAAAAATCGAACTACTAGAATTCCTGGTAAAATGAAGTTGAATGACGTCTCACTGAACGATCCTTACTGTGCTAAAATTTTATCGTCAAAAGAGTCAACTTAAGCCTAAAAATTTTCCAATTAACAATTAATTGTATTTTGTGCCCAACTGGTCGTTGGCTTTGGCAATAACTACTGCTCATATATATATATATACATATACGTATATATATATATATTTCCTTTATGATAGTGAACGCGTTTTAGGACTGTTGGATGGAGTTGGATGAAATGTACCTCAAAATGTAGGGCTCTGCACGACAAAATTTCATTTTTTCTCTTGAAATTATTACAAGCAAATTTGACTTTGTACTCTGGTAATTTAGGGCACTAAAACCAAATATGACCATCGGAGCTGGATTCGAGGCAAAAAAATGTAACATCTTATTTGTAATATACGCACCAGATTGCGATTGTTTTCGAACAAAATATAACAGAACTAGACATTAAACAAATTACTATTACTACTAATTACTGTAAACAAGTGATATGTTTAGATGCATATATTATATTGTAGACTAGAGAAGAATTAAGAAGTGCCTTAGAAGCGGAAATAAGAAATTTCACGTCAGATAGAGAATTAGCTGGGTCAGCACTGGTTGCTTGGAACCACCAAGAATTTGAGGTCAACTACACTTGTCTCGCGGACGAAGTGAAAATCGGTGATTACTATCTTAGACTTCTGTTGGAGACAAGTGATGAAAGTTCTCCTATACGCAGATCGTAAGTTTAACGTACCTTTCTAATCTAATGTAATGAAGGAGGTTGTCAAAAAATTCCCTGATAAAATTGTTTTTTCTAGATACGAATTTTTCAATGACCTGTACCATCGTTTTTTGTTGACCACAAAAGTTGAGATGAAATGTATTTGTCTTCAAGCTATGTCGATAGTATATGGAAGGTATTATGAAGATATAGGCCCTTTTGGGGACACTAGGCATATCATTGGAATGTTAGAAAAAGTAAGTTCTTTCGTTTTATTCTATAATCTGCATGTTGATATAAAGCTTGTCGGTCAGTCCATGTTCTCTTGAACCCGGTCATCCTTATTTTTTTCTGTTGCAGTGCGTTGATCGTCAAGAACGAGACCGCTTAGTCCAGTTCATCTCCCGACTAATCTTGCACCCAAAAAACGTCAGAGAAGCAGTAGACTCTGGTGGGGTCCAGATTCTTGTTGATTTAACAACATTGGCACATTTGCACACATCTAGAGCGGTGGTACCGCAGCAAACCAATGTCATAGAAGCGGGACCGGGCATGGTAGAACGACAGGAGCGGGAATGGTACTATAATTTAGATAAGAAGAAAGAAGGACCTGTCACCTTTCAAGAGGTAAGTATTTATAAGGTTAATATTTAGCTGTGAATCTATGATGACAAAGTCGTGCAAGCAGCTCCCATTTAGGAATATCCTATTATTTTAATGCATACTACTACCTCTGAAAGTTGATCCTTCTTGTGACATTTTGTAAAATACTAATTCTTCCAGCTGAAAGAAATGTTCGAAAAGGGCATAATAAACCACAAAACTCGATGTTGGGCTGCTGGTCTTACAAACTGGAGAGCATTATCGCAACTACCTCAATTAAAATGGTACCTGTTAGCCAAAGGAAGTCCTTATTTTAACGAGAGTGAACTGGCCACCTGTATTCTCAATATCCTTATAAAGTAAGCGATTAAGCCGCGATCTTCTGACATTTTTTTTTATATTTCAGTAGATGCATAAAATCCATCAATTATACCCAGTGTCTGTTTTAATCTCCTCACCTGAATATTTCAAAAATTGCGCAATTCAGAACAAAGTTTTAAGGGGGAAAACGATGGCGCCCTTGATAATGACCTTGACTATGAATTTCAAAGTACTTTCCAGGTCAAGTAATTTTTTTTGAAATGGAAGACCTTCTTTTCACATCGAAATTGAAAAGAGGATCATCACCTTGGTCATGACCTTGATCATTGCTTCCAAGGTCATTTCAAGGTCAAACCAAGACTTCGAAAACAATAAACTCTAACAAAAATGTTACTCAGCACAATTATGAGGTTTGTGGGGATCACCTAAAGATCACCTTGACCATGTCATTTAAGGTCAAGTCAACATTTTCGAGGGAAACTCATTTTTATACTGGAAGTGGAAAAAGCAGGAAATTTTACGTCCGAATGTGACTTTGACCTCAAATAACATTTAAGCTTGACACGACCTTGCGTTTGAGATCACATTCACGTTCGGACGTGAAATTCCCTGCTTTTTCGATTTTCTGTATAAAAATGAGAGGGTACCTTTGGAAATTGTGACTTGACCTTAAAAGTTTTTTTTGCTAGACCAAGTTGGTGTCAATGTGTTGCCTTGACCTTGAAATGACCTTGAAGGCAATATCCAAGGTCATTACCAAAGTAATGTTCGGACGTAAAATTTGCAGACTGATAAGTGGCAACGCTGACGCCTAAAGACGGTGGTTGACACGCATATTTATATGCATATAAGTAAGTTTGGGTGTAGTAGCGACCGGGTATCTTCTGGTGGAATATGTTAATCAATATGTTTGGTGTAGAGACATTTTTCGTTACGTCCTTATTGAAAGAAAAACGTTTCAGGATGTGCGAATATTTCCCCAGTCGAGACCAAGACGACGCTATAGTGAGGCCGCTGCCAAAAGTCAAACGTCTCCTTTCCGAACAACCGGTGCTCTCGTACATAGTCCAGTTGCTCCTCACTTTCGACCCGATTCTTGTCGAAAAAGTGGCAACGTTGCTTTGTGAGGTGATGAGGGACAATCCAGAGGTCAACAAGTTGTACCAGACAGGCGCATTTTACTTTGTCATGATGTACACCGGCAGCAACGTCCTGCCTATCGCCAAGTTCCTGAAGCTGACGCATACCAAACAGGCTTTCAAAGCCGACGACGTGAGTATTTTTATTTACAGTTTGTTTATGTTCAAACTTTGGAACGTTTTTTGGAATCAACTTTTTTTTTTAGAATGCGTCACAAATAATGCAGAAGAGCATATTGGGGAGACTGTTACCTGAGGCTATGGTGCATTATTTAGAGAATTACGAAGCAGTAAAGTTTGCGCAGATATATTTAGGAGAATTTGATACTCCTGAAGCAATATGGAACCATGAGATGAGGTAAGAATATTGGAACATTTAAATTTTATTATAGTGGTGGTCAACGAATATTAAAATAAGAAACCGTATAATTTGGAAAATGCGATTTTTTTTCTCTTTACTTCGAAACCTCTTTGTCTTTCTACCCTATATTTACGAGGGTGGTTCAATAAGTACCCGTGTTTAACGACAGAAAGCGTTCCTGAGGGAAGTTAATGTTATCATCGTGTGCTGCCATCTATCAAAGGACGGCACAACAAATTTCAGACTGATTGATAGGTTAGTTTGGATTTGGCAGCCATTCGAGTAACACGTGTTTCGTGATTTTCGCTAAGATGGAAAAAGAGCAGTATCGTTCGGTAATTCGCTTTTTGTTTTTGGATGGAAAAAAATCGAGGAGATAAAATGGAAAACATGTTGGCCTCATTTCTAACACGGGTAGTTATTGAACCGCCGTCGTATTTCCATTTTCTTTATTATAATTTTGTTCTGACATTTTTTCCAATGTATTTTTTTGTTTTTCAGGCGTATGCTTATCGAGAAAGTTGCGGCCCACATAGCAGATTTTACGCCCAGGATTCGAAGTCACACTATGATTAGATACAATTATATTCCAATACCGGCTGTGAGATATCCTCAGCTTGAGAGGGAACTATTTTGCAACATATTCTATTTGCGACATCTCTGTGATAGTACTAGGTTTCCTGATTGGCCTATATCTAACCCTGTAAGTCCAGCCCTACAAGGCATATTCAATCAATCAACATTTATTCTTACGTACTTCACATTACAGATTTATTTTATTTATTTAAAAAAAATACCATCTTAGGGGTTCGAGGCCTTCCGCATGATACCCGTCTGCTACTTCCAGTGGCGCAGCAACCTTGGATGGCAACCGGTGCGGAAGTTGGTGGTGTCATCCATCGAAAATCAAAAGCAATAAATTTCATGTGATTTGTAAACGATCATTTAATATTCATATTTAAAATTTCTATTGCAAATTTGCTATCCTGATATGATGGGGATTCTTGCCGGACATTTTCCAACATTGCTTCGATGCGAGATAACGCGGAAAACTAACTGCAACCGAATAGCCTTTCTTCAAGCAGACCTCGAGTGAATTCAAGCCTGTCCTGTTCCATAATCCAAAATGGGAACAAGGCAGGCGCCAATTATTCGCACCTTCACATTAGCGTCATTTGATTTTCATCCAATTATGGGATCGACCATAGAAAGAGCTGCTTTAGCCTCATCAAATCAAATACTTATAAATCACATTTTTGAGGTTATGGGCCCATAACCGTGGCCTAACGCTTCAGCTCAGACATACCTTAGGGTGAATTAATAATATAAAAGTATTCATTAAACATATTCTACCAGAAGATATCCGATTTAATTATGCGCGCAAGCAGTCAGTATTGTCACCTCGTTGAAAAATTCTGAATATACGAAATCTTGGGGATAATTACGCGGTGGAAGCCTTGGAAGGCTGACACAATTTTATTTAGAAGGAAAGTAGTCTGTTTGTACTACTCTTGAGGGAATTCTGCGGTCCTACTTGGAGGCCTATGGTCCTCGTGATCCCTGTTTGAAAAAGGTTCTTTCTGTAATTTTAGGTACAATTGTTGAAAGACGTTTTGGATGCGTGGAAAAATGAGGTTGAAAAGAAACCACCACTGATGACTGTGCGAGACGCGTATGAAAGTCTTGGTTTAGATGAAAACAACAACGATGAATCAGCCATTAGGAAAGCTTATTACAAGCTTGCTCAACAATACCATCCAGATAAAAATCCTGAAGGAAGGGTAAGTCAGATTTAATTATGTTCTATTTGTATTTTGGAAATAAACAAAAACATTTCCTTCAGAAGGAATTGTAATTTTGTATTTAAACATTAAATGTGCTTGCCATGTTGTCGTCACTGCGATGAGAGAATAGATAATAAATATGTTTTATTTTTGCAGGATATGTTTGAAAAAGTGAATCAAGCGTACGAATTCCTATGTAGTAGAAGTAGTTGGACAGACGGTCCAAATCCACACAATATTGTTTTAGTGCTACAAACACAAAGTATTTTATTTAGGAGGTATACTGAAGGTATGTCACTGCTTTAGTTTTTTTTTCAGTTACTGGAACGACTTTTTATTTTCAGAATTGCAACCATACAAATATGCAGGGTATCCACAACTGATCAAGACAATCAAGATAGAAACTGCGGATGATCAGCTATTTTCTAAAAACGCTCCGTTATTGACAGCCGCCTGTGAACTAGCCTATCATACAGTGCAATGCTCAGCACTAAATGCCGAGGAGTTAAGAAGAGAAAACGGCTTAGAGGTGACTTCACAGATTTTTTTTCAATTGTGGTTTTTGTCTTTTAACTTTGTACTGGGTGTTAATGTGATTCCTTTGTTTTAAGGTTCTTCTCGAAGCTTACACGAGATGCGTGAATGTCCTGAACAATTCTTCTAAACCTGAGGAGACGCCTGTCCAAGTTTGCGCTCATATAACAAAGTGTTTCACTGTAGCTGCACAATTCCAGGCTTGCAGAGAAAGGATGGTTGATCTGAAACAGCTTGTAAAGGATCTATGCCGTATACTCTACTTCAAGGTAAATATTTGAGAGAATTCAACCCACTGTCAACAATTATGCCAAAGTAGTTAAAAGAGTCTACAAAAGCAATGTTTTCGACACTAACATTTACATATAAATTTATATATATATTTTTCAATAATCATAGCTTTTGTTGCGTCTGTTTTCAATTTTAATTTGTTAGATATCAGCCATTATGAAACAAGTCATAAATCACTATTAATGAGAGAAACATTTTGATTTTGCAATTTTTTAGTTATACAGGGTGTAAACTTTATGACAGTCATTATTTAAATGCGTGATAGAGGGGTTTAAAAGAAGCAAAAAGTTTCACATAACATGGGGGTCAAAACGGCATTTTTTTAGAGAAAAACGACTTTAAATTAAAATAAAATCTAACAACGCCGCAATACCAGACGCAAATTACGACGGAACGCAGTGTAAATAAAGATGGAGTTTGTTATTTTTGGCTCTTAGGTATTATTTCATTATTTGATAATGTACTCGTAAAATGCAAACAATTAAAAAAAACTTACTTCCACTTATAGATAGGGAACACAATTTTGATACATAAATTGTTTTTCTTTTTAAACCTCACACTGCACTTTTTTTGTATTCAAAGAAGGTGTTCAAAATGTCGTCCTCCACTTTCCACACAAGTTTCATTACGATGAACCCAGTTTCTTCTTACTCTAGGTCATCGAAGTTGTCTATTTATTATTTCAGCCGCATAAAAAATTTTTTCACGTAGTTGTGCTTCAGTTGTTATTGGACCAGCCCCATAAACCATCCCTTTAAGTCCTCCCCGATACCAGAAATCAATCGGATTGAGGTCAGGAGATCTTGATGGCCATTTTCGAGGATCAGGAGCATTTCGAGCGATCCAGCGATTTGGATAATGTTCATTCAAATACTGAATGACGCCTCCAGAAATGTGTGGTGGTGCTCCGTCATGAAGAAACTACAAATTCTGTCTCCGTTGTAATGGCATATTGTCTAAGGTCTGTTCCAAAAGTTCTGGTAGGTTATTGGATAGAAAGCTAAGGTATCCTTCTCCTGACAACTTTGGGGGTAACTCGAAAGGGCCAATTACCTGATCGTCAAGAATACCCGCCCAAATATTTATTTTAAAACGTTGTTGGAAATGACCTTCACGAATGGTATGAGGATTTTCTTGAGCCCACGTGTGAGTATTATGAAAATTCAATATTCCGTCTCGCGTAAAAGTACATTCGTCCGTCGCTAGAATGTTTTTAAAAAAATCCGGATTTCCAATGTTTTTGTGCAAAAACCACTGACAGAACGTTAGTCTGCGAGGATAGTTTTCTGGTAACAAGTCCTGCACTCGTTGTACATGGTAGGGATAAAGCAAATTTTCCCGTAGGATTCTATGGACTATGGTATGCGATAGTCCTACGCGGCGGCCTAATTCCCGAGTGCTGATATCTGCATTGATTTCCACGATATTTCAAATTCGTTCCTCCTGCTCTACAGTAACCTGTCTTTCACGAGTGCGAATATTAGTGGGCTGAACACTTCCTGTATCTCGAAGTCTTTGGTACACTTTGACAAATGTCCTTCTGTCTGGGTGTACCCGTTACCGAAATCTGTCGCGATAAATTTGAGCTGCAAGATTTGAATTCTGACGAGCTTCAACGTAAGCTAACAACATGTCGGCGAACTCTTGATTCGAGAACAATGTAAATAAACACGACGACGTACGCGAACAATAACTAACCACTGTTACCGTTTGCGATCGATTGCCGGTTCGATAAGACTGATGAATGACCGACGCGCTGTTGTCATGTGTGTTTTAAATATTTAATTTAATGAAACTTACTTACTGACTACAAATTTTGGCTTAAATTAGAAAAACTTAATGCCATTTATTTGTTAATTTTGGATTATAAAAATTAGTAAGATTGTGGTGTTTGTGGTCGATATAAAGTATAAAGTTGTAAACTATATAGTCATTTAGACAAACTTTTTGACTTGTTTTGACCCCCCCCCCTATTACCCCTTTCAGTAATGACTAGCGTAATGCTTATACCTTGTATACAAGATGAAAAGAAGTGGTCCAGGATACTACCTTGGTACATCATTCTTTTCTTTTTTTTCAGCATCTTACAAAGTTGTGTTCGATAGCAACGGAATGTGTAACGGCTCTCTCCATAGATTCGATCCTACAAATGGAGTTGTTAAAGTCTGGAGCATTGTGGCATCTATTACTCTACATGTTCCATTATGATTTTACTTTGGATGAAGGCGGTGTTGAGCGATCCGAAGATGCCAACAAGCAAGAGGTAATACTAAAGAATATTTATATCAAGAGAAGAGTCTACGTGGTATGTCTTGATCTTTGGTTTCTTCTGCATTATAGGAATGTAAATGTTTGGTTGCACAATCGCGTATCGATATGACACGAGAAAAACTGGTAAATTCTTTGGTATTTTGATGCTATACAGCAAAATTTGAGTTTGCTGTATAGTATCTCAGACATCAGTGAATGGTTTCCAAATGTTTGATATATTCGGGACCTTTTTTATATTTCAGGTTGCTAATAGACTGGCTAAAGAATCCGTGAAAGCATGTGGTGCTCTAGGAGGTTACGTTCCAGGGGAAAACGAACCTCCACCAAATATGCTAGCTAGAAGTATATTAGAAAGCTTGTTAACGAAATACTTGGCGAATCAACTAGGTCATGAAAAACCGGAGGAGATTCTCAAGATTTTGAACAGCAACAGCGAAACTCCTTACTTGATTTGGGACAATAGCACCAGAGCCGAATTGATGGACTTCCTCGAAAGCCAGAGCCGGAATCGGAACGAAATCGATGTTAGTCTGGCCAATAACTTCAAATACTCCGCGCATGCTGGCGAGTTGAGAATCGGTGGAATATTTATAAGGATTTATAACCAACAGCCGTCCTATCCCATCCAGGTTAGTATTTGCAAAAAGGGCAGTTTTTTATTGGCAGCAATGTTCAGTTTTGCTTCCGGTTGGCGACGCTTGTGTGGTTGGGTATTAAACTGTAAAAAATAGATGGAGAAAAGGCAGCTTCATCACGTTTTGATGTACATACAGTACCGAGCAAAACAGGAGAATTATTATTTTATTTTTTTAAAGATTTTATTAAACTATTAAAGTAAACTAAACACTTGTAGTTTATTATGACTTAATGTAACATGTAATTCAAAGCCAATATGAAAATAAAATTTCTGCTTTAATAAAACTATGCTAACAATTATTATTACAAAATACAGCGAGCAAAAATAGTGAAATATACAAAGCCATTGTCGTATAGAAAGAAGCTAATACTTGGTTGCATAACCTTTATTTTTGATAACTGCTAGATATCTTTTTCTCATTGAACCAATTAGGCTATCTATTGTTTCTTTTGGAATAGAAATTTCAGGTGACTTCGATTGTTTCAAATAGGTTCTGCAAGTTTGGCTTTTTTTGATTCTATTCGGTAGAATTTTTATTTTTTATTAGGTACGACGTTGTTCATATGCCAAAAAGAAGGAAGCTTTTTATTTTAAATCTGTTTTTTCGGTGCAGAGGAAAATGTTCTTTCAGTTTGTTAAATTTTATTTTTCAGAACGAAAGCTATAACTTGTACTCATCCGTTCAGCACAAGATTTCCGTAATACGTAATCACTTTCCTTTAAAGCTTTATCTGATTTGGATTTTATAAGGATGAAAACCCACTTTTTTCTTCATTATGCCATGCAGTGTTGACCTAGAGATTCTCAAAGCAGCGGAATGCTTCCGTACAGAACGCCGAGGATTTGCAGTGACCGAATCACATACTCGACGCACATTTTCTTCGGTTGGGGGCCACGGAGCCTCTTAATCCACTTTTTCAATAGGTTCTTACTTGGGGCATCTCTTGGTCGGTGAATGTTGTAAAATTTCCGAAGGGCAACTACGTCTGAATCGCCACTCTTAAAGTAAGTCTCGATAGCAAAAGCACGTTGCGCTCCGGTCGAACGTTCCATTGTGACTATTTAACCCGCACGCCGAACACGTCGATCAAGACCTCCCCCACTTCCTCGAGTATATGGTTGCCGCGTAATTCAAATTTGAAATGTGAACTGGATACATACAGTCTAGTGAAAGATGGATCGTTTTCAGGATCCGAAAGGTTTCGTCACGGAGCTACTCAACTTCCTCAAGGAGCAATCTGAGTACCTGCTCAATCTGGTTAACATAGCGTACTCGTTGACCATCGAAGATAGAATCAAGAGTTCTGTGATGGCCCTGGAAGCACTGACTAACGTGATAAGAAATAATCCTGGAGTTGAGACTCAGTGCATCGGACATTTCAGGCTTTTGTTCAAGTTGCTCAGTGTTAGCTGCATACCGGTCAGTATATTTATTTTTTCAAAATCAACCGAAAGATTCTTTTAAAAGTAAAAATAGACGTGTGAAGCTTTGATTTTGTCCTTTCTACCATAACCTACGTCGTGTGGATGAGGCGAGAAACATCGCCGTATACGATTGGTTATATGGACGAAAGCAAATAACATTCTTCAAGAAAAGCAAGAATGTTATTTTAACATGTTTGTACACTTTTGATACAGGTTCAAAAAGGAGTGCTAAATGTCATTTGTGTAGTGACGAGAAACAATGAATGTATCAATGACATTGCCGCCAGCGAAGTGTTAGGATATCTGTTGATGTGCCTGTATGGACTACAGGACTGTCAACCGCAGATATTAGACACTTTGTACGCCCTTATGACGACAACAAAGATTGTCAAAGAGGCTTTGCATAAGGGTGAGTTTACATTTTTTGAAATTTTTCATTTTCCTGTACATTTTGTGTATAATTCCGATATATGGTTTTGTTGCGGACTTTGCCTGAAAATACGTTTAACAAACCGTATATATTTTGAATCAGAAAAAAGAGACTATCATTTTCCCTGAAAATATATACTAAATTCCATCCAAAAAATATAACTTTATTCCATAGCAGTTTTCTGAGCAAATATTACATGAAAAACTTGATGATAGACCCTATAACTTTCATACACAACTTTTTCCTCTGGATGGTCATATAAAAAAGTTAGATGGTGTCAATTTAAAGCAACATCCAAAATACACAATACGACGTTTGTTCAAAAAGTGTCGCAAATTTTGAGCTTTCGCGGGCTACGTATGTTCGATTTTCGATCTTTTTGTGGCGTTATGTTGGTACTCATGATCCTCACTAATGTTGACAATATCGGCCTTTTTAAATGTTCAGTCAGTTTTTGACAGTTATTATGCGTGGACGTGTTTTTAGCTTGTCTCCGATTTTTGTCTATTCCCAAAAATGGATCAAAGAATTTGTATTAAATTTTGTGTAAAAAAACTACTTGAAGTGCGCGGACATATTCCAAATGTTGACTGTTGCATACGGCGTAGCTACTTTGGACAAAAGCAACGTTTATCGGTGATACAAAATGTTCTCAGAGGGCCGAGAAGATGTGAGCGACGAAAAGGGTTCCGGACACCCAAGCACGTCAACAACAGACGAAAACATTGATGAGTTCTTGCCGCATGAAATTAGCGATACTTTTTGAACAAACCTCGTATCTCACTTTTGACAGTAGGCGTGGGAAGCACTCTGAAAGGCCTGCTGTTTACGGACTATATATTGGAATTATTATGCTGGCTCTAGAGATCATTTGTGTCGTATTAACCATGTTGAAGTTGAAGTTAAAATTGTATCTTATGAAATGTATGTATTCTGAACAGCAAGTATACTTCTGCAGGACTGGCTAAAACTAGGTTTTATCCCTTTTCCAGGTGCCGTGATCTACCTCCTAGATCTTTTCTGTAACTCCACCACGCAACCGGTCCGCCAAACTTCTTGCGAACTGCTCGCTCGCATGAGCCTGGACAAACTGGTTGGTCCGCGCGTGCGGCTCGCACTGGCCGCCTTTTTACCTCCCATCTTCGCGGATGCGATGCGTGACAGTCCAGAGGCAGCGGTGGGCATGTTCGAACAGGCGCACGAGCATCCGGAGCTGATATGGGACCAGGAGGCGAAGGATAGGGCTTGCGCGTGTGTGGCACGCTTTCGAAGGGAGTAAGTCGTTGTTGAATACTCTCTACGCTGAAGCACATATGTCAGGTTTATTACCCGAGTTTGCTGCTGACCGATAACTTGTCAGTCTTCAGCCACTATCTTCTTGCTCTTATCGTCGATTGTCATGTTTGTGGTGCATTTTATTTTTTAGCCGTCGAACGTACTTTTTTACAGTGCCGATGTTACACCCATAATCAAATGTTCTAAGTAGAGATGCACAGAGTACTACTTACTTTAAATCGCCGAGTACTGGGTCGTCTTATTCAAATACCGAGTACCGAGTTCCCAGCCTGGTTCATAGCGCTGCGCTTGTTTATTCCAGTCACTATCAATAATATTGAAATTATATTTTTGCTTTTGAAAGGCGTATTCTCAAAATTGATTTCCTTTTTCAAGAAATTCAAAGTTTTGCGATTTAGACGATTTTTTGTGAGTAAAAAAAGGTTTATTGTATTTGCAGTATTTTTGTGTTTTATTATAACTGCTAAACATATGTTACTCACATAAAATTTAAGGCAATGTGAAATAATATCCAATCAAAATTGTAACCATAATTCTGCATTACATTTTTGAAATATCATGTTTGTAATACGAAACACATTTTTGAGGTAACAAATGATATGAAGGCAATTTTCAGGGTTATTTTAGATTTGTGGAACGGATCTTTTAATCGTAAATGCAAACCTTAGATTCGAAGGGTATATGCTAAATCTTTTAAATGTATATTTTTTGAAGGTATGCAATGCAAGGCTCCAGGCTGTACAAGCTTAAAAAATGCCTATTAAAATCGAGAGATTGGAAAAACCCAAATTAAAACTGCCTAAATGTCATAATGGGGCCAATTCAGATTTGGGAAGGACTACACCTAAATTATCTTTACATAGGAGTGAAGTGTTTCTTTGAAGGAACGCGGAAAACTCACCTGACTTTTCGAATTTTGCTGCAATTTTCGTACTTTGGTTGGTATTTTTTATTATTTTTCAATTGTTCATGAGAAAGATGAAAGGTTTAGGCTACAATGTGGTCTCAGATTAAACAGCTACACTAACAGATTCATGGACTTACTAAGAAACATGAAGTAGTAGCACCTTGTATGTAAAAAATAAGCCACCCAAATACCGTAAACGCTCTAGCTTGGTGGATAAGACGAATAGAGCCTACATTTACTCAAAAATGACGGCAAAAATATTCTATAACTTTGGCTATTTTTTATGGTGCGTAAGTTTTTTGGAAGACATTTCAGGAAGGTGTGGAAATAGTCTAATTGATAAGACTTCGCTCAGCGGATCTGCAATTCATTGATTTACATATTTGTGACTTGCGTTCAGGCCGGTTGAGTAATTTAATATTCAGTGAAATCGGGTACAAACCGAGTATTCGGTGCATCTCTACTCCTTAGTTCTAAGTTGCTCAGATTTTTCCCGTCTAGGACATAAGTTCTAAAAAAAGTTCAATATCCCTTGGTCTTCATACTCGTACATAGGACATAAATTCTAAACAAGGCTAATGTCAGAGATGGCCTTCAAAGATAACAAAAAATTATGTTGGTCATTTTCGTTGGCCTGCTTGTCTGTATTTTCTCCCCAACAATTTTTGGCCCGTCCTCTCTTAAACCTCAAGAATTCGTGATGTAATGTGGGAACAGGTTAGCAAAAATATCATTTATTTCTTGACATTGTTAGAAAGGCTGGTTATCTTGTTTGCCCTCAAAATGCAAAAAATGACACTTATTCTCCCATGCCAGGCACCAAGCCAACCAAAGTTCGAACCCGTCCGTCCTGTGGAAGTTACCTGACACCAACGGAATGACGAATCTTGCCACACCCAATGAAATAGTTGTGGCAGGAGTGTATCTGAGAATCTTCATAGCCAATCCTTCTTGGACCTTGAGAAAACCGAGAGAGTTTCTCACAGAGTTATTGGAAACCTGTCTGAATCTCATGAACAAGGACAAGCCAAACGTAAGTTGATCATTGGTGCAAGATTATAATCTAACGATACTAATATATTGTAAGCAATGTATAAAGCTACTAAACCAGACCTCAATGACTATAACGAAGTTTCCTATTTTTTATTAACCCATATTTTGTATTGCAGGCAGAGTTGCTCGAGATCTGCACAAAAGCTCTTTGCTGTTTGCTCCAGAACCAACCCGCGTTGTTAGATTTGATACCATCGATGGGGCACATTCCTAGGCTGTGTAGACAAATGGGCTCCAATATCAAGCAAGTCGTCGTGCCAAAGTCAGCTATTTGTATATTGAATTCCTTGTCTATGAGCAATGTAAGTACACCACCGTTGATTTTTTACCAGGCGAACTACAAAAGGTGTTATGAGTTTAACATGTGGATATGTACCCGTACATGTATGTGTGTATGTATGATTCGCAACGTCATATTGACATTTTGATTGTTACCTTTTATAGGAAGAAAAGTGGCAATATTTTAAATCCCTTGTCAAGAAAAGTAAAAAATAAAATCGATTTTTCGAAAATTCTGTTTCTTTCGTCTATCTCCGGAAATACTCGGAATTGCTAAATTTTTAATTATCTAAATGAGCAGCTTTGCACCTAATTAACCGAGTTCGTATCTCTTCCCGTTTCTGAGATCCCAATGGTGCGAGTTGAATTTCAAGCAGCCGGTATGCTATTGAAGAAATACTACACAAATTCGTACATATCTCAGTGATATAATATAAAACTTAAGTTCATAGGGGATAATGAAAAGAGTCATCTAAAAATTTCTTAAACTCCCCTCCAGGGCCTACCTCTTCTTCACGCGTTTGAGGTTAGACATAAATTACGTAGGACTTGACAATTTATCCCTTTCATTTTGATGAAAGTCACTAAAGATCTTAGTATGTTTTTGTCAACCAAGAAATATCTCCAATGACAGCAATTCCCTCAGGCGTGCCTCAGGGCTATGCATTGGTACCGCTGCTATTTCTCATATATAATTTCGACTTAAGCCAAAGTATTGATGATTCTCATGTCCAGTCCTTTGCATATGATACGCAATTGCTCCATTATTTCAATACAGAAAATATCAAAAACTCATACAAATTTTACAAAACGATGTAAATCAATTAATTAAGCACTTTTCAGATCATAATCTGCTTGTTAATCTACAAAAATCTACGATGTTATTATTTTGCGATCAAAGGAAAAAAGACAATTAGAACACAGCTCTTGAACATTCAAATAAATAACAAAATCTTACAGTTTTCTGATTCATCAACAATTCTTGGTGTTGTTTCTGATACATAATTAAGGTTTATTGAGCATGTTAAAAGTATTTCACAGAAAACTTATCTAAGGCTACGTCCTTTATAGCAAACAGGCAGTTACTAAATTTCAAGTTGCATATAAAACTATGTGAAGCTCTGTTCATATCTATACCAAATTATTGTAATATCGTATACTACAAATATTTTGACAATTTCAAGAAAACGTTATCCAAAACAATGGTATACGTTTCATCTTTGGCTTACGTTAATTCAATCATGTATCAACGAAATATCCCGTTCTAAACGGGTTAAAAACTAATGGCTTCACTGTAGAATCGTCAGAGAAAAGAATATTAGAATACTCACCATGGGTCTACACTTTTTCAACGCATTTTTTCCTAGAATGTTGCTATGCTTACCCATATATTTTACATAATCAAGCATTTCTTTTATCATCCTTTGTTTTATTCAGGTTAATAATAATTTGTGGTGTACTTGAGTTTGGAAAGTATGCCTTTTCCTCTTTTATTTTTCACTTTCGATGTAGATAACTAAATATGTTTGTTAATGGTGTATTGTTGTGAACATCTACTAGCATGGTATATCTACGATAACCTCATAGTCTTCTCCCTCGCCATTTAAAATCAGGTGAACCTGTTTCTCCATTTTGTTGATTTATGATTTAATAATTTACCTCAATTTTCGATAGTGCTAGAACAAATTTTTTGAGATGTCTGTTTTTTTAAAATGACATTGACATAAGACCTGTCTCCCGCTAGTACCTCACCTGCGTTAGGCGGTTAACCGTACCACCTAATTTTTTGACATCTCGATGACGTCATATCCGTCTTCCCCTATTCCCGTTCTTCGCGAAAATTTGAGTATCAGTTCCCGGTATTGCATGTGCTATACCGTGGTCTCACGAAAAAATCCCTAATGTAATAATTGTAGATAAATAAAGACGTCTAGTATTATTATATACAACAGATGTGAGACAGGCCTCTTGGAGAAGTGTTTAATCGCTTTTCCTCTCTTCAGATCTGCGTGAACGCCATCGCCCAAACCGACTGCATGCACCCCTTAAAGCAAGCAATGCAAGCGCGGCGAGACATGGTCGCAGTGGCGTGCGAAGCCCTCCATCGCCTGTTTTCCAACAACCAGGACCAGTTGGTGAAGCAAGCTTTGGACGTGGACTTCGTTAACTTCCTCCTCAATCTGCTGGAGGCCAGGCTGGACCTGGTGGAGAACCCCGCCATGACCAAGGCGCAGATCGTTAAGGCGCTCAAGTCGATGACTAGGAGTCTCTTGTACGGGGATAAAGTGAATTCGATCTTGGAAAAGAGCAGTGTGTGGTTGGAGTATAAGGATCAGAAGCACGATTTGTTTATATCGAATACGAACATTTCGGGATACCTTACTGGTAAGTATTCTGAAAATATTTGGATGCGTCCTGTTATATTTTGATTTACAGAGCGGTAGTCAAGTGCTTGGTCAAACTTCAAGAGCTCCATTAGGTGGTTCTTATGAGAAAAATTCATATGAACATAGGTCTGGTATTTCTTCGTTTTGAAGATTCTGGGTCCCAAACTATCTAAAAATCAATTATGAGAATAAACGTACCAATAACCTTAGTCGATTTTATTAAATTGGTAGAATTTTACACAGGTATTTTGTTGATTGGAAACGAAATGTTTCTGTAACTATGTTTATATGGCCCCTGAAGTTGGGCCAGGTACTTTTTCACCCGCTGTATGTGATATTCTAAGCCTTTGTTTATAAAGAACATTTTTTTTATTTGTAACAACATTTGATACCGTCCTTGTCCTTGAACATTTTATGATCCAGGCTCAACCTTTGAAAATGCTTAATTGCATTTCTTACAGTCACTACCTCTTTATATACATGCCTCTGCCTATGAATCAGGTTAATCAGGTTAAGATAGGGACGAGCATATTTTATTTAGAAACGGTCATCAAGAACTGATAAATAGCAAAAAAGTGCTGATTGATTGACAACAAGATGCCCGGTTTAATATCAAGCCACAATTTGCCCTTCTGGCTTGGTCAGATACTCTAGTATAAATATTTTTTTAGCTGGTACACCAACAACTGCAGGCTACCTGACCCAAGGGCCCAGCAACAAAGTTACAGAAGCCCCACCGCCTGTTGAGAAGGAAGACCCTCTTCTGCGCGGAGACTGCCTTTGACTTAAACAGCCCTACGTGAGCGGCTGAAAATGATCTTGATTTTGACGAAAAAATAAAACATTCCTGCGATATAGCAATACCAGCGATCGGCGAGGGATCCGAAAAGGTATCGCGATGCGTTCAGATCGTAGCAAAAGAATTATTGAAAAAAGAGATTTCCATGAGTTTATAAAATAGCGGCAGTTGAAACTTGGAGGTTTAGAAGAGGCTAAAAATGCGGACAACTTATGCACGGTGAATCAAAAGTAAACGTAAATGTCGAAGGCCCATTTGCTTCTCGTAGTGAGAAAAGAATTCATGAAGTTTTTATTCTAGCAAACGCTAAACGTAACATCCAAAGGTCGTGACTAATGACGATGACGAGGCAGTTTAGCGTCAATCTTTTTTATCTACCATTTCAAGAAATTCAGTTAGCTTATGATTCTGACCTTGAATTCTTAGAAGTATCTCATTTTTATGGGTACAGGGTATTTTAAGTCACTTAATTTCTGATTTGGATCAAGTTGCAAAGTACGTTGTCTTCTTTGGATCCTGAAATATATGAGCATCCCTACGTAATACCCAATACCATGCACGCAAAGATTACTAGTAAGCGGGGCTCTGGCTGACAAACTAGTATAGGGTGTCTCAATAAGAGCGCCGGATTTTATTTTCAAGAAAGACACAATTTCTTTTCGAATTAAGCGAGTATTTATATTTTAACATGAAGAGGGATAGTTGCGATTAAGCATGGAACAGGACATCCGGTAAATGGCCACCACGAAACCTCTGGCACAGGGTCAGTCTTTTCATAAAATTCTGGATAACGTTTTCGCACAACTGTGGCTCTATTTCGTCGATAGCGCGCCGTATCTCGTTAAGGCGTTTGTGGCTTGTTCGCATACATGTTTTCCTTACGGCAACTATCGACTGGCGCATTATTGCGACCGAAAATTGTGCGTAATTTGCGAACTGTTTCGTAATTGAACGTTGCTCATTGGAATACTGCTCTATGACGTCTAATAGGGTGGTCTGGACGTGACAGCTGTCATCAGGTAAATACAAGCTTTATACAAAAAAAGACTGCAAATTCAAATCGGGCGCTCTTGTTGAGACACCCATTATATGCTAGCGTGTGCGGCTATCTTAAGTTCATTTCTGGGATTATGCACAACATGAAATTGACTCTTCAACTGTCAAGTCTGTTTTTTGGAACATGGAACACTATTAATTTGAATACAAGATGATTATGTAAATGTGATTTGGAGAGATAACTGTTATCGGCTTTTAATCCTGGTTTCACTATCGAGGCTTCTGTTAGGGCGTGTTTTCGAAGAGGTTACCACTAGTTAGTTTTTACGTTGAAAGTATTTTTAGTTATGAAAACGATGATTATTAATAATCGTTGGTGTAGTGGTGAAAACTACCGAATTACTGAGTAATTCGTGATTTTTTACAGTTCACGTGTTAATCAATATCTAGGGAAGAATAATATCAAGTCGAAAATTGGGGTACCTTGAAGCAAAAAAAAAACTTTTTTAATAAGAAAAAATTTCCTATATTTTGTATTTTAATACTGACGTTCCTAAGCTGCCATCGTAATTTTTTATACCTTTATCACGAATTCAGGTACAGAGTCAAATTCACTTGGCTCAGTGTTTTTGTTTTCTCTACACCAACTGTTTTAGTTTCCTTTTGTGATAGTAATTAGTTATGTAGTTTTCTTGCCCCGTTATTTAGATTCCAAGAGGTAACCTCTCTGGAGGAAACTTTCTAAGAATTGTCATGAAAATATATCATGAAGGCCTGAAATGATAGATCTTGGATATGTTCAAATTAGTTTTGAACTAAGAATAAAATTTCGAAAAATCCATGCAGATTACACATTTTTTATTTACTCCACTGAATACTGTTGAATCTAATTTTACTACACCTTTTCACATTATCTCTAGATAAGAAAGAATCCGTGTTATGTCTTAAAACATGTGAATACTTGTTTGACAATTTCAAGAAAGTCTCCCAAAAATTGTGTGTATAAAAAATGTGTGAGAACTTTTGTATATTAGTTAGGTATTAAAATTCAGAGTACTTTGTAATCTTTATATCTAAAGTTATTTATAATGTTTATTTACAAAATATATATTTTCTATCGAAGTCCGTTATTGAGATATTTCATTTTCCTAAAAGGTGTCTTAGAATCATTTTAATAAACAGTTTTTAAGCAAATTGATTTTTAATTACGTTCTTGATAGCGGTTCCGTGAAATTGTCGTGAAGGTCAAGTTTGCAACTAAAAACACGGATATTATTAATTATACATAATAAAACTGCGCTACAATCTAACGAAAAAATTTTACTTACATAAACATTGCGTTCAGTTCTGAAGATGGTGGTCAAAAAAATTATATTTGGCGCTGTTTCGCTAATAAGATCTACAAAAGGCGCCTGATAAAAAAGCAGACATTAAGAAAACGCAAGTAATGTAAGCATTTATTTCGGGTCTATTTATAAAAACCATTGCGGATACAAATATTGTAAATACAGGGTGATACAGTTTAAAATAATGTCCTGGGGCGATTTTAATTTTTTGTCAGCTGGACAAGCTGATGCACAAAGATTTACGTGATATTAGGTCTTAGGCCTAAATCACATAACACTTAAAGTCTAATCATATTAGCAAATTTCCCTGAAATAATTGTAAAGTTGGTTTTATTGATGCAAGTTGTTCAAGGGGGTATTCAAAATATGGACGCATAAAATGGCTACACCAATTTTTATTCGACAACAAAGAATGAGAAGACGTGTTTTTTGGGATTCAATCGAAAGTGTTGGCAGGAACAAGAAAACCCTTCAAATAAGATTTTTAGGATTTATGAGTCCTACAGAATGAGACCACACGTAAAAAGATCCCACTAGTAGTAAAAATTTTATTGTGGTTATTTAGAAGTAAGCAGCGTTCGGATTGAAGAATTTCAAGTAGCTGCGTGAAATTATCGTCGCATTAGCAACAAGTGCCAAAATCTGCATTTTGTCTCGGTTTTCGGGCATAACCTTTTTACTATTAATGGGGTCTTTTGTTTCATAAATACCTAAAAATCTCATTTGAAGAGTTTTCTTTCCTGCTAACACCTCCGATTGAATCCTAAAAAACACGTTTTCTCATTCTTTGTTATCGAATAAAATGTTTTCCCCACAAAAATTGGTGTACGCGTTTTATGCTCCCATGTTTTAAATACCCCCTTGAAAAACTTGCATCAGTAAAACCAGACTACAATTATTTCGCAAACCAGGGGTATTTTCGTCTAATATGATTAGACCAACACACAAAAGCGACTGTTTCGTTCAAATACTGTAAATACAGGGTGATACAGTTTAAAATAATGTCCTTGGGCGATTTTAATTTTTTGACACCTGGATAAGCTGATGCAAAAAGATTTACGTGGTATCAATCTTAACTTTAATACCTCAACAGTCCGAATGTTCAAATGCACTTTATGACATTTTGTTAATAGAGAAATGACTAGCTAAGGCTGGGTACCCGCAGCCGCGAAAATGTCTTTATTTTCAGTTTTTTGAATAATCTCGAGGTGCATATCAACCAACAAATATCTGCTACATTGGTAAACTGTATTGGTATAGCGGTATAGTCACATTAAAAAACTTGTTGTGAATCAAGTGTTTTCTTTCCAGTTACCCCTCCTATCGCCCCCCCCCCCCCTGCGATAGCTATAGACGTGTAACATATATACATTTTTAAGTACCCTGTAATCTGTAAGTATTCTTGACCATAAACCCCTAAAACGTCTCCATGCCGGTAACGATACACTGTACCATTGTTAACAGGTGTTTTTGATTCATATGCCAGTCAAGATCATGAAACATAATTATTTAAACTAAAACTGAAGGCATTTGTGGCGGGCTGCGGGGTAGACAATCCCAGTTCAACTTATTTCTGTTTCAATAAACTTCGACGATGATGAATTCTTTCAAGTACTCTGTAACCTCTACGTTCGATATCATTTCACATCATCAGATACACCAATTTGATCAATACAATGACATTAAAAAATGCACCAGTTGTTATTACATATATTTTTTCATTAAGATGTCAGTCAAGATCACGCAGAAAAGGCTTGCTTCAAAATGAAATATATGCAGCAGTCTGAAGGTGGGCAACCCTAGATCAACAATACCCAAAACACTGCATTTGAACCAACGGGTTTTTGGAGTATTACAAGTGCGGAATATGAGATTATCATAGTGCGTGTTTACCATTTAATCCTGTTTTCCTTATAAAGAATATATTGCGCAATTTTTTGCACCCTCTTTTACTGAAAAGAAACTATTTTGAAACAATTCAATAAATATCACTTTTCAAACATTTATTAAAAAAATCGACCTGTGGCAACTGAATATGCTTTTTATTCTACAAGTCCTATCAACTAAATATATACAGTTACAATGTTGCCATTTACCTACTTTATTGGTTCCTGTACAATCTGACGTCACAAATTTTTCATGCCAGTAGTGGTCTTGAATCGTAAAGGTTTAAAAAATCTCAGCTGCTTGGAGAAGACAACAGATTATTTAACTAAACAAATATTACAAAATACAAGTAAGTACACTAATGACAGTGATATAGATGCTATAAGCACGCGCGCAAATATAGTCTATTCCAGCACACTTGAAAGGCGGTCTCTAAGTGTGTCACATCGTTGTAAAACCTACTATACATCTACGATCTTGCCCTGTTTAACGTAACGTCCAGAGAAAGTGTTGCTATAGCAATGGTGTTGCGTCATGCTCACATCACTGATGTCCAGGTTGAGGTAACATGACACCTTTTCTAATAGCGTATCGAAGATGACACGTAGCTCTGCAAACGTTGGCCTGTCCAGTGGGGAGGCGTTCCAACAGTTGCACATTATTGCGTATCTGGAAAAAGAATTAGGCATTTGGAATATGTCACTGTTCGAGAAATGCCGTGTTGTTACCATACAACTCGAGCATTATAAGGACTTGTAGTAGTAATAATAACAATACTAATAGGTCTTTATTAGGGCGAGGTTTATCCATAGGCTATTCTTCCACTTAACTCTTTTAAAACAGTAAAAATTACAACTTACAAAGACATATACAATGTGTCTGGTGGTACAGTGTAACAATTACAGTAAAAGGCATATAAGTGATTTAAGTATATTGAATTAAAAATATATTTCGTAATTTGCAAATGGATGATAAATATTTCCGCCATGTATAAAAATATCCAAATAAAAGTAGATTTGGACAAAAAACGACTTCATCCAAAAATTATTATCCATCTGGCAACCACGCTAAATAAGAACAGCCGTATTTAGGCGCGACCAGCTGTTTTATGGACGCCATGTTTTTGGAGTCATCTCTTATCTCTCTAGTTGTATTCGCCTTATCTGTCCGCTCTTCTGGTTCTACTGTGACTCGTCAAAAACAGTGAAAATACCTATTAGGCACAGCTTCTTCAGGGTTGGACATCTTCTGGTGGAACATCTCAATTAATGACACCACTTAAAAGTATGGCATGCTGGTTGGTATACTTACAGTTCCTCACTGCAGTTTATTGGTCTCTCCATACGGAATCCGCTTCTGAGTAAAGGTAACAGTTCTTGAGTCTGAACCCCTGGATACGGCGTACTGCCCATGGTTACTATCTCCCATAATAGTATTCCGAAAGACCATACGTCACTTTGGGTAGTGTATATCTAGAACAACATTCAGATGAAAACGAATGAACAGATAAAAAAATACACATAGGTAGTAGGTATAGCTACCATTTGGGGGTCTTATAAGTCATTGTTCACAAAAACATTTAGTTTGTCCACCGCGACAGAGAAGGACTAACCCTGTCTGACTCGTAAGGTAGCCATGGTGTTTGGACATTGGTATTTTTTGTAATCTAAGAGATTGTTGTCATATTTTCGATCACCTTGAATAAATAATTTACCTGTTGTGTCATAGATTCCAGTGCCATCCAACGTATTGGCACTTTTCCTCCGGTAACTTTTCGGTAAACGTTGTCATAATACACATCACGACTCAGTCCGAAATCGGAGATCTTGACTTTATTGTCCTCGCATATCAAAACATTCCTAGCTGCCAGGTCTCTGTGTATCAGTTTTAGGGATGCTAGATACTCCTGAAAAGCAATAAGGTAAGCAATAACTTAGATTATCTGGTTTGTAATCTAGTACAAGTTTATATCGAAACGCCAGACATATAAGCAACGTTTGTTATGGGTAATGCTCATAATACCTCTGTGATAAAAGCTTACTTCGTGTTGGCTACATAGGCGACATAGTATGGATTACAGTGTATGGCATATAAATGGGGAACTCACCATTCCTAATACAATCTGTCTAGCAAAAGAAATCAAATCTTTCGGCTGTGGTATGTCCGTCATGTCACTTTGCGAAAAATCGTACAGAGCGTTAGACACATACTGTGGATTCGACGATTGTGCAAACGACTCTTCGTTTTTTATTTTCCTGAAAAAAGACATATTTTTAATCACTACAAAAAACTTATTTAAAGTACGAAAATTTTCGCGAATACGATACTTCTATGGGCGCCCGCTGTGGGAGGGGGTTTATCTGCAAGAGATTTCTTTCTCATGTGGAGGCCATATCCTTAAAATTCCCCACAAGATCATGCTAAAGTTGCAAATTGTAAGATTTAACGGGGTCCTATCTAGTACCCACCGTAGGCGTCGATGGATCTCTCGCCTTTACGTGGAAAGCAAAATGATGTCGTCGAAAACATCGCAACTTTGACGAAAAAAGTCAAAAAACTATTGGCACACCCTTTTATTCTTGGATCTCAGTAACTAAAAGATGCATTTTGGCACTAAATTTATATAAAAACGTGTTGAAATATTGATTCATCTTCAAGAGTTTGGCTTTGACGGTTACGAATACGTATGAGGAAACCTAACACTAAGTTTGAAATGAGACATGTCAGCCCAACAGAGAAACATTTATCTTTCAGCATAAAAATGATCCTAAGCGCACCGCCATTAAAACAGAGACATGGATACAGTATTCATGCACAACTCAAAACTGTACCCCAATTCCCGTTAAACATTTGTTGGACTTGCTGGACTTGAAGGCCTAAAAAAACTAGAAATGGGACCAAATTGTACCAAAATATCCTTGCCAGGAAGGTTTCAGGCTATAACACTGATCAACAGCCAAAAAATATCCTAAATAAAATCAACAAAATATTACTATTTTTAATGTGCTAAAACCGGTATGAAACTTATTTTTTCAATATTAGTTCAAGTTTTAGAGATACGGTAATCATATGTGTTCCTGCTGTGACAGTGTTAATATACTGTAATTCGCAAGAATGCACGTGCTACATTTTTATATTCGGCAAGGAAGGATGATGTAATCGGCATGATTGTGTTACGTTAACGAATCAGATCATGGCGATCGAGTGATTCGTTAGGAAGAAGATATGCCATCAACGTCAAGAGATCCTGATTTTATACCGAGCACGTCATGCCACCAACCGCACAAAATAACACAGTCAGAATTAAATGATCTTGTAAGAGATTTAGAACTTCCAAAATGTAAGGCAGAGTTACTTGGATCAAGACTGCAGCAGTGGAACTTGTTAGAAGACGATGTTTCGGTATGTGTTTTTCGTAAACGCCACAAAGACTTAGAACCATTTTTCAATATGGAGAATAACTTGGTTTTCTGCAGTAACATTAACGGCTTACTGGCGGCTTTAAATATAAACTATAACCCAGAAGAATGGAGATTGTTTATAGACAGTTCAACATTGAGTTTAAAGGCAGTGTTATTGCATATTGGAAATATTTTACCATCTCTTCCTGTAGGGTATGCAGTTCACATGAAAGAATCATATGACAATATGAAGTACCTATTGACATGCATAAAATACGATGAGCACCAATGCATATTTGTGGCGATTTGAAAGTTGTTGCACTTTTACTTGGGCTGCAGCTAGGCTACACAAAGTTTTGATGTTTTTTGTGTGAATGGGACAGTCGGGCAAAGGCACTTCATTACACCAGACAAAACTGGCCTGTTCGTCAATTCCTAGAGCCAGGTCAAAAAATGTACAGCATATGCCATTAGTAGATTCGAAAAAAAATTTATTACCACCACTGCATATCAAGTTGGGCCTAATGAAAAACTTTGTCAAGGCATTAGATAGAGATGGGTCAACATTTCAATACCTGCGTCAGAAATTTCCAAGACTAAGTGAGGCAAAGGTTAAAGAAGGTATTTTTGTTGGTCCACAGATTCGAAATATTTTGAAAGATACACAGTTTGAAAACACTTTAACAGGTATTGAAAAAACTGCTTGGAATGATTTCCGTTTGGTGGTCACTAATTTCTTGGGAAATAGAAAAGCTGACAACTATAAAACCCTTGTCAAAAATATGCTGTCATCGTATCAAAAGATGGGCTGTAATATGTCTCTTAAGAAATATTTCCTACACTCACACCTGGACTTTTTTCCTGACAATTGCGGAGCCGTAAGTGATGAGCACGGCGAACGTTTTCATCAGGATATTTCAACAATGGAAAAAAGGTACCAGGGAAAGTGGAATCCTTCCATGCTTGCAGACTACTGTTGGACTCTTGGTAGAGATGCTCCAGAAACGATCCATAAAAGAACAGCAAAAAGACAGCGCATATAGTGATTCTTATAAGTATATGAATCTTGTTACTTTTTTTAACATATCCTTAAAAATAAAAAGTTTTTTTTCTAAACAGCAACTAATTTTTTTTATTTCATTTTCATTTTTGGATTCAGCGCCCCAAAATTAACAAAGACGTGCACTTTTCCCACAACATACAATTAAAAAACTAAAATTTGTTGTCCAGTGTGATGCAAAATATATGATAAGAAAATAGTAAGTCTGAATAAATTTTGTTTTTACTTGTTTGTTTCCTACTGTACCAATACTTTTTTGTTCCTTGAATTTCATAATTCCTATTATTATTCCAATATTATTTTTCATTTGCTCAATCTATTGTCATCAAAAATTACGGTTTAGATGTCAGTTTTTAAATAAATTTAGTATCAATAAAATTATGTTCGTTTCCGAGATTCAAGAAAAAAATGTAAAAAGTAAGTTTTTTTATCCACTGTATATGTCTTTGAAGTTGGACTTACGAGAGTTTATCCCAAGCCTTTCTCAGATAGGTCTGTAGATCACCCTTAGCGCAATATTCTACCACGATCAATGGACTGCTGCCCCTGGTCACACATGCTACAAGAGAGACTAGTTGAGGATGTTTGGGTACAGACTTCATTATGTCTATTTCCTGATAGAATTGCTTCATTTCATCCATCGTTGGGTGTTCTGAAAGAAAACCAATTATTCCAGCAAATAAGTTTCAGAAACATTAACAATAATGATTCTTGAGATAAGGATCTATTCCCCAAAACTGATGACATACAACCCTCGTGATTTTGGTGGAAGAAAAGATTAAGATAGAAAGCGGGTAAGGTTCATGTTCTTGAATATAGCTGCCTGGTGATGGCTAAAAACCTCGACAGCTCAATGCCACCAGATATTTAGAAGATTTTGATTGTAACATGTCATAATACAGTATAAAAACAAAGGAAGTACCTTTCATCATTTTTATAGCAACCTCGATCTTCTCTTCATTGCTGTCTAAGTAGTAGCCTTTTTTAACTAATCCAAAGGCTCCTTCGCCAATGATGGACTTAATAATCAATCGACTGGGGTTAATTTCCCAGTTATCAGCAGGTATAGAGTTATTTGACGACAGTCCACCGATTGCGGTTATAATACTTGGCGGAATCTTCTCATTTAGTTCCTAAAAGAAAAGCAATAATAAATAGTCAAAATGATAGTCAAAAATAGTTATAAATCAGGTCTATTAATTTATTGAGGTTTTTTCCTCATGCGTTATTGTGTGACTTCGCACTCAGCAAAATAATGTGTTATACAGTGTGTTCTATTTTAACCTTCCCACCTAAATATTTGGACTGTGCATTCTAGAAAAAAGGTTACAAACAAAAGTAGGATTTGGAGTGAGCAAAACAATGCTTCCCTGACAATGACCTTGACCACGACTTTCAAGGCCAAATTAAATATTTTTAAATGGAACCTCCTATTTTTCAAATCGTAACTGAAAATAAGAGAAAATCTTACATGCGATTATCACCTTGGCAATGGCTTTGATAATGGCCTTTCAAAGTCAAGTTAAAATTCCAAAGGAAACCTCTTATTTTTACAATGGAAATGAAAAAAACAAAAACTTTACGGTCGAATGTGACCTTGACCTCAAATAACATTTGATCCTTGAGGCGAAGGTCACATTTCCAGTGTAAAAATGAGAAGTTTCCCTTGGACATTTTAACTTTACCTTGGAGGTCAAGGTTACCTTTGGGTAATCCCCACAAACCTCATAACTGTGCTGTTGAACATTTTTGCTTTAGAAAATTGTAAAAAATATACAGGCTTGAAATTATTATCGAACATTTTACCCAGTTCACCTCAGCAATTAAAATTCGGTTACATGTCCAGATTAATTTTTGAAAACCAGAGAGTAGAATAACCAACAGAAAGTATGTATGTCTGTTTCGAGACCTTTTTGACAGCTTGACGTTTATCAAATAAGTTTGTAAATGTATCAATTTTCATCAAAAAATATGTTCCTAGATTTTTTATACCATTAAATGTTTGAATACAAAATTAATTTCTCTAGAAATGAGACTGGTTGACAGCAGCGGGACTCCCGCACGTTCCCTCTGGTGTGTCAAGAGCGTCGTCTGGAGAGCGACTTTTCGATCAAGGAAATATAGTTTCTCGAAAATGGAACAAACCAACTTTTTATTAGGTATTCTACTACCTTGTTTCTAAGAATTGACCTCTCGGAGTAATCTCAAATGAAATATCTGTGAGTACCTGTGAACGAGGCCTTTTAGACTAAAATCTGCCGAGAGTCATTTCTTAGCACTGATAATCAATTTCCTTCACTCACCTTGAAGTATTTTAGTTTCTTTTCTTTAGCAACCTTTTTGGCGAAGTACCAATTCGCCGCCAGCATGACCACGAGCCCAATAGCTAAAATAGGCCCTACGATAATCATTATCACCTCAACATCGTTCCAAGTGCTGCCATCTGAAACCGGTATGAAGGACACGTTGAAGCTTCGTTCGATTGCTGACGTGGCACTTTTTCCAGCGAAGGAGTAGGCTGTTATGAACACCCAATAGCGCACGCTGAATTCTTCTGAGGTCACTATGACGTTTCCGATCGTCGCATTGGTGCTCTCCTGGAAGTCAAGTTAAAATATAAACTTTTTAACCAGTGCTAAGCTCAAGTAGATTACTTACCCCACTGACATTAAGAAAAATAGGTTTGTGTGTAGAGTTGTAGAACATTAGTTTGATTTGGTAGTAATTTGGTGGATATGTAGGTTTCGACCAATACAGCTGAATATTGTAGCGAGAAGAGTTATCTTCTTCATTATAATCCACCAACGCATCTATTGCTGTTAAATTCTCTGGCTTGTGAGGAACTGCGAATAGAATACAAAAATACAAAATCTTGTAATCAATATACATTAAAAGTTGTACATAAAGGCATGTGAGTAGGGAGGATTATTTTTTTACTCACCACACATAGCAGAATGTTTGAATGTTTCGTGGCATGTTGGTACAACAAAACGTAGCACCGTAGGTTCGCTCTCATTTTCAGTTGCATCCTTATCCGAGAGTGCTCTTATAATCAGTGAATAATTTTTACCAAACGATAAATTTGGTATCCGTAACTCCTCGTTATCCCACACCTAGAAGAAGAAACATTACTTGTCGGATTAAATTGTTTTTCCAAAAGTGACCCACTTCGTCGAAATCAAACAAAACTACATTTTTTCAGAATTAGCCTTTTCGAAAATATCGTTTTTGAACCATTTTTCCGCAGGGAGTTGAAAAATCAGAACTGATTACAAATGCTAGTCCGGCGCTGGCGATCTAAATGACTTAATTATCTTTATATGGAGACTGGTTATTATACTGTCAAAGTTACGATACATTATAGAGTGACCATGCATTATATGTTGCATAGCTCACTGTGTAAACAGGGCAAAACAACATTTACACTCTGTCATCTAAGTACTTAGCTACATACGAGGTCTTTAAGTTAAGTAACGAGACTGATTAAAAAAATATCCAAATATAATTACAATTTTTTTTAAAAATAATATTCTTCTGAAGCCACACCGCGCTGAAGATGGTCCCCCGATATCCTCATAGCAGTGCTGGAACTCTGATACTGGAATAGCCTTCAACTGGTCACTTACACCCGTTTGAATGTTTTCAACTGTCCCTTCAGGAAGAGAAGCAAGTCACAAGGACTCAGGTCAGGCAAAAAGCGTCCTAGCTCTCATCCGGTTTCGATGGATGGCCGAGTTCTGCCAAAGAGCCATTCATTTCGGCTGGTCGGAGTCCAGATCACCGAGGACCTGATCTGGAACGAACACATTTCAACAATAGCGACAGCTGCTGGGCAAAAGCTAGGCTATTTGCTTAGGGCTAAGCAGTACTTTTCTCCGCATGACCTTCTCACTCTATACAACGCCCAGATAAGGCCTAGCCTCGAGTATTGCTCACACGTTTGGGGTGCTGCCGCCCCGACTACAATATTTATGCTCGATGCTGTCCAGAGGAGGGCGGTCCGACTGATCGATGACTTCTATAACAGACAGTCCCGGGACCCTTTCGCACCGGCGGACCGTCGGCGATCTAGCTCTTTTCTACCGCTACACCAACGGGCTTTGCTCCTCAAAGCTCTCTTACATGGTGCTGCCACGCGATGTGCCTGCCAGATAGACCCGCCTGACTTTGGCGTCTCATCCTAACCATGTCGAACTTCGTACATCCAGAACTGGCCGATACGACCGCTCCTTTGTCCCGAGGGTGTCGAGATTGTGGAACAATCTACAAGAGGAAGCTTCTCCCACTTCTACTAACCTCAGCCAGTTCAAAAATCGTATTAACAAAATTTCTTTGGTATCATCATAGCAGCCCGGCATTTAGGATTCTGCCTGCGCGGTTGCTTCGGTATAAAAAAATAATAACGAGGCTGATGAGCCACATTGATGTTTTTACTGGCCAAAAACTCGTTTATTAAATTGCTGCGTAATAAAAGCTTGTCGTTAAAAATATATTTTTTCTTTAATTTGTTTTCCGTATGCAGACTGTCAGCTTATTTTGGGACATCCCGTATTGCAAGATAATAAGAAGGTCTCGTATCAAAAATGACCATCTTTTTCCTTAGGTGAGATATCTAACATTTCTGTCACTCCCTAATATTGACAAACTTAATAAGGTACCTTCACTTTGAGGAGTTTTCAAAGAACGACTATCCATCCGGTCTTTACCCAAACAAATACTTACAATAGTATATTGTTGAGCTATAAGAGGAGGCCTCTAACATTACCTGACCCTTACCATAGCAATGTCGCATACCGAATTTTAAATGTGTACAGCTTTGACATTGACAGTGAAATTCTCATTATCAGCTGTGCCATTATCGTCTGTCTGTCCTTTAAAGATAAATGATTCAGACGGTTCTCAGAGCTCGTAAGCAATTCTTAATACAAATTCAATATTTATTACCGTACCCATAAGCGCTGCCAGGCCAGACATGTCTATTACACAACCAATAAATATTATGAATTTCATTTCCATACTATTGTTACAGGACACCGAATTGTGTTGAAATCACGTTGAAATATTGGAATTTCATATTTTGTTGGTTTTGATCGCAAACTAGTTTAGATTGACTCTAGTTTCCTCGGAAACTTCCACAATCCAATACTCAGGATTAACGTAAGCTCATTTTGAAGTATACAGGATGTTTCAGAAAAAAGTGGCAATACTTATAGATTAGCAAATACATCCAAAAGTAACAAAAAAGTTCGTATGAACATCGGTTCAAAAATGTCTCAAAATACAGGGTTCTGTAAATGTATACCCCAAAATTTTTGTATGTATCGTATATGCTGTTAGTACTACGTGTAAAAAATTTTAAGTGAATAGCTTAATACGCTACGAATATATATTCCAATTCACTGTTTTTGGCGGGCTGACACTAACACTACCAGCATCACTTTCATACATCCATCTACTTCACATAGTGACAACCTCGTCTGAAAATCTCGTCCAAACCCGAGCGGTACTTTCGAAATTATAGGCGAAACAGAGACTGATCGATGGACCGAAGAAAATGGGTGACAATAGTTTTGCGGTTACTTTCTTTTTTGTAGACAAAAACCACGTTATCGCTATGGTTGACAAGCTGCCCTAACCTAAACAAACATATACTCATACGTAGAAAGCCTGTATAATATTTTATTATTACGTAGTGTCACTTAGTATATTTTGAAAAACATGGAAGGGACCTCACCTCAATACCGCGGCTCTCAAGGCTATTCTGGAGAATGGCTTCCGTGATGTTTTCAATGCTTGGAAATCGCGCTGACAGCGTTGCATCGATGCAGAAAGACCCTATTTTGGAAGTTTTTAAAGAATTGCAACGATTGGCTCAATTAATTTTTTTAAATCGACTCAGTCCAATTACTTTCCGGACAAACCCTGTATAGGAGTTAAAAAAACCGTCACTAATGTTGGACCACAGACGGATCTGATATGGCTAAATGTGTGTACAAATGTTGTCCAATCATTTGGTAAAATTTATTATCTTTAACCAAATTAATTTTTTCTGTCATACTTACGTTTCTTATTTCAAAATAATTATAGTCTTCCTCGAACGACACTATGTCGTAGTAGCAAGCTTTGTCTGAAAAAAAAGTAATTATTTTAATGACATTGAACAGTGTCATATAGAAAAATTATGTAAACAGAGGTCGGTGTACTACTAATATATCGCTTATCATGTCCTAATTGCGCGGGAGGGTGAAGAACCGTTCAAAAGATCTTTAAATTTTAAATAACGCTAAATGACGCAAAACAATGTGTCATAACAGGTGTGTACGAAAATAAGTAACATATCGTCGCTGATCTGACAAATGGGCGTAAGCGACACAATCTCTAAATAGGAGATAAACCACTGAGAAACTCTCGAGGGGTATACCTATGTTCTGACAAATGGACGTATCTCCATCGCTCATACCACGGAGTATACATCATAGTCAGTATGGACGGAAGCGACATCAATGGAAGATAGGGAATCTGGCTAAGAGGCGTAAATCCATAAATGGACATACGCCTGTTCGTCACATCATCTATTGCGCTTTAGTGTCGCTTTCGCCCGTAGTATGTAACTGTGATAACCATAGCCACCTATATCTAACGTAGTTCTAGGTGGCTATGGTGATAACCGATACTGTTGCGCCATCTCCTGCATGTTTACGGGTTTTCTAGAACGTCTAGGTATCCCCAGTTATCATAACAGATGGTGAGGTGTATGTTTAAGTGAAAGTTGAAAGTATAAACTTAAGGTAAGCACATTTTTGTTGACTTAAAGTAATATAATATTTGAGATAAACATGCGTCGTGGTTTGGTGCTTCTGACATTTATAGTTGAAATGTGAGGTTATGAACGAAGTCGAGGCTGCCTGTCAGTTATTGAGATGACGTCCGCGAAATGAGGCGAACTATTTCAAACTAACCATAGATTTTGTGTTGGTTAGGGTTAACTTTTGCTATGGTTATTACAACTGTTTGTTTTTATTGCAGTAACTTAACCAAAGCAGCATGGATGTGTTAGTCAAGTGGGACGACGGTATAACTAACGTCGTGTATTCAAAAAACCTCAACACTGTACATAAAACTCAGACTTTACGCTCTGGTGTTGGGGTGAAAATGTACTGGCCCCCCGACAAGAAATATTATTACGGAGAAATAATGACAACTTCGAAGGAATTGAAGCGGAAGCATAAGAAGGCACGTGTTATTTCCAATCCATCAGAAAAGATGCAGAAAATACATCAGCTGGAAAGCAACGATTCAGACGATGACAATATTCCACTCAGTGTTTTAAAGAAGGCTATCGAAGAAAATAAGGAGCCTTCCATTTCACCAAAATCAGTGTGTCCAATAAAAAATATTGATTTACAAGACGAGGTTCCACCAGGTCCTAGAGAACAAACTCCAGATCAACCTGAAGCTGTTGATCCTTTTGAATGTTCTGACAGCAGTAATCACGACCCCACTTATACCCAAACCTGTAATTTTAAAAATTCCAAACAGGAAATATTTGCTGCTTGTCACCGCTGTCCTGCATTGTTGTCCTGGGATCATTTCAATAACAATAGCGACTGCAAATATCACGATGATATTTACTCATCTGATTCTGAAAACGGAAAGGATAAGGCAGAGATCGAGCGCGATCGCTTAGCTGCTAAGTATGCCGTAGATGATGTGCAAAGAGAGGTGCCGTTTGCTAAGACAAAAAAAGGAAACAAAAAGGCAATAGCACATGCGCAAAAAAGTGAGGGGAAAGCTTACGTGAGTTCAACTTCAAAAAAACTTATGCCATCAAAATTAATAAACCCGCGATGTGACACAAAGAAGTGTAAACAAGAGTGCAGCTTAATCACGGAAGAACATAGGCAAAAGATTTTTGCTGCTTTCTATGAAACAAAAAGCCTTCAGTTACAGAGGAAGTTTGTTGCGCGTCATGTTACAGCTCACAATATTAAAAGAAAGCGAACAAGCAACATTGTTTCACGTAGAACAAGAACATTTACTTATCGTCTTGCGAATGCAAATACATCAACAACTGTTTGTAAAGCTATGTTTTTAAACACGCTCGAAATTTCTGAAAAAACCATGCGGACGGCGCTAAATAAATTAAATGATGAAGGGATAGTACGTCCTGATGCACGTGGTGGTCGACACGCCAGTTTGCATGAAAAAGATGCGCTACTCGGTCTGCTGTATTGCCCATATTCAACTATTTCCTCGGATGGAATCACACTTTTGCAGACAGTCCACCACCAGGGAGTATTTGCACCCAGATCTAACTATTAAGAAAATGTATTATTGAGGGACGTCAGCCACAGTGTAGGTATCATACCTATCGAAGGGTATTCAAGTCATTGAATCTTTCTTTCCATCATCCAAAGAAAGACCAGTGTAGCCTTTGTTCGTCCTATAAAGAAGGCAGCACGGAAACGAAGGCCAAACTCGAAGATTCTTTTGTTGCACACATTGCCAAAGCGAGGGCGACTCTTCCCACAGTTCTATTTCGACAGCTTTAACCTTAGCAGGAGATGTCTTTATTCCTGCTCAGCTTCCTCCTATTCTTAAATTGGCAAGACGGAATTCTCCATACACTGTCATCCCTATGGATAATGCTGACTTACTGGATTATAAGTTTGTGGCTGAACAACTCCGCATTCGACAACTGAGAAAATTTGACACGGGGAAAATGTTAATTTCACCGCAATCAAGGAAGTAATGGTAAAGAAAGATGTTCCACAACTGTTTCTAAAAGCCAGCCATCTTGCTGATCAGTATAACACATTATCTCTGAAAAGAAACACCCTTGAAGTCCTGAAACAGCCGGTACGTAGACTTAATAATGGTCCAATTAAATTAGACAGCGTGAAATACGAAAACCTTGTTGAGCTATGTACTGGACCTACACCCATACTGCGAGATCTAACGTTTCAACAATACTTCAAGAACCTCCCGCATCATTAAACACCTCAGTTTTTTATAATTTGCATACATCCTCTGTTTAATTTCTATATTTCGAAGTTTTCTTTGTTTAAATAAAAATGTCGTTAATGATAGGAACCGTTGTGTATGTTTAAAATTACTAATGAAAAAGGGCGTAAGTGACATACCTCTGTAAAGTAACTCTGACGAACGGGCGTATGTCCAAAGTGGCCATTTTGTAGGACAATATCGTGCGAGCTTTGCAATCACGTTATGACAGATTGAAAGTGTCCCTGATGATTCACTTTGATACAAAATTGTAAAAAAATATCGTTGCTAGTTACAGAATCATCAACTCATCTAAGATACATATTTTCCTAAAATCGCTCTACTGTAAAATTATGTTATTGGCGCTTACGTCCATTTGTCAGAACAGCGACGATATATGTATACCAAAGCTTTAAAGATATCTGAGCTAATGTTTCAAAAAAAGCCTGCTGCGCGATGTGTAGGTTAACCCAGCTGTTTATTTGCAAATCGATTTAAAAGAATTTAAAATTTTCAGATTCAAATAGCAATAGCGAAGTTATTGGTTTGATGTTAATTTCAAGGTGAGTGTATTCAAGATTCTAATGATACTTTATGGGTGTGAAGAGACAGTTTTCCTGGATGTTTCGGTCTCGAGCTGTGTGCTTTATTCTGTGCAAATGCTATCGAGGAGGACACATTAGAAGACCTAGATGCCCAAATGTTGGACATTTAAAAAGAAATCGTGTTTCTGGATCGGACAGCGACAACTTCAACGGGATTTTCGAGCAACAACTGTGACGAATTTCCGATAAAATGAATAATGAGTACTTTTCTGAATTTCCTATTCACTTTGTTGCTGTTGTTTTACCGCGCGCCAGCTTTGATATTTCAAACGTAATCGTTTTTGAAATGGAAAGTCTCAACGCACTGTATATGAAAGGCATGTATAATCAAAAAATATCAAGGCCTGTCACTGCAGCATGGGACGAAATCCGAACCCAAAGTATTGAAAATTTGCATTGGTCATATTGAAGGAATAATTGGCATACAGGGTTATCCAAATTAAGTGTCCACCATTAGTAACTTTGTTATTAGTGAAAATACAAAGTTGTTTGAATTAGCAAACTAGTAGCATTTTTAACGCTGGTAAAAATGAGAAATAAAAAAAAACAATTGAGAGTCGTTATTTTGATTTTTTTCAGTAAAATAACATTTTTTTAAATGGAAACCCCTGTATATTATATTTTTTTCTGTTAAAGCATCAAATTTTAAACAAAAAAGCTTACAATAACTTTTCTCCTAGGTTACAAATTGTTGAAGTTATGGCCTCCAATCTGAAACAATTAAATTGTATCGACAAACTTTATTTTCAACATCAACTTATAATCTTACAAAATACAATAACAATTTTTTTTAAAGAAGATGCTCGAAAACACCACCTTGTTCTTCAATACATTTTTGGGCACGTTTTTCAACTGCTCGAACTGTCTTAAGTATGGTCCTACCATCTATCTGGGTTATCTTTTCCCTAACTGCAGTCTTTAACGCGTCAAGGTTATCGTACCTTCGCTTGTAAATTTGGTTCTTTAAGTAACCCCACAAGAAGTAATCAAGTGGGTTTAGATCTGGTGATCTGGGAGGCCACTGTATTGGGCCATTTGTTCCTATCCACTGATCATTAAAAGTAGTACTTAGAAAATGATAAGTACCTCTGGAGTTGTGGGCAGGTGCGCCATCTTGCTGAAAATGCAGATGATGTCTACTTATAAGATCCAATTCGTCTAAGAAATTAGTCAGAATTTCTGACATAAATTCCACATATCTTTCACCAGTTAGGGTTCCCTCATAAAAGAACGGGCCAACAATTTTTGAACCAATTATACCGCACCAAACGTTGAAACTGAAACGGACTTGTGGGCCTCTTGGATGTACTAACAAAAGATTTTCTCTTGACCAATAATGGTGGTTTTTTCTATTAAACATTCCAGAATTTGAAAAATTTGATTCATCTGTCCATAAAAGGTAATGAAAGTTATTTACATTTTGGCGACAGAAGCTAAGATACCAATGGCAAAAAACAAGTCTTCTCTCTGGATCCCCTGCCAAAAGCGTTTGAACTGGTCGGTACTTATACGGAATAAATTTGTATTTTTTTAAAATCCTTTGAACAGTACCATAACTGAAATTAGAGTCCTTGAGAATATCTGCTATTGAATTCTCACGATAAGCTTCAAAATATCCAATAACTGCAATTTCCGTGGCCTCGCTTATTATGAATTCTTTTTTTGCCCTTGTTTTAGCAAAAACATTTTCGTTGCCCCTAAATTTTCGATTAAGTGTCAGAAAATATCGTTCATACGGTTGAATGCGAGCGGGATATAATTCACTGTAGTATTCTCTTGCTCTCAAGGAGGATTTTCTGCACACTAAATAGCATTCTAACATATCACACTTTTCTTCATGGGAGAACATTTTTCTTTAAATTAATGACACAATAAAGCTTATAAACAAGTATTTACACTAATGTTTGACATTATTTGATTTTATCATTGTTTTCCAAAGCCTTCTAGTTGCGAGTATGTCCAGTTTAACAATTTGTCGCTTATCTTAATGCTGTCAAATCGCGAACGCCATGTTGTTTTCATAGCCGTCTTAATATTATAATACTGCAAATAATTAAAAATATTTATCGTTATTTTGACTTTATTTTTGACTTTAGCGGAAAAGTCATTATGAACTTTTTTGTTTAAAATTTGATGCTTTAACAGAAAAAAATATAATATACAGGGGTTTCCATTTAAAAAAATGTTATTTTACTGAAAAAAATCAAAATAACGACTCTCAATTGTTTTTTTTTATTTCTCATTTTTACCAGCGTTAAAAATGCTACTAGTTTGGTAATTCAAACAACTTTGTATTTTCACTAATAACAAAGTTACTAATGGTGGACACTTAATTTGGATAACCCTGTATAAGTGTGGTGGCTGATTTCCTGGAAGTGAGGGAAGTCTAATCTCACCCCAGTTTTTAGGCTGTACGCCAAACTGTATGTTCTCAAGAGTTCAATCATTAGATCGTATGGCTAGGTGATAATAGCAGGCTTTCTAATGTCTAAAACTATGATTGTTAGACTTTGTCCTCAGAGGTAGCACATCTCGAAACACTAAAATCGTCTTCAGCTGCGGATGATGTAATAAAAAAGTTTTCGCAAAGATAGTGATAAGCAGATTAAAACGGTACTTCCCACGTATTCACATATATGTCAATTTTGAAAATATCCACACGTTCAAATAGAAAATCGGTGACTCCCAAATGCTCTTTGGGTTATACTAGATTGAAAAAAATGTTAAAGAATACAATTTCTTGAAAAGTAGTGGAACCTCGATTATTCTATCCATTTATTTTCAAGAAACAAGCTTCCAAAGAGGGCGGAACGCGATCTCGGATCTCCTCAGTTTCTGTTTTTTTTTTTAACTTTAAAAAGATAAGTTTTGCCTAAAACTACCATTCCAACTCACCTTCTGCTTTATCCCATTTTACTACAGCATCGTATGCATTTTCTGACAGGTTAAGTGAGTCTAGGTAGAACTTCTTAACAGGATCAACTTTCCTGTGTGAATCTAATGTTTGGACCATCAAAGGCTTGCTGCTGCCTAGAGTTTTGGTTGTGTTTGGCCATATCGTGATGCTTCTCAAGATTAGTTCATACGTTGTTCCTGGCTCTAAACTTTCAAGAACCGTGAAGTTGCAACGTGACTGAAATATACAAAAATTCATGACTTAAATTGAAACTCAATTATTGCACGTAATAAGGCTAACTTACGGTGTTTGAGGTCACATATCGTGGATATGATGAGACCTTGTTCACGTAATCTAAATAGAAGTATGTGTTGTTTTGTGGAGTTGTTAGGTCCCACGTTACAACGACCTTCGTTTGACTTTTGCAATGGACCTTTGGGAGCAGGAGTTGGGTTCGTGTTTGCAACCACTGACTACCTGAAAAAAAAGGTATTTCAAGTATTACGTATGGGGGCAAAAGTCTTTATAAGAAACTTTACATGATTTTTATGTCTCTTATCGTGGCGAAAATTAATAAATTGAGGTTCTTCGACAGTAGTGAACGTCAAATTGTTTCAATAATCAAGTTCATAATGTCGGATAAACTTAAAATTCACAAGACCTATAACTAAAAGTGTGTACTTATTCAGAGATCAAAATGTTAGTTTTGCCTCTAAGCAACCATTTATAGAACAATAAGATACTGTGATGAAGTTATACCTTGCAATTTTTGGATGAACAATGGAAAGACCTCAAGCGGTGGTGACACCACCCCCAAAATCTTAAATGGAAAGAGGAGTCGAGTGATTGATTTAAAGCTTAAAGTAGACTTTAATAGATACATCTGATTAGTTTGTACTACTTTCAGAAAAAAATATACTAAAAGAATTTACTTAATAAGTAAATGCTTTTCTTCACTACGCCCATGGTTTGTTTATCATTTTGTTGTTGAAAATAGCTAATGGAGCGTTTTTTGTGGCAAAAAAGTTATATCTGGTGTTAGTCGACGTACTGTCCAACGGATTCTAAAGGCCCATAGTTTTCATCCGTATAAAATTCACCTGGTACAAGAACTTAATGAAGACGATTTTGATCGGCGATTACAATTTTGTGAAGATATGAGTGGAGAAATTATAAACGATGAACATTTTCTATTCAACACTTGCTTTTCCGACGAATGTTCGTTTTTCTTAAATGGCGTAGTAAATCGTCATAACTGCCGATATTGCTCCGATTCTAATCCCAGAATTTATCATGAGGTTCATACACAGCAGCCACAAAAATTAAACGTTTGGGCTGGTATTTTTTGGCGATCATTTAGATGGGCCTTTATTCTTACCTGGAAATTTGACCGGTGAAATGTATTTGGAATTACTGGAAGACGCCATAGATCCTGCATTAACACCCATAATTGAAAATCAGAATGATCGGCGATACATTGCGTATAGGTTGATGTTCCAACAGGATGGTGCCCCATCACATTACGCATTACGTATTCGACAATATTTAGATCACACGTTTCCAGATCGATGGATTGGTAGAAGAGGTGCCATTGAACGATCCCTAAGATTTATCAGCTTTGGATTTCTTTATGTAGGGTCATTTAAAAAGCAAAATCTATGCTACTCAGCCAACATTATTAGAAGACCTGCGACAAAGAATTGTGAATGAGTGCCTTCAAATTACTAGGCAAATATTGCAAAATGTGCGGCAACGTTTTGAGCAAAATCTTTATTATTGCAAGGAGAGTCATGGTGGCCATTTTCAACATTTACTGGCCTAACGTGTCAGTTCATTCTTCATTTTTAAACTACTTTGCTGCCAAATGTATTGATCTCCACTAATGATTATGTATTAGTTTTATTTAAGCTTTAAATCAATAAATCTTCAAAACTACTGAACTGAAGTACATTAATTTTATATCATTATAAAGGGAATTGAAAGGCTTTTAAAATAAGGTATCACTCGACCCCCCTTTCCACTTAAGATTAGGGGGCTGCAACGTGATTTTTTGCCAAACCTGTGTCCCCCTCGAAAACAAAACCGACGGGTTTGAGCGTTTTTCAAAAAAAAAACTGAGCTGCCAGTAAATGCGTCTGTTTCGTTTTCGATGCGCCACCCTGTATAATACTATTAGTAATCATCATCAGAACGATGATATAATATTTCGGCCTGATCTCGTTCCGAGCTATTATTATTATTATGCCAGGAGAGCTCGGAATGGATGGAGCAGAAAAACGATAATTTATGTGTGTACGTGTAAAAAAATATAGCAGACAACCCCCAAATGTACCACGAGTTCGGTCAATCGAAGAAATTTAGTCGTAACTGTATCGGAAAACTTATGACAATGGATGAGAAACCCAAAATGCACAACAGTTGTGGGCGAGCATTTTTAGAAAAATTCGGGACGTGAACACGAACATCATTAATTTGACTATGAGACAAATCTTAAGCAAACTACGTGCTAACGAGCACCATGGTATGGAATCACTTCTGTAGATTTGTTTTGATATTATCACAAGATGTATAATTTACCAATAAAGTTTCGTTGATCAAGCCCGTTGCATTTTTTCTCAAAACCTAGGTTCCATGCGTTACGTCTCAATTTATTTAAATTTACCATATGGCTGCTATCTGTCCCAAAGAACCCAAAGAAAAGTTACCTGTGAATCCTCTAATTTGCTTAAAATACCACAAAATCTGATACCATAAGAATAAAATTTTGTTGTAACAAAATTTAAGATTGAATGAGAAACAATATGCTAATCAGTACCAAAAACCTAAAAAAAATCCATTATCTATCAGCGGTGTCACATTTTATTTTAAATAGTATTGCTCTAACCGATATTTACTTACCCTCAGTTGTGGAGTTTGGTACCCCACAGTGGCATTCACTTGACACACATTTGTCTATCTGCAAAGAAATGATAAACGTGTTAGACATCATTTTTTTAAACTTTTATTCTGTTACTTCGAGGCAATGCGTCAGAGACTCCAGTTCGTTAGATATATTTAAAAGAAAACTAAAGGAATGGTCGCATGAAATGCCTATAGTGAAAATACACATTTTGAATTGCGTAACTTCCAAACATCTCATTACAGCTTAACAGATATGCCTCTAGAATAAAACAATTCTAACCAAAGGAAATTAAGCCATCAAACACGTTGGCAGATTTGTTCCAGGTAATTTTTAGGGCATTGGTACTTAATTCCCTTACACTCTCTGTAACAGGAATCTTAAGTTACTAATGAACCTGTCTGTCCTTTGGTCTATGCTATTTTGCCTTCCCTTTCGATTTATTCATTTATTTTTTATAATTTGCCAAACAGGTGGTCCTTTTATTATTCAGAACATATCTATCAAAGGTAATTTCTTTTGTCAACACTATTTTCTGTGGATGTGCCCAATTTTTGTACTTATTTACAACTTCTGCTGCATTGAGGCCTACTCTCTTGGTGCCCTTTTTTCTTGGCACTCAATTTACACACAACGGGAGATGTCAGCAGCTTATGTGCAAAGCGGTATGAAATACTGTGCGCTTGTTATGTTTATATGAGGGAGAGATCATCCTCATTCCTTGTACACTTCTTGAACTGTGTTTATACTGTAATATTAACGGATCACCCTGTATATTCATGCTCACGATCTAATAATTAAATGCGATTCTTCACATTCCGCTCAGATAAATCAATTGCATGTTCGCATCACAGTAAATATGTAATAAATAATAAATATTAGTATGATTAACGAATATAATTATCATTTGCATTATAAAAAGTCTTGTACCAAAGTATCATGTTTTTGGGAAACTTCTACGTTAGCGAGTGTAGTGGACTGAATAACTACATAGTATAATAATACGAGTGACAATTGAATAGTTGTTTTAAATCGATTTCCGTTAAAATGTGAAGGCGTTGAACATTTTCGAGTCGTAGGGTAATAGTAGTGGTAGTAGGGAGGCGATCCTGTCAACTAGGCAACCTTTGACCCTTTTGTATACAACACTAGACTGAATCCAAATTCAAGATGAGATGTAAACAATAACAGTTAGCGCGTGATCTCTCGGTAACAGGTGGGGACAACGCCTCTTATTTGTCAATTCGCCATTAAATTTCAAGCGGTCGCCTGGCGGAATAATGCGCGGGGCAGGGGCAGGGCAGGCAGAGTTGCATTCAGGCCACCGACCGTCGCGTGTATCACTGCGTGCTCGTGTTTTCGTATTCACCTTGCTTGGTTGTTGCTGTTGTTTTTGTTAAGTGTATTTGAGCAATTTGTTAAGTTTCTGTTTGTTATTGTTATTCCTCGTTATTATTTGTTTTGAACCAATCCTGAACATGTCCAGTATAGATACTGCTGACGAGGCTGTAGGCCTCCTAGAAAGCGATAAAAAAGGCATCTTAGCGAAGACATGAAAGACGTCATATTGAATACATTCAAGATAGAGCGGAAGGAAGACGAAGCATCAACTAACCCGAAAATAGCTCTGAAAGTGGCAGATAAAATTGGGGTATGCCAAGCGACAGTATACAACGTTTTGAACGAACATAAGAAAAAGCATGCCCTTTCCAAGCCAATGACGGGTAAAAATCGCAAAAGTATCATAAGATCGTTGGATGACGCTGACAAGCATGCGATTCGGAGGAAAGTGCACGAGTTCTTCTTCAGAAACGAAATACCGACAGTTGATAAAGTACTACGGGAGGTTAACGAGGATGCTATGTTACCAAATTTAAAACGTTCGACTATTCATAAACTTTTGAAGCATCTTAATTTCGAATGGAAGAAACGAGGTCGTAACAGCTTACTTACGGATAGAGAAGAAATTGTTCTGTGGAGGAGAGAGTACCTGTCCAAAATTAAATCATTCAGGGATCAGCACAGGAAGATCTATTACCTGGACGAAACCTGGATTAACGCTGGGTACACTACTCCGAAGGTATGCGTTGACAAAACTGTGACTTCATCCAGAAGGGCATTTCTAGATGGACTATCGACCGGATTGAAAAATCCAGCAGGTAAATAGATCGAAGTAGTTCACGGTATCAATTTTTGCGCACAATATCTCTCTATCTTCGTACCTACAAGACGTGCATGTGTACTTAGCCGATTTTATCTTTCTAGGCAAAGGAAAAAGGCTCATTATTTGCCACACTGGAGGTGTAGATGGCTTCGTGGATGACGGCTTATGGTCTTTTAAGTCAAAAAAAAAAACAGTGACTACCATGAAGAGATGAATGGGGAAGCATTCGAGAAGTGGTTTTCAGGCATCTTACCATGTCTCGAAGACAATTCGGTGGTTGTTTTGGATAATGCTTCCTATCATTCTCGCAAAATAGAAAAAAATCCCAACTTCAGCTTCTAGGAAATCAGACATCCAGAGCTGGTTCCGTTCCAAAAATATAACTTTCGACCCTTCCTTACTGAAATTACAACTATTAGATATTGTGAAACAACACAGGCCAAGACATGATAAATATGTCATAGATGAAATGGCCCAAGCACACCACTAAACAGTACTCCGTTCGCCGCCTTACCACTGTGAGCTCAACCCCATTGAGCTCATAAATGGGCAGATGTTAAGAATTTTGTTGCTCCACATAATACAACATTTATATTTTCTGACATGCAAGAGCTGTTCAGAATTGCTATACAGAGGGTCACACCAGAAAGATGGCAAAAATGTGTGCAGCATGTTCAGGAGAAAGTGGAGGTAGCAATGTGGGAGCTGGACAACATAATTGAGAGAGATTTTGAATCCATCATCATAAACATTAATGACGATAGCTCTTCAAGTGAGTCCGAGTAAGTTTCGCGTTTTTGTCTTGTCACAGAATACATATTATGGGAATCCTAGTTATAGTGAAATATTAAGTTACAGATAAACTACAGACAATGCAAGTCGGAAGTGCACCTTCAAAATCTATTTCAATAGATTGAACAGCCTTATATTTATTCCATGTACAAAAGTGTCATCTCTACCCCTCGTTGACTACGGATTCATTGTGCGCAGTGAGCAGCTGGTTACCTCTGGTATGTATTTCTCCATGTTGTCTAGTTTGAAAAATCTGTAGAAAAACTTAGCACCCCTTCAAGAATAAATTTTGATTTTGCGACACCTTAACTATAACTACTTCACTATATTAGATAATTTCGTTAAATACTGTCATCTTTGTTTCACAACACGTTGGTGGTAGTCCATCATTCGGAGGTAGCCCTGAATACGGCCCTGTACGCCGTCCTTGCTTTTGGCAATCACGCATCCATTCTATCTTGGGTGTAAATACACTATATACTCCACATTATCCTCGCGAATGATAGGGAGACTGACCACTCCACTGAGAATGCGACTTCACTATCAAACTCGATGGCTCTGAATATCTCAGCCCTAAGGCTGCAACATACGGCCTAAAAACGTAGAAAGACGAAAGCTGTCTCATACTTCTCACTTGCAGGAGAGACAGGATACCTCACCAATCCGGAACTTTCACAGAAAACTGGAAAGTTCGCTCATGTCCAGTTTATCCGCAAATAGGATACGTTATAATACCGACCCTTACAGCTATAGGCCTATAGCTTTGCTTTCTGTTATAAGCAGGTTATAAGTAAGGTGATGGAGAGGTTTATAGTAAATCGAGAGCTTGTGGAGTACCTTGAAGTCATGGCTCATCCAGTCTTATGATGAGGCTCATATCGTTGCTCTTGATATCACGAATCTGTGCCACGCTGGCCTCTTATGCACACTTCTTTCCTATCGCCTCCCAGAGAGGATTTGCAGATCCGTGGCTGACTTGCTCTTAGTCGTAATTGACGGGTTCTCCTCGTGATCCAACAATGACAACGTGGCTGTTCCCCAGGGATCCGTCCTGGCTCCGACATTACATATCAACGATCTCCTTTCTAGTAGAATCAATCTGATCCACATTTTTGCTGATGACATTACTATACATGTAGGAATTTCGAGACGAGAGACCTGGAGGTTATGACTGCTTGGAGACGCGACAATTTGGTATGGTGTGATGTTCCCAAAACACAGTACAGTACCCTGAGTAACAAGAAGCGCCTTCCGGTTTAGATCCTCGATTCCGATCTAGCAAACCTCTAAATCCGCCATTACATATATCCCATTTATTCAGTGTAACGCTGTAAAGGTATAAAACATTGCTATCTATTCAAAAATATGCCAATAAAGAGTTCAAACATTTTTATTTTTGCCTAGTTTGCGTTTGGTTACTCGTTAGACTTTCAATTAGGTGTATGTTATACCAATAGAATCGGTGTCTATGACCTTGCTCATGATAATAGCATGGAAATAATGGAATTTGAAATTTTAATCCAAGCTTGAGACAAAATGATTATGCATTTTTGCAGACTTTACTCCATCTCTTTTGTTTTTTATTTTTCGTTTCGTTTATAAATACGTTTGGGGTCATGTGCTGAATAGATCGAAGTCTAGAATGAGAAAAATAAAGAATGTCTCCAGGAGTATTGCACAGGCGGACCTTCTCGCATTTATATCTGATCTGCAAGCACCAGAGCCCGACTTTTAAATTCGCATGCTCTTATCAGCCAGCGGGCCATAAATGCCTGGACAGGTAGCGACAAGCTTATTGAAGCGGCGATGTTTGTTTTGACGCGCAGTGTAAATGAGGTTTGACTAGGCTACAGCTACGTCCGTCAGACGCGATGCAAATTTTCCTACATCACACTGTAGTTCTCATACAGCAGAGATATTAAGCTTTCTCACAAAAAAACTGCTCTGTATGTTATGACGTCTTTCATATACTCGAGGACAATAAAGAATATATGAATCTGAATTTGTATAGAAAACGGAAACTCAACTGAGCCGACCTCTAAATTGATTTTATCATTAATCTGGGAAATTTCATGGTAAACAAACATTTACCGGTATCGGTATGTGCGCCAAACAATCCAAACAATCTCACAGACTTGTTATAATCATCTCGGGTCCCGAGATTAAGCATTGACGAGATTGCTATACCTCACGATATGTGGGCAAACTATTTATTGATAGAGCTCCATGATCTCCAAATGAAACCACATGTATTAATTACTTTTACTGACGTTTCGGTCAGCACACGAAAGTACAAATAATTGACAATGACAAAATAAGTTCCAACCAAAGAATTCGCCAAAAATGTGTAGTTTAAGTGCACTTTTGGCTAATTAGTCTACCATTGCCTACCAAGCTCATACTATAAGTAGAGCTGCCAACTTTGTATACAATAAATAAGGTACATTTTGGTCTGAGGAGGGAAATAAACAGAATTTTAAAGAAATGAACAGAGTTTACTTATTTATTAATACTTTTTGGTATTATTACATATTCTACATATATATTGATAATATAAAAATCAACAATGTTACATTACAAGTTTTACACTCAGAAAAAATCATTTCTTCAACTTGAGTTTTTGGCAGTGACGGCCCGTTCAAGTATTACTTGAGCACTATGGGGGGCTTTGCTTTGCTTATTTTGGATGACATGGGGGTAGGGGAGTCTAGATGATGATTAGGTCATCGGTAGTTATTTACTTTTTTACACGATATTATTATATCTAAGAGAATCGAAGAAGAATTGCAAGCGGCGACTAAGAATAAATCCAATCTACTAAATTTTTTTTCTAAGGTGAGTGACGAAATCATTTTAGGTACCTATGAGTACTATAAATATTAGAAATCGCCAAAAAGTTTCTCTTTACTGATTAGAAAATATTATGGCCTATCTCAAAGTATAGAGGTAATATTCATTATATTATAGATTTATTTCTTATGATTGATTCCGTCAATTGGTCACAAAGTACAGGATGTTAGTTGTATACATATATACAGAAAACTAACACCCTGTATTTTGTGACCGGAACGAATTGCTCGTTTAAATATATTACATATATTATAAAGCCATAGGGTTTTGTATTTACCATATATATTGCCATACTTTGTATTTATGTAGCTTAATAAGAGCAGAAGCCATAGACAGTTTTTATTTTTAGGCAACCTGTAAACAGATAAACAGAGAGCAAAACCTTCTCAGGAAGCTATGAAAAATAAGATTTGTCATGAAAATCCAGAAATAAAAAAAGACCATCTCTGAGGGATTCAGTGGGACGCCCTAATCTTGAAAGCAATCAACATTCACTATTGAAAACAATCGTGGATATAGCTTTATTTGGAAGTGCAGCAGATGATAGAAGACGAACGGAATCAATTCGCAGCGTAAAAACTCTTGATGAACTCACACAAGAATTACGTAAAATAGGATTTGACATTAGTCGCAGTGGGACATATCTTCGTTTGATTCCCAGAAAATCTAATTCTGCAAAGACATGTATCGACAGTCCCTGTTAAGCTCATTCGGGCTCAAACTTATCACCACAAGAGCCACTTAGATAGCAAGTTCGCTGAAACATCAATCAATTATTTAGAGAACATAGCATCCATACTTGGACCAGATCAAGTATTTTTCATATCTCAAGATGATAAAGCTCGAGTCCCTATTGGCGTAACTGCGGCAAATAAGCAAGCACCTCTTCTAATGCACATGGAATATAGAATCAAATTGCCTGATCACGATTGGGTAATCGCTGAGCGTTATAAATTAATACCGTCTGAATGTTGGTATATATAACATACATCGCTATTCGAAGTGGAAAGCATAGTTCATCTACTGCTAATACTCATGCTCAAGATTTCGAGACGCTTCTCGAACTTGAAGAGTTTCGACCATTAGCTAAAACTGACCATGGACTAGTAAAACCAGTGGTAATCGGTTGATGGAGGGCCAGATGAAAATCCACGTTATCCAAAAGTCATAGGGTTTGCTATACAACACTTTAAGCGACATGATCTGGATGCATTGTTTCTGGCTACCAATGCTCCTGGAAGAAGTGCGTATAACAGAGTAGAGCGCAGAATGGCTCCTCTTAGTCGGGAACTGGCTGGTTTAATATTGCCTCATGATCTTCCTGATTTTCCAGTCATTAAATGGTATTCAGAACATGTGCGTGAGAGGCAATACTTGCTTCAAATTGTAAAATGTAGAAATACAGAATGCTGTCGTCCAAGAAGTGTCCTATTTAGATTACTAGACAATAGGTTTCTTCCACCATATGTAAAAGTAAAACAAACAATTGATGACTTGGTTTTGGATGAAGGAGGGCAATTTCTTAATCTTCCAGTCAATTTAGCTCTACGCTTAAGTGCTTCACTCAAAGATTTCCTGCAAATGCCCCACGATTATTTTTGTCCGACGGTAAAATTGAGGCTATCAAGTCGAACATGCAAAACGTGTGGTCTTTATCATGCTTCCGTCAAGTCACTAAATCGTCACATCGAAAATATCCATAAAAAAGTAAACACGCACACTGATAGGAAAGTTAGACCTGTAAGAGTCGCTGCTCGTCGTGCTAATGAACTGATGTGCATTATTCAAAATTTAGGGCACCATGATGTTGAATGGCTCGATGAGAACGACGCAGACATTCCAAAATCCGATGAAAGCGAGCAAACTCACAACACTGAGCAGCAATCGAAGCAATCCAATGTCATCGAAAACTTAGAATCATGGATTCGGGTTTCATGGACTGAAGACTGTTAATTTAAATTTAATATGTGTACCAAAAATTTAAAATAAGTTTGTTATGTCAGATATAATATTTTTGTCTTTTACTCTATGTTGAATACCGTATCAGTAAAATATAAACTCTATCCTAAATCTATTTTCTTATTTTTCAAATTATAATTATAACGTTATAATTATAATATTAAAAAAACAATACATCAATTGACAAATGTGTACGTAAGCATGGGGGGAGGGGGTAAGAGCTTTGCTTACTTTTGCTGACAAGGGGGATGGGGGCAGAATGAAACGATCATATTCTCACGAAATTTTATTGACAAGTAATAAAAACAAAAAATTAATAATGTGATGGGCGACCCCGCAGCTGGATACACTCCTGTATACGTCTAGGCAGCGACAAAATGGAGTCGCTAACATGGTGATAATTTGGACGTCTCCGAACTCGAAGCATTTTGTTATGCTTAAGAGCCGTTTCAGATGTAGTCGACGGTCAGTGCGAAACGTAGGAGGTGCATTCGTAACATTATACGCCAGCCTCAGAGAAGGCGAAAGAAAATTTTATAAATATTTTCGAATGTCAATAGAATCCTTTGACGAACTGCATTCCAAATTAGGAAGTAACCTGAAATTTACTGACAAAATACGAGTTTCTATTTCTTGTAGAATAAAAGTTATGCAATCTGTTTTGTTTACCTGAATCCTTGCTCAGAAATATTACCAAAATCTGCAAATCACTATTTCAGCCACACGTTCAAAAGCAGCATATTTCTTATCAATGTTTTTATAATCCTCGCAAGAGAAATCCTAAATAATTTTTCTTCGTGTATTGCAGCTATTAATAGTTCGGTATCAATATAAATGTTATTACTTTTCCTATCACTCATTTCATACACGTTCGGCAAATACCAACACACCAATAAACAAACCAAATCAGGAAAACACTGCAACCCGCTCGCCTACCATCAGCTTGCATGTGAAATATACCAAATCTACAATGGCCCTACCTCGTGCTGACGGTCAGCATTAGCTCGGGCTCAGCTGACGCCCGACGGACGATACGTGCCGAACGGATCATACGCAAGGCATATGAAATGATTCATTTACGCTAATACATATATTCATCATCACTGACGCTCAGCGCTGAGCGTCGACTATATCTGAAACGGCTCTAACACTAGTCAAATTAAAGGGCAATAACTAAAAATATCTGTACTACTCAGCTCTCAGAGACTGCTTTCTTCACAAAAACTAAGATTCTTGTTTAACAAAGCTAAACAAGAACAAGGATAAAACGTTTACATTGTCAGAATTTGGAATTTTCTGCGAAAACAGAAAAGCGGATACTGAAAAAGGCCACCGAAACTTTAATCTAAAAGTTATACGTATAATAGAAATATGATCTCATTTGAGTGCTACGAGGTTCTGCTTTTAGCCAAGAGTGCTCGGATGAAAAAGAAAAACTGAGTAGAATTCATGGAAGGGGTCCTACTTATGCCAATATTGAGGTCTGATCGAGAGAATGTTTCGTATTGTTCACCATCCAAAATCAGAAATTAAACAGAATTGTTGACGACCTGAGGAGCCCGGTGTGTCACTGTCGAGCTACTGATACATCGGATAGATGTGCCGCGGGTTCGAATCCCGCACTCGGAAATAGCATTCTAAGCCATGGATATAGTCTATGGTACGGCTTCAGGTCGGACTACCCATAACACTTTAACAGAGCTTGTTCATTGAGCGAAAAGCGCAGAGACTGATAAATGAATGGATGAAGCAGAATTGTGCATATGATGTATCGTTAACAAAGATTTACTTTCGTTTCTTTGCCTTATCTAATTTATCACTGCTTATTTTCAATTATCTAAGCGAATCTCAACAACACAAGAAGGTTGTACTCCTTCACACTATACCTCATTGTATCAAAAATCTTTTACGCACAGTGCCGTTCAGTACGTTTAACAAACAAATACATTTTATACATCGGTTATTGCAGACATCTGTTAGAGATGCAAACATCTCTCAATGTTTAAGTTGTTTCTCTTTTGAATATTTTCTTCCTGGCTTGCGATGTTTGTGTAAGTTTATAATTTGGTAATGTTGCACGTGTAAATGTTAATTATGTTTCGTCCATATTGTTGTCAAGTGTAGGAGTAGCCGTCAAGCTAAACTTCGCCACGATGTGAAAGATTACCAATAGTCACTTAAGCTAAACATGAAAGCTTCGTAACGAGTGCTTTATTATGGCAATGTAGAGACAACCTACTTGACGCCATTTCTTACCTGACTGCCTCAGAAGGAGGATAACGTTTTTCACGCGTGGGTATGTATCCAAAAAATCATATTTCACGGACTATATGCCAAACGGCACGGGTATTACGCATCTCAAAAACTGACGTTTCGTTGATTTTTATGACGTTTTTTAGGGTTTTTACATAATAGCCGTACGTATCTTGAAAAGTGACACTATGCCGATTTTTTTTGACATTATGTACTTTATTCTACAAGATGTTAACTTAGCACTTAGTTGTACGTGTTGCCTAAACGTCATGAGGCTTGTTATCAATCTTTGGCTCTGATGTGATTTAAAATCTGCTTCTGAGATGGCATTACTGGAGGTCTAAGCTGTATGTGTTGATGATAATTACATTGGGTTCTTGTCTCAAATACACTTAATTGAGATTCAAAGCTAGAAATTAGTTGCGCATCCACTTCTTATCCATTCATCGGGCGCGGTGATGATTTCCCGTAATACTCCTCAGTTTTTCGTAATTTATAACTTTCAACATAACCTCTCTTCAGAAAGCACAACATATAAATAACCCGTCATATTCAGTAATGATTTTCTCACACAGCAAATATCACTGCAGACCAATACACATAATCATCCAGATGCGATCTCGCTATTCAACTAACTTTCATCTTAGAGATAAAAGCTACAGACGAGGACCATTTGGCCTCACTAAACTATGCAACCAATAATACGTAGTTTAGTTGAGCGATTCCTCCATAGATGGACGTTCACAACGATCCTAGTGAGCACACGTGGAATGACTGTTTCCGCCCTAAAAACTACGTAGTCTGCAAGTTGACATCTAGGTTCTTTTGATGTTTTTTAGGGTTTTTACATAATAGTATGGATTTTGACATATGATGTGTCTCTAGATTTCTCTTAATAGCACAATTTAGTATTCACCCTGCCCAGTTACAACAGTCAAGTGGCGCTAAAAACTACAACGATTTTGATGCCAAACAATGCAATGTAGGCATATAGTCGAAATCACGAAAGATGACGATTACGTCATCATTTTAGACTGTACTAAAGATAAACGACAGCTATTTGTGAATATACAGGGTGACTTCGAAGTTGAGTCATTTATTTTAACAGTGAGTAGATCTGATCAAAAGAAATGCTTTTTTACTTTAACATTTTTCTGGTAAAATTAAAGTAACAAAGTTATAGCCCTTTAGAAGTTTGAGTACCGCCCTGTCTCAATAATAATATTATGTGCTCGTGTTTGGCAACAACGGATATAATCCGCCTTATCCGTTCATCGCATGGGAAACAAAAAAGCGAAAGAATTTGAAACGATGTTTTTACTACAATGTACAATTTTATTCAGTTATTTTCCGTCAATGTGTCAGTCGGTAACGCGTGAGTGAATAGTGGTGTTTGTTGCGTGGCTTAAACGGGAGTCTTTATGCAGATCGGTTTCCCAATCGAGTGCAACCAACCCCTCGTGCCTTTGTTAATGTAGTACAAAGGGCTCGTGAATCAGGTGACTTAAGACCTCACAGGGGAGGGCATGCCGGTGCTCCAAAACCGCACGATCAAATACAGGTCCGCACTGAAATACTTGTCGGAGGATACTTTATAAAACAAGGTAACATTTTTTTTAATTTTTATTTTTACACACATATTTTGGTTTATCTTCCTTCTACAATCATTATCTGAAAATTAATGACTCAACTTCAAAGGTGCTACACGTATTTAATGAAGTTTCAGATATGTTAGCCAGAGACAAAAAGAATTTTATTATCTCAAACCGTACTGCTAATTTGCACGTATCCGACAAAGATAGACGATGTTTTCATGATGCATGATCGATCATATTTGAAAGATGGATAGTTAAGTTATGTTAAAGCAGGTTAGGCTGCTTTCGTATGATACTTTGGTCTTTGGTGTTCCTGTCTTAAGGTATATTTATTCTACTCATAACTGTTTTTTTTTTCAAAACAAAAACTCCCCACTAAGATTATTATTAAGGTATCACTCAAAACCATGAAATAAAATGGAAATAAAAATAATCAATGGAATAAACTAACTTCGCAAAATCAAAATATAAATTTGTTGTCATTATGTTCCTGACATCGTGATTTTATCATCGACGTACGTCCATTGATTACTTCAGTAAAATTTAGGGAATGATGTAATAGTCATGTTTCGTGATTTTGACTATATGTAGGCTAGTTCTTTACCCAGTAGAATCATGAGTTTCTGACTATCAGAGACTGGCATGCAAAAATTACCAGTTTCGCTATAAATGATCGTTCGGGACTGTAAAAAAACTTATTTCTTTGAAAGAACCCTATATTTTAAGGCTATTTGTCGACGCGTAGCACCTGTCTTTCCATTCTAGAATTTTTTCTCCCTAGTCGCGTCCGCTAGTTCATTTGAGGTTATGTGGGAGCTGCGAACTTCGAATTTTTAACTGATTTTCATTATATACACCAATAATATGAATTTAATAATATATAATAAAGCGATTTAATAATAAATAATAAAGCGATTAGCGTGTTTATTTTACATTTAAAATGACTTCGTCAAGACTTGAACGTAACTATTGAAAATTAAAAATTTACGAATTTCGTAAACATCCATACTTCAATCATTTTTTCATACAACACAAAGGCACACACTTTTTTTAGTAATAAAAATTCCATAAAACCTGACTCCTCCCTTGATTTCAGCGAGAAGTGTACTATGGATCTGACTTCAGATAAAAATGCCAACCGAAATTCCACAAATCAAGCAAGTTAAACGTAAACTTACCGGTATCTTCGCTAAACAGTCCAAACACCCACTGAGATCACTTTTGTCCACGTCCGCTCGCGAGACTGCACTTTGCGCCACCGCTGCGCCACACAACACAAAAAATATCCTTAGCACTGACATAACTTCTCAGAAAAAGTCACTTGCACCCCGTATATATGGAACATTATCTGGTTCGCCGTGCATCGGGATCGAAGCTATCGCATCGAGTACTATCAATCAACTGACCAACACAGTTGGAGAACGTGTGGACAAAAACGTACCCATAGCTTTTTTGGGGATCAAAACAGGTAGAAGTGATTAGCCATAAACGGGTAATATACTATTAAATGTCTCTGGATAATGGGTATGTAATGGTTATTGTTATGGTATTTATCTAGCCTAGGTATGCGGATTAGGAGGACCCGGCTTTGGGAAATTCCGGATTTCTTGCAGGGGTGATTATTTAGTCGATGGTCAGTTTCACCTCAGAGGGTTGAAGGGTGGGTGAAGGGGGTCATATACTGAAGTTGAACTTTGTTAATCCGAGCTTTGAACTGCCTAAAGCTTTCTCAGGTAGATTGTTATACTTTCGGGACAAAATTCTGGATGGCGGCAGAACCCCAAACATGTGAGCAGTATTCGAGGCTAGGTCTTAGCTGGGCGTAAAGTATTTCTTAGCCCTAAAAAAATATCCAAGCTTTTTACCAGCATCTTCTAGAAAAGTAAAGGTTGTTGCATATTTATTTGTCACGGGCCATCCGTCGACTAGTCTATTCGTAAGCCCTTTCCGCACCAATGTTTGGATGACTATTTGAAAGTCCCAGAACTGAATATACCTCGCGTTAATACCTCTAGAACTGTCTCTGGCATACACGCTGCTCATCAGAATTAGTGCCCACTGTTTTGAAAGTTAATACCAATTTATTATTTTTTTAGAAAATTTACTATGTGTTGCTAACGTAGAACAGAAGTATCCAGAGGCCCAGAGCTTTTCCACGGGTAGTTTCCGAGATATAGGACTTCAAAGTTGACACCATATTGTGGGCCAAGTATATGATACATATGTTATGGTTGTTTGATATTTCTTTACATTCTTATGATTTCTCTTGGCCGACTTACGAATATTGAAATTCTACCACATGTACGTATATAGGACGACCCAAACTTGCTCCGAGTCACAGACAACATATTGTGGGAATATGTCTTGGAAATATTCAGGATTATAAAGGAGATTCAATTAGTAGTTTGGATAATAAGGTTGCCCTTTTGATAAAGAAGTTGTGGAAATAATAATTATTCACTTTGTTTGAACAAATAAAGTATAAAAACCAGTATTTCGAACTTTTCAATAGACAGAGTACTGAATTTTATGTAAGATGATACAGACTTCAGTTTTCAAATATACAGGGTGTAAACGTTATGGTAGTCGGTATTGAGATGGGTAATAGGGAGGTCAAAACAAGTCAAAAAGTTCATATGACTCATGATCCAAAAGTCAATACATTTTTGTCTAAATGGCTTTATAGTTTACAACTTTAAGTGCTTTATATCGACCACAATCACCACAATCCTATTAATTTTTATAATCTAATCTAAAACGTTTTTAAATTGGGTAATTAATAAATAAATGGCATTAAGTTTTTCCAAGTTAAGCCAACATTTGTGGTCAGTAAGTAAATTTCATCAGATATTTAAAACACACATGACAACAGCGTGTTATTAATCACTCTTATCGAACCGGCAATCGATCGCAAACGGTAACAGTGGTTAGTTATTGTTCGCGTATGTCGTCGTTTATATTTACAATGTTCTCGAATCAAGAGTTCGCCGACATGTTTTTAGTTCACGGTGAAGCTCTTCAGAACTCAAATCTTGCAGCTCAAATTTATCGCGACAGATTTCGCCAACGGGTACACCCAGACAGAAGGACATTTGTGCAAGTGTACCAAAGACTTCGAGATACAGGAAGTGTTCAGCCCACTACTATTCGCACTCGTGAAAGACAGGTTACTGTAGAGCAGGAGGAACAAATTTTAAATATCGTGGAAATCAATGCAGATATCAGCACTCGGGAATTAGGCCGCCGCGTAGGACTATTTTTTTTTATTTGAAGTCGCTTTTCTCTAAAAAATGACGTTTTGACCCCCATGTTACATAAAACTTTTTGCTTCTTTGAACCCCCTCTATCACCCATTTAAATAATGACTATCATAACGTTTACACCCTGTATGTTACTTAAATCAATCACAAGAACACCCTGTGTATTTTCACAGTTCCAAACTCCACTTCTTCTAAGTTATCTTTAGATATCTTGTCAAGTTTGATTTACAGACAAAATTAGGATAATCCCTTTAAAAATGCAACATTTTCACTGTAACTGTAAAAGTGAAGAAATATGTTGACAGAAACTCGGTAACATGCAGAAGTATTTAGGCCCGTATCGTCAGCCGTCCCTACAATTGTAGGGCGCCTTTATGGCCTCCTTGATTGTCATAGTTTTCTACTTCTCCGTGTCAGAACTCTATTTGAGGTTATGTCACAAACATCTATTTGCAACAAATTGTGCTTGCTTTTGAGTTATATCATGTTTTATCAGCCTGAAATTTCCTACAATTTAAAAGGAAAATAAATCTTCACAATAGGAGAGCGCTGACGCTGACACGGGACAAGTGTAATCTAGAAATTTTTGAAGGAGAGAAAGGAGTATGACAATCAAGGAGGCCATAAACGCGCCCTACAATTGTAGGGTCGACTGACGATACGGGCCTTAGTCTCTCAAAATATGCAATAAAATATCGACGTTTACGAAAAACAACAATGACATCTAGTAGTGGGACACTGAACAATTTGAAATGTATTTACATGTATTTAAATTAATTCTGAAAGGTTTTAAAAAAATCTGTTGCGGACTAAACCCAACATCCCATAATATGAGCATTTTAGGAAAAAAATGAGTAGTCGACAAAATAATGAGAGTAAAAATGAAGAAAACGAGTCAATGAACACCCACAGAATATTACTATCTCGTATTGCAATTTCTCCCCATCATTAATAATACTCGTCTCTCATCCCAATCAATTAACTTTGATTACGGAGAAAGCTGCCATAATTAGCACTCTTAAAATTTCTGAGTATAGGTCAAAAGAAACTTGTCGCATTATGAAGAATAAAACCCCACATTCTGATAAATGTTTTATTCATATACTCATTACAACTGCAATATTTTCTAACACTATTTTACAAATAAATTGAAAACGGAATAACAATAAAAATAAATACACGAATTTACACTAATGTACATAAAAATGTCAATAATATAATCTTGAATATAAAATCAATGATAATACAATGTATATGTATATAGCTACCTATATCACAAATAAAATAATATGTGAACATTTGTAAAATGATCCTAAGAAGTTCATGTATAAAATTTAGATACGTGTTGCATGTATTCCTATGTGAGATCAAAACGAGAAGCAGTCTTAGTAGGAAAAAAAACAACTACCAGCAAATCTACAAATTTTGATCCCTTTCTTTATATTCAATTTGATATGCAGACTATGTATTCAAAATGCACTGAAACCATGCACTTGTAACAACGCTTTTTTCCATTTACAAGTAGTACTTTCAACTTGAGTGCACTCAAAAATACTACAACATTCTCTTCTCATTTACCTCAGCGAGACAAGACCAATACTTATCAGTAAGAGAAATTGTTGCTGATATTTTCAAATAGGATTTCGATATACACATTACAGAATTCTGGCATTTACGAAAAACGTCAATGGTAACCTAGTTTGGCATTTATCTTACACTAGCCTAGTAGTAGAAGTTTTCTGGGGCCCATGCTTTGCCAATTGTTGAGGGAACAGAATATAAATTAATGTTTAGAGTGATTAAATAATTAATGTCAACAGTAAAGTAAATAATGCTTGTGTTGCTGAGGAAATTGAGATACTACCAATCCTAGCGATTTCAGAAAACTTCAGACAATTTGTGTCAACATTTTTTTTACGAAGTGAACAGCAATGGATTTAACAGACCAAAAACAAAACAGAACTTGTATACTTGCAATGGTATATTCAATATTGGAGTGTTTTCAAATTCCAGGATAACAGCAACAAACATAACGAAGCGTAAAAAGTGTCAAATTTTTTTTTCAATATCCGATCATCTATTTTAACATACCGCGCAGGTTGAGGTAATTATGTGTTAATAGTTATTTATGTATCTAGGGCGGTTATGGCTAAGTGCGTTAAAAAATAACACATCAACAGACGTGATTGTTATGCCCGAGATAATATTTTATTCGTAAGCAGGTAAGTCTTTAAGTAGACATTAAATAAATTTGCAGCCATTGCCTAACAAAATGTTAATGAAGAAAGTTCTTATGATCCATGAACAGTTCCGTTTAAAGGTACTTGTATTGCCATCGGCTGCTAAAGTGATTTTACCACCCTAGACGTGGTAAAATAGTGGGACTTGAATAGGTAATAATTAACTCTCAAAACTTGCCACATATTTACCTCACCAGCGTTACATATCAATCTGCCCTAGATCATTTCAGTGCAAAAAAGAAAATATTTGCCTATAATATTTGACACCTCGACGTATACAAAGGATACTGATAGGTTTACTTTAGCGAATACTACTATATAGATACAAAGTGGTACAAAGTTATATTCTTTCACCGACAAGAATCATAGTTTGCAAAAATACAACCGCAACAACTCTGTAATTTCTTTTTATAATTTTATTTTAGAATGTAGAAAAGCTACAGCTACATGGTAGGTTGTGTAAAAATTTTCGATACAGCCTTTTTCTACCACATAAGGTTCAATCTTTGCAGGACAATATAGACGAGGTACTAAGAATAGAGGTCTTATGAAACACTATTAATATATTTATAAAAGCTTTGATGTGTTGAGTTGTACACTGACCACAATATTGGTCATGTCTAACTTAACAATCATTGGATGGGATGAAATTCGTGATTACTGAGTGAGCTTTAGTTGTCATTATTGGAGTATCACTATACAGGGTGTCCCAAAAGATGTATAGAGAGGAGGACGGTTAACTTGGATGACCACTTAAGATGCAAAATAGGAATGTTTTGCAAGCGTCCAAAATCAAAAGGACAGAAAGAAAGTGTGTTCTGTGTTATGTCAGTATTCAATTATGCTTCTTAAGGGTGTATGGAATTAATTTTTTTTAAACTTCATTGACAAATTTTAACACCGATTTCTATTTGCCAAGTTGTATGCGCGCTATATGCATATAATTTATATCAAAATTTATAATCTTAAGTGTGTCATTATGAAAAAGAAGGATTACCTTTTTTTTGGAACTTATTGAGTCAGATATTATATCGTAAGCAACGAAACATCAATGGTGGTCGAGTAAGGTGGAGAGTAAAGGTAACCTGCGGGTCAATATATATATTTAGGACATTCTGTATTATGACACTAGAGCCTCCAAAGCATTAAGACTTTATTGCCAAAGTTTTTGTTTTAGCCACAGATGTTAAAATGCCAAAAATTGTATTGGATAACATATATCCGAGTAGAAAAGAAGACAGTCAAATAAGAATTTCGACAGTTACTCTTGTTTCCCCATAGTCGGAAATTCTTTTACAGAATTTGAAGATGCCGAAAGGATTTTTAGTCAAGTGGGTTTGCGTAGATGGGAACAAAAAATGGTAACTGTACGCTGGAAGATTCCTTTATCGAAAATGTGTGAATAAATGCTATAAATTTTCACTGCAAAATAATCTGTCTCTCAAAAAAGTGTTCATCAGTCAGTGCATTCATGTCACTTAAAGCGGTTTGCAGATTTTATGCTGTGCTGTAATAGACTTAGAAAAAGCTTTGGCAGTTTGTAATAACTTTTACGTCAGATTTGATAGTTCATTGAACGTCTGACAAACCTTATAAGCTGCTGGTTTTTGTCAGATAGTTCAGGTAATATCTTCACATCTGATGGGAAAAATATTCTGATTCGTTTTTTTTGATAATCTTATTCAAAAAGGGTGCCTTTTAACAAATCTATACAAATTTGCGTTAAATATTTTTGGACCAATGCTGTTCAAGTCCAAAAATTGTTTTTTACGCTCCGATCTAAGTACTTATAAGTTCTTTGGGACGTTCTGAACAAAAAAGGTGCTTTAGAACTTTTCTCTAAAGATGATAATTTTCGAGATAGAAGCGATACAATATTTAGAAAATATAACATATTCGAGTCCGAAAAACAACATGAAAAAATGAAGATTTCAATTTTACCAATGTTCCTAAATATTCTTCAGACATACATTAATAAATTTCCGAAGCATTTCAGAACGTATTGTTATCGTATAGGTTTCATCTCTCTCGCACTCACCCAGAAGATACACTAAGCGTGTGCTTAACAATTGAAAAAATACAATAAAAATCCTGAAATGATTTAGGATTTTGTTAACGGATATTTGAAGAATATTTAGGAACATTGGCAACGTTGAAATTTTCATTTCTTTCATTGTTTTTCGGGGTTGAAAATGACATATTTCGCACTTTTTCAAATATTGTATCACCTATTTCTCTAAAACTTTCAACTATAGATAAAAGTTCTAAAGCCTCTTTTATGTTGAGTGTAACGATTTTTCCCATCAGATATTGCCCAGACTAAGAGGAACGTCTGCGAGAATTTAAACCACCTTTAATTTGATAGTAAACAACGGAACATACGAGACCTCAGAAGTATAAGTAGCACTGCCACGTAGACAACTAAGGCTTACCTTATGGGCAACTGTCAGTTAACTTCTAGGTTAGAAATGATCAAACTTGTAACTGATAAATTGGGTCTAAGAGGAAAAGGAGTAATATTTTTGTCATCGTCAAGTCGGAGTACCCCAAAGGGCATTAATCAATAAGTCATCGTAACTATCGTATGATTGCACGAGAAGTCATTTAAATTCGTTTTATTCGGGGACAGTTTCAGTTCTTTATCAACAATATTCAGTCCTGTCGCGTATCAGTACCTATTTCCTTCATCCCTAGGGCAGTCCTCGCCGCCCTTTTCCCGCCCGTCTCAAAAATGCGTTTCGGGCGGTTCCTCGACATATTTGCAGGTGAACGGATTCAAAAACCAGCTACAAAACGATTTGTCGTGTCGATGTTTGCAAGACGATCGACCTCTTGACCTTTGCTGTTGTTGTTGCTGATGCAGTCTTCGTGTGGGTTCAGAGTCAACGCTCGAACTCTCGCTGTCTCTCACCACACTGTCGTACCCGCTTTCTGCCCTTCGAGACATGGCTGCTGGACTGTGTTTTGAGGTGCGGGGGGTGCTGTCGTGGCCACTGTCGTACCCTGGAATAGACGATTTATGTTAGCAAAATGTTCGAAGAAGTGCTCTGTCAAAGCACAGCGTTGCCAGATGGGTCAGACAGAATTTCCCCAGAATAAACACAAAAATCCCTCAGAACCGCTACTTTTTCAAAAGAATCTGCCAAATCACAGTTAATTAATGGAAAGGGCTCAAAGAGCGGGGTGACACCATTTATCCGCGAAATGTGTGCTTTCCCCCAGAACATCAAACCCCAAAAATCCCTAAGTAAAAATCTCCCAAACTTGTTGAAATATTCCCCAACATGGCAACCCTGTCAAAGCACCACTGGTAATCCGGACAATCCGGAAATTCGAAATGGATTATTACTGGAACAGTTTGTTTATCTTACCTCACTTATAAATATAAAAAAGAAATACGTAAAAAGCAAAGCAGTAGATCGTGAAAGTCATCGATACCAGGATACAAATTCTTAATTAATTCACCATTCAAGGACCAAATGCTGCTGAGCCAGAAGCTGGGAGGAGGAGACCTATTCATTTTTTATGAAATCCGTATTTCAGTCCTGACGATTCCTTCTTGCTAAAAGAATTCACACATCGTAATGTTATTCAGCTGTTTACATGAGCACGTATTCAGCTTTAGGAGTTTTAGATGACCGAGCACGTGATTTATCTTCTTGTTCTACCGATATTGCTCTACTACATGATATTGCCATGCTCTAGCTCTGCCAGACCGACTCGCCAGGCTTTTTCTTCCAATTTTAATTGCACTAAACTCTATGCATCGTGATATGCCTGGCACGACCAATGCCCTAATCCATGTATAGCAAGAATATCTTTAAAACAATCTCGGTATCAAGATTCTGCATTCGCAGCCGCAGTATATGAATAAAAGAGAGCCTGTACTTCCTACGTACCTTCTGACTTATGCCCCGCCTTGACGGCCGTCACAACGCTCGTCTCCAAGCTGAGCGCCGCCCTGTTCGCTCGCTCCGCCCCCGGTTGTGACGTCACCATTTCAGTCGTCGTGGCACCGCCCACCGTCACTCCCGCCACGATCGAAGTTTTTTTTTCGCCGCCGATCGTCGCCGACAGTCGCCGAGCGGTCTCTTCGCGCAGGTTCGGGTTAGACGCGCCGTCGGGATGTCGAAGGAAGGCTAGCGCCTCCCCCGAGTATTTGGAGTGGTGGGGAGAGTAACGTTGGAAACGCCCCGAGTGGGCGGAGCCGTATTCGGGAGGGTGGTCCGTCAGGTCTTGCGTGCTGGCAGAGAGAAACGGATCGGTGTACCTGTAAATAGACATTGCTTGGGTTACAATTTGTAAGTCTCTTATACTTTCATTTTATACTAAAAGCTTACTGTTTTGTTGAATAGTTCATGTATAATCTATACTATACATAAGGCTCGTTTGTCGTCATGCATGTTTCGACCATTACCTGGGTCTCGTCAGTACAATAAGCCAATAGCAAAAATCAAACTGGATCCTTGATGTTACAATCATGAATAATATTAATGTTTTCCAAAAATAAAATACAAAACTTGACTATGTGAATAAATGTAAAAGCTGTGGCCAACCTAGACAAGCATCATATTCTAGGCTTCTAGAAACGTTATTATTCGTCATCTGTGTTTTCATTTATTGACTAAGTCAATGAAGAAATATTAAAGATAACCGCAGAATATACAAGCTTCAGTTACAAATATTTAAGAGGTTCTGCAGGGTGTTGTCCAATTATAAGTAAAAAAAATGAAGGAGTGATTCTTTGGAGTACTCCAAGACTATTTTGCTTTTTGATGATTTTCGAAATATCTTTCTTGAGTAACCATCGATCAACGAAATTTTCACAGCATTGAAGACCGTTACTTAATTATCTCTGATTGTTTTAAATATTGTTTCATAATATGGCTCACAAATCATATTTAAGTCTGACTATATAAGTTAAAAAACGTATTCCTGTCATATTTCGACCAAACAAACCATTATTGAGATAACAAGCCTAGTTTCAGATTTGCACTGTCACGGATACCCAAAAACGTCGAAAAAAAATCCAAGTAACCCGAAAATTTATATCCGGTTTTCTTAGGGTCGCTGATTACGAAAAATGACTAATTTTATAAGAATCACATGGAATTTTTCATATAAAAAATCACTCTTTCAAAAAATATCATTTCTGATCCATTGTCGTATTGGGAGTTTAAAATAACAGTGTTGAGTTAGGTCTAGCCCACCTCTGGAGATCGAAGTCAATTCTTTGTTTTTTTACGCCATCAATGTGAGATCTTGACTGGTTACTATTTTATCAATTTTTTTTGAATTGCACAATGCACGTTGAGATGTTATTTAAGAGGAACCGATTTTCAGTTACATCATTATTAGTGATCATAGAACAGAATAATCCAAGGAAACACCCTCGGATTATGGTGCAATATTTCGGAATTACCCTGTATACAGGGTGTGTGTGTAATAGCAAGAAATTGTCTGAAGATGGTCAAACTGTGGAATGATATTATCAAAAGAATAAGAAAGAAGTGGTTACGTTGCTCTGTTGTAGTTTGCGTTGATTCATTGAAATGATCAAAGAGGCAGGGTAGGTTTCAGAAGTTGTTTTTTAGGAAAAAATACGCTCTCTATTGAGTTGTATACTCAGGTGGTCGGACACAACTCACCAATTCTGGACAGTGGCCGGTCTAGCCATCATGTTCACCTTGCAGTTTTCGCAGAACTTCTGCTGGACGTAAGCTGGTTCGCTGCAGATGCTGCTATTATCATGATCGAGAAGTCGACTCCCATTATTTTCTCCACCTCCGTATAACATGTCTGTCAAGGTGAGCGATTCACACCTTGTCAGCGGCCTGCGGTGGTGGTGCTGATCTTCGTGTTGCCCATTGTTGCTGCGTTGTTGACGTTGGTAGGTCTCCGAGTTTGCTACATTGGCTTTCGCTAACCTGTGGACAGAAAAGGCGTCAAGTAGGTTGACTCTGCACTGTCATCAGTTCACAAAGGATTTAGTCCGGCACAAGTTAGCCCCTCTGACGAAAAAAGTTAGCTACGAACATGTAAAACAAAATAGTTAAATAGATCAAGTCTGTCAAACAGGCTAGTCATTTAACAACGTTGCGATCTAGAAAAAATGACCCAAAAATTCGGCTGTCTTTGCGCATTGAATTCCGACTTTGAGAATAAACCTAAAGAGGTTTCCCAGGCATTAAATTATTTGTTATCAAAAACCAAAAGACACATATTTCTTGGAAAAAGTACCCCTATTTAGGGGTAAATGACCCCAAAATGTAATTAACACTTCCAATGAATACCCTAAAGGAGTACCTAGAATTACTACCCTGTCTCATTTTAAAATAAATTCCCAAGATCATGCCTCCTATATAACGCTTCTTTCTCACAGCCACAAATTATTTTTGAACACACCTTAATAATTCATGGCCTATTCTTACCTGTTGGTATACAGTTCGTGCAGCCTAGCTAATTGGTCAAACTTTTTCCTGGTCATATCATCAACGTTTCCGTTCTGAGGATACGGGTTATCCGGATCTTCATAATCATCGTTGTGCATATGGTACCTCTCAAATCGGTGCCGTGGTAGTATCCTTTCTAAGTCCGTGAAAACTGACATAGAGTCCGTGAATGTAGACACCACCTAGAAAAAATAATGTATCACTATTCTAACGAAAATACCTTTGTTCTTATTCAAAGTCTAATGTGTTACTCTTAAACTAATTCATCACAGCATTTGAAACTTATTTATCACAAATTTATAACCATGTCGACTGGACTATAGGCTCTTGACTAATCTGACGCTGCCCGTTGACTGTCTTCCTTCCACCTGCTCTGCTAATATTAATTTCCCCTATCGACTATACTATATCTATCTAAAACTGTAATGACTCATCGATGTTCACGTGAACATCACTTAACTACCAGTAGTCGGCTGTTCATAGTCGGGGTATGAATGTTTAACATGGGTGAAATAGATTTGTCACATGCTTAATAAAGAGTGGTTTGAAACATATTGTAAGTCAAAAATTTGGGAATTACCTTTATTCCTCGTCGCTTCCACTTACATCTGACAGTAATAAACTGTCGCTATCGCTTTCCTCGTTGAAATTGACTATAACTGGCTCTATGATGGTGTCGATGTGGTGGTCAAGCTGCCACATTTTTGTTTCTTCCTTCACAACATGACGGATAGCATTCTGCCAAGCTTCGGGCGTTACTAGCTGTATGGAAGTCTCAAGTAAAACCTTAACGTCTGGAAATTTGAAGGTTGTGTTCAGTTCACAGTGGTAGGGCGGTAACCGCAGCACAGTGACACCACATTGACGGGCCATCCCATCAGTCACGTAACTAATGTTCGCAGGTTTGTGCTGTTTAATTTTTTCATACAATTCCGCTTTCACACATGAATCGTCAAACGGGATTCCTTTTTCGCGCAACCATTGCTGCATGTCACTTTTTCGAGATCCCATAGTCGGTACACGTTCGGCTCGACGACTATGGTAGGAAGCATTATCCATGACGATCACAGAGTTGGGCTCAACTCGCTGAAGCACCCCTTGAAACCAGCTCTCGAAGCAGCTGGCATTCATTTCGTCATGGTAATCACCTCCTTTCTTAGAGACGAAAATCAATTCACACTCTTCTAAAAAGCCACTATCGCTACCAATATGAGTTACGATCAATCTTTGACCTTTCCCTGACGGTCCACGAAGACCTGTTGACAAACCTTCAATGCTTGCTTGTCGGTTACTCACTACGTTTTTGTCTATCCAGGTTTTTTTAACTGTGTGACCTGCATTAACCCATGTCTCGTCCAAATAATAGATTTTTCTGCTTTGTCGCCTATATTCAATCCTTTCGCGTAGGTATTTTCGACGCCAGGCGACTATTTCAGGTCTCTCTATCAATACTGACTGCCGATTACGCGTTTCGTAACGAAAATTAATTTCGTGCAGGGATTTCCTCATTACCTCGACGCTCATTTGGGGTATAATTTCATTTTCCTTGATCGCTGCATGTACAGCCTTGTGGGTTGGTATCTCATTCCTAAAGAAGAATGAATGTACGGTTCCCCTTAACGCCATTTTGCTATCGTCATCCAATTTAACGGCCTTTCGTCCCTTCAAATTAAACTTTGGATCAGTAGTAGCTCCAGTTTTCTTCTTTTCATGCACCACCCTCTGGAACGCCTGTCATACTTTCACAACGCGCGAGTACATCTCCCTGCGACATAGTTCTGTTCAGATAATTGAACACGTTGAGCACGATTTCTTTCGCGTCCCTCTTCAGTGCTTTACGAAGCCGTCTACTTGTTCCCTGGCTTTCAGTACTTCCACTCGTGCCATTTGTAATCTCCATGGTTAAGTATAACCAAAACAGTAACCACAGAAACCACAACAATAACAATCACACAACAATTCTTATAAAAACACACAATATGCGATCGCTCAACGAAACACGTTCCAATGCGTTGCCGACGCCTATGAGTCTGCCGGTCGAGGCGCGTCTTTGATTTCATTGGTTCTACCGGCGGAGAACAATCTCAGCCATTATTTCCATCTCTGTCTGTGCTGTTGACCACCGCAAAGCCACAGAAACGACATATGTCGTACGCTATACGGCTGTACTGGAAGGAAGCCGGGATCGAGCTCTGATCACGTGTTGATCACGCGTATGAGTCATTACAGTTTTAAATAGTTGTAGTATAGTCGAGAAATTCTCCAGCGTTTTCCAGACAGAATCGTGAACCTTGACGCTCCAAGGTCTCGAACGTGAACTCGAATGAGACCGCAGTCGCTCATTCACAACCGCGTAACTCTGGTTGTCAAAGCGTCGATGTTTCTGGACAGCTGTCGAATCTTCTGGTGGATGTATGAGGGTGCCCCGCTGGTATTAAGAGTTTCAGTTATACGAGGGTGTCACAGTATTATACAACAAATACATTTGCTCTACTAACTCAGCAAGAAGTCTCAAAATATTTCCCTTATTACTTACAGTCAAATTTTCCTGACTAAGTATCCTAAGTGGGTGGTCTAAGGGATTTTCTTGGTCTACTTCTGGCAACGGATTTTCCGCATATCCCATGCACAGCGCTATGTCTTCTTCAGTTACTTGTAAACAGGAGTCTTGAGTCGGCACAGGTTCTAGAGGTTCCTCGACCTATAGAAAGAAAATTAGTCAGAATACAAACTACGTTTCATAGTCAGAAGTATGAAGAGTCCCTAGTCATTTTTCAGAAACCACCTAAACACACAACCCAAATTAGCTTCAATAAGATTAGCTTATGCTCGAAAGTTGCAGCTGTCGTTCTTAAAAAAATTGTTTCAGAACGTATAAAGCGTTTTTTAGCCAACTTACTTCGATGATCTCCAGAATATCATCACCATCCTCGCTGCAATCAACGTGGTGGTGCTCATCAAAGCTTCCAGCGTTGTGGTAACTATTGTACTCAGCATTGGACAACATTCGCTCTTTCAGCAGAATATCAAGACTTTCTAGAGACACCTCCCTGCTACTCAGCGGCTGGATCAGAGGTAATGCTGGAGGCATTTCAGGTTCGTCTTCATCGTCCTCTGCTTCTACACCTGGAATGAAGGAATTTCAGTTTAGGTTAACCACTGTAAGATTGAGTACGAAAAAAGTAAATAGAATTTTCTGGCAACTTGATAAACCTGATGGAGGTTACTTTGCTCTGGCTTCTTTCGTTGCCTAACCTCACCTGGACCGTGTTGACGATTCCCAAAAAGCATGAAACGACGCATAGAAAGGGCTGGATCTGGGTTTACTAACATGTGACAAGTCCTAAGTAGGCTGAAATTTTCCATTTTGTGTGAAATGGGAAGAAAGAAGAGATTCTGGATCCGCGACATTAAAGAATAGACTAAAAGAGGAAGGAGCCACTTTTGTTGTAAACATCACAGAATAAGGAAGATTATGCCATAATAGTTGCCACTCTTCAAGGCAATTCCACCTAGGATGCGGAGGATGAAACGACGTCATGCACGGTTGGTTGGACAGGAAAAACTAGTATTTTTAGAAAAAATACAGTTATTAATTATCTACCTTTAATAGGTTTGTCGTCCCTTTCGTCAGGTGTATGGCACTCAGGTATAGTGTCGCTGGGCATGCTCGGTGTCTTCAAACCCGTTCGTATGACACTTTCTTCCACGATGTCTTGTTTCCTAAGACTTATTGGCCTAACAACTTCGTCATCTTCACTGGACTTGAACTGTGTTAGCTCCTTAGGTGCTTCTTTGGCTGATTTATTGTCTGTAAGAAAGACGTTTGATGGTTACAATAATTCTACAAATTATTATCATTGAAACAATTGGATCTTCCATTTTTCAAAATCTCGCACAACTGATTAAGAAAAATACGATGAACAGTAATAAACACATAGAACTTGGACAAGTGCACAAAATAATGGGTAGATCCTGAAGTCTTAGCCCATGTCAGCTTAATCGAGCAGCCGTATTTTGAGGTCTCTACTATCGTTAGAGATGAAAATAATAAAATAGGTACCTTTAGGATGAGTATATTTGGACTTCTGTAGCTGTATCGCCTGGTGTTCCACCCATTTCCTAATCATGTTCTTCTTATGACTGTCCATGTAGCCATAACCTGCTGAGCAGTCAGCTTGCATTGGACCATCTATCCAAGTTTCACATTTCTTCACATGACACGCCTCTTTAATCAAGTGCCTTGCTTCTGCCACCTTTGACTTTGATATCCTGAAAAGTCAAGAATTGTTTGATACTCTAAGCTTATCCACGTTCCTTTTCGAGTAGAAAAACAGAGTGATGTTTTATAATAAACTTCATATACCTTCTTCGACTAGTAGTTAAAAAATCTGAGAGATCATAAAATTGTCCCCTGAAAACCATTGGTACAAAAGCATTCTAACCTACTATAATTTTAGCTGACTTGATATACGAGTAGAACTATTTTTCCTGAGTATAACGCGATGTTGTTTCATAGGCCTAAATAATTGTTGTTCTCTATATTCCACGTAGTGATTTAAATATGTTTATACTGAAGCGAGTTGAAATCAAGTTTCGGATTATTCTATAAATTTTGAACCCTCCAACAATTTCGTTGACTACGCCCACAAAAATTTTTAAATTCAAATTCAATACTCATTCTGAAAATCCCGAAGAGATATAGAACAAGTCATAAAAAATTAATAATGAATAAACATATAAATATATGTATAAAGATCGCCAAAGAAGTTTAGAACGCATCAAGTATCTGACGAATGACTCATCTAATTTTTTTAAAATTTAGTAGGTTTGGGTTCGAAACCACGACGGTTCGGTTGATGATATCCGCGATGTTACCAAATCTACATTTTTTCAGATACTGATAGCAACTTTTGTGTTTATTTTGGAATACATTTTATAAAATACTTGTATTCTGCGAGTCACTCTGAATACTTTTCATTAAACGTACCTTGACATAGACCTCATGCTTGAGTATTAATTTTGAAAAATCATAGATTTTCGCGCTGTCTGAGGAACCTATCTGTCTATAAAAAGATTTCGTATTCAATGCATGAGTGTTTTACGAGTATAATCGGATCATTACTTTAACTGCATCTTTGGGACCTAAACTCTTAGCAGGTATTGCACTTAATGTAATTGCATTGGGTATATTTATCTCGACGAAATTATATTTTACAGTTGCATGTCAATGGACTATCACTAATGTCGAGGAATGAAGGTATTAACAGCTTTATGGCTCATTTTTATTATTATTGAAGATGGAAACGGGCGCGATCACGTACGCCTTACACCTTAATTGCTTTTTGAAATGTAATAAATTAACACTATATCTTGTAATAATAGGTGTTCTAAGAATAGCTCATAGTAATTGTGAATACCATTCATGATTGACTCGACAATATGGCGTCGTGGCAAGTACATACATCATTGATCAGTTCTAATACACTGACAAAGGACCTCGTACAAAACATATATAAAAGTGATACACTCTGATTTGCGTAAAAAGTCAGTATGATATATTTCTCATGTTCCTGAACATAATCTCTCATAGGATCAAAGCCATATGATTAATTTCTAAGAAATAGGAGGACGCAGTTTGTAAAAATAGTGAATGTCTAGATTGTAGGTATTGGGAGGTGTCATATTGCTATTGACCATGATCGACGGTTAAAAAACCGAACTCTGGAAGACAGATATAAATAAATAAATGTCATGTCAACTTCACAAGCTTATATGTCATTAATTTGATTTTTTCTGAAGGAGAATTAAGAGTTGCAACAACTTAAAGAAATGTCCACACCTATGCGCTTTCCTTTTCATCTTCAAACTGAACGTCATTTTGGCCTTCTGAATTTCATAATCAAAGCAACCACGACCGGCCTTAACATTTGGAAATCAACTTGCTCTCTCAACTTGACCTTGAATAGATCATGGTTAGGATCAACATTGCACCTCACAACTCCTTCAAGGTGTTTTTAATGAAAGACTCCTTTCAAGTGAACAGAGTTTTTGGTCTGAGAATAGCATTCACCATTTTTGCAAATCGGATCTACCCTATTCCTCAAACTAATCTTAGGATTGCTTTGTTTCCATAAGACCTTTTGTTCACGAAGGTGAGAAATACATCATGCTGAATTTTGAAATAAATCGACTGGTATCTATTTTACATAGACTTTGTGCAGGGTCTTTTTTCCATGTAGATAAGTATTTTTTACTCTATGGGGTGGAGACATTCGCAAAGCAGACTTTCTAACTCAAGGATTAATCCTAGAAAATGAAGGAGTAACTGTGGTGCTTTTACCAGCAAAATGTCGTCCAGTCACTTGCAGTTTTGTTAATACCATCGCCGTGGTGATTATAGTGACATCTAGCATCCGTACGTGTCTTAGAATCAGGTTACTAGGCGCAGTCTTTCCTCTATACACAATTCCAACCTCAATTCTTTCTGCGAAACCGTCTAAAAATCTGTCATCCCCACCTACAAAAACTATACCTACCTAGGTCCATCAATCCACTGCTCATCGCTCCCTCCGTTAACGCCCGAGGTGGGCGTACCATGTTGTTTCTCCGCCTTCCCTTTAGTCGCGCATGGTATCCGACTCGGACTGGACTTAGGCGACGCAACGTGGGCGGGAGATGTCTTGACACTTCCACCTCCACTTCCGCTTTGCGCCACTTTCGTTGGCGTACGGTGCGTCGATGTGGGCGGAGGTTTGTCTTCCGTTTTTTGGGTGAACTTGGGCGTGGTTTGGGTTGTCGATGGGCGGTGCTCGGCGATTGAACCTGGATGAGTGAATCACATGAAGGATATACGATTCCCTTGTAGTTGTAGTGTAATATTCAGGAATAGTACGCTATGCTTTTGAAAATGGCTGCAGATTCTTAAGGTATCCGAGGACAGGCTATATAATAAGATGATGGTCTCTGGGTTGCATATATGACCCGTAAATCTTATAAAAAATGTTTCAACTAGGACATTTTTGAGAATCCTGATCTTCAAGCTAAACAAATGTAGTATTGTTTGGCATAGATAAAGTCAGTAGTATTTAAGAACATTTTTGTTCCAGTTCCGGAATTTTTTGGCTTTGACGAAATCAACAGGAACAGTACGAAAACAAAAAATGCTTTTGTTAAAAACGCCACCGCATAGGCTGTACAGGGAACGTTATTGATGTTTCTGTTCTCACCTCTGAGCGCTTTGCTCATCGAACATCTATTATCGCCGGAGTTGATGCTAGGGATGTACACCGGAGGATGCTCCCCATCAGTGGCGTCGTCAGCAGCAGGGCCGACGTAAATCACAGTGTCTGCGGATAGATCGCTGCTAGAAGGATCTGGCTCGCTGCTTGTGCCTGCAGCACCGGGTCGAGCAGCTTCTTCACCTGGAATTGGAAGTAATTAGCTATAACAAATATTGACGGTATTCGTACAAAGGGCATCATAGTCGCGAAGTTAAAGACTTGATAATATATCTGTCTTAAAACCAAATTGAAGATGTGGATTAAAAAGGGTGAGCAGCGAGTTTCTGCACACTCAGAATCTCAAATCGTGAACACAAAGATGCAAATGACCTCAATAAAAAGCACATGGAAAATGTTCCTCGGCCAATTTGTCAATTCGGTGTACCATGTTTCTCGCGTACCTGCGCAAAAACAATAGATATCATCCCCCATTTTATTGTTTACTGCAGGTTCTAATGCTGTATTAATGCTTTAGCTGTTAGCAACGGCACAATAGGCAGACATCGAACTGGCGATAGAAAAACACGTTTTAGAAACGCTATAAAGTGTACTCGTATATCTTCATCTTATCGACAAGTTTATGAGAATAACGAGGATTTACCCATTGATTATGTAATAATTAATCTAACAAAGGCGCCAAAATCTTAGGTACGAGATTGGAGTTTGCAATCCTTTGAAAAAGTTGACACAAACAGTTCAGTATACCAGAAGCAGAACAAAACAAGAAATCTCAAATCAATAGTCAATAAATTACAATAACATAAATATACGTCTACACCAGTGTGCTTTTTCTTTCACTTTCGCTCTCAAAATTAACTTGTCCTTAGATTGACATTGTAAAGGCCATAATCTAAGACAACTTAATAAGAATGACCTGTCCCTACCCTTGTGAAGCGAACTGTGCTCTTTAGTGAATTTTGAATTCTCGAGCAACTTGTGTCGGATCCAGTGTCAACGTATAAAAATATGCTTGCCCTTTAATTGACCTTGTAAGGGTCATTGCAAAGATCACTATGACACATCCCTAAAAGGTTTTTAAATAAAATACTTTCTTCAGTATAACAATTCCCCGAGTATTTGGTTCGAGAAGTATAGTCGCCCATCCACCATTTTTGTAAGGCAGGTAAACTTCCCCTATTTATCGGAAACTAATCGTAGGAATGCTTTTGCCCCATGTGAACTTTTGTTCAACAAATCATCATGGTAAATTTTTAGACAAATCCACTGAGACCCATTTTCCATATATTTTTTCCGGGGCCCAAACTTCCAAAAATTATTATGATCGGAAATTGTTATTCATCCTTTTAGAATTCCTAGAGACAAAATAATCTCTGATATGGACTCAACGACGGCGAAAATATACACAAAATGTGTCGGGGCTAAAACATTGATTGATTGATTGATTCTGAAGTAGTCCTTGAAGTGACCTTGAGGTGACCTTCAGATGCCTTTATAGTGACTAATTGACTTCTGATTCGGACTCAGTTCGGTTTTTTTGAAATTGCCCTTGATAAGACCTTGAAGTGACCTTGAAATTTCCTCGTAGAGACAAACTAACTCCACATTTAGAATCAATCACCCAAAAAAACATATAGTACTGTAAATCGTATAAATGAATGTATTTTTTATCAACTATTCTAGACCATTGGGCAGCGTCTCAAATTAGTCACAATCAGCACTAAAACGTTCGCGAATCCGCTTATATACAATAGTTTGCATGCATTCAATTCATGCAAAAACAAATGGTTTCTAGATAACTATTTACCAGAACTACCTCCAGATCCGTTCCCGACTGCCGCTGAGACAAACTTGATCCTGCGCCTGCGCATTCTATGGATCCTGCTTGCAAGTTGCACTGTTGTCAAAGTGTCCATGTAGTTCCTGGCTGAAGGACTCACGTGGACGATCATCGCTGCGTGGCAGGTCAATGAGCCCAAGCATTCTCGAAGGAGTTGGGTCAACTTGTGCTCCTGGAAAACGAATAGAAACGAAAATGAGAATGATAAAGTATGGAGCAAAATGAACTTATTTTAGCACTTCCACTTGCCTAATTTTATGGTTATTTTACAAGAGGCCCACTTTAACACAATCAGTTCAGTTTCCCATGCTTGCTATATTTTCGCTGGCTCACCGATTAAGCACAGATCGCGTAGCGTAGGACGACAACTACATATGCCTCAAAACTGCAACAAAATTAGGCAAGTGCTACTGCTAAAATAAGTGATCAAAGGAAGTGACACTTGAGCAGTTTAACTATGGATCCAAAGAATAAAAAATTTCTAACAATTTCACAGAAAAGACAGACGCATCCCGAGCTTGGAGGTGATTTGTAATTGAGCAATCATCACAAAATGTTGAATTTTTTTTCTAGCATTTCTGTGACTACTCTCGAAAAGGAGGAGTCTGTGTAAAACCAAACATTTTTACGCTTAATTTCCTGAAAAAGTTTTTTTAATCTACGCTTTCCTAGAAATATCAATACGATTTACATGCTTACTTTGTATGGCAGATGCTTTTGTCCGTTGAAGATTGCCAGCAGTACGTTGCCAACTCCTGATAATGGTACTCCACCACTGTTTCTTCCTCGATCTGAGTTTCCTAGATCCAACAGGTGGAGTCGACTTCGTCCTCCACACACTGGAATTAAAAAAAAAATGATTTCGAATACAATCTGAGTTTGCTTTAAAATTTGGCGTTGCTACAGTTTTAGTTAAAAAAACAACACGCATCGTTCTGGAACCCGGAAGCTGAAAAACGGAAAAACTTTAACATTGAGCTTCAACTTGAAAAATAAAATGCCTGAAAACTGAAAAAAATGTTCTGTGCAGGTAAAATGTTTTAGCATTTCGTTGTGAAAAAAGAGAGAGACCAATGTGTTTGGATTTGAAGAGTGCAATTTTTTGGAATAGTGAGTAGATTTGTTTCGAAAGCGTTGATGGTCCGAGGAAGGGGTTGTGGAGGATATTTTCTATCCTTCTATGGGCAAATCCGAGGCAATACAAGGGAAGCTCAGGTTCTGAAATAATTCAAGGATATTCAAGGTTATAGATTGAGATTCTCAACCCCGCGGAATATCTCACCAATGACAGACCTACAAAGTATTTTTGGGGATCCATTTCATGAACCTGAAATTACCCGCCCAAAAAAGTGTTACTGATTTTTCAGTAGATCATATGATTTTATACAGTGGAGATATAAACAAATCCGAATAAATTTGACAGAAAACATAATAACTGCCACGGAAAGTCAAAATTATGTTGATAGCAACGTACGTGATCAAAGTTGGCATGATTTAATTTTTGACATTTTTTCGACATGTAATAAAGTAGTTTTTATCTTATTCCTCTAAAACGAAAACATATAAAGAGACAAAAAAAGTTGTATCATTAATTGATTAATCAGAAAAAATGTTTTGTAATGAAAAAATCGGTGGCGTACATTAATTTTTGTCAATATATGAATGTCAGACAATAGTTTTAGGTTTTTCTGAAATAGAATTATGCAGAGTAACTGCATTAAATGTGAAAGATCGATTAAATAGAGCTTGTGCGTGTGGCCAATTTACGGAATTTTTTGGATCGAGGAGATACAGATACGGAACCCAAATTTTAGAGGAACTTTTCGGCACCTGTTGAAAATAAGGGTACCCCAAGTACACGTTGCCCACTGTGAAACATGGAGGCAGGTCTGTTATGGTTTGGGGGTGCTTTTCGGGGTTTGGGATGAGACCTTTACATAGAATAGATGACATTATAAATCAGTTTGTATACACAGACATACTAAAGCATGGCATGTTACCCTATATAGAAGACAATATGCCCTTAAGATCAACCTTCCAGCAAGATAATGACCCGAAGCACATTTCAAATCTCGCAAAGAAATTCTTTCTGGATGAAAAAATACCAGTTCTCAAATGGCCTTCACAGACTCCCGATATAAACCCCATTAAAAATCTTTGGGAATACTTAGATAAGCAAATACGAGATAAAAGTTATTCAAACAAGGATGAACTTTTTGCCGCTTTAGAGCAAAAGTGGAGACAGATTGATGAATCTTACATCAAGAAACTTCTACAATCTATGCCGAGACGATTCCAGGCGGTGATTGATAATAATCGTTATGCTACAAAATATTAACACAAACATGGTTGGTTTTCTGTAATTCAATGCACTTTGCTTCTTTTTTCTATAATTTTTTTGCTTTGTCTATTTTTGTCCTTCATAGTTCCAGTTTTGTAAAATTAATGTTTTATTGAAGGGAAAGTCTAATGAATTTATTTATGTATAAGTAAATATTATGCTATAAAGAATTATATATACAGGTTGGTGTATCAATAAAACAAGTTAAAAAAGAAATACAGCATATACTATAGTTATATAGTTTTGTCCATTACTGTATGTATGGTGAAGAGCGAAGGGTCTAGAACAGAGACTTGCGATACTCCAGATGTTACATCCACTAGTCCAGAAGAATCATTTCCTAAAACCACTTTCAGCGATCTACCAGTAATATAGCATCGAAAGAAATTTAGACTTGAGTCACATAGTCCTGTATATTTTAACTTTGCTATTAAAAGGTGATGGTTAATTTTATTAAATGATTTAGAAAGGTGTGGACTTAAATATTATCCAGAAAAATTGCCGGCCGTATACAAAAATGCGTTAAAGCCTTTGGCAAAAAAAAACGTTGAGCAAAAGACAGCACGATCAAACTTCATCCAGTACGGTAGACTAGCAGCCAGCAGATAGCCCGCGGCGCCCTGCATGCAATTTTTCACGTAACGAGGAAATTCAGATAACGCGGTTACCGGCGACACCACCGCGGTGTCTGCGGCTCGCGTTTTTTGGCGGCCCCAGGGTACGGCGGCGCAGCCTTTACGCGCTCTACGTAATCCCGGAAGTGATAAGGAAGTCATAAACGTGAAATAGGAGCGCCCCCCTAAGGGCTGGTTCGGAAAAATCGCGACGACAACGGGGTAAAAGTCGGCGATATGCCCGACTGCAAAAATAAGTTGTATACAAGCCTGCGTAAACACCAAAAATAAAGCCGCATCGACAGAGTGTGCTGCTTCCTAAAGTGTCATACAGATTCTTGCGTAGTCGTCCATTGGCATTTATATCATATAAACTGAATCCAAATTCAAGATGAGATGTAAATAATAACAGTTAGCGCGTGATCTCTCGGTAACAGGTGGGGACAACGCCTCTTATTGGTCAATTCGCCATTAAATTTCAAGCGGTCGCTTGGCGGAATAATGCGCGGGGCAGGGGCAGAGTAGGCAGAGTTGCATTCAGGCCACCGACCGTCGCGTGTATCACTGCGTGCTCGTGTTTTCGTATTCACCTTGCTTGGTTGTTGCTGTTGTTGTTGTTAAGTGTATTTGAGTAATTTGTTAAGTTTCTGTTTCTGTTAAATACTGTTATCTTTGTTTTACAACACGTTGGTGGTAGTCCATCATTCGGAGGTAGCCCTGATTGCGGCCCTGTACGCCGTACTTGCTTTTGGCAATCACGCATCCATTCTATCTTGGGTGTGAATACTCTATAGTTCAGTTAATTGCAGATTCTAGATTTCATCTATTTCACTGTTGACAACATATACAATGGTCTTGTCTAAGAAATATAAAGAAACATGAAATATACATCTGAAGGGTACTGGGGAAAAACGGCATTAGTCCACTATTATTTTTATATTTATATTTTGAATATTGACTATATTCGCTAATTTAATTTATAATACGGGTTTCGTGTATAATGGATAGTGACTATTCAGTTTCAAGTGAAAATGAACCAGGCCCATCAAACAGAGAAACGAAAAAACGCAAAAAACAGGAAGACAAAGAGACGTAATGAAAACGTTGCGCGCCACTACCCACGTACTTGGATCTGATTGTTTTTGTGAACGTTTTCGCTGTTTTACTACTGTTCCTGAACCTGAACGCTGTAGACTTATTCGTGAGTTTAATGAACTAGGAAACACTAATCGACAAAGCGCTAATCTTAGTAGTCTTATCACTGTTCTTTCTGTTATGCGTAAAGTTCATTTTGTTTACGACTTATTTTTTCATCAATTTTACTTTCCAACAAGTAAGTAAACCTTAATTACCGATTTTCTCAAAATTAGTCCGGATGGACTAATGTCGTTATTCCCCGATACCCTTCATCTGCGTATGATTTTGGGGAACTAAGAAGGCGCAAATGTCGAGTCCAGTGTATGAACAGTAAGGTTTCATTTCTGAATTCGGGAAGAAAGCAAACCATTGTCGCAAAATGAGGTTTCTTTGTGGCTTTTCTTCAATATGCCTCTATGGTCAAGAGCACAAGCGCCTTGCAATGGACAACATGATGAAAAACATTCAGGTTATTACATGTCAATTAACCAATAACAACAAACAGCGAATCTGTCTACTAGACTGGTCTTAGTATCAATATCCACTTCCCTTCCTGTTTCATAGTGTGCATAGACTTCGCAGGCGCTAAAGGCGTCTACTATCCCTCAACGGCTGCATCTAGATAACACTCCACCTTTTCAGCGGAGCCTCTTTCTATTTATATCAATCATCGACAAAAAACTACTTACCACCTCCCTTCCCCGCCACGCTATACTGGTAAACATGCAGCGTGAACAACAAATGCGAGTCTCCGTAGTCGTGATATGGCCCCGTCGACGTCACTGGTCTCCGCCCCTCTACAGCTGCATCGAGATAGTGCGCCGCCTTTTCGGCGGTAGGAACGCGCAGCTCGCAGTGGGCGGGGCCTCCAAACAGGGTGTCGTCGCCTGAACCGCTGCCGCTGCCTGTGCGGAGGTAGGCGCCTGGAGACTGCTCGCAGTCTGGAACAAAAAAACTACGTTACAAGAAGTGCATATTGTAGCCGACCAAGTTATCAATTTATAAATTCGTTGAAATAATTCGTCATGCCGCCTATCCTTGTAAAAATTCTTCGCATCCATAAAATAGAAATAAACATAAAAACTAAGGGCAGAACAAACACTCGCATCTGCAAAACACCCAGTGAACGCCAAGGGAAACCAAATTCATGTTTCGAAGGAAATAGATAATAGAACCGGATGCTATAAAGTTGGACTTTTCAAATATTCCGGGACAAAAACATCGTTTGGAGATCTATTCTGTAATAACATTTGGTTGCTATAACTATAAAGGTTACAAGCAAAGGAGTGCTGAGGAACTTGAAACTCAACCATTTGGTTAGCAGATGTTAGAAGCTACCCCGGGCGCTGAACGGTCAAGCGTCAGAGGCGTATCATGGGATATCTAAGACTTCCGAAGGCTAGCATATTACTAATATTTGTCATGATATGTGGGAAAATATGAAAAAAAGGAGACAAACAGCTAGGTTTTCAGTAGAATTTTCCCCTAGCTGATAGGAGTAGGTGCGCCAGGCTGGATACGATTCTACCTTCTGTCAACGTACGCGTTGACAGATGCGGTTTGAAAATTATCATTAGAGAGCAGCAGGTGAAACTAACGAAAGACTGCGTAGTTCCAATGAAGCTAATTTTGATAAAAATACATTAACATTTCAGAAGAGAGTCACAGTTAGTTTTACCTAAATGCAATGTACAATTTTACAATTATTCAAGAGGACATCTCGAATTTTGGCCTCAGCATTACAGGAATTCCCAATCCACTGAAATTATTGAAAACTGCAGGGTCTGCCCTAAAGCAATTAGAGCCACGAGACGCCACTGAAGGGGGCGTGTTGCGTAAACTTAAGGGAAGACTGTACGCTGACGACACTCCTTGAGGTGGGACAAGGGAACGTAATTAACCAATAGAGTTTAACGCCATTTTGAGTTCAAAAATTAAGTCTAACAATCATTGGCCAAGTTAGTTTCCATCTTTAGAGAATCATACGGCCATTGCAAGGGTTGTAACTGATCGACCAGCCTTCTGATGGAGGGGAAAATCCGCAACTGACCTCCGATAATTTTGAAACTAAAAACTTCAGTTCTTCTCTTATCTTTGATTTGTACGGTTCAAAAATATGCTTCGATTTTCCCTCAGTTAGTGGCTGTTAATAAGTGTTGCATTGGTAGAATTTGTGTTAAGTTGTATTCTCATCAGTAAACACTTCCGGTTACTTAAAATAGGGCTTTTCCCTTCTTTATTAGCCCTTCTGGCTAAAGCTCAAATAACACCGAGGATTATATGCACTAGCTTGATTAATTAGTATTGTTATGTTGATATTCTTGAGTTTAATTTTGCTATTAGGTTCAAACTTGAATTTATTGTAAATTAGTTGTTACCGTTCCTTTTAACTTAGTCGTAATTCACTCCTTCAGTGATCCTTTCCCCAGCCTATTAGTTTTACAAAGATAACTGTTGTTTGTCATTGCAACTTCACTCTTAACGAGTGTATAGATGTTCTGAGTCTGGAATTCAATGATTAATAAAAATAGGTCTTCTCTAACTTGATTTTCATTAAATTCATTGATTGAAGCTAACTGAGTTCGACGGTTCAGAAAGTACTCATTCGGGCCTTTGCCATGTTCTCTGAATTACTTGAAGAACAGAAGAAGCAATACTCTGCGTAAAGTGAGTGGTTCAATGAGTCAAGATTATATTACTTTATGTCAGGTTCTACGCGAGTCTACCTCGACAAGCAAAAGGTAACAGAATTTGAAATTCGAGGTGTCTCGGACCAGTCCAGAAATTGAAGTATTGGTCTGGAGATCCGAACTATATATTCAAGGCACGACATTGAGAGGTCCGGGAGTCTCGGACGAAGATCCTGTTACAATATCAAGAAGAGGGAAGATATTAATCCTTAGTTACATAGACGTTTCACGCCATAACAAGCTTATTATCTATAACCTGGTATTACAAGTTCTGTGGCTCTAATGTTGTCAATTACGTAATTGCTTTCAACTGATGTTCTTTCAGGGTCAAACCAAGGTCATATCAAGCTGAAGCCCTATCCACCTGTCATTTATCTTTTCGCTGAGTTAAAATCCCAGGTTAATCTGTTTCTATGAGAGCATTTGGAGGTCACCTCAAGGCAATATTGAAATCCTAATTATATCATCTTGTAGAATAGGAATAGTGACAATGTTCAGGCAGCAGCGGGTTCGAGTCCCGTCCCAGGAGAAATTTTTCTCTTGCTATGGATGTTGTGATTGTCCGTAGGTGGTAGACGGTCTCTGACAGTCGAACGTGGAGGTACCACCCAGCGGATCTCGTAGGCGGAGCCAGAATGTGTGCATGTTGCATGCACACGTGTTCCCTCGCCAGAGTCCGTGTGGCGTTCCCCCTTTCCGTGTATCCCCCTATATACCCCACGGTACCCAATGGGTGTTCAGGCCTTAGGCCTTCTTGGTAGTTGGAGTATAAAAAAAAAGAAACAGTTGGGTCCAATTATGTATAATGCAGATTTTTGGGGTAGTGGGAAGACATGGGGCCTTGAAATCCTATTAAAGGGGAATGGAACCGATTAGTCGACTTTTGAGAATTTCATTTTGGAGCTTTAAAAATCATTTTTAAACGTATTCATAGAATTAAGATAGTATATAGATTCGAACTCCAAATAATCTATGGACGGACTAATCTATAAAATATTTTGGAGAATGGTGTATCTGATGAATTTTACATTCTTTTGACGGATCGGGGAGGGCGATGGGGGCTCAGGATATATCACCAGCAAGATGCTTGTCTTGGGGGTATGAGTGATTGGAAACTTAAGAGCGTAAGGGAGGGGGGACGTCTGCAAATTGGAAAACGCGATCCAATTTTTGTTTAACTCGGATATTTCTGGAACTTTGGACCCCCAGGACACCATATTGACAATAAATCCATGGATTTCTATATGAATTGACTTCATGACCATATTCCAAATGTGTGAAACAGGAATTTGACATCTTCGTGGATTTCTTCGCGCAATTAGAATCTGTCCTAATTATTTTTAAGCTCGACATCAAGCTCCATGTAGCAACCTTGTTCCATTATATTGAACGTCTCGTCAATTCAAGTGTAGAATTGTGATAGAACTACATTTCTACTATGTTTCTGTTTATGAGACTTACCTCAAGATCAAAGCCACATTACATCTAAAAATTCAAAACGTATCTAACAAGAATTTGTTGTGTGGTGGGTACTGTTGGTAGCAATGTGTACTGTCAGATAAGCACAGCAAAAGATTATCCGGAAGACCTTGGAGAAATTCATCTGAAGAAATCCTTGAAGAAACTGTTAAATGGGTATATGACATAATTTTTATATTCGGACTCAGCAACCCCAAAAGGATTGCTCATTTTATTTTAAATTTCTATGAAGTACATACTTCACAATTGAAATTCCCTCAGAGACATACTATACATCGGAATCGAAATCAGTGAAACTTGTATGACAACTGGTTGATTATCCAAATTTCGAAAAAACTCTCCAAACACTGAAAGACCACAGAGAGCAAATGAAATCTCGGGTACGAGCACAGAGACTAAAAATAATTGTAAAATCATGCGGCGGAACATCAAAAACTGAAATTTGCCTATTTGACGTTAAATAGAAGTGAAGAGAATGAGATCCAACTTATGGTGAAAGCAAACACTTATAAGCTATACATAAAAATCAGTGCCAAAGCCGGCCTTATTGATAAATAATTTTATCAATAAGTAATTGTTGAAATATGGTGAATGTGCTGAAATCATTATGATGCACAATAACTTTTTCATCACATCATCAGTACAATCTGCAGCTTTCAGGTACTCAGACCAACAATTTAATCACTTGGAAAGCATTTTCGCGATAAACATTCTAGGTCTAGCGTTTTATCGAAAGTGTATTCTTTCATAAGAGAAAATTGCAATTTTGGTGAAAGTTCTTTATGAAATTTGGCGGAGGTTCCTCGGACGTTAGACCATAAACCACGTCTCGTGTAACCTCGTACCGTCGCGTCGGCGTTTTCTCCTTCTGCCATTTTTTAATAAATCCTTCGGGAAGAAATATATCTATGATAGCCTCGTCAGATTAGAAAATGAAAACTTGATAAAATAATAGTTTACGTAAGTTTTGTTGGAGTATAAAGAAAAAATAGACTATTAGCATTTACTGTTTTGGGATAAGTTCAAAGAAGTATTCGGATTGAAGGTTTACAGGAATGGGTAAATCTTTCTCTCTTATTATATTATATATAATTAATAATAAGTTTATTTACGTAACATACAAATATAAGTAAAACTAACATAGGTATATGTAACAAAACTGAATTTATCCACAGAAGAATAAATTCTTGTGCGTGGGAAGGATTAAGCATATTCACATATCTATATTTAAAATACAAATTCGTTTCTGAGAAGTTTAATGATTTTTTAACGGCTCAAATCTTAAAATTACTTATGGTTATAAAGTTTTATTCGATTGTGATAACAGAAGGTAAACATGAAAATCACACTATAATTAAAATATTTAGAGGTTTGTTTTAAACACATTTTTAAAAATCACTAGCGATCTGTGATCTGGACGAAAGTAGTTTCTTTACTAAATTAGAAGCCTAGGCTATCTGACGTCACTTGGAAGATAGAACCGACGCTCTGAGCAAATTTTTTGGCAGCCACATTCAGTCAGTTCCCCTGACCTAAGAGTACCTTGTAATGAAAGGAACAACATGGAAACTACCTTATGAGATTCAACAATGTTTTGAAGTTTGATGTTATGTCAATTCTTTATAATTTGGGGGTAGGCACTTCAAAATAGATCAAGGACAAAGTTGTACCAAGAAGTGAACGTTTCGACCCTATCCATAATTTTGATCCTTGTCACATTTTACGATGTGATCGACTGCACTATTCAGGAAAAGATATATCCTAGGACACGC